TGTCAGAGTGGTATACATAGATCATATTGCTTCACTGCTTTGTGGACAGGGCTCTTTCTGCAGGGAGCCAAACACAACCCTGCCAGTCAAAGGCTGCACATGAAATAATAGTCTAGAGGGCATATTGTACATATGCTGCTCAGATTGGCTGTGTATATTTACTGATAGCCTGCCTGTGATACAAGGTTATATCGCCTCTGTGGAGAGGTCAACATATGTTACATGGCATAGTGAATTCTGAGGGAAAACACAAAGCCAGTGAACAATTTTGCAGTGGGGTAGTCTTCATTCAGCATATTTACTCACCGTTATATTGTCTTTGAACATTGATCAGATTATTAGAATAATGCAAGTATACTTTTCAGTAAATGTATTTTTGCTAATGGATGTGGTGCACCATACACTATTAAAAGTGGTTGCCATGCATACGCTATCAGGAGTATCTTAATGGTGGAGCAGCTGAGGTGTTAAGTCATTTGCTTTGATTCCCAACACAGGTCAATACATTGAGTTCCATCTCAAGTGGGCCTGTTTTGGTGATGTGGTAAGCTGTACTCCCTGACTATCATGGAGTAGAAAACTATTGGTATGTTGCACTAGTCAAAATGTCATTGGCTGAGATTGTGTATGGCTGCCTTCATCACTCTCATGAATATGATGAATAAAGAAAACATAAAAATATACAGTTGAACCCAGTGGTCTCAACTCCAGAGAAGTAGTATGATATACATGTATAGGGAATCAGCACATCTGACCTGACCTTTTGACTGTGTGACATCGCCATCTGCCAACAGGAAGTAAATGCATTGTGCCATACATACATTTAATCATTGTAATGATAAGGAATAAAAACTTAAGCTTTTGTCATATCCACCTACATCTAAGTGAATAAGTTTTAGTCACATCGCTGGATTTGCATGGTTCTCTCGACAATGAAATACACAATGCCATTTCTCGACATAGATTTTTATGTTGGGTAGGGCTGTAATGAATACACTATGTTGCGAATATGATACGTATCATGAATATTGGGTAACGAATACGAATAATTATTCACGATTACAATATTGTAGTTAAGTGATTGATGCACAATATTGATTGCCCATGTTGACAGTGTTAATTTGTCACAGCAATAACCTGTCATCTCATGACACTCAAATTTGGTATGTAATAGTTATAGTTGACAGTACCATGTGTGGCCTTGGCAAACTAACATGACTTGCACTACTACAAGGCTAGTACATAATGCATTCTTGCATATCTCATATTGAAAAAGGACATAAGTGTTCAAGTAAAACACATTCCATTAAAAAAAATTTAAATCATGAATATTCGGTTCTGGTGACCACGAATAACGAATTGTTTCATGAAGGGCTACGGTTTGATTCACCGAATATGCGAGTGAATCGTAACAGACTTAATGTTGGGCCTTTCAAAAAATGAGTTTGCCTCATCAAGGTAAGATTTAACTCTTCCTCAGATCATGAATATAAAATGAGTACAAGACAACCAGGAATTGGCCATCATGCATTTTGTCACATGTGTTATAATAGTGATATACATGGTAAGAATAATAAGAGTTTGCTGGGATGGGTTTGTGAGTCGGACATAGTCAGGGATTAGGCACATACGAGCTCAAGACACTTGACTGTACTTTAGATGGATTATTAAAACAAAGGGAGACCTTAAAAAGTGGAATGAAACAGATTTTTCAATTACTGCAGACCACGATGATGTTTTTTCCAAATTTAGACTTTTTTATGGACACTAGATGAACCACAATGCCTTAGACTTTCCAGATGTTGTGGGTAATATGTTCTACATAATCCAGTCATGCATCCAGTCACCAGTTTTGTAATGGTCTGTCCCACAATGTAAAGAAGTTTTACTGAGTACAGATGTATCTCAGCAGGATTATTTACATCAAAGAAGGGATCGCATGAGCAATCTGGGGAGTGACCATGTTGTGTCTAGCCCAGGAAGTGTTTGATGTGATCGTTTATACTGGCGACCACAGACATTTCCTTGTTTGTAGGTACATATGTATTTGAACTGTTCTCAGTACATTAACATCGTGTTCCGATCAGCGTGACAAGGAAAGTTGTGTCACCTGAAAATTAGTGAAATGTAATTGACCTCCGTCCAGAAGTCCATTTGTTGTACTCTTACATTGTTTGAGAAATCCCAGCAATGTACCCAAGAACTCTGCCGCATTTATCTCATCCAGTTGGAAAATGTTATAATCTCACAAACTCTCTTGCTTGCTCGCTCACTCGCTCACTCTCTCTCTCACTCACTCACTCACTCACTCACTCACTCACTCACTCACTCACTCACTCACTCACTCACTCACTCACTCACTCACTCACTCACTCCACTCACTCACTCACTCACTCACTCACTCACTCACTGTGGAGCAACATAAAAAGCTGTATCACAAACCTTTGTTGTAAGAGTTTTAAACTGCTGCAGTGCCAAAGACCTTAACCTGCCACTAGTATGAACTTGTCACTTTCCAGTGGATTTGTGTTAATATGTGGGGTACAAGTAACTTGGCCTACTATACCGAAAGAAATGTTATTAGATAAAGACCCTAGTTTGGGATTCGTGGCTGGACTCGCAGACTGACTGATTTATGATTATGCTGATATTTTCATACATTCACTGCACTGGATAGCTGTTTCATTATCAACCAGAAATTGTTTTATATCTATAATACAAGTGCAAAGTCTTTCAATGCCACATTTGGCCAGGTTATGCAAGAGGAATTGTTGGCTGTTATGTGAGTGTTGTGGCTGAAAGTATTGTGATGCAGGAAGTCATTGTAATACACAATGCTGCCCTGTTGTTGTGGCAGGAAGTTGTTGTAGTGTTAACTCGTGCTATCCTATACATCGCCATCAAATGCTGTGCTATAACCATGATAACTACATCTGTTATTGAGCAGAAGCATGTTAGACATCATCAGCCTCTGAATCATGATGTTTTACATTTTTGTTTGCAATTATCGTGGAGTCCTGAAGTTTGCTGCTTTATTTGAATTTAATGACCTCTGAAACTTTGATTTTAGTTTACTCTCATTGTTAATGAAGAAGTGCTGTTTTGTTATCTTCTGAACAATATTCGCAGTAGATAACTTGTTTCTGTTCATGCATTTGTGTGGTGCTCCTGACAATCAATGGTTAGAATCCCCCATGAGAATGTACCTTATCTTGGTCATAGTTGCTTGTACCAGTAAGAACCAGGCATGTCAGAATGGCTGTACAGAATGGCTTTGTGGCTGTAGATGCTAACTTGAGGAAAAGTCTGCTGCTGGCATTAATTAAACATTCTACCTATCTGCTAATCACCCTTGTATTATAGGTCAGGTATGAATGAAAAGGCTTGGCAATAGATTGGTTCAGGGTTATTTTTGTTTGCCACAATAGTTAAGTCAGCATACCATGTGCACATCAGTCATTGTGGGTCACAGTGACCCAGTGAATGGATGAGTTTTATGCATGTCACTGACACTGGTTGTGGAATCTATTTTGTCTGTGTTAATTTAACATGTTCTATGATTAAGCAGAAGAAAACAGCCCTGGTGAATCCATTTACTGGTGTCATGGTTGTACAGGAAATTAACATGTCACTTTCATGTTTATCTTGTAACTATTCCGAAACTGCTTCTACCATGGTAGCTGTGCCAGCATGTAATGTCAGTGATTGAATGGACAATTTGGTTGATGCGTGACTCATTAAGGTTGCCAGAGTCTGTTCTTTTTTATTGTCTCTATTGTCATTTTCCTGATCATGTATTAAGCTGGCATGCAACAATGTTGCAGAATGGTGTAAATTAACTGGCACTAATTGATCATATATTGTCATGTTGCAGTTTTGGTGCAGAATATATTACCTGGGGGAAATATTTCTTATAAACACATGCAATTTTACCAGAGATAAAGTATCTGAACAATGTTGAAACTCTTCCTTCTTGTCACATTGTATTCATGAGGTCATTAAATCAGTGATGTCATAAATTCCATATTGACTTCACAAAACATTTCCCTAAGCCTGTTCACATACACACCACTTGTTTCCACTTTGGTTAAGATTTCGACTTGTGTGCCATGTGTGTATATATATGTATATGATACTAGTACTACTAGAAGTAGAAATAGGAATCTTCCACATGAGATGTTGATGGAGATTTGGTTCATCTTTATTACAGACAGACTAATAGTGGTATCTACACCATTAACTTTCAATAACCACTTTCTGCAAGAAGCAGTGGTGGATCATGTTAGTTGGTGCCTTATGTTCATATAGGATCATGTTTTTAACTGAGTAAGCCATTATTGTGATATCAGTGTTTATGGAGCTGTCTCCAGGTGCCATGCTATTCTTGTTGGGGTACAGGTGATCGCATTACTTCAGTTACCCACAGGAGAGCACAGTTACATCTCTTACTTGTACCAACCCGTGAAGGTCCGGGTTAGAATATTGATCTTCAGTAACCCATGCTAGTCGTAAGAGGCCACTAACAGGATCGGGTGGTCAGGTTCACTGACTTGGTTGACACATGTCATCAGTTCCCAGTTGCGCAGATCGATGTTCATGCTGTTGATCACTGGGTTGTCTGGTCCAGACTCGATTATTTACAGACCGCTGCCATATAGCTGGAATATTGCTGAGTGCGGCGTAAAACTAAACTCACTCACTCACTCTTACTTGTACCAGGATCCACTGATGCATCATTATAGCTATGGGCTTCATCATAGTTGGTGTAGTCTATTATTAACATCAGTTTGGGTCTTCACACTTGTCATGATTGGGCTGAAATAATGTTCAAAGCAACTTAACTCACTTAATCACTACTTATCTGTGTTCCCCACTGATATGATGATAAAGACACTGTCATAGCCCCCAGTGGTAGCACAAGAACAGATGTGAGTCTTTGAGCCAGCCACAGTGATGGAGGAATAGTGACTGTAGCCTTAACTTGAGGTTCTTGTTTTCAGAGTTGAGAAGTCAGAGGTTTTATCCGAGGAATTCCAGAGTGTGGAGAAGAGAGTTGAAAATGTCAAGACTGTCTCGTCCACCATCAGCAAAAAGCTGTCTGCCACCCTCAAAGCCCAGCAAGGAGATGTGGAGAAGAGACTGGTAGGTCAACAGCTGTGCTCTCTATTATCAACACTATGTTAACAGGGAAGCAGCTCTGGGTTTTCAGTACTTGTTTGCACAATGATAACTTACAGGCAAAACAGTTGTAGTTACATAGGAAGATTGCTTCAGGCACTGGATGGAGACTTGTACTTTCCTTGTATGTACTTTTCATGTATCAGTGTTTGAATGTCAAGGATTCTTTGTCATTATCCTGATGTAAAACTAACAGATTGTTGAGCATGAATGATTTGGGTGTCCCTCAATAAAAATATAGCAGAGATCTTCAGGTAGGGTCCCCTCAGTATCTGACACTGTATGTGCATACCAACATACATACACGCCTTGGGGTTTGATTGGCTGGGTTCACTTTCCTCAGCCATGACTGATTGTTTCCCAAAATGTCCTGAAAATAGTTTATAGATTTATAAGGATATGGGAGAATGTCCAATGGTGTCCAATCAAAGATTGAAAGTTGAAAGAAAGTGAAAAAGGTCTGGTTTCATTTGCCTCAGACAAACATACGCTGCATGATGCATCTTCATTTCTGGCTGGTGAAAATGGCATTAGTTAGTGAGTACCAGCTGAGCATGGTTGATCCTGAGGACATACTATTGACCTTCGATGTGTGTGCTGCACTCAATGCAGGCTGTGTTTACTGAAGATTAAAGCATCATCACTTTTACTTCTCAAATGCTATAGGCCTCCGTGGTATAGTGGTTAGAGCGTCCGCCCGGAGAGCGGAAGGTCGCAGGTTCGATCCCCGACCGCGTCATACCAAGAGACGTTAAAATATGGTACTTGTTGGTCCCTGCCTGGCGCTCGACATTAATGGGTACACCAAGGACTGGTCGGCTCGGAGTCAGTATAATGTGTCTGAGTGGGCTATTCATGCTTCACTGCGGCATGGTATCTCGGTGGGCTAGCACTATAAAACCAGCTTAAGTCTGGGCTAGTACAAGCAGCCGCACATACACATACACACGCATGCACGTCGTCATATGAGCAAAATATTCTCAAACACGACGATAAACCCAATTTCACCTCACCTCACCTCAAATGCTATAGCATAATGACAGGTTAGGAAAAGTAAAACTTAATTCTCATGTATGCACATTTATTAAATGTTTATTCTTCTTTTTTCAGAAAAAGTTACCAGAAACGTCCTTGGGGTACAGTTTGATAGAGGCAGCTGGTATTCTGGGTACAGAGACTCTTCTGGGGTGAGTTACACACCACACACCCACCACACACCCCAACCCACCTTGGTAATGAACAATGTTTGCAGATACTGACACTGAAACCAGGAAGAGTTTCTTACAGATATGAAGTAATATGTCAGACATATCAACAAAAGGAAGGATTTCTGTACATAACCTTTACAATAATTCCTTATGATAAGTTTTAATATCTGGGCAACTTGAATATCATGTTCCTTATTGTTTGGTGACCTGCAGAAAACAATCAACACATTTTATTTGTAATCACTGACAAAAATATGTGTTCTCATTCAATTTGGCATATAAGAGTTGCCCCTTTGGGGATTCCAGATCAGAATAGGTCATTAGCACTCTGTATTGGTTGTAGTGCTGTTTTTAGCAATTTTCTAACAATATCATGGCAGGGGACATCAGAAATGAGCTTCACACTAGGGAATTGAACTTGGGTCCTCGTGTAACTGGCGAACACCACCACCCCATGTTGGTAATAAGAGATGTGGTGACTGCCTGATTGCCTGTCATCATACCCTGATGATGTGGATCTTTGTTGACACTTGAATGTCTCCTCCTGACTTGATTATATAAAGGCTGCCATGGTATGGTTAGAATATTGCAAGTATGGCATTAAACAAGAAACAAACACGTGTTCTCACTCAGTTAGTTATGGTTGAATGGTGGTCATATTCAGGAATTAAGTCAACAATAAGTAACACTGTAAGTTTTCTCTAAACTACATTGATATATGGAGGAAGTGTTTTTGACACTGTTACAGTTATGTGAGGAACGTCATGAGGTAAACCGAATATGAAATGTGTCTATGTCCTATACTGAGAATCCTGGTGACAAATCATCTTCAGTGCTGATGGAAGTAAATATGGCTAGACTTGGAAGCCTTACAGTTAGACAACATCCGATCTACAGGCTAGTTGAGGCCTATTTGAATGTGAACATTGTCAGAGCTGATTGAAGTAAATATGATTTGACCAGACTTTGGAGGCTTACTGTTAGACAACTTCCGATCTAGAAGCTTGTTGAGGTATTTTTGAATGTGGAACAACTCTGTCAACATTCCAGACTGAAACAGCGCCATCTGGAGTAAATATGAATGCAAATATGAACATAAATGTTCTCAAATAAAGGGATCTTGACAGGACAAGATTATGTTGGAGAGAATTCTAACACAGCTTTGTAGTGTATTTTTGTAACATAAATAAATAAGTGTATTTGTTTCTAGTGGAGTACAGCATTGTATTGAGACTCATAATACAATACATTGATTTACATCTCCTGTATCACAGTATATACGATTCATTACATTACAAGTTTCACTGATGTAAAAACATGTGAATAAATACACAAACTGTTCAAGAACTAATTTATGCAGATTCTCTACTAATTTCTGTTTTGCTATAGATAGCAGAAACTGCACAGTTCCCCCAAGCATATATATTCCTGTTTTGCTACATGAAATTTATAAACCACCTACACAAGGGAGAGAATGTAATCTATGAAATGTAGTGTATCGGGACACTAGTCGTATTTTTATTGTATTATGTTGCTGTCTCACTGTATTATACCCCTATTTGTTTCACTGTTATTGAGGCCATTATTATAACTCCAGTGGAGGTTCCAGGTTAGACTTGCTCCCCAGCAACCTATTCTAACTGTAAGAAGTGGCTTAATGACTGGGTGGTCACACACTGTGACTTTGTTGATTGCAGGTCATCGTGACCCCAGTGACATTGCTGATGATTACTCATAGCATCATTCAGTGGATATGTCTTGTAGATCCTTGATTATTTACAGGCTGACATCTCTTAGCTAGAATACTGCTGAATGTTGCCGTTACATTAACAAACGAAAACCATAATTTTATCTTCTTATCTGAAAGCAGTCTTTGAGTCATGTAATCTTCCATCATCATTGTCCATAGATTAAGTCTGGACAGGGTAAAACTGACCAACACCATGTGCAGTAACCTTTGCCAGTTGTACTAGTTTGATCAAATTATTTCTACGATTTTGTAAAAATGGATCATTGGGATCAAATAACCTAAGCTTCTTTTTTTTCAAGAATGGGTTTGATGTCAGTTTACTGTCACAGCCATTTTTTCTAAATGAATTTCAAACATGTTTCTTCCATACTTGTACACAAACTGTATCTAACACAAAATGAATCTCTTGGAGCAAACTGTGATATCAGGGATTCTCGTATCTCCATTGGTGTTATGAGAGATATCTGTTGTGGTTTCAGCCTGGTGTGTCAAATCTGTGGTGAGTGCCAGAGCAAGCTAGCCCGGGAACAACTTCAGTATGAGATCAACGTGGAGAAGGAGGTGCTCACACCCCTACTGTGTGTACAGGAGGTGAGTCGGCCTTCATGTGGTGCTGTAACAGTTCACCACTGGATCAGACCCATGAAGATTTGGGTTAGAATTGGTCTTCAGTTTCCCATGCTTGTCGTAAAACACGACTAACGGGATTGGGTGGTCAGGCTCGCTGACTTGGCTGACACATGTCATCGTATCCTAATTGCGTATATCGATGCTCATGATGTTGATCACTGGTTTCTATGGTCCAGACTTGATTATTTGCAGACCACCGCTTTGGGAATTGGACCCTGGTCATCAGCGGTCTGTAGATTTAAGTATTCTATCATGTAATATTACCTATGATATATTGTGGCTAAGTTTACTGGTACAGCCTGAGTTTACTTCATTCTTTTTTCAATTGTTGCCAGTATCCCAGAGAATACTTTGAATAAATTTTACCATACAACATTTTTAAGAACATTTCAACACGCATGTGGCAAATTGTTGGGCCATTTGTTGTGTTTGGGCTAAATATGCCATATGAGAGGCTTGGGGCTGCTGAGAGTGCTTTTTAATGCCCATTATGGGTAGAATTAACATTAGACTTAACATTACAACTTGAAGCTATGAATCCATTGTTATTGTTATTGTTGTTGTTTACCTGTTGTCGTGGAAACTCTGACAACAAACTGTGTTTGTGTAAGGATTGAGTGCACGCCAAGGGCTTTTTGTCCTTCAAGCTTTGAGCTTGCATAAGACCCAAGCATATAGAAGTTGTAACACCACACAAGTGCCTTTATTTGGCCATCTTTTCATCAATCGTTGTTCCTACACACACAAACAATCAGCAAACCCGATTGAGGACGTGTCAAGAGACGGTTCTTCATATAAAACATTTTTGTTCCTGACTATAAAGTTTGTCTTCTAAAATTTCAAAATATGGTGATAAAGTGGAAGTGGGATTTGTGTTTGAGATGTGACTGTTTAGTAATCACAGTAAACAACATTGGTTGTCAAGCAAGTAGTTTCACTGTGGTACACACTCTCCCCCAAACATTGCCGTTCACAGTAGGAACACAGGAGATTTTTATCCCAAGCCATTGTGTTTGTTGATTCAGATACTGTTGAGTGTATTTATGATTATTTTTTTTATTCAAACTGAAAAAGAGTATTGTAAATTCACATGGGTCAGTGAAGAGCGTCAGAGCATACAAGTAGTTTAGAAACCCAAATCTGAAAATAGTGAAAACTGGAGACAGTATTTGGCAAAACTGGTAGTTAAAAAGCTTTGTTGACATGATGCAGTCAATACATAGTAGGTGCCAAATGTAAAATCACAGTCAGACATGGCCACACATGTTTGCATGACACAGTAAAATATATATGTACTACTACTACTAATAATAAGTCATCTTCTATAGCGACAGTCTCCAAACACCAAGTGATTGATTCTTATTACCCCGGATAACCCAAGCTGCCTGTTAGGCTCTTGAAGGTTATAGTCACATGACTTTATCCAACCGGGTACCCATTTTCTGCTGGGTGAACAGAGGTAATTTGGAACAAACTCACTTGCCTAAGGTGAGACCACATGTATTACATGTGCTTCGTTGTGGGGCAGGACTGAAGTCCTAGAAACTCGCAGGAGTCAAGCTGCCAAACACGGTCACCCATCCAAGGACTGTCCGAGCTCGACGTTGCTTAACTTCAACTGATTCGTGACCTGAGCTATGTGCACAGGACCACACACCACCACAACTCTGTGTGTCTGGTGTATTTTTGTTCAAAAGAAAACATGAGAGTTGAGGGGAGTGTGTGATAAATGTGATGTTAAAAGTTATGGATTCTTGGGATCTCTAGATTCAAAAACAATGGCTGTATACCTTAAAGTTCTAACACTGAGTAAGGCCATACACAGCCCAAGAGTGCCACAGTCATGTATGTATACTACATGTGTACCGTGATACAGTAGTGTATCCACATCCATTGATTCTGCTACAGGCGGACATCCCTGCCATCAATAAGGTGCGAAAACAGCTGACAAAGTCCACGCTGGATATGGACTCCGCCAAAAACAGGTATTTGACTTTCAACACTCAGCATATCGACATTCAGGAAATGGCTAGATGTGTGCACTGATCAAATCATTGTTCAAATCAAGGTCTTGGTGACATTTCAGGTTTCTTGATTGAAGTAAATAGTATCTTTGGAATGGTAGGCCAGGTAAGTGTATCAGATGGAAGCACAATAAACACATGCATGACAGGGAAATTGGTTCAAGATCATTGATAACGTTGGCATAAGGGACCATATTGTAACCATGGTTACTATCTAGGAATGCACAGCTACAATATAGAAATAATTACTTCAGTCAAGGCTTCAACTAATCTTTAATTTTAGCTTTTTGAAAACATTTGCAAGTAAGCTATGTGATGTAATCTGTTTGTTATCAAGTCCATAGACTAAACCAGGAATTGATCTGGGAAAAATGTCCATGCTAATAGTGTTGACACGATATTAACCAAAACACAAAGCATGTACACCCAATCCATTTAGTCACCTCTTACAATAACCATAGGTTTGACAACATGGTGTTTAAATGTTTTATAGTAAACTATGTTTATAAAGAACACTCTCATAACAAACTAACAGATACATGTGTATGATGACCATTTTTTGGTCACATCCATGTGTTGTAATTTTAGTCGAAATGTGTGTCATGAACTATGGTTATAACAAACTAAACTTCATGTTCCATATGTGTTTGTTAGTGTGTCTGTGTTACATTTATGTAATATATACGTTGCCTCCCATCCAGGCTGAATGCTGCTGTGCGGCAGTCTCACGTTCCAGGGACAAACATCTCCTCAGCAGCAGCGAAGGCAGACACAATTAAGGATGAGTACGAAGATGCCACGAACAAAGTGGAGCAGGTTAAGGTGAGAGTGAGAAACAGTGGTTTACACATCGCCATTTTCAGTGGAAAGAGACTGTCAAACTTTAAAATGGTGCTGAAGAAAGAGAACAGCACAGGAGAATGCAAGATTTCTTTCTGTTCATAGCCAAAATAGTTTAATTAAGAAATCAAGTTTGAGTGAAACCTTTCTATGTGTTTCAAAACTTATAGGTGACAGTATTACATTACATTGTTGACTCTGAGAGGCTGCAAAGTTAAAAGAAGAACTTATATTTGGAAATTGGTGCTTGACAGTGCATGAAGAGTTACCTCCCTTGTAATTGTCAGCTGAGTCACACAGTATGAAATACACAAGACATCTGGTGTCTGGCTTTGTGTGCTGGCGATCAGGTGCCTGACTCTGAGGGTATGGGTTCGAATTCCGGATGGGACTCAACCCAATAAGTACTAGAATCTGTAATTTACTAGAAAGTGTAATCCCAAATATAACATATGTTGAGTCACACAGGACTATATATCCCTCTCGAGATACAAGGACTTGAAACCCTAAATAAGATCAGGTCAGTTAGGAGTAAACAGGCAGGTTAAGAGTTGAAAGATACATTATTCTCTTAGCAAACATAGAAATATGTAGATATATGTTTTATCTCCAAAATATCCTTGAAATGAATATTTAAGTTCTCCCTTTCAGGCATTTTGGATCAAAGTAAGGTTGAGAAAAGTTCCCACTGAATGCACATGTTATAAAGGAAGTTCAAAGTAGAACTCATTTCAATGAAATCATTTTACTGTGTAGAGAAACTCTTTTAGACTTTAGTTGTTTACTACTTTCAAAAGCGTACAGTCTAAGTAAACTTAGGCTCAGTATTATTCGTTACACTGCTATACTGAGTCTAACAAACCCTACTAGAAGGTCGTGTCAGCTAACCTTTGAGAGACCTATGACTGTCCAATCACACCCGAGATGGCCGACCGGATTTAACCAATCAGACGACTACTTGTTAGGGTTCAGCGGGACTTACAAAAAAAGTTTTGGGATTTCTCTTCCCCAGTCGCAGACACTGGTCTCTCAACAAGCGAAAATCCGCATAAAACACAAATATTTGACCTGTAGTATATATGCTTAGGGGTCTCTGATGACATAGTTACTATTAGCTTATATTTCCGCAAGATGACATCCTGGAATATCGACAAAGACGCTGTTTTCGCGAGTCTTTACTCATTGTTGTGAATAATGTCGTCCTCCATGTGTATCAAACGGAAGCGATCGTGCGTAAAATAGCATTCGGAATCATTCAAGTTTTTTAGGTAAAGGTTCAAACGGTATGGTGAATGTTAACTTTCGCGATTTGTTAAGCTGATTGGTCAGTCCAAAAGGTTAGCTGACGCGACTTTCTACTCAGGTTTGTTAGACTCAGTATAGCAGTGTAACGAATAATACTGAGCCTAAGTTTACTTAGACTGGAAAGCGTAATATTGCAAATGGTCTCAAATGAAATCCAAATGAAACATAAAATTATCTGAGTGGATTTCATTTTTTTTCCAAGTAGCATTTGATTTGATAACTCAATTCATATTTAAAGGCAATGAATTCTTATGAGTTTGCCATGCTTCCTCATAACTCAGCCTTAATCAAATCATGGACTTCTCGAGATACATGTATGAACCTTTCATGGACTAAATCTCAAACACTTAAAAATACCTCTTTGTGATGTTTTCTTCAAGTTGAATGAATGTTTACACTGTTTGTCACTGTTACTTCCAGGATGGCCTTGCTATTGAGTTGTCCAACTTTGTTGCCAAGGAAACCGAGCACAGTACAAGACTACTAGAAGTAAGTCTCTGGTGAAGTAAGCAATATGTAATAAAGAAAAGTAGCTTTACAAATTTACATTTTTCGAGGTTTTCTTAGTGCATTTTAACAATAGTTTTCTTTTCTTCTTAGCTTTTACAATCACAAGCAGAGTATCATAAAAAGGCTCTGGAATTCATTGAAGAAGTCATCCCAAAAATGAAAACATCAATAGGTGAGTAGCTGATCAGTCTGTTTAATCTGATCATTGCTAATTGACTTTATCCTGAAGAGCCTTGTCTATCAGTCTGATTGCCAGCACATAAACTTCATCAACACTTATCAAATGCATGTGACAGTGCATAGGTTTTTGTAACATAATCAACAGCAACTGTCTTATAGCCATTCTGACAGTTGCTGAGTAAATATCAAGTTGTTTATACTCTTATAAAATCAACAGTTTCTCGAAGTTGATGCTTTGATAATCATGGACAGCATCTTTGATAATTCTTCCTGAAAACATCATGGCCATTATATTTTATGGAACAGACTTTGCAGCAAAATGATTTTGTCCAGATTTCAAAGACAGTACTCGCTGGGACTCAATTGTGACAAATCTTGCTCTGTGACTGTACCATACCATACCATGGCAACAGTTTTTCATGCTGTAGCGAATGAACTGTAAAACTAAATAAGTGCTGTTTGTTTTTAGAAAACTACCCCAACAAGCCAGTGTATGGAACGTCTCTGGTGGAGCACCTGCGTGTGACGGGGAGAGACATTGCTCTGGTGTTCGAGGCCTGTATTGTCACACTACTGGAGACAGGCATGGAAGAGGAGGTGAGGTTGTCACTGGTATAGGGAATGTCATAGTGATTTGGTGCAGCTTGGTTTGCCTTCCCCAAATTGCCCAAGTTTCAGAGAACCAGACAGGTGACAGTGTCAAACCGTGATTTGCCCAGTGATGTAGCTGGAATATTAACCACTGTGGTTTCACTGTTATCATCCCTAGCTGTCATCTGTAACTGTTGGGACTATCTTAGCTCTGTTTAGACAGTTATCCTGTAAGACAGGCTCAGTGATTTGTTACAGTTTAAGAAACTTTGATTCTTTCTCGTCATGAACACTAGACTTTTTTCCTTGTATGTACAAGCTGTCTAAAGTTTAATTGACAGGGAGATGAGCCTTTTGGGTAGTGGCTCATATCGAAGACTGTGTTACAGTTAACATCTGAGACCATTTTGCTTTTGTTTTAGACAATTAGACAAGTTAAATGTTACAGAATCCTTAAAAGATAATTTAATTTGTGTCAGTTTTATGATCATGGCTCTTTCATTCATGAAATGATCTTGACCCTGCTTTTTGAAACATTGACCTAAGTTGTACTGTTTCATTTCAGGGTTTATTTAGAATAGCAGGTGCTGCAATTAAACTTAAAAAATTAAAGGTGAGTACAACAATCTGTTGTTTGTAGTTTCAAATTGTAGTTCTGTCCATTTTTGTTGAACCGTTGGTTTTGATCTCTAGGCATGAAATAGGTAGACAGTTACTAACTGCTGTGTAAAATACCCAAAATAAAATTGAACAATAAATCACAGCTTTTGTCATTTTATAAAATGTATATAGATTTATGAACATAGATATGACAATTGCATGCTGTAGAATAATCGCAACTACATGTATGGTGTAAGAAAAGCTCATCAACATGCATGCACCATGAAACTGTCTCCTGTGCAATGCATGCACTGACTGTACTGATTGTTGTTGCAGGCTGTGTTTGATGCACATCTCATTGACATGGAGGAATTTGTTACAGAACCACACGTCATAGCAGGTAAATACATTTACTGGTTTCAGTGTCCAACGTTCCAACATCATTCATGTATTTAAATTCAGGATACTGTTGCTAAGAAACATATTAAGATGATTTAAACATTGTGTTTATACACATGAACCTTCAGTTGAAAATAAGCTTTTAGTCCACAACAATAATGGCTGCCAAATATAGATATATGATGTTGGATGGTTATCTGTGTGTAGTTGGAATTCCAGTCAAAAGAATTCTCCAACAGTTAAGTCAGGATTCGGGCGGGTAGGGTAGCCTAGTGGTGAAAGTGTCCACCTGTCACTCTTAAGGCTCTGGTTTGATTCCCGAAGTGGGCACAATTTGTGAAGCACATTCCTGGTGTCTGCTGCTGTGATATTGCTGAAATATTGCTGACAAAAAATGCATAGAACGCAGCCCACATACTCACTCTGCCAGTCAGGATCAGATGGACACAGTGTGTGTATCTTTGCAATCCAGTTGATGGATCATTGCTTGTATGATCAACCGCTGGCCTGCCTGGAATGAAAGGCTTGGTGCTAAAGGTGGAATATTGATGAAAACATCCACTCAATCACTGTAGGAGTTGAGACATTTCATGTGAGATATGACAGTCTTTGGTGTATTTGTTATATTTGTTATATTCCATGTGTTACACAGGAGCATTGAAGCAGTACATGAGAGAACTTCCAGAACCACTTCTCACCTACTCTCTGTATCAAGACTTCATGCAGGCAGCAACATTGTGAGTTATCTCCCTTCTGTTACAGAGATCATGTGCATGATGTCATTTGTAAATGTTCAGGAGTCACTGTACATTATTGTTCCATATCTGTGTGTACATGTTGCCCAATCATAACAAGACTGAGTAAAGCAATTTCTGTGTTTCCAGGCCACATGAACAAAGATTACAAGCTCTCTGGACTGTGGTGTCAAAACTGCCAAAACCAAATTATGACAACTTCAGGTAAGTTAGTATGATTTGTTTGTTGTTGAACATCGCACACAGCAATACTGTCAGTATTGGTGGTCTGTAAGTAATGACATGCATTAACCAAGTAAGTGATTCTGGCCACCTGGCTAGCTATTCTTGAAACGTTCGTAGCCCTACGAACTTCTTAAGCCCATTCTTAACACATTGGCTAAGATCAAAGTTACGAATTCTTAGGGCTACGAACTTTTCGAGAATAAGGGCCCTGATCTGTTTGTTGTCCATTATGACAAGCATGAGAGGCTTCAGGCCAGTTTTATAGTGGACCTTTGTAATGTATGATGAAGCAGAGTGATGTACACAGGAATAATATACAAAATACTGTAAAGAATAGAAACGATGCACCTTAGCTTTATGGATGCCCAGTAAACAGTAATGGATTAGGAAGTCTCATGCTTTAGACAGACCTGTATCAATGTATGTTGCCTACAGTAAACACTGTCAAGGATTTGTACAGGTTTATGTCTGTTATCTCTGATCCAGTGTTGTTGTCCTGCAGGTATTTGGTGAAATTTCTGGCCAAGTTGGCAGAGAGGAGTGACGTGAACAAGATGACTCCAAGTAACATTGCAATTGTGATAGGCCCCAACCTTTTGTGGTCGCAAGGGGAGAGTGCGTAAGTACTTACTACAAGCTATCATATATCTTTGCTGAATATGGGTCTGACAAATGTCTTTATTACTGCTCAGACATGCATCCCTTTTCTTCTCTGAAATCACATGATTTGGTTTAGTTGTCCCCCGCCGCAACGCGGAACGGGGGACTATGTTTTCAGAGGCGTCCGTACGTATGTACGTCCCGATTCTTGTTAACACGATATCTCATGAAATGTTGTACCCAATGTCTTCAAATTTGGTGACAGCCTACATTGGGTGATTACGCAGACACCAGTCGAATTGGGTGACCTTGACCATATTTTCAAGGTCACCACGACACTGACCACTTTTCAAACTCTTGTTAACGTGATATCTCATGCACTGTTGTACCCAATGTCTTCAAATTTGGTGACAGCCTACATTGGGGGATTACGCAGACACCAGTTGATTTTGGTGACCTTGACCTTATCAGAGCTCCAGATAAGATTTAGCTCATGTGGGTACTGTACCCACGGTATTGTTTTGGAGTGGGTATTATGAATGTTGAGTGGGTATTTCATTTTCTGTTACCCACTGCTTTCAAACGTGCGTATTTCAGTCATTTTACTCACCTAAGTATTATGTGACTGAGTAAGTTTACTAAGCAGGTATGTTCTGCCTTATGACTATGTCATACCTAATCAAAACCAGCTTAAATGTAATGGAAATGAGTTCATAAAAATTCCCTCATCCTAAATGGACAGTACAGCACTTGTCCTATACTAACAGTACAACTTGATAGCAATCGATGTCTTTTTCATTACGCAAGCAATTTTTATAAATATATTCCGTACGCATTTGTTTTAAACTTTTTTCGTATCGAACATTTTAAATGCGTAAATGGTACGCAACAATTATTTTTCAATGCGTAATTGAAAATTGTCTATGCGTATTTTACCCGGATACGCAGCTTATCTGGGCCTCTGCTTATCTTCCGAGGTCACCACGACACTTTGCACGCTTTTAACTCTTTGTTAACGCGATATTTCATGGACTGTTGTACCCAATGTCTTCAAATTTGGTGACAGCCTACATTGGGGGATTACGCAGACACCAGTTGATTTTGGGTGACCTTGCCCTTATCTTCAAGGTCACCACGACACTTTTCACACTTTTAACTCTTGTTAACGCGATATCTCATGCACTGTTGTACCCAATGTCTTCAAATTTGGTGACAGTTTACATTGGGGTATTACACAGACACCAGTTTATTTGGGTGACCTTGACCTTATCTTCAAGGTCACCACGATACAATGACCGCTTTTTAAAGGCGAGATCTCATAAAACATTGCACCCAATGTTTTCAAGTATGTTGACAGCCTACATTGGGTGATTATGCAGACACCAGTCATTTCAGGCATCTTGTATGTGACCCAAAAATAAAAAGTAGTAAATATAGATATTCCATTCTTTAGCGGCGGGGGACATTGCCATATCAGTGGCAAACACTTGTTTTGTATTAAAGGCATGAGCTGTCTTAGTTACTTCAATACACTGAGCAGAGCTGTACCCCTTATTACCATTAGGCTATATCTCGAGATTCACACTAATTATTTCAATTCCCTTCCTCACTGGAGGGGCGGTGGGGTAGCCTAATGGTTAAAGCGTTGGCTTGTCATGCCGAAGACCCGGGTTCGAATCCCCACATGGGCACAATGTGTGAAGCCCATTTCTGGTGTCCCCAGCCGTGATTTTGCTGGAATACTGCTAAAAAGCGGCGTAAAACCAAACTCAGTCAGTCAGTCCTCACTGGATAGCCATGGCCACTTGGAAATTATCAACCAGACAGACAAATATAATAGAAACCAATCCTAACCATATTAGATTTTGAAATGTTTTTGTATGCTGTGACTTTCAGCCCCAACATGCTGACAACAGGGACGCTGAGTTCTATAATAGAGGCGTTTGTGATGCATTCAGACTACTTCTTCCCTGGAGGTATGATATATGGTGAACTTCTCAGTGTTTTATAGTATTTACATTATGAGTCGTATGTCTTTGTTTGATCTGCCATCATTATAGCTGATAGATGTATAGAGAGGTGCGTATTGTCTCTTTATAATCTTCTCTCTGTTTCTCCAGTCTGCGCAGATTTCTTCAGCACTATATTGTCCGTGGTGTTGTCTTTGGTGGAAATATTAGTTAACTAGCAATTGAAGATGCAAGTCTGTCTTTATCCCTGATATAGTATATTCAGGTCTCTGCTGTATACCTAACATCTGAAATGGTGAGATTAGGAAACTTGTATGATATTAATTATTCTGTATATAATTGTCTTTAACCCTTTCTAATGTACAGCAAGATTTGATTGGTGTATATTCTTTTAAATGCACATTTATTCTAGTTTTAAAAAGCAGTGAAAATGAGCTGAGGAAAGTTTTTAATTTCCTTCTTGCTGTGGCACAGATCTTGACTTTCATTTGACCAGTCGCGGGAGCCAGCCATCACATATGAAACTGCAAAGTGGAATTGACGTAGGTGCTTACCCAAAACTGAACGTTGTAGCACCAGCTAGTGTTTCTCAGAGTGAGGCCATGACCTCCACCGCTGTGGCCAACCATTCGGAAGGCAAGACACTTCTCCAGCTGACTGAAACATGTGCCACAATGTCACAGGACAAGTCAGAGAGTGCCCATCATAGTGTGGAGGGTGATGGCGCCAATGTGGCTGCCAGGCTTAGCCAAGGTGACAGGACTCTTGCATCTAAAGGTCGCATTAACAGCTCGTCTACACTCACCACTACTAACCCCCTTCTAGACTCTAACCAGTCTGATGTACTGTACAACGCACGTTCGAGCTCTGTTCCACCTACGCCTGTGACTAAGAGCTTTCATTCAGATGTATACAGCACCGTGTTTGCACTCCAGTCTCTTGGCGACGGAGCATGGAATGATTATCTTACTAAAGTGCGTGCAATGTGGGATGGGCAGTATACACAGCATCCAGCAGCCCCTCGACCGACTGACCTTGCAGGAGCCAGCAGTGGGGTCGCAGGAGGTCAACCAAGCCACAGAGGTCAAGGTCAGAACATATTAGACATAAGTATGTCTTTAGGACACCTTTCAGAACCAGAGAGCAGTTAGCAGTTGCACTAACTCAGCCTACTGGTCTTCCACCACCATGATGACACTCCAACTAACCAATGAGATTTCTCGTAGGAAGTCACATGTACCCTCTGATCACTGTCGTAGCTACTGATTGGTGTAAGACTCTGCCTGCTTCCCCTCTGTTTGCTTCACACATGGTCGCTCGGTTCTCTCTGCTTTGGGGCAACGTTTCCAGCTTTCCATCTCTCCGTAACTGGCAACTGCATGTGCCAACTGACTGCTGTGACTGCCCATCTGCCCTCACAAGTCTGGACCAATCAAATCGCATGTCAGCTTCCCTGGTTGAGGGCGCCACTTTGACACTAGAAGCATGGGAGTTGGGACTTCATGCATGGAGAGATCGTCTCTGTACTTGCAGAAATAAAGTCTTCAGTTTCTTTAGTTATGTTTTTTATTACATAATAATCATTTTACTTTCTTTTTTATTCATATTGGACATTCTTTAGGTTAGAGGATTGATGTGATTTTGGATGCATCTTGGAGACTAATAAATCGGTATCTACAGAAGTATGGAAGTAGTATTTTTATTTGAAATGTAACATTCTTTCCCTCAGTTCATATTTTATTTGACATTTCTAATTTGATGGTTGGGGAACAAATCGTGCATTATATTTTTCTATTGTCATTAATGAATCATAAATTTAAAACTTTAACAATGTTTGACTGTAGCATTTAGGTTTGAATGATACGTCAGCATTGACTCACAGAAGTCTTGGTACTTTGAAAACATTAAGTATAGAAGCACTCAAGCTGAGCTTCAGCTGAGACATGTATTCATATCACTATTATTACTTTGATAGGTTTGAATGACAGGCCACCTCCACCACAGAGTTTCATACAAGGTTACAAATAACATTATATTTGTTTATTTCAATTTAGACCATTTTAAAGATTTTTTTCTTTCTCTTTTATTTTATATCTTAGAAATTTTATAATGGTATTTTACACCATAGATTGCAATTGCCAGTACTTCACTAATTCCTTTTTCACTAATCCAGACTTACAAAGTGGATGAGCATAACACAGATCTATTTCTGGTGATGGATGTGGTGTTTCATGAGTTATCCCCCCTGAATTAGCCCAGGAACTCTTTGCCTCCCTTCCTGACAATATAACTATTGTTGAAGATGGTCCACTGTGATTGGCTGAACCAAGTTCAGAAAATCATTGGTCATAGTCCCCAGCCTTTCTACTGAGTTGGTGAAAATATAATGGTTTGTCATACCAGTACATCGGTTTTGACATGTCAAGAGACACAGCCATGTTAAATCCTGGCTCTCCTGTATTCCTTCCGACTGTTGCCTTCACTGCACATCTCCTATGACAATGATACTGTGTATACACATACACATTTCTGCTTTCCTTATGCTGTTAATTGATAGATGTCTGAGTCATCTATGTATTAAGCTCTTGTTCTAGACAGAGTTGCCTTACATAGCTATTGACCTATACATGTAATATTCACAAGTGATGTGTGTACTCACTTGCTATCAGTTACTTAACATAATGTCGTGCTTCTACTCCAGCCTGTTCTGTGATTGTTACCAACCTGCTTTTCCTCAATTCCAGCTTTTTATCAGTTATACAAACTCATCTGCTTGCAAATCTTTTTAGATTTTTTATCTCATATGTAGTTAGTCATGGACATGTTACTTACCCTTGGACAAACACTGGCTCTACACATAACACTTGCCTGATTTAGGTTGTGTTTTACACTTTATTTCCTTTTTCAGTATGGTGGATTGTGTCGGATTTCAGTTGCTTCTGCTTGTCATTCATTTCTAATCTACTAGAAGACAGGGATCCACTCAATGCCAGTGGAGAGTGTGATGGCTGTAATTGTGTAGGATGTCATCACAAGGTTGAATTCAGAGATTGCCGAGGATGATCTTGTAATAATTTTGCCTTCAGTTGCAACTGTCATTTATTAAAACTGGATCCCCCGTATGAATAAATTCTGATCTTTTATCCAGAACTGACACCTCTAGAAGACCATAGGCCAGTGGGTAACCTTGTGGTTAAAGCAATCAAGTCATTCCTAATGACCATGTTTGATTCCCCAGCACATACATTTATGGTGTCTGCTGCCTTGATAGTGCTGGAAAATCGTTTAAGAGTCGTAAAAGCATACTCTCTCACTTCAGAGATGGTCACAAAGTATATAGTCAGTCAGTCGGTCAGTGTGGACATTTTTTAATACTCAGTAGTCTAGTAAGCATTGTCTGACATTAATGCCTTTGAGCTGTGGTTTCATTGGTCCTACACCAAGCTTTTGTTAAGCTGCCCATAGAGATCTGAGTTTCGGAATATGTTCAGTATCAATTGTTTGAATCCTGAAAGATGTGGCACATTGCGATCAAACAATTAAAAGCATAAATACTTTTGGTTTCACTTTGTAATAAATTGCTGTTGACAACTATATCCTATTCCTGGTATTGTCTTGTATACAGCCTCATTCAAAACTGATAGAATATGCTACCAATATGCAGGGCTCCAGATAATTTTTCAACATCAGGACTACGTACTCCTTATTTTTTCAATATAGGAGTACTGGAAAACCTTAGAGTACAGAATGGAATTTAATGGAGTATCAATATTCTTGTGTTTCATTTCATATATGTACCACAACATTTACGTTAATAAACAGTAAAACAATACTTTTTCGGATAAATACGTCTGTAAATGATTCTAAGACCGTACACCATTGCTGTGGTGGATCTGCTACATTTTCTAAATTATTTCCTACCGTATCGTGCATATTTTTTATCCGTATATAAGCCGTTATCTGGAGCCCTGAATATGTCAGTATGTATTGTAAAGGTGCTCTTGCAGTCCTTCATTCTAAAGAGAAGGGCATCAAACTTGAATCTTTCCACCTTTCCACTGGCATTGTGGTTCACCTAGTTTTAGTGTTGAGTCTCACACAATCAGTTTCCTTGACAACAGTATTCATCACCATGTAATGGTATCTATGTCATGTCAAAACTTCAGTGTTTTTTAAGATAAAACAATTCATTCTGAGATTTAGTTACAACAAAATGTATTCGATAGACAGTGATTTTCATCAATCACTTATTTACAATGTGATCGAAATCATATATATCCATGAAAATTTGAATATCTGATGATCATCATTTCTTTTTAGTGCTAAATTGGACACAAACAATTTTCTCAGTCAATGGTCCTGATCCACCAACATTGTTACCCCTAGAGCTACCTTAACTTTGTAGTTTAATTAGGACTTACAACTGCTGTTACACTTTCAATGTTTTGTGGATCGAGCCATGTGGCATATTTTCCTGAGTGTGTTCATCAACTGTATTTCATCATGTTTTTGCATTGTGCTTTTACAGTAGTATGTTGAATGTGTTTTTTATTAAGGCTTTATTTTCAGATGTTTTGATTTTGATGTTTTTGCTTGTCATATGTATAGTGGTCTTTAATCCACATAATGCTATCACAAAATCTTAGAAAATTATGATGAGTAAAATCCCAGTTGAAATTTTTTTTTTTTTCGGTGATTCGGTTTTGCGTTATATGGAAGACCAGGTTTATTAGTGCTGCCGTAAAACAGACTGTTGTCATCAATGCATGATTATTGTGTCATGCCATTGACAAGCATTACACCTTGGCACAAACACTGTGTGATAATTAGTGATATACACCCTCAGCACATCTTGATATTGGCATTATGATGTGATATAGACCTGTATCACGTTTGATGTAGTGGCTCAAATCATTATTATTATGGGATAATGTGCCGATGCTGACATTGGATCACACATGTTCAAGTATTAGCTGTGAATGCAAGACCTTCCACTCTTGTAGTCTGTTGTAGGATAATGGTGGTATCAACATTGTCATGTGATAGTGCCTGACACCCATAAAGCCATACAGTTTTTTAGACAGTATACATATTGTTGGTGAATTATCCTGGGTTTTTGGTGGTGGGTGAAGGAGAAAGAGATAAAAACAAGTCACTTCTGGTTTCTGTTGTTATCTGGAGTGGTGGGATAGCCTAATGGTTGAAGCGTCTGCTCATCACCCTGGAGACCTGTGTTCGAATCCCCACATGGGTACATTGTGTGAAGCCCATTTCTGGTGTCCCCTGCTGTGATATTGCTGGAATATTGCTAATGGCAGCTTAAAACAAAACTCACTCACTCGCTGTTAATGTTATCTGAATATTGAAGCCTTGTGAGTGGTGTTATTTGAGTTTGTCTGGGCTTGCAGTTTGTACACACAATATCCTGTTTCACTTGCATAATGTTGATACCAGCATTGCTGTGTAGGATTGTGTCGGCACAAGGCTGTACACAGTAGTAGTCTGTAGTGTGATCAATGTCAGTGTCATATGATGTGGACTCTTGTTACACTTGTACATAGCAGTGTATGCCTCCATCACACAACCTTGTGTGTATATGTTGTACTGTCAGCTATGTCCTAGTTTGTTTAGTGTACACTTTTGCATCTTGACAGTTGGACCCCTTTTCTTTCCTGATTTTACTTTTACCCTCATCCATGCTGTGATCCCCATCGCCATTTTTCTGGATCCATATATGAGTTCAAATCCATCATAATCAGATCTTTCTTTTATGTTAGAGACCTTATCCCTGAACTAAATGTCTTCAATTCAAGATATTTCTGGACAAGACTTTCTCCTAATATTCTGAAGATTGATCTCTAATGTATATGTGAATATTTCTAACAAAGCATCATCTTTCCTGATTTGTATTACTGTATGACTAAAGTAAGCCAGCCATGATGTGACCCATGCTTCCTGTATGTGTTTGAGAAGTAATAGACCCTGTTGACTGTTCAAGATGCATGGGTGGTGAGTGTGAGTACCTGCCTCAGCCTCCCACCACCCTTAACCTCCAATGCTTGTGTGTTGCTTTTCCAGAACTAGACTTTACCAATACGGGAGGTCTTCCTCTACAAGCGACAAGCCCCCAGCAACGATTTGGCAATGCAGTAGCTCCCTCTGCTGGTCCTCCTTCCCCAGGTTGTCAAGGGGAGACAACCCAGCTACTCCCATCACCTACTACAGTTCCTCAGGGGCCATCTCTGTTAGGGGGAAGTTCCCCCCCAGGCGGGGCTAACGGAAGCAACACGAGTTCTACCAGTAGTCTGACTGCCACCTCTGCAGAGAGGTACTACAACGTGTAGTGTTAGATACATACTGTCAAAACAAACTTCAATTTTAGAAACATTTGCAAACTGCCCCCAAAGTTTTGATTTCATAATGATTTGAAAGAAAAAGGAGCAAATTGGGAGAGATTCTATATTTCAGTTTTATTGATTACTAATTGGTGTGAATTTCTTTTGGTATAATAATGTATTTAACAACACTACCTCTTTCATGAGTTGTATCAGCATGCGGTACTTGCGTTTGTTCTGCCACCGAGGTGGCTATTGCCTGTTGTCTGCTCTACTTGTTTGACTTGAACCATGTTTGATCCCACCCTCCAAACACATGCTTGCTAGCTTTGCTATATTTCTCTTACTTTCACAAAGCTTGACACAGCAGGACACTGTTTCTCAAGTTATGTATGAAATAATACAGATGATGTGTGGCAACCAAAGTGTTACAAGGGTGTACAGGGCAGTGAATCACTGACAGCCCACACACTGCTCCTGCAGAAACACTACACACAATAAAGCCTATGTAACCCACACACTACACCTGTGATAACCCAAACACTACACCTGTGATAACTCACACACCACACCTGGGATAACCCACACACTACACAGTGTAATGCCTGTGATAACCCACATACCACACCAGGGATAACCCACACACCACACCAGGGATAACCCACACACACCAGGGATAACCCACACACCACACCAGGGATAACACCACACCCACACCAGGGATAACACACACTACACTGGGTTAACACAGAACACCTGGGATAACCCACACACCACACCAGGGATACCACACAATAACACTACACGGGAATGCCCACACACCACACCTGGAATAACCACACACCACACCTGTGATAACCCACACACTACACTAGGGGGAAACCCACACACCACACCTGGAATAACCATCACGCCACACAAGGGATAACCCACACACCACACCTGGGATAACCCAGACACTACACCTGGGATAACCCACACACCACACTTGGGATAACCCAGACACTACACTAAGGGGAAACCCACACACTACACCCGGGGAAGCACACACACTACACATGGGATAACCTACACACCACATTTGGGATAACCCACACACTACAGCTGGGATAACACATGCACTGGTTAAACCTGCTCACTACAGAAACCTGCTCACTACACCTGGGATAACCCACACACCACACCTGGGATAACCCACACACTACACCTGGGATAACCCACATGCTACACCTGGGATAACACATGCACTACAGGTGGGATAACACATGCACTACACTTGGTTAAACCTGCTCACTACACCTGGGATAACCCACACACCACACCTGGGATAACCCACACACTACACCTGGGATAACACATGCACTACACCTGGCGAAACCTGCACACTACACCTGAGATAACCCACACTACACCAAGGAAATCCATCCAGTTCATCAGGGGTAACCCACTCACTATACTAGGGGTAACTCTTCCAATTCACCATTGTTAAACCATGTACTACACCAAGGATAATTCATCCAATTCACCAGGGATAACCCACAAATTGCTCCAGGAATAATCCACACACTACACCAGCGGTGCCTCATCTTGGATTTATATGGACCAGAATTTAATGGATGCAGGTGTTATGCTTGTCAAAAGCTTTTGGAAAAAGGAAAAGGATTGTAACAAGTAGCATTTGTTGACTTTTTCGCAAGTCATGAATGAACACTCAATAACTAGTATGCATAATATAATAGTTATGAAAATTGTTATCCACTGTTATGACTATGAAATCTAGGCACACTTTCTGATTGGATGCTGGTATTTGCCTTCACTGTTCACTATGCATGTGTATCACACGGTTTCATTTGCAGCCCGGAACTCGGAACCAGCCCCAAGGTTCAACGTCGAGTCAGCCGGAAGCCAGCCCCGCCCCCTCCATATGCCGTGGCCGTGACCGCCACATACAACAATCGCAACAGTCAGTCACAGACACAGTCACAAACATGGCCTAGAAATGCCCCCTTGGCTTCACCCGAGTCACCCTCAGAGTCAGACAAAGAAGACAATGAAAGAGTCCGACCCTGTCCCCCAGAGAAACCCCCACCCCTCATCAGCTCCACCCCCACCCTGAACGTCCAACTGGACCACCCCCAGACCGGCCAGCAGGACCCCCTCCAGAGAGACCCAAAGCTCCACCTCCAGTTGTCCCCCCTGGCCATCAGAGGTCAGCATCGACTGGCGCCATGTTTACAGTAGTTGGTATGCCAGGCGCAGCCAATGGACAAGGGACAGGTACATTGTTTTCATCTCAGGAAAGCCTAGAGAAGGATTCAGGGTCGACACTAACTGAGCAGGGCACCACCCCGCTTCTTTCACCTTCGTCTGATAAGCATGTTACTTCCAACAGCCATATCAAGTCGGGCTCCTCGCAAAATATGCGAGTGACACGCCCCACTCCTCCTCCTCCTCCCCCGCCAATCAACAAGGTTACCGAGGAAACGCATCTGTGATTGGCCAGTGACTAACTATTTGCTATTTTAATTCAGTTATTTGCATGCTGTTTGGGTAAACGTCTATCTGCTACGGCGGGCTATTTGTGATCAGAACAACTTACACCATCCCTCATCTCTCTCTCCATCTCTCTCTCTGCTACAAGGTATCATTTCACTTCTACTAGACATTTCAGAGTATGCGTGAATGATGTCACGATGATGAATCACTAGTGCTAGCTAAAACTACGCAGTTCGTCACTTTCTTGATGCCCCAGATGTTATCTCCCCATAATGCAGCTTGGCAGCTTTATGTCAGTGTATGGCTTCTTTGGTTAGATTGGGAATTTATATGGAGATAAGATCCTTGTCGAAATGTTTAATGTGACATCTCTTACACAAACTACTGAAAGGTTTCTAGCTTTGCTCAAGCAGCTTTTCCAAAAGCAGACTTTACAGGTGTCAAATACTAGTTAACATACCTCACAGCCAAACATCACAATTACAACTATCATCACATCAATAGAGACCAACGTATAAACTGTGGACATTTTCATTTGTCTTTCTCATTGCTCATGACTGATACTGGATGTTACAAATTGTTATCTCTGTGTTGTAAGTGTAGTTCGTAATTGTACGATATCCCTGGGACTTTGCTATTTATGGTGTGCAATTTTAAATGAACAATCTTTTCGTGATATTTATATGTATGATTTGTATATTTTTGAGTAAGATTAGTTTGTCAGTATTACATCATAAGAAGTTTCTGTTATCAAGACACCTTGCTGAGTACACGTCCTGGAACCTAAACACGACATAATTCAGGTTCAGAGTTACTATTACGAGTTATTGGTGCTTTATTAAAGGCTTCAGCTGTCATTCCTGCCTGGTAAATTATGAAGTAAAAATACCTGTATAAAATGCATTTCATGGTGCTATTGTGCAAGCAAGGGTATTCATTATATTAACACAGTTTCATGCTGCACGTAAATGGTACATGTGTGTGAAACATGGATTTCATGGAAGGTTTTGTTTTCTGTTGTCTAGAAGAAACACCCCAGGACCAGTGTTGACTGGTAGGCATGCAAGGTTGTGTCAGTATACAGATCTATAATCACATCTATGTATACATATGTATCATACACTAGCATTGTAAATAGCTTGTGTATACTGCTAAGCAGGGCTTACTGTACACTTTTAGAACTGATATTGTAAATATTTCTGCACTAGCAATGTACAGATGGCTTTTTACATCATAGCTTTACATACAACAGCACATCTACAGCTAACATCACAACGTAGTGTATTATGTATATATTATAGTATATATTGTATTCTGCATCTGTACCTCTTTCTGTAATGTAACAGTCTCCCGGACATTTACACACATGCACATATACCTTTACTAAGCAGGGCCCAGTTTCACAAATGATCTTAGCACTATGTCTGAGCTCCTATACTTTACATAGACTTACAACAGTTAACAGTGCTAAGATCATTTAATGAAACAGAGCCAAGTATGATTCCCTAAAGACAGATGCCATGTTTAGGTCAAGAAATGGTAAAATGTTGTTTACAAGCTAATGGAGCAACAGTGTTGTTATTACATTCTGCTGTTAGCCTTGTGATGTTGATCTGGTGAATAATGGCTCTTTGTCCATATGTTCTGGTGGTCATAGGACCAGTTAACTAAGGGAATATTCTTCACTGCGACACTATATAACTATGTTAGTCGCACCATTTGTGCAGGCGTCCTTCCAGCTTTGTACCATGTAGATGTTACATATATTATATAGTTGCAATATCTAGTCTGTGCATCAATTCAGCAATTCACAAGCTCAAAGGTTGACCAAAGTTACGAAAACCTACGCAATGGTAAAATACACATGCAGCTCATGTATGGTTGCTGATCCAACCATTTCACAATTAGCTTTCATGGATGACTTGAAACGGAAAATAAAACTGGTATGTGGGATGTGCTGTATTGGTCATGAATGGAAGTAATCAGTTTAAACATCTGTGGTATATATAAGTGATGAAGAACTGTAGTGTACTGTTTTGTTTTTTAACCTCGAAAAGTATGTTTAGGAACAATATGAGCACTTGGTATAGGTATCAGTCTTTGACTGCAGAACACTTCATTTAAAATGGCATATACATGATTTTAATGATTAATATAGTATATATTATGATGAATATTGTCAAAAGAAACCCACCAATTTCAGTGGAAGCAAATAGATAATTAATCAGTGGTTACTCTCTCCTAAAATGACAAATATTGGTGTACATGTATCTAAACACTAAAATGGTTAAGGTTCTGAAGTAATATAAGATTTTATGCTTCCACTAACTCAAAATGAGGTTGTCTCTCCCTTGAAATTACTTGTGTAGTAACAGACAGAAGTTGATAAAATGGGGGGACACAATCCCTGTAACGTTCATTAGCAAAATATCCCAAAAGGATTTCCATTCTTAAAGTGGAAATTTAGTTTATGGACTGGTATTAGAAAATAATGTTCAACTCATGTTTTCGCAAGAAGGGCAGGTGATGGAGGAGACAGATTTTTAAGAACAGGATCTGTTTCAAATAAGTATGTTATTTCAGTTGACATAAGAAAGATTCCATGACAAGACAAGAACAAGTAAATTCAAGGGAGACAATCTTGTTACTTCTGGGACTATTTTTGTATGAGAACATTATGTGACTAAGAACACTGGATGTGTAACGGCTTATATATCACTTACCTCAATGTGTGAAACTTTTGATTCCAAATACAGAACACATTGACTTATTGTCAGTAGTTTCCAATATCTTAAAGTTATTTATGAGCTGCTGTTTGCTCACTGAATTTCAGTTCCTGCTTGTGTGTATGAGTGAGTTACTGTCACACAATGTTCTCAATATATGCATGGCAGCATGAGATGGACTTTCTCAGATATCTCCTTCATAATTTATCTCACTGAACTTGGTTTTATTTGCCTTATTCTGTGTTACTCTTGTTTCCGAGAGCGATGTTGTGTGAGGCCTGTGTGTTAACAAGCTTCTGTCACTGTGTAATACGTACCATGTAATAATGTGTTTTATGTTCTCTTGTACATTTGTCTGTTGTGGTCTGTCTGGTTGTGACTTGTCTAGTGCATCTATTTTGATACTAATGAAAAAGATTGTTCATTGATTTTTTACCTAGAAAAACATTGCAATGGTACATTTTCTGATTCAAGAGTCCATTCATGTATTTTTAAAACTTGAAGTATTTTCTGGACAAATAAGTGTACACTTATTGAAAATGACAACAACATATCAATAGTATTTTGCACCAGTTTATTTTGCATATGTAGGATTTGTTGCATGTATATTAGTGGGAGTAGACTTCTGCATGACAGCAGCTGGTGCAAGGTATACGCTACTATAAGCAGCCCGTAAACAGCAGGGCCATTGTCATGTCAATGCATGTCGACTTAAGCCATCTAGTCATGACAATAGACAGAGCAAACATGCCACAGAATGACAGACTTATTTGGAGACAATGTGGTGAAGAAAACAAATTGAAATTTGAAGACTTTTGAAAATGTTTGCTCTTCTGTTAGTAGTTCATCACAGACATTAGATCCTGCCTGACAGGCCTCAATTTTCAAAAAGTGAATTTTATTATATTTCTCAATGCAAAGAGTTATTACATAGCAAGAAAATTATAAATTGCAAGAATATATTTTTGGTCAGCAGAGAGACATGTGGGTGTCCAGGGTCTAATTCCTCATGAGAGACCACTGTGACTTCTGATTTTGTACCTTCATCCCAGGGTGAAGCTTAGAATGCATACGCTTGAGAAAAAAACCCACATGGGATCAGAATTAAGCTTTCCTGTTTAATCACATTAATAGTAAGCCTTTTTGATCGGCAGGTAAATTTGATCCAAAATACTCATTTTAGTCAGAAAAAAAAATCAAAGTAAAAGGAAGCCATTTTCATGAACAGATGATCAGATATTGTTCATTGATGTTCTCTAACACTGCAGAAGGTAGCCCGTTATGACTTATTTGTCAGCAAGTTAATATTTGTAAAAGGCTAGTGTCTGTGATGATACAATCACTCACATACTCATGTTGTTACCATTCCATCAAGAGCATCTCAAGTCAACATGTTGACCAGTGCATATTTTATCATCATTTCAAATCATTTAGATGGATGGGGGTTCATTGTTTAGTCCTTCTGTCATTTTATTATAAACGGATTTGGTTTTATGATAAACATCACCACTCATCAGTATGACTTGAGAGACTCCAGCCTTCTAGTACTGTCCCCCATAACCGATGGTAATCCTGCTCGTTATGTTGTCATTTCAGGCAAGAGAAATCATGACCGAGGCACTTTAGTGTAACAGTCCCTAGGGTTTGTATCTCAACTGACAGGGGGAAACAGTGGGCATAGGACAATGTGCTCTTTGTTTACCTCTTCAAACACAAAGAATTCAATCTTTTCTTGACACTATGCCATGTTTTAACTATGTCTGTGACTGTAGTTTGTGAATTTTGAAACAAATTTGGAACAACCTGTAGGGAGGATATCCAAATAATTTTTGTTCTCAGTGCTAAAGTAACATATGACGAGGATGTGTGCCAAAATATCTCTTCATATACCATATTTACTGAAGTTTGTCATTACACAATTGATTTTAACTATGAAAAGTTCACATGCCAGTAGATTCATAACATTTTTTTATGTTCTATTTTCCTGTGTTTTTATGATTTCAACATTCATCACATGACACCGCTTGTTTTACCACCATTCATTACCATTTCTGTGTCATAATCTTAGTCCGAAGTAAACTAAAGGACATACAAAGTGTGATAACGGCCAATCTTAGCAAACAAGAATTGTTGAACAACTTCCCCAAAATGTGACAAGTTACATATTTGATGCTGATTTTATTAATTTAGAACAAGGATCATATCTGTGGTAAGCTTTATCAAAGAAGAAACTGTGATGTCAACTTATTTTGTTTGTTTAGAAAAGAAAGTCAGCCTCAGATGCATCAGTGGTTAGGTTCGCATCATTAACATCTTGATTTACACCTACAACCAAAATATGAAATAAAGTGGGTGTCATTTGTTCAGATAAGAAGATTCAAGTTTAGTGTGGTCCACAGACAAACGGTGTTACACTTTCTCCCAATTTTGTACAAACTAGTCAATCTGTCGCATGTGAATAGCCATGTGTATATTTCCCATATCACCATACTACGAAACTACATTGTGCAATTGTATGTGAAGCTATTGGCTCAAGTTATTGAAGACCAGCTGGGTTGTTGTAGTGACCTGGTTCCCTCCTTCAGGAGTTCAAGTTTTTACATCCCCCAACTAAAACCACTGAACCAACAAACTTAAACTTTGCATGGATGTTCTTACTAATTGTGTCTAAAGATTGCTCAATTACTCTGTATTTCATTATTGCTTACACACTTGTAACACACAGCATACAGAAGCTGCATTTTGGACCATTACTCTGCCGTGATTGCATGGATTATCCTACCAATTATCTCACTAAGAATTTATTCAGTTATCTGCTTGAAAATATTGGTTATCGTTATTCAACATTTCAAAATATTATTTCATAGGTAAAAGGGTTTTCTTCAATTTGGACATGCATCATCATGATTCCCAGATCTTCTAAAACAAAAGTTTGGCTTTTGTTAGAGTGTAAAGAACTCTCTTTGACTTTGACTACATTTGCCACACGCATTTGATAAACGTAGTAAATCTCCTGTGGCATAAAGTAGTCTCCAAAACTGATGAGACTCGATTTCATCAAGACTCGTGAAACACTTTTATCTCAATATGAAAGAAATAGATGCATTTAATTTATATATGTTTGTAAGTTGCACTGAAAATTACAGTTTCTGAAAATTGGATAAGCCGAGTATAAGATGTTGAAAATGGAATATTTGGGAAGAAATGCATGTTTGAATGTGGAAACAAGGTCTATTAACTGATATTTTGTGGTCAAGGAAACCAGGGGGATACACTAAGTATAGGAGGATTGTTATGTGGCCATTATGTTGAATACTTTGATAGCTTTGAACATTTTCTAGATGTATTTAATGCGTGACATAACAATAGTTCTCTGTGTGTGAAAATATATTTGACAGAAGATGGAGGGGCGTGAAACATATCACCTTGTCTCAGTCCAGTCCTATTAACCCTGTCATTGCAGAAATGGAATGCATACATATTGATCCATGAAACTGTATAAAACAATAACATTTTTCAGCTATTTTAACTCAGCGCAAAATTTCACCTTCTTGTTACATTTTGCTAGATGTGTTGAGATGTTGCTGTAGAGATCTCAGAGCACTGCATTCGAGTGTTGTTGATGTTCTTGCTGCGAGACTGTGAGAGCTGTTGCTTGTACACATTTTGTATGTATATATGAATGTATGTGATGAGACTGGTCACTTTCATCTGGACCTTTTACCCAAGATTTTACCCAAGTTCATGCTCGAGTAGGGAATTGCAACTGTACAGGTTAACACACAATAGTGGTCTTGACGAAACATTCACAGGATTGTAATTAGCCATCTCCTTCATGTGTGCAGTATCACTGATCACATAACATCTCATACTTTGTGAGGGGCCACCCAAGGTCCAGATGAAATGTTGGTCCACTGTTGGTCCATGACCACCTGCTATCTAGCCTGAGCTGGCATCTCAACACTGTACGGTGTCAATAAAGTCTTCACAGTATCTGTAAAAGATGCATTGAACATAAAAACACTCTGTTTATGTCATGTGAGAGATGTATCCCAACTTAATGACAGTGTAAGAGTGATTCAGGTTAAGACCGGGTTATAAGTCCTCAAAGCGTTCACAGCATTGCGATATTCCCAAGCGTATGATACATTTACAATAGCTTGTAATGCTATGAATGCTTTATGGATCAAGACCCTGGAGTGGAAGTGCGGATATTTGACTGTTGAGATGCCAACAGGAACTCTACTGTGTAATAGCCCCTGCATATTATCAGTGATCATAATGTGTGATGTGTACGGATGTACCATATAGTACCTCCCCTCCAGCTGAGAACAGCTTGTGTACTTATTCTATGTGACACAGTGTCTGATGTATAATTCATTCATCATAGGACAGCTTGTACAGATCTTTGCTTAATATAAAAAATACATTTATTAAAATCATCATGCTCTCATAAAGTGTTACTTTGTTTTCTGTGAAATCATCTGGCAGTATTAGAAGTTTGCTGAAGGAATGTCTATTCCTTCTCAACATGTCTGTAACCACCCACTCATCCGGGTCATCTTCAAAATGCTGAAGATCGGAATTTCAGGAGCAAGTAAAGATGACGTCCATAGCAGCTCAGGGACATGAGTGGCTGAGTCAACTTCGATTGTGACACAATCAGATATCACTTGAATGCTGTTATGCAGATTTTTATCCCTCTGTTGTACCAGGATCTGCACATATTTAGTTTGATGTCAGAATTTGGTAATTAAGCCCAGGCCTTACTAATGAAAAATGGCTTCTTTGGTAATCAAATTATGAAACCATAATTAAGCTGAGGTCCTAAGTTTGGGAATTGCACATAATGAATGGATCTACTTTTGTCTCGGCTTAATCAAAATTTATATGATCATAGATCAAGCTGACACAACAAATGTATTAATTTCATGGCCTCATTTTGGCTCCTAAGGAAGACAATAAATACAGGTATTTGATGTGAGCAATGTGGAGGAATACAGTAAACTTGAATAACACCCACTCTTTTCATGAAAAAAGAATTGATTCTACTCTGCTTTTGCTTAATATGCCCCAATACAAAATTTTCCAGCATGATAGAAACCGCATGTGAGTTGGAGTCGGATGCATTTGATATTTCTATTTCTGGGACAAGTATCTGAGCCATCTCTGCGGTGTCCAGTGGCCCTGAACACATGGAATCCCCTTGATTGCACCAGGGAGAATAGAAGACGACGTAGATTATCCCTGATTGCACTATGAACGTTTTTTAACACCAACGTTGGCCATGTCCTTTTACCAAGGCACATCTCTCCTAACAATAAAAGTAACGATTTTTATTCATGGGCTTAAAACGGGGAAATCCCAATTTTAGGTCCATGGACTTAAACAGGAAATCCATGTCTCCAGATTCAACCTAATAATGGTCCTTGGTTTGTAAAGACCATACCTCATTCCACAGGTCTCAACAAAGGGACAGAGTCTCTGTATCTCGCTCAGGTGAAATAACACTACGTGGGAACTACTTTCAGTATGCCGCAATAACAATTGTTTTCAGAGACGGGGATTTCGTGCAGATTGGTGAAATAATACATAATAGAATGTCTTCTTTTTTGGGGCCAAATAACACATTCATCTCTGATGACCTCTGTGAAGCAGATAAAATAAAACACTTTCTCCAGTAGTTGTTATGGGTAGTTCTAACTCCTACTTCAAGCTAACTATAATCATTGGTATGCTCCAGGAAGTTCCAGGACCGCTCAACCTGGTGTTTCTTTCAACATCATGCTGACATCCTGGAATATTACCTGAGCAATTAATGGTCAAAATAGCCTAAAGTATTCTTTGGCATTATACTACTCAATCTACTGAAAAGCAAAATCGATGGCAGTTTGATTATTGAATAGAATATTACAAATATATACAAATATCTCTAGTAGGATCTGTTTTAAATGACATAAGTTGGATGGACTGTAAAGTGTAATTACAATGCAAGTTTTCATTGTTTTCGTCATCACATTTGTTTGGACATTTTTTTTATTGTTATTAAAGGTCATTTTAGAAAAAACATAAAATATATATATCACATAAAAATTGCTGTAAAGTAGGTACATGCACCATGTAGTTTCTGATACTTTGTTCATTAACCATGTCAGTATGAGATCGTTCGGAGTTTCATCGTCGTGTTCAAATCATCATCAGGTGATTCAGTTCAGCCCACTGACTTCCATTCTTTTTTTTTCGGTGGGTTAAAGAATCGGCTTAATCGACAGAAGAACTTCCTGATCTTTGAGTGTCGGGACACCTGCGACGTGGGGCGTGTCTCAAACTGATTAAGAACATCAATCTCTACAAGAATCCTGGAAAGGTGTTCCTGGGATGAGGCGGTGAATATCGGGGTTGCCACCCACTCTTTACAGGCTGAAACATTTGAAATGGTAAATGTGGGTTATGATTATTCGGTAGCATTTGTCCATTTAGTGTAATGAAAAGTTTTTCATAGAAATGGATGACATGCGTATTTCACCAACTGAAACGAATGCTTGTCACGAGATCAAATATAAATGAACCCCGAGAGAAGTTCTTGGTCACAACTGGTCTTCGTATCCCAACGTAGAGCGATGCTCATTATGTCAATCACTGGAATGTCTAGACCAAACTGGACATCTATTATTTATCATATTGCTGAACTGTTGCTAGAGTGCGGCAGGAAACAAAACATACAAATGAAAGTGATCATGTAATCAGGATCGGTGTCCTGATTTAGGATATGACGTTTGCTGCTCATGTTTTCGGTCAACGACTGACCTGATCAGGCTCGAATATTTACTAACTAAAGTATTTTACGAATAGTGTTGGCTGCAGCGTTATTCACAACTCGGGAAATAATATTATCATTACTATGACATGAAGCTACATGTACTTACAATCTTGAGACAGTTGCTGAGACATGGGACTCTACGCAATCTGACGAAGAGTTTCAACAACGTACACATGCGTGATTTTATATTGCTTCTAGCAGGATCAGTGGTTCCCGCAGTTCATCTTATGAGAGTAAGAGGTAGTTAGTTGATCCGTTGTCATGGAACGCTTATTCTTGATGTATTTTCTACGAGATGCATTCACTCTCAGTTGCGAGAATGAGTGATACTGCGTGAGCATTGTCAAAACATGACGTCACTGACGCGCAACGGAAAGAAGATTGACGTCAGATTTTGTTTCGCGCAATCAGTTTTACCACTCGCAGAGAAAAAGAGATAAGATAAGATAATTTCTTTATTATCCCCAAGGGAAATTTGTTTTGCATCATATGCAGTTCTCCAGTTTTTCTTTCATAAAGCAGCCACATATAACATTGCAAGTGATAATCATGAAACTATTGTTTAAAATAATCAGGATATAAATACATCAAGTTAGTACACAATAATAGGGAATAGAGAAGGAAATAATTGTGAAAGGCAAATCTTGAAATCTGCTCTGACTTTTTGAATACCTGCCTGTGTAGGCCTTGAAGTGTGCAACCCTAATGAAGTGAGTGAGTGAGTTTAGTTTTACGCCGCACACAGCAATATTCCAGCTATATGGCGGCGGTGCCTGAGCTTGGAGCTTGAGGCGGTTTATTGAAGTGGGGGATGGGTGACTTCAAAAGTACACACCCGCGAAGATTCAGGTTAGAACTGATTTTCAGTAACCCAGGCTTGTAAGAGACGACTAACGGGAACGGAGGGTCAGGCTCTCTGACTTGGTTGACACATCTCATTGTATCCCAATTGCGCAGATCGATGCTCATGCTGTTGATCACTGTATTGTCTGGTCCAGACTCGATCATTTACAGACCGCAGCTGGAATACTGCTGATTGCTGCGTAAAACTAAACTCACTTACTCACTGTACCGGCTGTGACACTATCTGGGGATTCCAGGTTTGAATACATCGCAAGCATCTATTCTGGTTGTAAGATGATATGATGGTCAAGCCAGGTGATATGTTGAAAAATATCACGCACTCACTCACTCACAATAATACGCATTTAGTGTGCTAAAATAAATTATCCAACAAATAGTTCGAAACATCCCGGTACACAATGATTGGTTGTCCCCTATAGCACAGTTTCATCTGATGAACGGACAGAGGCATACATTGCAATGTGCATGAGGTGCCTGATAATCTGTGTTTGGATGTATCGTGTTGGAATGTCCTTGGTGTCAGGCAGTGTGTGATCAGTAGGGCATAGACTGGACAGGAGGCCTTGTTTCATCCTAATGCCAACATCCAAAAAATACGTTTCTATACTGAGCGCGTAGTCATCTTCGTCAGGCTTCGACAGTGGAGCCGCCTAGTTGCTAAATCGTTCGCTCGTCCGAAGACCCGAGTTCGATTCCACACTATAATGTGTGAAGCCCGTATCTGGTGTCCCCCTGCGGTGATATTCCTGAAAATACTACTAAAAGCGGCGTAAAACATACACCAGATTAAACGAGAGCATCTACGTACATCATGCAGCAGCATTCCTGCGGAACAAGTATACTAACGGGAAAAAGTAACTGTGCATGACATAAAATTGCATAAAACACAAGTTCTTTGAACAGTTAGAAAACTTACCATAAATATACGTGTAGCAAAGAACTTTACATGCGCAAGGCACGTAAACTTTGTGCACAATTAGCTTATGATGCTTGTTGACACCTGAAGTTCACACGCCTGATATTGAAATTTAAAGAATGGTTGATTATTCTCTTGCCTCTGAATATTGTGGAAAACACGTTAATTTCAACATAAACTATGTGTACGTCATGTCACGGCTCACAGAAAACCATGCAGCGTCTCCGCGCCGTGGGTATGCTGGAGACTGGTCTGGCCCAATATGAGGTGGACAGACATTTTCGTGTCCATCAAACACGATCTCATCTCCATGGAAACGTTTTCAAATAATAGAAACACGAGAGATTTGCCTCGACCGGCCGTCCACGCGTGATGTCACGTCAGCAAGACAACCACATTCGGCTGACACATCTAAGGAATCGATTCCAAACTACCAGTTTGACTGCTCGGACCATTCCTGGCTCACGGCCAATCAGTTCCAGGACTGTACGGAACCGAGTGATGGAGCACAACATCTGGCCCTGACGCCCTGCAATATACGTCCAGTTTTGCTCCAACGTCCACGACTGGCACGCCTTGCCAGGTGCTGACAGCATCCACGGTACAGGAGACAAGATTGGGATGGTGTTCTGTTCACTGACGAGTCGAGATGTCATCTGGACAGCTCAGATGGTACGGTAGGGGTGTACAGACGGCGAGGTGAACTTTATGCTGACGTGTGCGTTGTTCAACGTCGACAGTTTGGTGGTGAAAGCGTTATGGTATGGGGAATCATCACATCTCATGGTCGGACACAACCTGTCATTGTCAATGACAATCTGCGATACAGGGATGAGATCATTGGGACTCATATGCAGCCGTTCATTCAGGGACAGAGACGTAAATTCACGCTTCAGCAAGATAATGCCCATCCACATGTCGCTCGTGTTGTGACAGATTTCCTGAAACAGCAAAGCCTTCCGGTACTCCTCTGGCCGCCTGTTTCATCGGACTTGTCCCCTATCGTGCACGCTTTGGATGAAATGGAGAGACGTTTACGTCAAGCCCAGAATCAACCATTGACTTGAATTGGGACAAGCGTTGGTTCAGACATGGAACAACTTTCCTCAAGCTTTCTTCAATCGCTTAGTGTCGTCTATGCGTCGTTGTTGTCAAGCCTGCACTAACGCAAACGTCAGATACACCCACACGATACTGAATTTGTGAACTGACTTTTGATACCACATCTCTTCAAGGGCGTGTCACGATGCTTAGTGTGTCAAATCATACAAATTTCGATATTATCCTGTCAACAATTAAACACCACAAATAATGTTATTATCTTTTTTGCATTAAAAATGATATAACATCAAATAATGTCCAGATACCTTATTACATTAGTATGTTCAGGACCTCCCGTCGACCTCTTTAGAGCCAGACTTCAACCCGAAAGAACACCAATGGAACAAGTTGCATTGCCATGTACATCATTTCCCTTAAGTCCAAACGCTGCAAGAGTCAGCATGACAGCCAGGAAGGATACGTTTCCCCAACATGTGATCAGTTTAGTGCTCTCCTGTCGTCCATGGGTAGCAGCGTCCAAGCAATGGCGCTAGTGGCGGACACATGAGGTACACAGTTCTAGACATTGGCCTTTGACATTTGAGGTCTTCATACTGGACACAAGTCACATGTTTGTTTGTTTACACAATATACTCAGCAAGTGTTCAGGTGCAGTTATTTGCCTAAATTTCCACAACAAAACTCCAGCTATTCATATATGTTTTTTTCATTGTTTTGTTTGAGGACAGGTTGTGAAAATTATATTACAGCAGAGATGGCAATTCGAGGTTATTGGTGACAACATTGCAAATACTCCTATTGTTGTTACTTGTTCGTACATGAGATTTTTTTTACAGATCAGTGTCCTCAGTCAAGAGTCTGGCACTAACCAATTGATACCAAAAAGTATTTTGGGGGTAAAGTGCAACCTTTTTGTGGGTAAGTGAGGTACACTGTACACATGTCCAAGGTTAGTCATAACACGAGTGAGTGAGAAGGTTAGTCATAACAAGAGTGAGTGAGTAAGTATGGTTTTACACCACTTTTAGCAATATTCGAGTATCATCATGGTGGGGGACACCAGAAATGGGCTTCACACACTGTACCCATGTGGGGAATCAAACCCGGTCTTTGGTGTGACGAGTGAACGCTTTAACCACTAGGCTACCCCCACCGCCCGTCATAACACAAAGTTATGACAGACACATCACTGCCTCAACAACACATGGTGGCAAATGAATGCATTTAAGAGACATAACAATCAGTATGGAATTTTATTTACACCAATTTTAAAAAAAATCAAATTAAATATCATAACACAGGCACTCATGCCAACTAGTCGTAACCGGATCAGCAAGTGAACATGAAAACAACCTGACCCTCTTTTGGTTATTGCAACGGAGTCAAGTTCAACCTTGATTTGAACAGTATTTCATTCATGTCAGTGTGTCAACTTCATGTAAGCGGAAAACCCAAGTGATGCTGGTGTTTGACTGTGCAACTATGATGAAAGCCAGCTGCAAGAGTACTGTGCAGATAAACCAAGAATGTAATCAGCATGAGCCTGAAATCAAACCCTCTATCAGAGTTTGTCGCTCCAAGCAAATTGAAGCTCCCAAGATACCTTTGTCACATTAAACTTACTGTGAAATCTGTGACATCACAAATTGTTGTAATTATCTTCACATCCAGTGAATCAAAAAACACATTATTAGTTTTTCAAATGAGTGAGTGAGTTGGGTTTCACATCGCTTTTAGCTATATTCCAGCACGGTGGGGGACACCAGAAACAAGCTTCACACATTGTACCCATGTGGGGAATCAAACCCTGGCCTTTGGCATGACAAGCGAACGCTTTAACCACTAGGCTATCCCACTGGCCCTGTTTTTCAAATGAAGACCATTATATATCTGATATAATGGTGGTATTCCATATGAACAAAGAACATCAAAAAAATGTTTTTGAAAAAATGGCATTTGCTTTCGTTGTCCTCTGTTGTGAAACCATTAATGGGATGAAGTGATAATGTATTGGGATATCACTACCATATCATGACTTCTTGGAACCAATCCATCAATATATCATAATTCCAAAGAATTTTATCCTCTTGCAAAAAGATATCAATGTACATCCATACCATTACAAAAAGAAAGAAATAAATTATTAAAAAAACATTTTATTAAAAACAATCAAGGTTTTGACATTTTCTTTTCAACAGCAATCCTGTAGAATGAGAAGATTTGTTTTGCAGCCGCTTGGGCATGGAGAAGACACCTATGGAACTGTTCCGTGGTCAGACTGCCCCTACTGGACATGGTGACAACACTGTGGTTCTGGTTCTCCAACACAAATGTCACACCTGCCACTTTCTCCCCCCTCCTGCTTGACGTCCGGGTCGAGTATTGTGTTGCCATCTCCATCTATGATCACATGTACCCCAGCTATCAGGTACTTCATGTTCACACACGCATCTAACAATGCTAAACAAGCTGCGTTCACAGAACACGCGAGTAGGGAGCCCGAGTTCTGCAGCTCTTGTACCGTCACTGATATACATGACCTCGGGTGAAGGGAAGCTAATATGGCTGTCTCTACTGTATTTCGAATGTATCGTTCATGCAGTCTTTCAGAACATCCAGGCAACCCTGACTTGGGTTTGTAGATGACTTCCACTGTGGCTCGGTCAAGGATTTCCCGAGCAATTTTCACTTCTCCAGGGCCATATACTGCTGCAAGGATTCCTGTGTCACCTTGGGTGAAGGTCACAGTTCCATCCGGTCGAGTCAGTACTCCTAGGTCACTGGTCATAGGCCGCAGGTCTGTCATAATTGAACCTGCAAACCAACATTTTAGATTATATTATCTTAAACACACAAAACATTCGATTAATGTAGCATCAAATCAAAAACAGAACATTTAAAAATTCTTGTTGAATACTAAAGTAGCCAATTTACGCCAAAAATTTACAATGTTCATGTATCATGATCTTATGGATCATAATTCTGTGAGCATGGTTTGGAGACACCATAGCTGGATCATATACTTGAAATTTAAGCTTCATAAGCTTTGTATTTTCAGAGATATGTGTAATACATGGATGGACAACTGAACATCAAACACTCCACCAAGTTCGTTCACTCGTCTTTCAGCTAACACCAACTAAAAGGTGTATACAATGCATTAGAGTTGCAAAAGTCATGTTGCACCAAGCTTATGATAAGGAAACAGGAAGCAGGAATCTAGCTGAGGGTGTGTGCGGAATGGGAGATAGGAAGGTTAGTTGTCTCGATACCAGGAAATATCTTTCAGACCAGGGTGACAATCAAACTTTGTTCAAATCTGCTGTTTGAATGTTATGAGGGCTTGCTATCAATACTGATCACAGTGATCAATAATCATTAGCTAAACATTAATCACTTATTGATAAATATTTGAGAATAAACTGAAAGAAATGCAAAAGTCTGGAAACAAAAATCAACATATTTGGTAACACACTGATGCATTAATTGCTGGATTACTAGCAAAAATTGTATTCTGAACATATTTTAGATGCAACACATGAATAAACATGTAACTTTGTATATTGTTTATGTAAATTAAAACTTCATTTATGACAATATTTAATGTATGCTAACATTAATGACACAATTTTCTTATCAATCCTTACCATTGATAATATTTCTGATTATCAATCTTTTTAGCCATCTCTAAATATTATACTTTGGAGAGATAATTCTTTGAATTTCTTTAAACCATGACACTCAACAGTGAAAGTATTCAATCAGCTGATAACTTGCTTGTTAAGCAAAAGGAAGAGAAATGTACTAATCAACTTAGCATTGAGATAATCATTCTGTTTAAACATACAACTGACACAATAATCATGTTTGTGCATCATGGAAATATATGTAAAGTGGAGTAGAATATGTAGGAATGAGAGATGACAGTTTGTTGTAGAAGAGTGCATCTGGAGTATATTCTTACTCTATCTATTATAATTGTGTTTGAGGGGTTGTTCGTAAACTTCAAATTCGTATTACTAGTTTGTAATGATTAACACATACATCTTTTAACTTTGGAGATATGACAACTTTACCTTAGTTTACTTAACTATTCATATGTCTGAAGCATCAAAGAAAACAAAGTTCATTGAACCATCACGAAAAGAAAACAAAGTTCATTTTAGGAATGCTTCTTGGAATAATTACAAAACTTCATATCCATGTAAAAATATTTCAGCAGCATAGGATATGCAAATGTTAATTTAAACTCATATTTAAGGGGGTCCTAAAGTCTTTACGGTTTCCTGCTTTAATCTTTCAATTTTGGGTCCCTTTATTTGTTCCCACTTTTATCCTTTGGTTTATGATCAGGACCTCTAGACTTTAATGTCTAACACTGATCACAATTTTCTGTCTGAAGGTGCCAGAGAAGCTATGCAACAACAGGTAAAGGATTATCCATAAAGAGATTATAAGGATTAAGATCAGACATCAAGGCCTGTCATCCTTGAAACAACATGCCACCCACCACTGCCTTGTAATTAGAATTGTGCAATGTAATTCCTCACTGAACTAATTAGATAAATGTACGAAAGGAAAGTGAAAAAATAGTAATAAAAAGCTAATGAGGTTCTGCATTTGACCTGGGGATTATTCTAGGCCTCGAACTTCATTGTTAACACACAAAGAGGCTTCTTTTCTTTCAGTCGATGCTGTATTGATGGTAACATAGACAAACATTGGGTGTTGGCAACTGGTGTGATTCGCTTTCTGATCCACTTTAAACAAAAATATAAACAGGGGAAGCAAAGAAAATGTGTTATCCTAGTAAACATCTGTTTACCTTCCTGCATTCATAGTTAACACACATGTACATTAGATATTAGCCTTTGTCGTATTGACGAATATTGTAATCCTTTCAACTCGGTAAGTTCGAACAGAATGAGAACCACGTGGTTTTCCTTTGTTGATAATAGGCGTGGCTCCATTGTGTGATATACTCATACATTCAAAATTAGCTCATATATTTGGTCTCAGCGACTTTCATTTTTTCAACATTATATAAATTTTCCAGCATACTTTCTCGAAATGACTTCCGCCAAAGACGTTTGTTGAATCAAGCCATGCTTCCTTCTTAAACTTCGTACACTGCTTCTTCGAGAGCGCATCCTCGTACAATTCCTCAAAACAAGGACATACTGTGCACGGAGTTCGCAGACATTCCTCACGCACGTGATTCATCATTACATAAATATCACATACGATCTCCTTGAGCGTATGTTGCTGTATAAAAATTATCTATAAGTATGTAATTGTCACAATATTTAATAAGATTGGTAAAAAAGTATGTCAAATATAGATCTTTTAACCATTTCAAAGGTGTTATTTTCTTTCCCTGCGGACGCACATGTTCAATCAGCCGAATCCACCACGTGACCGGAGGCCTAGGAAGAACAAAAAGTGGTATCTACATACAAACGAAATATATATATTTTATTGCGTTTTATTTATTTAAACGAATAACACGCTCTTTGAATGTGTCATGTACTTATCCTAGCGTGGTAATGTTTCAAACATTTCGAATTTGTACATACTTGTAATAAAAACACTCCGAAAATGAAAATGATGCTGATCTTTGACACGTCCAAATCAAATTCAATATCCTTAAGGTAAAATAACGCACTGACTCTGAAATATATAATTTGATGTGAACAAAATACTGAATTGAAATTGAAATGGAGCCCAGTGAGGTGGGAGATTCAGAACATCTAGACTTACTTCATTTAAGACTTTGGCATTTCAGAATGGGCTAGGCGAAAGAGAAAAATATGGTTCAGTGAATGTGAGACAAACCAGCTTGAATTGAATGAGAGTTTTTGTATATACCAGTGACTGTTTGCTTTGAAACTAAAACTATAGTTAACTCAACAGTGTTTTAAATCAAGAAACGATTCTTCAAGACTGCACAAGTATACAAGTTACATATGGAGTGTCCGGACAACATTAACCTGATATCTATTATATGTATATGAATCCTGATCACCAATAATGAATCAGTGTTCACGAATGATAACAGGGACATTGGGTCCAATTTCAGATGTCTGTCTGAATATTCACAGGACACATAAAATAAAATTAAATACACATTTCGTGGGGATATCTAAATACTGAACATCGGGGACTTACTATATCAAAGTTATCATTTATGTATACACTTCTATGCACGCTGTTGACGTAAATAAGCTTTAAATGAAGCTGAACAGTGGGTTCCAAGAGTATCAGCCGAATGAGAATCTCAGTAATTATGTTAACTAAGCGAGCCTGACCACCCGATCCCCTTAGCCACCTCTTACTGTTTTGAATAGGAGAACGTCACCATCATCACAAACATGGACCCATCGTGTCTTTGAGAGGAACACGGAGAAATACTGGTATCCTGCCTCTATTGTCATATACCATTACAATATAATATCCCAGATGTGTAATGTAGGAACAGATTTCTTCCTTACCTTCATGTGTCTTTCCTTCATGTGAAGATATTATTTCAAGTTCGTTTAGACAAACGAAAAATGCACTGCACGACATGAAGATAGTTTCGAAACTATTCACAGGACAGAAATCATATGAAATGTATGAACAGTATTTCCAATACAAAGTTCGTAAACATAACACCCTGATTAAAATATATTGCATAACGAACAGCTATATGGATCAGGCAGCAGTTTCACTGACGAGTCCTTCTCCTCAATAAATTTCATTACATTATGACGTGTGCGGAAAATATTGGAAATTTATGAAGGAATGATTGTAGATATATACATACATAAATGCATACATTTATAAATGTATAATACACATATCCTGTAATGAGCTGTCAAAGACCACATTGTGTCTTTTTGTGAGGACGTCTTACTACTTGATTCGTTTACTTTTTGAAAACATTTGATGTTCTTACACAGAATACAATTTATCCGTGAACGCATCTATATTTTCCTCGCCTTTCCGAGTTTGCTTTTGTGATAAACTGTTGTCATTGCGACTGGTGAGCACGTGTGGAGAGATCTAGATATGTACAATATAGCTGTGCGTGATTGTGTGTCATAGAATCAAGGTACGCTTCGGCACTAATTAACGGCGCCGTGTACGAATTTCCTTTGTTTTAAAAATTGAAGCTAACAATCCATTACTCGACCTGTTGAAATTGCGTTTCAGTTGTTAGCAGACGAGCGCGCAAGAATACACTTATGACGTCAGTGTTGACCGGCTCACTACTTCGCCATCTTGCGAGAGCCCAGTCATTAAGAAAACCTGCCACAGCCCTAGTAGGTCACTCATTCTCAACGGACATGTCATACAGAGATAGAATGTTCGACTCATCGGGTAGATCAGACAGGAAAGGGTGAGTTTTACATGTTTTTTTAAATAGATTGTGATTTTATTCTATAAATGAACAGCAATTTGAAAAATTGACAGGGATGGGTCTCTTGAATTTGCTTTGTCAGCTACGCCATGATGATAGATTTAGAACTGACCCTCGGAACTTATAAAAAAATGAAGAATCGCGTCTTTCTTAAAAGGCTTTAGATCACAATCTAATTTCTGTATTCTTTCAATGGACAAACTAATTCACAGTTTTGTGCGAGAAGACCCACTTTAGAGACGGATCAATCCAACATGGCGTATGTTTCGAAATGGCTTCTGCGTCTCAAGAGTACCACAAAAGTGTAACCCTTTGTCGCGTTTTCGCGTCGCTCGAAATGACGATTACAGAAATACGATGCATTTTCAAATTTCAAACGTGTAATGTTACATTTTTATCACCTGTAACCTGAAGAAATCGGGCAGAATCGATATGGTCTGGTGAACTTTGGCCCAACCATACGACGTTTGTTTTGAGGCAACTCCTGAATGCTTTATTTCTCTACGGTAGTGAAAATAAACTTTCGGATTAAAACACAAAATTGCAACATTTAAAATAGCTAGGCATAATTTGCTAAATGTTCTGGCTTCATATCCCAAAATCCTCAGTGCCTCTTCAGCCCCTATGATTAGGGGGGAGATTCAAATAAAACGCATCCCTTCGTGATTCTTAGGATTGGACACCTTTCCAATGAAACTTCCGTTTACAATTGAGCTTGTGTATAGGTGAAATCTCTAAATGATTTCATTGTACAATAGGAAATCCGTCAAATTTTGTCAGGTTTAGGGTTTCCCAGAGAAAATAAATGCTGAGCACAACTGTTGATGACTTAGCAGTGCTGGTTACATGCACTACTCGTGTCAGGTTTGAGATCACTCTGAGATGCCAACCCTCCCAAATTTATCGGAATCATCCCAGAAAATGCACATCGATTCAGCCATTCTGACAAAGCAAAGTTCATTCTGATTTTTTTCAAAATGTAACAAAGATATAGTCTTACTAACTGGAGGGTTAGGATCATCTTTGACTATAGATAATGATAAATAAATACAACACTTTACAGAAGTTCTCAGATTGTTTACGCATAGAAAATATTCCGGAAGGTGAATAGTCTGTCTGATAAAACATGCACTGTTTATTTTATTCACTTAACATTCACAAACATTACTGTTGAGTACTGCAAACCAGTTTCAGTTGTGTAAATATCTGTGTAATAGCATTGAAAAATTTCGTTCTGAGTGCAACAATTTATAGGGATCCGAAATAAGTTGGGAATATTCCAATTTTTTTCTATCTTAAGGATCTGATTCCTAATTGCACCAACTTGGGGGTGATATCTCTGCTCTAAACAAGTAACACAACCCCATGTGGCACATTCATATTTTATGTGAAGTATATATTTTCTATGTTCATCATAGAAAATGCCTGACTGTTGTTTAAATTGTCTTAGGTTTGGTGGCAGATCTGATCGAGGAGGCGGATCTCGTTTTGGAGGTAGAGATAGTGGTCGAGGTGGTGGAAGTTTTGACAGATATGGATCTGGTGGTGGTATGGGTCGAGGTGGTAGCAGGCCATCCCTCAAAGGTATCCAACCTGGTGAAAGACTGAGGAAACCCAGATGGGATATGGAAAGGCTCCCCAAGATTGAAAAGAATTTCTACAGGGAACATCCAAATGTAGTGAATCGATCACCTGTGAGTAATTTTCAACTTGCTAATACCATGTCAAACAGTAATTCAGAGACCAAGACTGTGTGAATATGATACATAATACTTTTAGATTTCAATGCTGAATCTTTTTTTATAGGAAGAACTACAGGCTTTCTACAATGAGAATCAGATCACTATTAGGGGACGAGATGTACCAAAGGCAATCCTTGCTTTTGATGAGGCAAACATTCCAGGTTGGTATTTAGATGGTTTCAAAAGTTACCATTTGGCAAATTTCTACAAATGTTCAACTGTGGTGATGATATTAAACAAAACACTGATTCTGTTACTCGATCAAGAAACACTTAGATTGTCTATCTTGGAATCTTATAACATATAGAAAAATAACAAATTAAGTGTTCAAATGTATGATGTCCAATAACAATTGCTAAATATTTTCTTTACAGACTATGTTATGCACCAAATCAGAAGGAACAACTGGCAAAAACCAACCCCAATTCAGAGTATGGGTTGGCCAGTCGCTCTTTCGGGCAGAGATTGTGTTGGAATTGCACAGACAGGATCCGGCAAGACACTAGGGGTAGGCTGACTCGTATATTTCTTTACTGATTATTAAACACTAAAAGAAAAGAATCTGAAAACTGTTTCAGTATAATTAATATTATATATACTTAGCAAATTATAAGTGCATTGCTATATGCTGCTTTCCCCCCACCCACCCCATTAATTATGGTCTTAAACTTGTGCCAATCCCCATTGCCATGTTTGTCCAAGGTTGAAATTTTTTCCCACTAAATTTGGTTGATTTTGATTGAATTTTTCTTTTGCAGTTTATCCTGCCAGCTATCATCCACATTACAAATCAACCCTACCTCGAACCTGGGGATGGACCAATTGTAAGTTAAGCTTCATTAGCATCAGAATCAAACAAGTCACATAAAACAAATCTGAACAGCAAGTGCATGCCTCTTGAATTAAATTCAGTTACAACTACTTTACATTTATTGCAACAGATAAAGGGTCTACAACTCCTACAAGGGTGGAGATAACCCATTGTCCGTGTCCAGTGTTGTGCAAGCAAATTTGTATATCACACTGTACCAGTGTCCAGTTGGCTTTCCAACTTTAATTATGTTTATTTTAAAAAAAAAACCAAGAAATCGTATTGTGGAGGGCTAATGATTTTACATGTGCCACTGTACCGGAGTACACTAGAAATTTTAAAGTTATTTCCACCCTGTCCTAAACTTGTCTCTTGCGGCTGTATTTTGTTAGAACTTTTATATTGTTACTGATGTCTTCTTTTAATTTAGTGTTTGGTGCTGGTTCCAACAAGAGAGTTAGCCCAGCAGGTTCAAGAAGTAGCCAATGAATTTGGCCATGCATCCAAGGTTCGCAACTGCTGTGTGTATGGTGGCGCTCCAAAGGGACCACAGATCAGAGATCTAGAAAGAGGTAAGAACTACACATGGACCAGTTACAATGGAATTTAATATTGCAAACCATATTTCAGAAAATCATTTGGAATTCACAAAGACAAATACACGATATTTCTATTTTTAGGAGCTGAAATCTGCATAGCAACTCCTGGAAGATTGATTGACTTCCTTGAAGCTGGAAAGACTAACCTGAGACGAACAACATACATGGTCCTTGATGAAGCAGACAGAATGTTGGACATGGGCTTTGAGCCACAGATCAGAAAAATCATTGAACAAGTTCGAGTAAGTAATCTTCATTTATTTATTTGTTCATGTTTGTGTTACAATTTCCATTACAACAGCTTTGTTCTCCAATTGAAAGTATTTTAAGTGTACAGTGAATAGTGTTGATGTAAATACATGGTATGTACATTACCTTTTATATATAGTACACATACATACAAAGTACATATACAGTCAGTCAGTTATAGCATTTCTAAAAGGTAAATGGAAGGATGACCAGAAAGAATGAAAACTTGCATAGTTACAATTAGAAAACACAAATTTTGAAATTTCATATGTTAACTTCTTTTTGAAACCATATGATATTGGGTATCACTGCTTTCTTACTGCATTTATACAACATGTGTTTGATTATTATCACCACATTAAGAGGATTATTATGTTTACCTTTAGATCCAAATAATAAAAGTTCTTCCCTTAAATGAATTTTACTTTCCATGTATCCTTCAATCCATCCAGTAAATTTTGTCCAAATATCTATTGCATATTGACAATTACAAAGCACATGATGTGCTATAGTTACACAATAGTGGATCGTTACACAATGAACATGCTGGTGACTTAACATAGCCAATCTTATATAAATAACAATTAGTGCTGTTATGTAAAATCTTAAACTAAAACCATCTATGATCTTAAGTCACTGCTTTGTGTACATCTTTTTGCCATCAAACTATAATTTACCCATTGTTTCAGTAATGTGTTTATTAAGATAAAGCTCCCATTTGCTGTAGCTTTTTAAGTTTTGTAAATTTGGAATTATGCATAATTTCATAAAATAATCTACCTGAAGTACTGTTGATTTTAGAAATATTATAAGGTAATATTGTTTTTGAGAGATCTCTTGATATTTGACATAAGTTCCTAGTAGCATATGTTTTCTGGATGCATCGGTGATACTCATGAAAGGTTTTGTGTTTGTAGCCAGACAGACAGACCCTCATGTGGAGTGCCACATGGCCCAAAGAAGTGCGAAAGCTGGCAGAGGACTTCCTGAAGGACTACTGTCAAGTTAATATAGGAGCTTTGCAGCTTAGTGCTAACCACAACATCTTGCAGATAATTGACGTGTGCCAAGAATATGAGAAGGAGAACAAGTAAGTTAAGAAGATTTGCATGTTGCAGAATCTGATCAGATTTGGGTCCCACTGTCACAATAACATCTCTCAAAGACAACCATATATCAGCAAGGCATCTTCAGCTTTGTTTCACAATAAGTTGATCAGTTATGAATGTAACATGAAACTTGATATCTGAGGTGGTCTCATCAGATAGGATTGATTCAACTTTTGGATGACCATATGTAGTCATTGACTTCAGGTGAAGTTAATAAATATCTTTCAAAACTAAAGAAACTTCACACATTCACAAATCTATACATTCAGATCACCTAAATAACTAACATACAGTACCGACATGAGCCAGTTCTCTGAAGTATGAGTAAGTGAATTCTTTGCATGCTATGGTCTTCTGTTCAGGCAGTAAGGCTGAATAGTGACAATATACTGACAATTTTTTTAATTTGAATTTGTTGAAACTTTGTAGGCTGGTCATGGTTTTGATTGAAATTCAAGGTCATTAAACTACGATTGATGACTTGTTTTGGCAGCAAGGCATGGGACTGTTTCAAAATTTTACTTCATTAGCCATATGGGTCTGTTTATTAATAGATGACACTGTTTATAAAACGATACCTTTCCAGTTGTAAGTATAGTGAGATGAAATAGATTCTATAGACAGTCATCGAGAAACCTTTCGTGTATGCATAATGTGTAAAATTGACAACTTTCCTTCAGACTTGTGAAACTCCTTGAAGGCATCATGCAGGAGCGGGACAACAAGACTCTCATATTCATGGAGACCAAGAGGAAATGTGATGACTTATCTCGACGGATGAAGAGAGATGGGTAAGCATAATACTTCATGAGGAAAAATCTAAACTTGACATCAAAATGCCTCAAATTCATGAATGAGAAATTTGTACTTGCACCAGTAGGTAAGACTTGAAATCAGCTTAAAAGTGTTTGTCCACAAGGAATTACTATTCATGATGGATTTATGCTAATTACAAAGCCTACCCCAATATTTTCATAGAGAAAAACATGTCTGTATTGTAATATTGTGAAGAACCATAATTTAGTTTACCTAACTTTTATTTTCAGTTGGCCTGTCATGGCAATCCATGGAGATAAATCTCAGCAAGAGAGAGACTGGGTTCTGAATGGTAAGTTCAACTGACCATTTCACATATGTAGCAATGTTAATCTTTTTGGCACTGTTTTTATTCATTGTTTGCACATTGTCATTTGTCCAGTTAATCAATCCATATCTTATTGATATTGCAGAATTCAGAACTGGAAAAACACCACTTCTCATTGCCACAGACGTTGCCTCCCGTGGCTTAGGTATGTTAACATTACGTATAGAAAAAATTACATCAGATCACCTTTCTACTAGAGAAGTTAAATCCGCTTTCTTCCATTATTTAGAAAAATCTGCAATTCTCTTGGCATCTTCTTCTGCTTCAAATAGAACTCCATTGATATGATACATGCTTCTTTCACATATGTCCATTTTCATTAATTGTATAGTTTGTGTTGACAGAGCAGGTATTGGCCACTACCGGCATGACTAACACTGAGGAGCAGAGAGGGAGAGGAGGAAGGATACATGAACTAGTAGTTGTAGTACCTAGCAGCTACTTTTGAACAAACGGTAGCAGTGCACAATCTGTATGGCTTGGGAAGTGGTGTTGTGAAACTCAACTGGTTTCACTTGCTGTATTTAGGATAATTTGTTTGCTATCAAAATTTGTAGAAAGACAGACCCATTTCTGGCCTTTTCAAATTACTTGTCAGCAAGTAGCAGTCAGTTGTTGTAGCCACACCACATGTCTGCATTGTGCGACCTGGAAATATGCCGACTCTGCAAGCTGTCTCTCCTCCCTCACTGATTGCAATCATGGAGTCATGTCGGGACCTGCTCTGTGGTACTCGTAAATCACATCACAATGGGAACTTTGCTATGGAACCACGGCACTGACTGACTGCTCATACACATGTACAACTGGCTCCAATCCTCAAAACGTTTGTAAAACTAGACAAACTTCAACTTATGGGAATATTGCACTTGTATCAGCTATGGCCTGGAAAATGAATAAGCCTTTGACTGGATATGTTATATCTGAGAAGGTACAATTTGTTTGGAGAGGTGAAATAGCTGTTGAAACTCTTGGATGGATTGTTGGTATCTGTTCAGAGGTGACACTAAGTTGGTGTCTGAGCTTGGTGCAGGCACTGTGGATAGATTGAGGTTGGAGGAGCCGATGTGTGGAGTCACGGCGTGCATTATCCGTGGTACAGCAAAGTACCAAATCTAGAAGATGCATGCTCCCTGGACAATGAATGAATGAATCACTAGAGCAGTCATGTTATAGAATGGTGTTGGGGCACCCTAGGGTTGCAGTGTTTATCTACTCTGCAGCAGAGGAAAAGGTAGGTAATATTGACAAGGTAAGTGTCACTTTGACTTAGGGTACTCTCTATAGCCCCAATTGCCACCAGCTGCAAACAGTAGTGAATTGGAAAGGGGAGTGTGCATTGAGTATAGAAGGTGTGATGTTGAGGTGTTGTTGAGTTGACAGGATCCTGAGACCTTCACAAAATCTGGGGAATAGGGAATATGCTTCACCCAAGCATCATTTATACATGACAGCTTTTAAAGGAATAATCTTGTGACCCTTGGCTTTGTCTTCTTAGCATGTAGCTTCTCTCATACTGGAAAACAGTATCTACTTTTTCAAAAAATGCTGTTTTGACTTTAGTGTCCATAATGTAATAATCTGGAATGATTAATATGTTAAACTTAATAAATTATTTGTAGGAATAATCTGAACAAGGAGACATGTTAAGTGCATGCTTTCTATGAGTTCATGCCTAATAGTTCAGCACCTTTTACTGGAATACAAGGTTCTTTGCTTCATGAGTAGGAATGGTCAATGTAGGATAATGTGACAAGTACACAATTTGCCTTTCAATGGTGCTTGGGAGTTAGTGCACATTTTCTGCCCCAGTGAACTAACACAGACTTGCCTTCCAGATAAAGCAGACAGTCCCCTGAAATCCCTGAACCCTGTCTAACCTTGTGTTAACTTTCTCTCTCCCTGTTGTGGCTGTGTTAACAAACACGCTGTGACAAAACAGATGTGGAAGACATTAAATTTGTGATAAACTTTGACTACCCTGCCTGCTCTGAGGACTATGTACATCGCATTGGCCGGACAGGCCGCAGCAACAACACTGGCACTGCCTACACATTCTTCACACCTAGCAATAGCAAGCAGGTGAACGACCTGGTCTCCGTGCTCCGGGAAGCCAACCAGAACATCAACCCAAAACTACTTCAGTTGGCCGAGTCAAACCGAGGGAGCATGGGAAAAGGTCAGTACAGAAACAGATTTAGTAGACAACGGAAGGACTACTATTATTAGAGGTATGAGGAACATTTTGTTTTCATTTGAATCAGTGTTGCGCCCTCAACAAAGTCCTGAAAACAACCTACGTTTTCCATATAGTATCTTTCTTTTGATCTTTGAAATTAATGACCACTCATTAAATGTTGCTATTGCAACCTCTAAACTTCAGTTTTATTGTGGGTCAGCACTGTTTGGTGGAGGGACTTGTGTTCGACCCAAATGAATCCCTGATCAGAGTGGTCATGCTCTTATCCTGGATAAATTTGTTCGCATGCAGTTACCTTTGTTGTCTTGTTTGTTACTTGCTGTAGCTCTTGTGTTTTCTAGTCTACTTTTTTTCATTATTAACTAAGCTTTCTCTCAAGTCAGTTTTACTGACTATATTAAATTTTTTAAAGCTGTTCCTATATGATTATTAATTCTTTACCATATAAAATTTGTTAACAGTAAAATTGTCATGCAGATGCATTGAAGCTTATTTTCTTAATTTGTGGATTATCTTTTTTCAGGTCGAAGCAGGTGGAAGGGTAGAGATGACAGAAGTGGTCGTGACAGCCGTGGAAGCTACAGAGATCATGATAGCTATGGCAGTCGAGATAGAGGACGTGGTGGTTCAGGTTATGGGGGATCAAGTTATGGGGATCAAGTTACGGGGGTGGCAGCATGGGAGGTGGTAGCAGTCAGGGTGGGTTTGGTCAGGCATCGCGAGATAGTTCAAGTGGGTCCAGGGGAGGATACTCAAATAGTTCAAGTAGGGGTGGGTTCAGTCAAAGAACTGAAAGCAGGTTTTCAGGTCAAAGCCAAGCTGGAGCGGCACCAAAGAACAATTTCAATCAGGGGGCTTCAAGAGGGGGAATGGCACCCAAACCACAGTCAGTAGTGCAGCAGCCTCAATATGGACAACCGAGGCAGCCACATATGAATGGTTATGGTGGAGCTGGTGCTGCAGGAGCAGCTGCAACACCATCTGCAGCTCCAGCAGCAGCACCTAAACCTCCACAGTCACAGCAACAGCCACAACAGGGAGGACCAGGAAAAATGCAGGATTTGCAGAACATGGCCTTTATGTATAGCCAGTGGATGCAGCATTCCACTGGTGCACCACCACCTCCCCCATCTGGCCCTGTGGCACCCCCTCCCCCTCCCCCACCTGGTTACTAGATAAAGCGAAAGCAGTCTTCTCGGTCCACTGTTTTCTTTAATTTATAGTAATTGAAGATTATCAATGCTCTGGTGGCAATGGATCCATATGTAAAGTATACATTGTTTTAGTTCATTCATTTTTACTCATTTTATTTCATTGTCTTTTGTGTTCTCTATTGTACTTCAGCATTGTTAAGATGTGCTTGGAAACCTAATATGAATAAAAAAGATGTACATTGAATCTGTTTTGTAAGTTGCGTCTGTGCATTAATTTAACACTGCAGCATACCAGGACACACAAATAGAAATCATAATTGCACATGTAGAGTTCTTTGTGGTGATTAGAGAGTGCAGTGTTTTGATCAGATGCTGTACAAAAATGACTGTTAGAACATGGTTGTCTCAGTCTGTTTTTCATGGGGAAGTGGTTGCCTCTTGCAGAACGGTTGTCTGACGTGGCTCTCATAGGCTTGGTATCTTTCTACATTACACAATCACAATGGACTTTTCTTTATTAGTACACAAACTTCAACAAGAGCAATGATTAGGGAACAAGTTACTCTCTCATCCCTACAGATATGAGTATAATCCCAAATATAACATTACAATTGTCTTATTGCAACAGTCATTACTCTTTCTAAAGAGCATTGTGAAATCGTAGCTTTCGGTCATGAAACTGCCATGTTACACTTTACAGAGGTGTTTTAAGTTCCTGATGTGGGCTACAAGCTGTCGGACTTCCATTTTCCAATTTAGTTTGAGGCTGGGTTGGTTCATTGTTTTGTGTGCTTTCAAGTTTGAGCCAGATGGGACTCGACAAATGAAAAACTTCTAAAGTACTGTCGGAAATAGGACTAACTCTGTATCCCTAAAATTTACACAACTGCAAGTAGCATATGTTGAAATAACCCACATAGGCCTAAATGGGCGTTCAGTGGGATGTGTAATAGGATATCTAGAAATGCATGTTTACTCGTGACATCGGGCAAAACTTACATCAGACTATAGATGGCAATTGAAGTACTGTCGGAAATAGAAAGAACTACAATTTATGTAGTTAATGTGTAAGTGTGATATATCTGTTGAACAAAGTTCGGCCTAACTACGGTCCCAGTGGTGGGGAGATAGGAAACGTAGAAAAAGGACTACTGAGGAGAGATTAGTGCAGAAATGTCCAAAGTGACATATTTGGAACAGGCCATTGCTTTATGCAAATTAGTGTGCGATGATGATATATTACAAAGGACAATTTTTAAATGTCCACTTTGAAATTAAACTTAGCTTCATTATAAACGATAGCTGACGTAAAAAATAACTTTAATACTGAAACTATGAAGGATGTAACTGCCATCACTTTTCACTATCACTATAAAAAGAAACAGGTAGGAGGGGTCGTCTCAAAAGTAAATCCATGACGGGTGTCTGTGGTTGGTGTTGGGCTAGGGGATAGAGATATAAGCTGAGATACGATAATCCTTTGGGGGAATTAAACTGGGAAACAAACGGCATGTCATAACATTTTACAAATAATATCCAGTCCTGTCGATCTTCAGGTGGTCATGCTACCTATATATTTTGAGACATTTAATACGATGGCTGATGTAAGCTTTTCCATGGGTATCATACCCTTTTACGTATCTCGGACCGTCGACTCCCCTGGCATGAAATGCATGTGCTGCCTACAGGCACAAGGGGTCATCTGAAAGATATATTATGCTTTTTTCATGTGTATTGAATATATCTCATCTATTGATAGTCATCTTGCGTGTCTTTCATAACGTTTATGTTGAGATATGTAATACAGTATGATACCCACAGAAAAACTTAAATCAACTATCATATTAAGTGTCTCAAGATATATAGGTGGCAAGACCACCCCAAAAAGATCGACAGGACTGGATATTATTTGTTCATTGTCAAGACGTGATACAGTACAACCAGAAATTATTGAGAATTTAAAGATTGTAAATTTTTTATTTTTTTCAATTATTATTCACGTATTAAATGTGAAGATTAGCAGAACATAACTCAATATTGAAGGTGAGGTGAACAGTTAGTATTTTGTCAAGTCGGCATGGGCTTCAATGCGGCGGGGCATACTACTGATCAAAGAACTTAGAAAGTCGTGGTCCATGCTGTCCCAATATCGGACCATCTCTTCTTTCATTTCAGCAATATTTGTCAGATTTTTCTTATTGACCCTTTGGGGGCGGTGGGGTAGCCTAATGGTTAAAGCGTTGGCTCGTCATGCTGAAGACCCGGGTTCAAATCCCCACATGGGCACAATGTGTGAAGCCAATTTCTGGTGTTCCCCGCCGTGATGTTGCTGGAATATTGCTAAAAGCGGCGTAAAAACCAAACTCGGTTAGTCAGTCAGTCAGTTAGTTAGCATTGACACTTTCCTTCATAAGTCCCCAAACATTTTCTATTGGATTTAAGTCGGGGTTATAGCTTGGCCAATCTAATAATGTCATATTTTGGGTCAAAAACCAGGCCTGTGAATGCTTTGAACAATGTTTTGGGTCGTGCTGCTGGAAAATCCAAAAAATTTCCATAGAACATGTGAGCAGATAGAAGTAAATGTCCCTCGAGAATATTTGTGTACCGCTCACTGTTCATATTCCCTTCAAATACACAGAGGGGCGTTGCCCCTAACACAAATATGCCACCCCACACGTTAAATTTCGGACTGTATTTTGGGCGCTGATTCAAAGGTTTTTCAGTTTGTTTGGTCCAGAATTTCAGTGTATTAGTGAACAGCCACACAGAACTTTCATCTGAGAAAATCACATTGTCCCAGTTAAAATGTCCATGCTGTAAGCACCAGTTCAACCTTCGCTTCTTTTGTTCAGGTTTCATGATCGGTGATGGAATTCCTCGACTTTTCTGCCAACCCATTGCATGCAGCTCAGTTCTAATTGTCTCCTTACAGACAGCCACGGTTCCTCTATCAATCATATCCAGCCTTAAGTTTTCTCAATTCCTTCGCTTGTTTTTAGAAACAAGAATACCAAGCCGCCTCCTGTAACCGACAGTCAATTTTCTGGGCCTACCTGCGCCTTCCTGGTGCTCAATGCCATATCCATTTGCAATATTTTTCAAAACAGGATAAACTGTGGACAAAGGGATGCCTGTTCTACTTGAAATCACTTTAGCTGATCTGATGTCCTTGTTATAATACTCTAAAATCAACTTCCACTTCTCTAAATCATCCATACTGAGGATCACTGAAAATGTCCTCTGCTAGCAAGTAAACAAACAGTTTTATTCTATTTCCGACAGTACTTTAGAATTTGTACTTTGCTGATTAAGTGTAATCCCAAATATAACATGTTACATGGGATTAGTCATCAGACTGTACATCTGAAGATGATGAAGTTCAACCAGAACAAATGAAGGGAACCTGAACGTTGCAAATTCTTTTTAAAATGTGTAAGATTCATGGTTTGTCTAGTAATTTCCAAACGGTGCAGTTGCTATTTGTTAGTTTTATAGTATTCCCAGAAATGATTGATAATGTTTTTGTCAGTAAAGATCTAATGCATATATGGCTGAGGAAGTTTTTGACAACATAATCCAAAGTGATAGCTCTTGTTTAAGTCTGTGTATCCTCGTGTGTAATTTATATGAATATTATGGTGTAATAAACAGCATTAAGCAGTATCTTGCAACTCTTGTTAACCAAAAGTGCATCAGACTGTTTTGAAGAACATTGTACTACAATAACATATACTTACAACAAATTCCTTTATATTAAAATGAAAATATGTTCAGTATTATCTTTGTTTCTATTGCCAGAGTGAAAAGGAAACTATTGTCCATTTATTTTGGGAATGTGATGTTACTAAGGACTACAAGGATAAAGTTTTGAAATGGATAGACTAGTGTGGTCATGTGTGCAATATGAAGCTAAGTGCTGAATTTATACTATTTGGAGTTCAAGAAAACATAACAGACTAGGTTTTTGATTTCATATTGCTTTTTGCAAAGAAACAGAAAAATATTTAGATGATTTGTCAAGGAAATAGACATAAGGTACAAAATAGAAAAGGACATAGCTTTTAGAAACAGTGATCAGGATAAGTTGTACCAGTCTTGGATGTTGTATCGTACTCTTTGCATCATTGGAGCAGCAATAAACAAGATCATAGAATATATATTTAACATGTAATACGAGGCCAGCAGATTTCTATTGAGTTGTTAAGCTTTTGAGTGTTTGTCCTAAGGCCAGACCAATTTTATTTATTGTTTTACAGATCTGCCTGTCATATTTTTTCAAGAATAAGAGAATTTTTTTTTAAATTTCCCCGCTCAAAAAGTAAAATGCTAATGCTTTTATTGGCCAAAAATGTAAACTTACAAGAAAAATTTTTTTTTAGATTGTTTTTAGCCTCATATACACTTCATAAATTGACAAAAGTAAAATACTTTTAGTATTTAGAAGGAATATTACTTTGATTGGTGATTTTATTTATATATTTTTTCCCTCCTGCCTTTAGGTTTTCTGAGGACTAAAATACGTAAAACAAGAAATAAAATTGGTCTGGCCTAAAGGAGGAAAAATACCTCCTCTGTACATCTTTTAACAACCATGGAAACACAATATTACATGTACATCATGCTGTTGTACTCTAATTACCCTAAGTGTGCTATGCCATGTGTAACAGGAGGAAATAAATATGTAAAACAAAAAAAATATCTTAATACAGTCAAATCCCGATGAGTCGAATGCTGGTGTCTCGAATATTATGCATAACTCGAAGTACCTGTCGGTCCCCACCATTCCCTGTTATGGTTGTGATCATTTGAATACCGGTTACACGAATTCGTCTCATAAATACACACGATGACTCGAAAAGGAAATTTGGTCCCATAAGATTCAAACAACAGCAGTCTTGTATACATAAGCCGAAGTCAGTCAATGAGAAGTTGATTGGTGTAGCAACCTGATCCAATTAACAAACCAGCGCGACTCGCACCTTTCCGCCATTGATGGGTGAGTTCAAAAAGGCAGATTAGTGATTTTACGGAAATCACTGTCTGTGCTAATCAGACTGGAACTGATAAGTGATATGGTAATCATTAGATAAACAAATGCTTAGGCGGAGGAATTAGGACTGGATCATCTTTTTTTCTACCCTCATAGACTTACCTATACTACATGGATAAGTCGAATTTATTACTTGGTCCCCAGCGATTCGACTCATCGGGATTTGACTGTACATGTATATAAACTGCATGTATATAAAGTATAACTTAAATGAATATGTTGAGATATGATTCTCTTAGTCTCTTCAGTATTTTGCGAGACGACCTCCTTGCCCTGCAATACAGGACTGAATGTGCCTAGGTACACTACCGATCAAAGTTTGTAGGAAATTGTGTGACACGAGTATCCCCAAATTCGACCACTTCTTTCTTCATATCCTCAAGATTTCTAAGTCCTTTTTGTTTATTCTGTTCTTCATTAGTCCTCACACATTCTCAAAAGGGTTAAGATCTGGGCTGTAGCTGGGCCAGTCTAAAACTTGAACATTTGTCCGACAAACACTTTTGTGTAGCCTGCAGTGTGTTTGGGGTCATTGTCTTGCTGGAAAATCCAATTATCTTCTTATACAATGTTCGGGCTGTTGGAAGGAGGTGATCATGTAAGATGTCAACGTATCGCTCCTTCGTCCTATTTCCAGTGAAAAAAAACAACGGCGTCACTCCACATGATATCCCACCCCACATATGAGATTTCGGGCTATGTCTTGGGCATTGGTAGATAGGTTTCACGGTATCTTTTGTCCAAATGTTCACACAGTTTGGAAAAAGTCAGACAGAACTTTCATCAGAAAAGAAAACATCCCAATCTTGATTTTCTCGAGCCCTACACCAGTTTAAACATTTCTTTTTGTGCATCTTTCATCAATGGTGAAGGACTCTCATGTCTACCAGCTAACTCTCTTGCATCAGTTGCAACCCTTTCAAAGTCACCTGGAACCAGCTTTACTTTCTCCTCTCCTCTGCTGTCAAATCTGTCCACTCTCCTAGAGTTCAATGCGCAGTCATCGCTGCATTGGAGTGTGAAATCTGCTATATCATCAAAGGAAGATGCCTGCTACACCAGGGGAGATAACCCTTGATGTAGTTAGGTTCATTCTGAAGCCTACACCCTTCCATATCAAGTACCTTACTACATAATGTAACACTTATTTAAAAAATTTAGGAAACAAAGATTTTCTCAATAATTTCTGGGAAACTGTGTACATTGTTTGTGTTGGGTAATTGGAATTTTGAACATTTCAATTTTACAAATATTAAAGTGTGCTCGCCTTGTATCATGGGTATGTTGGGTCCATGTATTGTAATGGTATACTCACTCCCTCACTCTAGTGCGCACACACACACTTATATCGAGTTCACAAGTTCACTCACAAATTGTGACTTAATTCAACAAGTGCTAATAATATATGTCAAAACCACAGATTTAAATGGATATGTTTTTGTTTGCATTTGGAGATGACCGAAGGCAGTGTATGAAATAAGGCCTGTCCGACTGCCTGAGACAGGCTAGATTTCTGACAGTCTAAATTTACAGCTTTCCAGCCCAATAGTCTGGTAAAATTTTTAATTGTACCATACACCTGAGTAAATTCACTTTATCTTGGGGTCTGGTCTGCTTAAATCATTTTTGGGCTGGTAACATTTTGAAGTTGGCAGCCCGGACGTCTGGCTGGAATTTTGGCTTATTTCATACACTGCTGAAGGATAATGAAACCACACTGAAATTGGCAGTTCAGCTTTCCCTTGATACTGTATCTGGTTGTGAATGTAGGATGCTGTAAGGTTTCACTGAATCTAATCGCCACAGCTTATTAGAAGATCATTTACTGTAGGTCATTGGCACTAAATGTGCTTCAAAGGACATTTTCTTTATATGTACGAAGATCATATAAATCTACAGAAATTACAATCTTCCACTTAAGGGTATATCTGGTTTATATGTTGGCGAGTTCATTGGAAATATTTGCATTTGATATTAAAGGTCACATGTATACTGTGGTTATTGTATTCCTCGCAGATGTGAATTTGGTACAAATCCTTCAGCTGATGAATTGGAATTGTTTTTATCATGTAATTGTAGGTCATGGTCTAAGTCTGAAAGTTAAATGACATGTTTTAGGCAAGCTTATACATGATTTCAGTATCATATGATCAACCACATTATCAGCTGATGCAGACTGTCTGGGGGCAAAAGGTTGGTGTTAAAGACACATGGAAAGCTCCCCAAAATGTTCCTTTGAGTATGACTGAGCTAACCAGTAGTATTTTTCTGGGCTGACGCTCTATCCAGCTGGTGGTACTGCAGCAACATGTCAGTAAATGGCAGGTCGATATGTAGACACCCTGCGTGAGGGACATATCACAGTGATGTTCTTTCCGAGACGTTATCCATTTGGTGGCAATCTTTATCATGCTTTCACTAGCCTGTTTGATCCAGACCCGATTACTCAGAGAGCCTGCTACTTCATACAATACAGGCCTTTAATCAACTACTGGGAAAGAAAAAATAAAATTCACAGAAACAAGGTTCAACATCATCACTTTTGTCAGTTTTTAATGTCAAGATTGATGTGTGTTTATTATCATACTGGTACACAATGAAACTGAAAGATAAACTACCATGTTTTCATGGTAGATTTCAAGAAGAATCAGATACCACTATTTCCGATTAATCTTGGATAAATATTCAGAATTTGGTATTGCTGGTTTTTGTGTAAATTCTTATATTCTGTGCAAAAGAGAATGCTTGTACACTATGATCAGAACATGCAAATCCATGTTTTCCAGGTGAATAGATTTAATACCATTAATTCAAAAACATTGTAAATATGTAGAAATTGAGTTCCATCCCACGAAGCATTCCTATTACATTAAGGCTGTTGTGCAGGTTTAAGTGTCCGTGAAATCTGAAAAGGCAAAATATCATGTCATTAAACTTTTGACTCTGAACAAAGTATCATATTATTCATAAACATGTCTCCACCCCAAACCTCATATTTTTAGGTACATTACTTAAAGTTATAACTACATGTGTTTTGAAAAAAATACACATTATAGATCAAGTGTCTGGCAGAAGTATTCATTAGCTTTACAGGCTTGGTAGGCAACAAATGCAACTTGTACATGTTTGAGTAAAGTCCAAATTGTTTCCATAGAAACATAAATAATTCAAACAAGTACGAAAATATTGAAAGTCAATAGTTGAGCATGTGGTCACTATTACACAGTTTTTAACTTGGTCTGATGCTTACCTCCTCGAACTTGTGAATTTGTCTGATGAAGAAATCTCCATATCTTCTAGCAACTTTCGTGTCCGCTACATGAATCATCTCCTGAAATAAGCAGAAACCACATGTCATTGTTCTACAAGTGTACTATCTTTTGTTTGTATTGAGCACAACCCAAACCAATCCAGTGAAATGAAAGTGACATCTCACACAGTTTGTGTTTCCTTCAGGTAAAAACTCCTTGTTCAGTCTGGGACTCTCAACACTGAGATGCCAACCCTTGTTTTTGGAGTAAAACAAGTAATGTTTACTTTTAAGAATAGTTGATGAGTGTCATCTTTAAGAGTCTCAGCTGGGTTAAGCTTGAACATGTTCATTAGGCCCAAAGGTAATTTAGTCAAAAGAGCAAGATTGCAGCAAGATTACTTTCAAGAATATCTATAAATAATGAAAGGGGCTTAAATAGGTACCCATTTTATGCATATCTACAATATGAATTGAAACAAAAACTTCTGGATTGGTAGTGTTTAAGTGTACAACCCATAAGTCCCAAAATCCTGACATACCCTATCAATGTAGAAGTCCACTTCTGAAGCAGACTGGAATTCTCCCTCGAGCCCACTTGTGCCCTTTGTCCACACCAGGTTCTTCATCTTGTGCTGAAACAAGAAGCGAGTGAGTGAGTGAGAGAGCGGGCAAGAGTTTGGTACTGTTCTGAACAGCCATATTTTCAGTGTGATACAAGAGGAATGCCTGATGTGATGCAGATCTTTGATGTTTACCACTATGGTGAAACGGATTTACAAGCATGACATTAGAAACATGTGTTTCCTGGGACATCTGGCAAAACTGCTCAGCAGTAATATCGCAGCATTTAAGAGAAAACCTCAGCATCAAACCAATATGCTATCTGGTACATGGGACTGCAGAAGCAGGTTGGCTCAAGGCTAACACTGTGCTCCTATGGGGATTAAATTATTTATTATATGATACTTATATAGCGCACATATCCAGGCAACTAGTGCTTGCTCAAGGCGCCGATATTTTTCCCTCGATCATTGGCTGTCAATCTCAATGGCACATCGTATTATCAATCTCAACTCCCTGGGGAGTATACAACTCTTGCAGCCACTAGGCGCACCGAGTTATTGTGTCTTTCTCATCCTAGCGAGGTACCCATTCACAGCTGGGTGGACTGGGACACATAGTCACAGTATTTTGTCCAAGTTCACTGCATGTTGCTGTACCTGCAACTAGGTGTTTGCACGTATTCATGTGGCCACCATCTGGTCACGTACCAACGGATTCGTGGGTTCTTTTAAATGCACAGGGTTGTGTACTGTACACTAGGGGTTGTGACAACACTGAAAGAGTCTGCACACAAAGTTGACTCCAAGGTTTTTACACCCGGTAACAGGTGGGCTCGATCCCGACACCTCAACCTCGCTGGATCACTAGCCTGGTGCCTTAGCCAGCTTGCCCACCACGCCCAGTGAACATTCTCTTATTCATGTATGACTGAGATAGTTGATACTAAATGTTGATCTGAACACAGTGTCATTAGTGAGTGAGTCAGTATGGTTTTATGCCGCTTTTAGCAATATTCCAGCAATATCATGGCGGGGGACACCAGAAATGGGCTTCACACATTGTACCCATGTGGAGAAAGTGTCATTAGTAACACAGCATGTAACAAGTTGAGAAGAAAGCCCAATGTGGAATATTATGTGTTGAGAATCACATACCTTGAAGCACATGAGATGGGTCCTCAGCTGATCCTCTGACTGAAATACAATATTGAATGATGATTACGGTGACAGATTGTAATATTACAAGTTTGTCTAACAATTACAATTATGTACCTTCACATTTGACACAGATAGTCCAAGATTATTATCTTGAGGACAATTCCTCATTTCAACAGAATTCATTAATATCACTGCAAAGGTTGATGTGGCAGAAACATTTCTAGTTACGCATGTCCCAGATATTTACCACTTTAGTGAAACCCACTAGCACAGGTATGGTCCTGGCAAACTTAGGAACATGATCAGGGTGACCTAGATTCGAACCCACAATCACAGGTTTTACAATGAGCCGAACTCTGCATAGTGAATGGTGGCACCTTAGACGAGTGTCTGTCTGTTGCTCAATACAGCAATATTACAGTTGTTAATGCTTAAATTTGAATCTGGACCAGACAATCCAGTGATTGACATCATGAGCACTTTTCCACACATATGGGAAAGAAAACATGAATCAACCAAGTCAGCGAGACCTATCCCATTAGTCACCTCCCACAACAAGCATGGGTTCCTGAATACCTATTCTAACCTGGATCTTCATGGGTGCTTTCTCTCTCCCTCCTTCCCCAAAAAAAAAACAACAACAACAACAACACACACACAATGATGCTAACTACTCACCATATCCATGAAGACAGCAAGTTTTGAGATGGGCAGGGTTGTGTAAAGTTTCAGGTAACTGAAAAGACAATTTAGGGTAAGACTATTCAAGGGGGTGACCATTCAATTATTTGTTAAACAAAACACTACAACATCATGCATAGGGTGGTAAAGTTTGGGAAGGCTTGGATTAATTGGCATCTCTGGGATATTACACCAACTCTGTTTCCCTGTAAACTCTTTAATTACTAATCCAGCAGGTAGAGATCACTATAGAGACTTAGAAACAATATCTAGCCCAAGATCAGTGACTGACTGACTTACTGAGGTTTTATCTTTAGCAATAGAGACTTAGAAACAATACACAATGTACCCATGTGGGGATTCGAACCAAGACCCCACAGGAAGATCAGGAAAGAGATGGAACAGTAACGTATGGTCCACTCAACTGTTCAGTGTAGATGAGTTTACAGTAGTTTCAGACAGTACCTGAGTCAGAACATTATGTCAAACAAGAACTAGGAGGAAAGACTCAAGGGGTATATTGAATTATTTGTTAAGCAAGGAAAGCTTAAAGTGATGCAGGTCTTAAACATTTACCACTTCAGAGAAACTGTCAAACAATCAGGATGAATACAATTATAACCCACTATTATCAGTTTCTGGTACACCTAAGGGACAGAGCTCTGCACAGTGAATCAAGGCACCAAAAGACAACTGAGCTAGCTTTGCCATGTCAACATTTAGTAAGGCTCCTACCTCCTAATGGTGGGAACAAGGATCTGTTGTCGGACCTCCTCCTGGAACACCGTCAGCTGCAGCTGGAACGGCTCCTGCAGCAAAAACACAACTTGTAACAGATTGTCATATTTTGTCAGTAAAGCAAATCAGGTTGAACAAAATCCAAAATTATCTAAGAAGAAGTGTTTGCCACTGATATGGCAATGTTCCCTGCCGCTAAAGAATGGAATATCTATATTTACTATTTTTTGGTCACATACAAGATGCCTGAAATGATTGGTGTCTGCATAATCACCCAATGTAGGCTGTCAACATACTTGAAAACAATGGGTGCAATGTTTTATGAGATATCGCATTTAAATAAGTGTGAAAAGTGGTCAAAGTGTCGTGGTGATGAAAATAAGGTCAAGGTCACCTAAATCAACTGGTGTCTGTGTAATCCCCCAACGTAGGCTGTCACCAAATTTGAAGACATTGGGTAGAACAGTGCATGAGATATCGCATGAACAAGGGTTAAAAGTGTGCAAAGTGTTCTGGTGTCCTTGAAGATACGGTCAAGTCCACCCAAATCAACTGGTGTCTGCGTAATCCCCCAATGTAGGCTGTTACCAACTTTGAAGACATTGGGTACAACAGTTCATGAGATATCACGTTAAAGAACCACTAAACTTTGTTTTTTGTTACTCTTTTAACCATTACATATGAAAGATTTGTGGTTAGTCTTATGCGTAACACCAAATTTATTCTTTAAAAACTTGTGGTTAATTAATACCGGTTTATTAAAAGTGGCCAAAAAGTCGCCTGCTTCCTCTCTAACCAAACGTAAAACCACAGACAGGTTTAACTAACTCTGTCGCCAGAGCACTGCAGTGACGCCATATGAGGAACGATTTTCAGTTAGTTGTATAGAAAGTGTATAGCAGGCTCATCATTTTGATGATTTCTCGACATGAACGACAACATGCCGAATCGCTGCTTTGTCGCCAATTGCTCTAGGGGTCGGGTGATGGTGTCACCATGCACAGATTTCCACAGGACCCCGCAGTTCGTGGCTAAATGGGTTATGTTTGTGAGTGCGGCTTAGGCGTTGTGGAAGCCTGAAATGATATCTTACTTGTGTTCAGATCGCTTCACGGAAGTTAAAGAATCAAAACTACTTACTAGTTATAGTAAAATATGTATATGATTGAAAGGTTGATGTGGCAGAAACATTTCTAGTTACATGTCCCAGATATTTACCACTTTAGTGAAACCCACTAGCACAGGTATGGTCCTGGCAAACTTAGGAACATGATCAGGGTGACCTAGATTCAGAACTTTAACAATCACAGGTTTTACAATGAGCCCAACTCTGCAGAGTGAATGGTGGCACCTTAGATGAGTGTCTGTCTGTTGCTCAATACAGCAATATTACAGTTGTTAATGCTTAAACTTGAATCTGGACCAGACAATCCAGTGATTGACATCATGAGCACTTTTCTACACATTTGGGAAAGAAAACATGAATCAACCAAGTCAGCGACTCCTATCCCATTAGTCACCTCTCAGAACAGGCATGGGTTCCTGAATACCTATTCTAACTTGGATCTCCATGGGTCCTTTCTCTCTCTCTCCCCAACACACACACAATGATGCTAACTACTCACCATATCCATGAAGACAGCAAGTTTTGAGATGGGCAGGGTTGTGTAAAGTTTCAGGTAACTGAAAAGACAATTTAGGGTAAGACTATTCAAGGGGGTGACCATTCAATTATTTGTTAAACAAAAACACAACATCATGCATAGGGTGGTAAAGTTTGGGAAGGCTTGGATTAATTGGCATCTCTGGGATATTACACCAATTCTGTTTCCCTGTAAACTCTACTTTAATTACTAATCCAGCAGGTAGAGATTACTCTAGAGACTTAGAAACAATATCTAGACCAAGATCAGGAAAAAGATGGAACAGTAACGTATGGTCCACTCAACTGTTCAGTGTAGATGAGTTTACGGTAGTTTCAGACAGTACCTGAGTCAGAACATGATGTCAAACAAGAACTAGGAGGAAAGACTCAAGGGGTATATTGAATTATTTGTTAAGCAAGGAAAGCCTAAAGTGATGCAGGTCTTAAACATTTACCACTTTAGAGGAACTGTCAAACAATCAGGATGAATACAATTATAACCCACTATTATCAGTTTCTGGTAGACCTAAGGGACAGAGCTCTGCACAGTGAATCAAGGCACCAAAGACAACTGAGCTAGCTTTGCCATGTCAACATTTAGTAAGGCTCCTACCTCCTAATGGTGGGAACAAGGATCTGTTGTCGGACCTCCTCCTGGAACACCGTCAGCTGCAGCTGGAACGGCTCCTGCAGCAAAAACACAACTTGTAACAGATTGTCATATTTTGTCAGTAAAGCAAATCAGGTTGAACAAAATCCAAAATTATCTAAGAACAAGTGTTTGCCACTGATATGGCAATGTTCCCTGCCGCTAAAGAATGGAATATCTATATTTACTATTTTTGATCACATACAAGATGCCTGAAATGATTGGTGTCTGCATAATCACCCAATGTAGGCTGTCAACATACTTGAAAGCAATGGGTGCAATGTTTTATGAGATATAAGCATTTAAATAAGTGTGAAAAGTGGTCAAAGTGTCCGTGGTGATGAAAATAAGGTCAAGGTCACCCAATCAACTGGTGTCTGTGTAATCCCCAACGTAGGCTGTCACCAAATTTGAAGACATTGGGTAGAACAGTGCATGAGATATCGTCATGAACAAGGGTTAAAAGTGTGCAAAGTGTCGTGGTGTCCTTGAAGATAACGGTCAAGTCCACCCAAAATCAACTGGTGTCTACCGTAATCCCCCCAATGTAGGCTGTTACCAAATTTGAAGACATTGGGTACAACAGTTCATGAGATATCGCGTTAACAGGATTTTGAAAAGTGGTCAAAGTGCCATAGTGACCTTGAAAATAAGGTCAAGGTCACCAAAATCAACTGGTGTCTTGGTAATCCCCAATGTAGGCTGTCACCAAATTTGAAGACATTGGTTGGGTACAACAGTTCATGAGATATCCGTTAACAAGAATCGGAACGGGGCGATCGCGGATGTCGCTGAATACATAGTCCCCGTTCCGCTGTGGGCGGGGCGATTATCTTTTTACATCATTACCTAAACAAATATCACAGGGGCTAGAAAGAAGTACCTCCAGCCAAAATTTTACGATAGATAGAAAAGACACAGACTCTTCTGACTGAATTTCGTCATTCTTCCATGGTAGCCACATGTGTACCACCTCACTACATGTTCATGTTCTTGTCATAACCAGCAGCCAAAGAGTCAGGAAGAGAACTAAACCACAGACCTCATACATGATTACTAGTGACAATGTGTGAACTGACTGTTGGTGTTGCTGTAGCCATTGTTTATCATTGCAATAAACAAGATTCACTCAGTAATCCTTATCATAAGCAAGTTATACATCAGATTCCCCATCTGTAGGAAGATAAACTCTACAGTCAATTCGACCATTGATGAGAGAGCATAACCCAGCACCAAATTACACAATTGCTGCCTGTAAACAAACAGGTCCGGGGCAGTTGACAAGTCTTTAGTACCGGAATTGCTCCTCGGATGACTAAATGCGTTTGACAATTGTTGTACGACAACTGCTGTACTTGGTTGACCTCTCACCTTGTGGTAGTTGCTGCCTCCGCCGTCGTAGTTAGGAGGCACTGGGGACAAGAACTTGGGGCACGCAAAGGAGAAAGATTGCTCAAACTCGGCCATGTCACTGCAAAACAAAACAATTCCTATTACCTGTCAGCAGATTACCAGTCAATGGGTCTACAATATGGAGCAGAAGATTTGTATGATCCCAGCTATGGTTTCCCTGACAACTTCTCATCCAACTTGGCCTGCCAACATTTCTTCATTTTTCAAGTGAGATACAGCAACTTGTCGCTGTATTTATTCTTTCCATTGCACTCAAGATCACAAACCCACCCTTTCTGTAGCCGGAGCATCTTGTCTGCAAACTTCTCACGGAGCTGAGAGTGCACACTTTCATCAATCCTCATGGGGTGAAGCACCAGACAGATGGCCAGCAGTGTGTACATCTTCTCGTTCTGCTTGGAGATCTGCCAACACATCAGTTGTATGTGCATCACACAACTCATATTTCTCAGCTTTTGTCCTCAATAACAATACAGCAAACTTTTAAAAATCGGAAATTCTTCCTCCCCAAACATGTAGCTTTGAGTGAGTGGTAAATATTTATTAAAATGTTACGACAATCAGGACAATGAAATACTTGTCCTAATCCATTTTGCAAATACATAATCAATTTCATTTCAAAGTAACTATTTATCAAACAAGCTTTCTTTTCTCAAAGCAAAATCATTTTCCCTTCTACCTACACAACTACATTCATTACATGTTCACTAGCGTCCATATTTGCCCCATTTCTGTGTATTGGCGGATTGTCTCCCTTCTCACCTGGTCGTACAATGACGCCCTGTTCTGGAACATGGACTTGGTACGCTGGATGTACAGCAGGATGTTGGAGAAGGTTCGGATTGCATCCTGGTAGCGCCGCATCATCATATAGGCAAAGCCCACGTAGTAGAAGGTGGTGATCTGACAGGCTGGCACTCTTGAGTACAGGTTCTAGACACACACACAAACATTTCGTAAACAGTTTCTCCCTGGTGTTGTTGATACAGTTTACTTAGTGAGCAGAAAGTCTGGTTCGATCTCCCCCATGAAAGATGGTCCTCAGGAAACCTGGTGCTTTGCATTCAGCAGATGAAACAAGGACAGTGTCAGTATAATGAGCGGGAAGCCTTGTTAAACTCTGTACCATCAGAAACCTGCAAGTCTCAACTAGTTTTGTTTTTCGTTCTTTAAAGCCGCACTAATGCAGCTCACGAGCGATCTGTAAGTAAGTAATACAATCTGGACCAGACAATCTACATAATTGGGATAATGGCGACCTGTGTCAACCAGATCAACAAGCCTGACCACTGGATCCCGTTAGTCACGTCTTAAGACAAGCATTGGTTGCTGAAGACCAATTCTTACACGGTTCTTTATGGGTTTCTCGACTAGTACAAGCAGCCACACACACACATGCATGCACATCACTTCAGAAGAACAACAATACTTAAGGCAATGCAAACTCTATTTCACAAACCCATATTAAAAGAGTTACTATTTTCAGCTTATATAATCCATAACTGCAGATTGACCATTTACCTTGGGAAAAGAGATTGATATATATGGCAACTACCCAATATTGCTCATGGGTATTTTGGGGGGCTGAATAAGTAAACTCAGAATTTGAATGCCAGTTTCTTAAAACCACTGAACATAATCTGTTTGATTCATGTACTATCTGCATACAGAACTGCCTGAAATGAACAGAAGTCATTCTGCTACAGATGCACAACTCGGCTCTGATCTCACCTTCTTGTTGAAGTCGATGTTCTCCAGCACCTTGAGGGCCTGGTAGTAATCTCCCAGTAGGGAGTGCAGTCTCAGCAGGCCGATGAGGCTGAAGTAGCCCAGCATCTTGTACAGCGAGTGCTGGCCGAACTCACCAGCCACACTCTCAGCATCACCTGAAAAAACAACATTGCGTCACTATATAAATCACACTGAGACAAGTAAAGAAAGACATACACAAATATGGGTCAGTAGGTTCAATACTTTGCACATGATGTGATATCAATGCAATGTGGACCGCCTCCGTGGTGTAGTGGTTAGAGCGTCCGCCCGGAGAGCGGAAGGTCGCGGGTTAGATCCCCGGCCACGTCATACCAAAAGACATTAAAATATGGTACTTGTTGGTCCCTGCCCGGCGCTCAGCATTAATGGGTACAACAAGGACTGGTCGGCTCGGAGTCAGTATACTGTGTCTGAGTGGGGTATTCATGCTTCACTGCGGTATGGTATCTCAGTGGGCTAGCACTATAAAACCAGCTTAAGTCTGGGCTAGTACAAGCAGCCGCACATACACATACACACGCATGCATGTCGTCATATGAGCGAAATATTCTCAAGCACGACGTTAAACCCAATTTCACCTCACCTCAATGCAATGTTTAGGTACCAGGTTTCATGTGACGCGACACCATTCACTAGACACAGAACATAATGATGGTGTAATGGTGGGGAAAAGCCTGATGACGGGAGTGTCACTGTTTATAACAATGTGTTTACTGGTTTTACATCAATCATCACAACATCCACTTTATAGTGAAAACAAGCTGATTACAACCCTTGTAATCTTATCATGATAATGTTGAAACAACATTCATAGGTAAATATCCCTGTATTGAAACTTGTTTCAAAAACATTGTGTTCTCAGAAGTACAACTGAATCATCCACATTTGCAAAATATTTTAAACTGTCCATGCCATCTGTGGACAGAAACTATTAACGAATGTCTTTTATGTGAAGCATCTTTCATACCTCTACCTAAATGGTTTACTTTCAATAAAGAAACAAACACGTCTTCAGGTCAATTAGGTGGATGTGAGGCAGGTGGAGATGAATCCACAAATCAATTTGTGAAGACTATCAATGAAACTGTTACCTCCACTGATGTAGACCTCCAACTGTCGGTTGATGTTGGACTTCTCCACCAGGGAGTGCAGGACGTTCAGGACGCTGTGTACATTCCAGATCTGCCACACACACAATAAAGAGCACATTCAGAAAACAACATACATTCCACTTCTACACGTGTACAAAACAAATTCAACATATCAACAGTGCAAATTAACACAACCTCATGACATTCAGGTTCTCTGATTCCATGCATGGAGCATGTTGGTTGGTCGGTTATCGCACTCAGCAATATTCCAGCTATATAGTGGTGGTCTGTAACTAATCGAGTCAGGACCAGACAATCCAGTGATCAGCATGGAGCACATGTACTCAGCCCAGAGATGCCAACCCTTAATCTAAGGAAAACGGAGTCATGACTGAAAGCCAGCCCTGAGCACCAAAGGTGAGAGTTGGGGGTGAGCGTGTGGTCCGCACTGCCATTTTGTTTCACTTTCATACAGACTATGACATGCATTCGGAAAAACTTCGTCAATAACACGCAATATACACAATCGACACCCAAAGGACCACACACTAAGCTTCTGAATGCTTTTAACAGTGTTCACTCAAATAAATCACCGGTGACTTACAAAATTGTATACCATAAAAATAAATTCAGAATTTTTTCTAGAAAATCAGAGTGGTTGGCATCTCTGCTCAGCCAATACAAAACATCTGCACTGCTCCATGTCACAGGCTGGAACTAAGAGTAAGTGACATGTTTTACACAGCGGAACAAAGTCTGCAACTGCCCGAATGTGTGCAACAATCAATGCTGTCAATCAACACTTGACCAACCCATCCTCTTACAACCAACACTGATTGCTTAGTGTCACAGCCGGAACAGCACGTATGGCTACTTAGAGACATTGGCACTCCACCCAGCTTAACATGCTACCTGTAGATGTACTTTACCTTGGGGTTTGTACGCAGACAGTCAATCTCCTCATCTGGCTTCTTGTTCAGCTTACAGCGGTAGATGCTGAATGACTGAAACTGTACGAACAACAAACGTCAAATGTGTCCTACAAAAAGAATAGTTCTGATTCCATAGTATAGCCATACAAACTGTGCAAGAATTTTCGTTAGCAAGTAAGTAATATTCCAGATACACGATATACATGACTCTGGACCACACAAGTTGACTTCATAAGCAACAAGCCACATCGTCAGGATAAGATGACCAGATCAATCAACCAAGTCGACAAGCTTAACTACTTTATCCACATCTTTAAGAGCCACTTTAGAAGTTTGCTTGATAAATGCCCAAACATATGTTCTAGAACCTCCGCATTCAAACAGGTGAACCAGAAGCTGAATCTATGAAGTCAATGCTGAACCTAATAATCAAATGAGGTAGTTTCTGCAAAACACTGCCCAAGGTTCTGCAATACACTGCCTATCAAGGGCCAATAACTCTTTCTATTCCAATCCTGAGCACCACCTACCTGGTAGATGAATTCGTCAATGATGTCCCACAGCCACTGGTTGGGCAGCTCAATGTGGACGGGGCCCTCTGCATCTGTTGCGAGGCAAATAAGACCCTCAGTCAATCACTATATCACAAACACAGCAATATTTCACTTACCATGAGTGAATCTGAGGTGAGGTGAAATAGGGTTTAATGTCGCACTTAAGAATATTTCGCTGTCATGACGATGTGCATGTGTGTGTATGTGTGTCCGCTTGTACTAGCCCAGACTTAAGCTGGTTTTATAGTGCTAGCTCACTGAGATACCGTGCGGCAGTTAAGCATGAATACCCCACTCAGACACATTATACTGACTCCAAGCCGACCAGTCCTTGTTGTACCCATTAATGCCGAGTCCAACTTGATTTTCTTTTACTTATGGAAATCACGAAAAATATAAATGCCAAAACTCTGCAAACAACAAAAGGCACTACTTCAAAATCTGTTTGATATATCTACAAAGTTTTGATGAAAGATATTGAATGGTTTTCAAGTTGTGATCTGGAAACGAAGCCCACCCCCCCTCCAAAACGTTTCCATGGAAACCAAGAAAAATAGAAATGACAAAATCCTGCAAATAGCAAAAGGCACCACTTTAGTTTCTGTTTGATATATCTACCAAGTCTTCTAGAAAGATATTGAACGGTTTTCGAGTTGTGCTCCGGAAATGAAGGTTACCCCTCCCTTTGAAACTAAGTTCAAATCATTTCCATGGAAACCCAAAAGAATAAAAATGTCAAAAATCTGTAAATAGCAAAAGGCACCACTTTAGGTTCTGTTTGATATATCCACCAATTTTTGTTGAAAAATATTGAAAGGTTTTTGAGTTATGCTTCGGAAACAAAATGATTCAGAGAGGACAGACAGACGAGGCGTCGACTATATCCCCCCACGAATGTTTTCACTTACTGAGGATAAAGTTGAAGAGGTTGCAGTAGTTGTAGTAAGACTCAAACCTCTGCTCCAGTGTCGGGCCACTCTGAAACAAAATATTACACACGACTTTGAACATCAGAAATGTCTTATCTCTCCTGTCACAACTTCTCATAATTTTACTGGGCATCTTCTGCCCAAAAAATCCATTAAATTGATGGACTTCACACAAGATAGCCGTCAACGAAAATTCAGATCTTCAGCAGGACAAGTAAAATAATGAACCAGTGACTTTTGTCACTAACCTGAATCTAGAGTCTAGTAAATTTCTGGCCTGGTCAGTAAAATGACACAAATATTCATTGGATAGATCCTAGTTAGAATAGTGGTTTGGGGCCCAGACTGAAATAGTTGCAGTAAACTGGCTATGATTGTGCCCAGTCGGAGGAGCACTCACCGTGACCCTGGCATAGATATGCCGGTAGTACAGCTCCTTGTACAGGATGAGAAACACTGGATCTGAAGCACCAAGGCAGATTATACTCACATGAGACATGTATATACATCCCTTCAAGATTTTCTCTTAAAAAATTGAGCAATACACTCAACCATGCTTCGCTGTATGAAAATCCCTGCTTACCCCTAAATACATCTGTACTATGTGCACACATACGCAATAAATCTTGCCATCTTAACATGGCATGAAACAGCTGATTCAGATGCCCTGTACCAAGACAACAAGCAAGCACCTTTCTTTTTATGTTAATACAATAACAGTATAACTGTAAAAATAATTTTGTAGACTTATCCTGACTCACACACTAAAGTAATTAGTTTGAGTCAGGAAAAAGAGAATTGATCATTTACAGCCCTAAATGCCTTTACTTACCATTGTTGACGATAGGTACTATGTGCTCCGCTTCAGGCCAGGGCGAGTTCTTAAAGAATCTGTCCGTTAGCTTGTTAAATCTGTGAACAATCAGGAGCATTAGTGCCAAACAACAATCATTTTCAAAACGGGGTTAAAAACTCGAACAAACCTGTAGAGGTTCCTGATTCTTTGAAACGAGTCCTCCTTGGGGTACTTACAAGCATTTAAATGCCCATTTTAAATTCCTACGACAGTTGTAACTATATCTTTCAATAAAATATTTACAAAACAAAAAACTCGTTTTTGTCTTGTGAGACCACCCCTACAGGACCCCTGGGCCCCAAGAGCCAAGAGCAGGTAACTCTAAGCGTGAACCTCGTACCTCACTTTTCATGCTGAACGAACGCAGACAGAATGAGGGAACCCCCAAGGAGGACTCTATTCAAAGAATCAGGAACCTCTACAGGTTTGTTTGATTCTTTTCCAAAAGAGATCCTCCTTGGGGTACTTATAAGCATAAGACAGACTCCCATAGACAGAGTCGGTAGTGGTATTTTGTCTGGCATACAATACCCTTCACAAAGCGGAATTCCCAAATCGACTGAGAGAGTGAAAGACACACTTACCCTGTCACCTGACCGCTGCTGTCAATCAGGCGGGGGCATGGATAGGGTTAGAGACAGTAGTTGCCAAGCTTAATAGCCTGATAGGCTGAGAGTATATAAAAAAAACCGATGGATGTGGGCCATAATTGACATGTCACCTAGCCCCACTTTAAACCCGGTAGGCTATGCATACTGAAGGTGAATAGAAAGGGAACGTTAAAAGGAATCGTAAAAACGAATCTGGAAAACCATCACTTAACCATCACCAGGGGACGGAACTATATAAAACCTTCACCAAGTAGCAAACGCAATGAAAGGCTAGAAAGCTCAATGGGCCAGAGAGTCGCAACCCTGCCCACTGGTGAATACTACACGACCAAACTGCGCACGCTCTCAGGAGTGCTTATTGAGTTGGTAATGTCGAATAAACGTATTCGGACGGCTCCAAATAGCCGCTGAGCAAATCTCCTCAATGGGCAGGGCCGCAGCATAAGCTTTTGATGTGGCTACTGCCCTAACCGAGTGAGCTTTCAACCCTTCTGGGGGAGTTATGTACATACCCCATACAAATGGCAGAGACAAGCCACCTAGAAATGGTTTGCTTGTTCGCCAGAAGACCAGCCTTGACACCGCAATAACAGCAAAAACAATTGTTTATCCTTACGGATAGACGCTGTTCGTTTGATATAAGCCTTGAGAGACTTACGGACATCTAAGACGTGAGCACGTCAAAGAGAGGGACCAGACGATGGAGGCTGCGGTAAAGCAGGAGCCGGCAATCTTAGGATGGTAAGAGTCTGGCAGGCGAATGCTAACTCTGTTTTTATGAAAAACAGTAAGTTCAGGGTCTACCGACATTGCATGAATGTCACCGACCCTCCTGCCAAACGTTACTGTCACAAGAAAAGCTGCCTTCCACATTAACAGCTGGTGTAAAAAAGAGGACCGGACAACCAATCAAGAACGATTGATAAGTCCCACGGGGGACTAATCCGCCGGACAGTCCGGCAAATTCTGTCCACGCCTGCTAAGAAGCGCTGCACCAGTGGGTGTTGACCTAATACAACACCGTCGGTAGGTGTGTAAAGCTGATATAGCCGTAGAGTAACCACGAATAGTGGACGCGGCTAAGCCGGCGCCCAAACGTGATTGCAAAAAGTCCACAAACTCGCCTAGAGTCGAAGAAAAGGGATCACAAGAATCCCTGTTTCCACACCAGCGCACATAACACGCTCATCCATCCTCACATTGAACGTTTGTCGAATCCCTCCACGAAGCCAGAATTGTGTCTGCAGCTGGTGCAGAAATTCCGCTCGCCTGGAGGCAATTCCTGACAGTGGCCAAGCCACCCACTGAATCCTGGGATTGGGGTGTGGCCCTCCGTTCTGTGATAGTAGATCCGGTCGAAAGGGTAATAGTACAGGAGGCTGAGCCAATAACATCATGATTAACGCAAACCAGCGTTGAGCCGACCAAAGAGGTGCAAGCAGCACAAGTAGTCGCGCTGGTTGGGTGGTTAGCCGCGAGAGGACTCTGGGAATCAGTGGTATGGGTGGGAACGCCGACAGAACCCTGTCCGTCCAATCGAGCTGGAAGGCATCTGAGGCGATGGCTCTCGGATCCGGTATCCGGGATCAAAACACTGGTATCTGATTCGTCGCTCTAGAGGCAAACAGATCCACCTGGAACGACCCGAACAACTGGGAAATAATCCCGAATATCCCCCGATCGAGCATCCACTCGTGAGGGGCTAGGATACGTCGTGAGAGAGCATCCGCACAAATGTTGTCCACCCCCAGGAGATATACAGGCATCACCTGAATGTTGAACCGATCGCACCACAGCAGAAACTGCTACGCCTCCTGAAAGAATATAGAATATAGGTCATTGCCGTTTGGTTGTCCATTTCTAGACGAACCACCGGCTGCGAACCTGATCCACGAAGCGTTTGAACACCAACTGGACCGCTCTCAATTCTAGTACATTTATATGGAGGTTCGCCTCGTTCTCCGACCAAAGGCCCAATACTGTGTGGTCGTCTAAGACACACACCCCTCCCACAATGTGAGGGAGGCGTGCGTTTGAATTGAGACCGACGGCGTCAGAAACTTCAAAGGGAGCCCTCTGGATAAGTTCCCTGCGTCTGTCCAGCACCTGAGATGAGGTAATAACCACTCCGAGTCGTGAGAATCGTCTCGTAACTCCCCAAATGGGACCACAGTTGAGCTAATGCTTGCAGAATTGGTCGGATCCTCTACCTCGCGCGCCAAACTACATCCACTGTTGCCGTCAAGTTGCCCAGCAATGAGCGAAAGCCATACTCGTGCTGGTAACATGGGGGATGCGGGGAACTGTAATGTTACCTCCTGGACTTAGGCTATGCGGTCAGGAGACAGGGAGACTAAACCTCTCCTGGTGTCGAACCGCGCCCCTAGAAAAATCAGGTCCTGTGTTGGAACAAGCTCTGACTTCTTGAGATTGATAACCTACCCCAACTTGGTGAGAATGCTCATCACGGAAAGTGACGCATCTCGGCTCAAGTGAGTGGCAAGCGTTCTGAGTAACCAGTCATCTAGGTACAGGTGGCAACACCGACCCTGTGCCCTGGCGACTTGCGCTGGAATCAATAGTTTGGTGAACACCCTTGGCGCCGTGGAGATCCGAAGGGGAGTACACGAAACTGATAGCACTTCCCGCCGAACAAAAAACAGAAGGTATTGACGAAAGTCGGGGTGCATTGGAACATGGAGGTATGTGTCTTTGAGATTGACGTAAGCCAATCACCTACCTCTACAGATGAGATCACTGATCGCAGTGTCTCCATCTTGAAAGACGGTACCTCGATCATTTTGTTTAGACCTTTGAGATTTAGTATAGGCCTCAACCCTCCGCCCTTCTTGGTGACCAGGAAATAAGTCGAGTAATAACCCGCTTCTTCCTGCCCCATCAGGACCACCTCGATGGCTGCCTTGTCCAGTAATGACAGGACCTCAGCACGGAGTATCTCCACCATCTCCACTGAGGCATGTGACCATCCCTGAGTGTGGACAGGACCCAGGGATTTAAAGTGACTTTTTCCCATTCCTGCAGAAATAGGGAAAGCCGGCTGCCTACAGGGACATCGGGACGAAGACAATGAACACCAGTCGTATGGAATATGACTATTCCCTATCCTGATTCTACTGAGGGTATCCGAGGAATTAAGGTTGGGAAGTCGGAGCCGACTTCCCTTTCCTAGGAAAAGTTTGCTGAGTAGAAGGCTTACCCCTACCCCTGCCCCTGCCTTTGCCACGGCGAGACTGGAGTGGCGCCGACCACTTACAAGTCTGCTTCCCCGACACGGGAGGATAAGCCGAGGCTAGAACCGGGGGCCTAGCACGAGAGCTGGAAGGCTGTTCCAATAAGGGTTTGGAATCCTTAAATGTGGATACAGCTTCCGCGGCCTCCCGAACAACTGTAATAGCACCAGGGAACAGTGTGGAACCCAGCTTAAACGGTAAGGCAAGTAGGGCTTGTTGTGTGGCAGGGTACCGAAAGCCACAAGCGCCTAAGTCCCATAACTGCACTCATCATCTGACAAGCGCAACTCCAGATGTGAGTGCACCTCCATAAGTTGCCGAGCCAATGTGTGAGATGATGCATCATCCTCACCCTGACCAATGTCGGCAAGCTGCCTCTGTAGCGCCGACAAATATGCCGAGTGAACAACCACCCAAAGTTGTTGGCTTGCATTACGGAACTGGTCTTCAAACGTTCGTTCGATAAGTGGCCTTAAGGGCTTGACTATTGGCACCAAAGGGAGGTAAACAACGACCTTGCCTAGCCGACGCAATTGAAGCACTAGACGAACCACCTAGTGTGACTGAAGCATAAATGCAGTCATCCACTACTAAGGTTTCCAACATCCCCTCCTCCCCCAACAAGTAGCGTCGGTTCAACTCTGGTAAGTCGAAACGGGAACGCGTACCTAGAAGGAGGGGTTGAATAACCTCACTAATAAGCGAGGGTAAAATCGGATTCTCGGCAACCCTGCTTGGAGCGAATGCTTCCCCTGGGAAGCCTAAACTCCGAGGGGTCGGGGCCGTTTGAGGGTATAACCACCTGCGGCAGAACAGGTGCAAAGCGATCTTGCACCTGCCTTAGGGACGACCCGAGGGAGAAAGAAACATCCCCCCCCCACCCCAATCATCACCCATGGACTCCTCAGCCCAATCCTCCAAAGCCAAACTCTCTGTGGCAGAGATGGCTCAGAGGCGGGAATCGAAGGAGCGAAAGAAAGTGATAAGGGGTCCAGTAGCACGGAGGCACTCGGATCGACTAACCCTTGAGCCAGGGCGACGAGAGCTAGAGGACTGGTCTGTGACAACAGGGAGTCCCGGAAGCCCGGAAGATACTACGGTAGCCTGAGACACCGTAATAGGTGCCGACTGCCTGATAGCTGGAGCCAAAGCGGTATGGCCAGTAGCCGGTAACTGCACCAAGCCAGGGAGAGATCCTGGGCCGGTGACAGAACCCGAGGGAGGCCCGAACCTGGCACTGAGGCTCGGGTCGGTGCTACACCCAGGGGTTGGACCCGCCCCGAAACTAGTGGATATATCACTAAGAGACAAAAGTGCCGGTGCAAAACATTAACAACAGGATGTGAAGGTGAAGGGGAAGGGGATGCCACTGAATCAGTAAGCCTAGCCCTTTTACCCCCTGCATCAGGCATAGCAGATGTGGAGGGAAGAGCACCTAAATCTTTTCGATTTTTGTGCTTAGACGGATGTTTCTTAGAAGGCGGGTCCAGACCCCATATGTCACCCCCTGCCTGAAGCAAGTTGGTATAGAAGAGCAAGTCGGCATGACGACTCTTCCGTGTTTTGTCGGTGAAACTCTGACATAACGCAAAACCTTGGTCATCATGAGCCTCTTCAGCGAGGCTCCTGGGGCAAATCAAATGCAGATCCTGTGATGAGATGACCGCATTACTGGTGATACAGTTTTTAAACTGCAAAACAGAACCAGGCTATAGCAAAGAGCCAGCACTGTGTGAAAAAATGTGCACAAATATTATGTATAAATAGACGCACGGGCGATATTGAATATAATAAAACAATACAACAGACTAGCGGATACCAAGTATAACACTAGACTACCCGTATACACAATAAAAAAGTGCAAAGACTGAACGACTTAGCTATACGTAGCGCTAACAATGCGTACAAGAGCTAAGCATTGAAAAAACATGACTCACTTATTTTGACTGAAAAGAAAAGTGTGAGACATGCTAAAGGCAAGCGGGACGCAAGCAAGTTACACCAAATTCATGAATGAAAAAAGCAACGTACAATATATCTATCGCCTGATCGATAAAGAAAAGGTACCATACATACAGAATTTGTTTCTTTGTCACTCATACTCAGTCGCAATAGGAAAAATTTCTCTGACCCATGCACAAGTCTAGATGCAGTCCAGACAGCATGAAAAGTGAGGTACGAGGTTCACGCTTAGAGTTACCTGCTGTTGGGGCCTAGGGGTCCTGTAGGGGTGGTCTCACAAGACAAAAACAAGTTTTTTGTTTTGTAAATATTTTATTGAAAATATAGTTACAACTGTTGTAGGAATTTAAAATGGACATTTAAATTCTTATTAGTACCCCAAGGAAGAACCAATCATTCCAAGTTATACATGGAGGCATAAGTGGGTGAAGATAAGCTTAACACTGTCTTGAATATTATTTCACTTCAATCCTGCTGTCTCGGCTTAATTGGAGATGTGCTTAGCAGCTCAACAGGCCCTTTGTAATCTCTGTTCCCACTAGCAGTAGAGACTATCTCATTTCAGCTTCTTGTCCTTAAGATGTTATATAAATAAACCGTCAAATATGAGGCGTTTCCACTTGTCTTGTTGAACTGTAACCATTATGAATATTGTGTGGACTGTAGGACTGACTGACTGAGTATGCTGTTTACGCCGTTTTTTAGCAATATTCCAGCAATATCACGGCGGGGGACACCAGAAATGGGCTTCACACATTGTACCCATGTGGGGAATCGAACCCGGGCCTTCGGCGTGACGAGCGAACGCTTTAACCTAGGGGCTACCCCGCCGCTCCGTGGACTGTAGGAATGTCAGGACCTGAAGCTGCATACAGTATAGAGGTGTAATATTACAGTGTGGGCATGATGCGATGCGTATCGAAATAATACGAGTGTGATATGATTCGCATCCCAATACAGTACGTATATTTCATAACAAATTCATATTCTTTCCCCTTTTTGCAGGCAAACCACATGCATGAATCGTTCGTTTTCAAATTTTAGATAGTAATGATGGGATATTGTAGAGGAGAAACATAAGTTTGTGGGCACTGTGCAGATTCTGTTTATAGACAAACAGGGAATACTACAGAATCTGCATTAACTGGTTCTTGGACAATTTCGGCCAGTATTAAGATGTTTTTACATACACAGCAAAATCATGAATCATATGTACTGCGATAAAGGAGTTGTAAACTGATACAATACTGTATTGCTGTATTGATATATCACAAATGCTAGAGTTGATACGTAGCAGTAGAGATCTCACCCGCTTTCATAAGCGTTCTGTATCTCATACAGGTTGCAGTCATTGATGCACTTCTGGAAGTGGACAAGGAAGTTCTTGATGAGCTCAGGGACGATGTAGGACTGCTGGTACTGACGCTCGTACTCCAGGTCCTGACGTGGGTCACCTGTCACACAAGGAGGAGGGATACTGGTGTATAACAGTACAGACCCACTAGTGAGAAACTATAAACGGTACAGACCCACATGAGGAGGGTATAATGACAGACACGAGGGAGAAACTAGGGTATAACGGTACAAACCCATCACACAAGGAGAGATACTAGGGTATAACACACAAAGAGGAGATACATGAGGGTATAATAGTACAGACCTGTCACACAAAGAAGAGATATACTATTACTGAGGTATAACGGTACAGATCTGGCACACAAAGGAGATATACTAAGGTATAACGGTACAGACCTATCACACAAAGAGGAGAGATACGAGGGTATAAAAGTACAGACCTGTCAGACAATGAGGAGAAATGCCAGTATATCACAGTATAGACTTATCACATGTCAGCGTGTTATATCCTGAAGATGCTCATGCTGTTGATCACTGGATTGTCTGGTCCAGACTTGATTATTTACGATAGCTGGAATATTGCTGAGTGCAGCGTAAACCAACAAAACAAACTATAGCCTGAAGTGGAGACAATTTCTGGTCTGGCACTTTGATGGTGCGGGTTCACTGGTACTACAAATATGAAAGAAAGCATGGTGTTGCCATAGTAACCCACCTGTATGCAGCTCGTATTCTGGAGCTGGGTAGGCATAGGAGTAGGGATCATACTGCAACAAGGAAATATACATGAATTAACACAAGACAGAGGCAAAACATGAACTTCCTGTTTGTTGTTCTGTCAGTAACACTTATATTCAATACTAACATCTCAAACAACTAAAATGGTAAAAAATAAAGAAAATATATCCTAGGTTCATATTCTAAAAATTCTTATGGATGGATATCTAGGTTAATTTAAATCATAGGAGTTATACAATTTCGCAAAGAAATTTACATTACAAGAAATTAAAACACATGGAAATTATTCTTAGGTTTACAGCTTTGACTTGAACATTTTGCCATCACTACTGCTACTACAGTACTCTGATATCAACCAGTTAAAGGAACATGTCACATGTCCAGTCATTTCTCCAGTATTTGGGGGGGATTATGTGAGGGTCAAGCAAGGTCAATCAATCACACACCATACACTTTCCCATAAGGTCATACTTACCTCCCTTTAACAGAATCAAAACAATACAAATAACTAGAATGTTTTATATCCTCCACCAACCAGAAGAGTATCTGATTCCACATCCCAATAAATCCCATAGATACACTCAAACCAATAGCTATATCATGGATCAATACATAAGTATCATTAAAGTATCTATATGCTAAATTAAAGATTTAATTTCTATTGCCTAAATCCTTCAATAATATTCCTTAATTATCACAGTCTTTAACCAATACTTCATTAATCATACACCAAAACCTATTGTCAAAGAGTCACTATTTCACATGTTCTAATCACTTCTACTGTTAAGAAAAGAAAGAAATATACACAGTTCATATACCAAGAGCCAACTAGGAATCCAGAGAAAAAACTGCAATTTTGATAATGTCATAGCAATGGTAAATTCACAATATTCTTAAAATTGATGTCAATAGATCTAAAAACAGATAAAAAAAATCATGATCTGCTCATCTATAGAAAATTAGATTCAAACCGTGATGGTCTTGATAAATATCTCAGAAGTTAAATTAACATTACTATGAAGCAGCAGCGGCAACGTGAATAGTTGAACATAATCATATATACCATCCAACAGCTATACCCTTAGTAAATATCTTTGATATAACCCACACATAAGTTGTCATGGAAAAAGGCAGCATATCAACAATTTCTCATTCCTCTCACACAAGGAATTCTTTTCAGGGGTTGATCTTAACCATCATAGGTTACAAGTCCAAAACATGTTAAACAGGACCATGTGTAAGCTTCCATGAATATTTCTATGTATAAAACAATTCAGACAATAAACTGATTTTTGTTGTTAGAAATACTTATTGCAGTTATTTCTAAGTGCATATTACAAGTTTCTAGAAGTAGAACACATGTACGAAAAACATGAAATGAAATTGATTTGAAAACCATTTATGTTTCAGTGGCAACTGTTGCCCTGGGAGTGTTACAAGTTCAGAATCCACTTTATCAGAAGAAGTTCTACAAGTTTTTCATTAGAGTGTTAAGTTAAACCCCTGAATGTTATTGGGCATATTGGGTGTAACTTCTTAAGATTAACATGTGATATACATGTTATTATAGCACTGACTGCCTACTAGAGACAAATGTCAACTTTAACACCTTTAATGAGATGAATAAAACCTTCAAAAAGATGAATGCAGGCAAAAACAATTTTCTAAAGAATTTGTGCATCAAGTACATGGACTAGTGCATCTGACAATGAATAATGGTCTGTTCATTTGAATGAACTCGATTCTTCAAACTGAATTCTAATTTTGGGTATATGCACACTTCAAGTCAAGAAATAATGCTTAATTTGCTCTTAATGCTTAATAGTAAACATATAACAGAACTTTATATCAATAGAACCATGAACTGTAACAAATAACTGGTTTATACTAAACACACAGCAAACAGCACTATGTTTTCTATAACACATGGTCAATGTTTCATGAGATGATGAGGAATACTAGCAATACCAAATGCACTCAAACAGGAAATCCCAGAATGCCAAAATATGTATAAAACCAATCAAGCAAGTAGGTCACAGTTGTGCCAATAACTGAACCAGTACATGTTCCTGTGATAATATTGCCACTGATTTTCTGACCGATTAGAGTGAATTGAGTTCTCATTAATCCAGACAGCCAAGTCAGCACAATAATTGGGATGTATAATGTTTATCTGAAATAGTATTTCACGACAATGCTTTTTAAATGAAAGGAATAGTTCTTAAAAGTTTAGCATTCTTCAGTACAAGTGATTGTGCTATCACCGAGTTTGATGTATGCAACATTGACTGGCAGATGTATCTCAAGAGAAGCTCCCTGACTGATGAGCATACAAAATACATATAAATGAAAACCATAGAACACAACTAAAATTAAGACCAGGCCTGAGGCTATTTAGAGTTATCCATTACTTTCCACTAAGACAAATATTGGAAAGTAAAATAAAATCTTGCAGTAAAATCACTAGTGTTGTATACTGCTAAACAAGAGACATCAGGATAAAAACAAGGGAGGTAACATGGACATTTCCACTGGAATCAAGCATGTTGGTGACAATTATTGGCACAAGTATGACATAATGGTTGTGAGACAGAGCTGTGGTTGTCCACAACTTACTGCACTGTCGATCACACCCTCGGCGTGGCCTTCCTGAAATGCCGGGAAAATAAGTTATACACTGATACAAACAAGAAGGTTTACAACAATCACAGTTCCACATGGTAAAGATTAAAGGCAGTAATACTAAAATCGGTGTCTTCATCTTTTATTGATGATCTAGATTTGTCCTCAAGAGCATCCACCTTCTCAGGATAAAGTTATTTGTGTTCATGTCAGAAGTATGTGTCCCATGATTTTGATGAAAACAAATTACACATAACTCCATGCTAGCTGGAATTGAGATGTTTTAAACTACATGTTTATTCAATAAATATATCCTTAGATCACTGTGACAGCTGAAATTGTCTAGTGTCTCAGGGGGACTACAGAAGGCCATAGAAACTTTTGACTTCATTCACTGGGGTTTCAACATTCTCTAAACAATGGTTTCATTAAAGTCATATCTTCTTCTCTGATATGACACCTATCTGACTGAAAATTGATGACACCCGCATGGGTCGTGTTAAGGTGTACTTTCCTACCAGCCAAACAGCATTAAGGCTAAATTGTTGGTACAAATGAGTGACCAGCATATCTGATTTCACCATTCTGGCAATCAAAAAGAATGACAAAATCCAATAAACAGCAAGGTCAAGGAGAATTACAGAGGAAGTGTTATGCATCATTTTTCCTAATTACCAAAAAAATTGAACTGAATACAATGCAGCCAAATTACTTCTGCAAATCTGAAAGCTGATTGCTTCAAGAACCAATACAGCCTTTGTTGATATTTGGCAGTCTAGGTTCAAATGATGAAATCCTCTATAGTGATGTCCTCAAATCTCGAAAAAATGTTTTCTATCGGAGTAAACGAACTGATCACATCGAATAACTGAGAATGATTAACCTTTCCTGTTATCATTGGTATAATCCATCCTTCAAATGTATGAAGTTTGAGACACCACATATTAGTTTTACATAATGTCCCTGTGTGGTGAATCAAACATGAGTCTTGATGAAACCCAAATATTCCAGTATGATGGGTAACCACTGGACACTCATTACTGATTTATCTCTTATTTAAGGGAATGAAATTAACTGTCATTTCCTGTTTTCATCACATGTGATTTACAGACATAAAAAATGTGTAGATGTCTAAAAACTGCTTTGATTCTGTTACTTGAGGGAGTTGGGTTGTACTGTTCTCAACAGAAACTTGTCATATCAAGTAATTTCAGCTAAAATAGAGGGTAGAGACAAATATGGCCCACAAACAGATGTTTACCAATTTAGTGAAACCTTCAAGCAAAGGAAGGGTTGCTGGCAAAGGATCATAATCAAGGTGAATCTAGATTTGGAAACAATGATGAGATATGGATAATGTCATGACCAAGGGATGTAATTTTGTTTGACCAAACATTCAGACACACAAAATCATCCAGCTTTTTTTGTTTGTTTGTTTTGTAAACCCTGCATATAAACTTAGAAAATTTCGTTGATCATTACTTAGAACTATTATTTAGTCAAACATTACCAGAAAGGTGGACTGACAAGTTACAATATATGCCCTGTTCGCAGGACAGTGAGGCAATACCTTTTGTAAAGACTAGTGTAACGACCTGAGTTTTTAAAGTCGTTTTCATTTATGTTTAAAGACCAACACATTACTGCATTCACAAGGGTCACTGGGTGAGACAATACTGGTTTTACAACACAACATATTTACAACAACGGTAGTCACACCGCCAATAACTGTTGCGATAGTTCCCCTTTTGCATGCTTATGCTTTTCCCTGATGTCTATTTTATCATATCATTTGGGTACAACAAACAAACAAGGGATAAATTTACATTTGAAAACACCAAAATTTTATATGTTGGAAGCTGTCATTAGTCTGCGAAATATACTTCAGAAGAAGAGAAATTACTTATTGAAGTAGATACATGATTGCATGTATTACACGGCATGTTTCCGAAATGAACAATATGTTGGACAGTGTGAGATGACAGGTATGGAACGTACAGTTTACGCAGTTTCAAAACAACACCTTTCACTAATAATAAGTAATGCTATTTCGAGTTCTGAAAAAATATATTCCTGAACATGTTATACTGAAGGATCACGATATAATTGGCTTACATCTGCTTCTTCGCTCCACATGGTTGACAAAATGGTGGAAGGCTCCCGGTAAAGGGAGATAACTTGGGATCTACAATTCGGCATCCACTAGTAATACACTCTTCACCTTTTCCAAACACCTCGAACAGACATACGTTGTATCTCTTCGTTTGCAAAACAAACAAAGTATTACAACAGGTGATTTATAGAATCGCGAATGTTTCATTTTAATGCAAACGGATGATATACCAGTAAATACCAACACGATGAAACTTGTGAGGGTTCAGGATGTGTGCTTATGGTATCAGGGAATCTGTTGACGACATTCATTCAGACACTTAAGAGCTACGATCTGACAATTCAGTGTCATCATCGATCCACAAGTGTCTAGGTGCAATGTCCTATCTGAGGACACTGAACCCCTGTCTTCCCGAGACAAGCGATTTAAAAGTACGTTCGCTCGTCACGCCGAAGATCCGGGTTCGATTCCCTGCCTGAGTACATCGTGTTCAGCCCATTTCTGGTGCATCCAGCCTGTGAATCCTGAGTCAGTCCACTGTTAAGGTTGTTACTTAATTCAAAGTTAATCCGTGTGAAATACCATGAGGGATTCGGAGCCAGGGACTTTTTTAATTCAGGTTACAGCATTAATATTGGTCTGTTTCCCAATGTCATGTATTAATATCAAGATTAGATCTTTTACTTCATTATACGTCTGACTAAAAGTATTGGAAGATCTGATTTGAATGAGAGACTAACTATATATATTTTTCACCAAGTGCAGATGTCACGAAGACGGTCCAATTCACTCTCTTTGCTTTGTGAACGGGTATAATTGATGCACACACGCACGCACGCGCATTATTATTCATATTTTGGCTGATTCATGTTAATGTTATCAACACACGGGTCATCTCACATGCATGTCAACTTGAACTATATGTATGGTAGGCACCAGGTGAGTTGAAATAAAGTATGCGTTGGATTTCCAAAGAAATGTGTGACTTCTTGTACCTGCGTTAGCTTATGTCGGTTTTTTTTTTCATGTTGCTAGTCACTCTGAAAGCATCCGTAGTTTAGAATGGACATCTGAATCAACGTTTGGTCGTCTTTGGTATAACGCGCCCCCCGTACTATATCGACCTCCATTCCGAACAGATGCTCAAAGTGAAGCCTCAGTTTATCAATCTCGTCCATTTGGTATACCAAATTAACAATAAAGTTATTTGAATCATCAATTTAAAACATTAATTGTAGGGTTGCGAATGACATCTCACACCCTGTAATACGCACCAGCGATAAGACGTTTGCTAGTGGCCGTTACGGTTTCCTATGTACAGAGTAACTGCTCGTTACGGCTGAATAACATTGGTTGTGTCACGGTGACAGGTACATTTTATCATATTTATACGCTATATTGGTAAAATCTTGTCAATCATAGATATAGCCAATATTTAGATGAAATATTTGTAAATGAGAATGTGTTCAAAAGAATTGTTTTAAATGTGAATTTACGAATTTATGAGCCCTTGATTCCAAACAGAGTTGATGCTTTCGATTTCATTTGTTTATTATCATCTAAATTTGCCGTAAAGAGAAGTTCAACTTGTAGATTTATGTTCAAGAAGCATTACCATAACATGATTGTTAACTGCATTGACCGTTATATGTCAGGAAAGGCTGATATGACATAATATTCACACGAGTTTGATGCTACGGTCTCTGTGTTAACGGCTCGCTACGGCTTAATAACATTGGTTACGTCACTGTGACTGGTACATTTAATCACATTTATACGCTTCTTTGTAAAAATCTTGTCAATCATAGATAGCCAGTATTTAGGTGAAGTATTGGAAAATGAGATTGTGTTCAAAGGAATTGTTTTTAATGTGAATTAATGAAATTATGACCTTTCGATTCCAAACAGAGTTGGTGCTTTCGATTTCATTTGTTTATTCTTATCTAAATTTGTCATAAAGAAAAATTCAACTTATATATTTATTTTCAAGAAGCATTACCATAACATGATGAAAAGTAGTTTCAGCCGTTACTCTGTACACAGCAAACCGTAACGGCCAATAGCAAACGTCTTATCGCTGGTGCGTATTAGTGGTTGTGATCTGACTAGACAGCAGAAGTGGCTTCGCGAGACTGTGGTCACGGTGGTGTCGCTCGATGCAAGTGTGTGAGTGAGTTTTTACGCCGTTTTTAGCAATATACATGTATCCATGTGGTGAATCGAACCCGGGTCTCCGGCGTGACGAGAGAACGCTTTAACCCCTGGGCTACCGCACCGCCACTCGATGCGAGAACATCGTCAGCTACGAATTGGTGGTATCAAGCAAGCAGCGTATAGTGCAACGATGGTGAGTTGTTTGGTTCAGAAATTTGTGAGGATTCATTCTGCATCAAGCTGTTTTGAGACCCAGGATGTAGGACATCGCTGTCTACTTTTGACAGCTACCTGCATACAAACAGATTTGACTGTATCAATGTTCTCATGTGGAGGTAAGGCTCCAACAGTGGAATACAAACCCTGATGCAAGGCAGCAAAACGCCAAATGCCACAAATGATGAAGCCCTTTATACCCCTTACTTCTTTATTTGTGAACACTAAAGTGTTTCGACTCCATGGATTTACTTGTTGTTTGCTCTGCATCATAGAGATGGAACACCTGCCCCTAGCTGAAAGACTGGCTGGCTGAGTATGGTTTTACACCGTTTTAAGCAATATTCCAGCAATATCACGGGGGACACCAGAAATGGGCTTCACAAGTTGTACCCATCTGGGGAATCGAACCCGGGCCTTCGGCGTGACGAGCGAACGCTTTAACCACTAGGCTACCCCACTGCCCCCTTAGCTGAAAGAGAATCTCATGGATTTGGACTATATGTGGTTAACAGGACAAAAGGATGGTGAGCTCACAGCCTTCACTTAAACCCAAAGAATTCTGATAGAAATTTAGGAACTTACCATTCTCTAACCTCTGACACTTTAGATGTCCATTAGGGATTGTTTCTATTGATCCATAAAGCAGAGACCTGTGGATATTTCTGACTCATACACTATATCAACCAAATCCAACTCACAGAGTGTAGTGCACCTATTGCTCAGGGCCACCTGTTATCCTCTTTTGCAATATACACCAGAGCTATGGTCATCTTACAAAACTCTCTCCTGCCTGAAATATCTTCACCCAAGTTTCAAATGTGCCATTTAATGTGATAGCCTCTCCCTTCCCAACTCCCCAACACAACCATCCAAAAATATTCTTTAGTGATAGATGTTCTAAGGTCCATATCAATGCTGATGAGCAGAACACATCAGGGGCAGTGTCAGTATCACCAATTCACAATTCACTGTCTTGAATATGGTCACTTGTGAGAATAACAACATCCTAGATGTGTTTGATCAACATTCTAGAAGTTGGCGAGTCAAAAATGATGCATACAACTTTATAAATGACAAATTCTTGTATATTGCATAGAGCAATGTTTTGATGTAGATTCCTACACTGCTCTCAAGCTTTATAGCTCTATGCAAGAGAATTTTCAAGGGAGAGGGGCCAAACACCCCCACCCCTCAAATCTCTCTTTCTCCTCCTCAAGATAGAACATCCATTTGCCATTTGCAATGAGTGTGCATACTGTTTAGCATAACATCATAACGGTGAAGCTGATTGGATACTAGTGAAGCCTTAAGGAGCCAATCAAGATAAACATTACATTTGTATTGCAATGGTTCCTAACCTCTTAGGAAGGTCTTAGTGCAGCACTATTAACATTTATATAGCAATCTTTGTGTGACAAGAGGTAAAAAATATCACAAAATTTTATAGACAGACTTTTAACACCTTAATAATTGACTTCATCATATTCATGTGCATTAAATAAAGAACAAATTATCTGAGATTTTCAGCTAGCCAGTCAGGATAGCTTTAAAACTATATTACTGGCCTGATTCACAATCAGCTAGCATTTGGCGGGCCACTAGCTTATTCGAACGCTGTATGTAAGTCTAACGTAATCTATGAAAATTCTGTAAAGTTATGCAGATGCAGTGCTAAATATAGATGTGGAACAAATCTGTTTTAGCATACAGATATATAGGGGCTCCATAAAAAAAGATCCAATTCTTGATCTCCTTCAATGAAGTTATCAACACTATCAACATCTAAGAATATTTTTCATACTAAAATATCCACTTTTCATTTCTACATCAAAGGAATATTTTACTTAGACTAGCTATCCACCTTCAAAAGAGGCTTAAATCTTGACTCTCAATTGTTTATAGCATTCTATAAATGACTGGAAAATACATTGAGAATTGAACAGTGCACATCATGGCCTGTCTACAAGTACACGGAGTGCCAGGTTTTTTTTGGTGATTTCAGTTTTAAATTTATTACCAAGAATGTACAAGGATAAACACCAAAGAATAAGCTAGGAGATTAGAATGTTATTCCTAGCCAGACAGGTATATTGAACATGTGTTCAAGTATGTCTGTACATGTACAGTTTAATACATCAGAAGATATGAATGCCACTTACATGGTGATTCAATTGCCAATTCACACTTAGAGTGTCATACAACAATGATGAATTATGGATTTTTTGTCCTGACTAAATACCACTTGTAAGCTCCAAACTTTGTAAGGAACATGTAACATAACTCACCCAGGGCAGATGATACATAAATCTGAGTTGCAAGTAGGTTGTTTTTAACATTATATCATCCATATTTGTTTTTCTGAAATATATTGTAGAAAAGAAGTGTTTTATGGTCTTACATGTCTTTACATTTAGTCCATTGTTGGAATGGTACCACATAAAATTGTCGATGGATTATGTCACCTTCATTTAATTTTCAAATGTGTGATGATGTGAGTTTCTTGTTGTAACTGACTAATATTGCAGCTACATTGTTCGAACTGATGTTGGGGGATCATAAAAAAGAAACCAAGATATATGTATAACATTTAATAAATAAAACAGTAAATCTACATTTGTTATCACATGATATGGCTATGGAATAGAGAAGCATTCTTTCCTCCATTAAAAAGTGTAGAAAAACTGTTCATTTATGCAAGGTTTGGCATCAGAAACAAGTCTATTGGCAAGTCAACAGAACACACAGGCTGACAAAATTCACACCAGCAATGTCGAAATTTACAGCACAAGGCTGTTAGTTCGAAAGGGGGTGTGTGCTCATTGATGGGTTATTCATGATCTCTGAGAATACTTCAGTAGGGTTGTTCTGGCCTCTTGATGGAGAGCATAAAATGAACCAGGTGAAAAAGTCAGGTGCACTCTTGGAGGAAAGTCATGGAGGAGGTGATTCAGAAAAATCCTCAAAGCTATTCATTCATTAATCTGGAAAAGAAAAAGAGGTCAGACATTCAAAATTATTCTTACATTTGGCAAAAGGTATTTGGATACCAATCAAATACAATCAACACAACCAAACAGAAATGCTGCCCACAGACAAATTTACCAGTTGATAATTTTCAATATGCCCATTTCAATTATTATGTGTTGCATAAATATTGAACTAACAAGATTGAAAAGACTTTAAGTTTTTTAGTTATGCTCCATAAACAAAATGATTACGGACAGACGTGAGTAGAAGAGGCGTTGACTATATCCCCCCACAATATATGCCAGGGGGATAAAAATGCTAACATGTACATGATGTAAGCATTGTTAAGATTATTACATATAGGTTATTATTCAAAACATATTCTGAAAAATATCATGTGTAGTTAATCTGGTCTTCTTTACACAAAAGATAGGTAAACAACCATCCCATAACTTTCAGATATTTGGGGCATTTTCACATAAGAAACAGTGTCACTGTCATGGTTTTGTTTCATTGGTTCTAAGAATCAGTCAACATAAAGTGACCATGGGCATATGCCAAATCGTTTACACCCCTGTATAATGAAAGCTCATGAAGGAAAATTGTTATTAAAATAGAACAACTGACCAGATTGATACCCCGCTCACCTTCACCAATGGCAATTTCCTTATAAAGGAATCAACTACGTAATCATCCCCACAGCTTCTTGGCAATAGCTCTTTGCGATAAAGTACGTAAACTTTGCAAATAGTTACATACTTACGAGGAAGAACAGACAACTTGTAATTGTCATCAGTCATCATCGTCGTCGTCAGGCACAAACAAATCGTGTTCTTCCAGCAATGCTGCAAACTCCATGCTAATGTATGATCCAAGTAGCAGAAATGGGATGCTTGTTCCCAACACCCTGCTCACACCAAATCGAATGGTTTCAGGTTTGGGAATTATTGCACCTGTGTCAGAATAGCAGAAGGTTCTCTTTGTAACCATCATATTGTTGTTTTTGACAACAAGGGGTGATTTATAATGCCTCAAAGCAATGGAAATTGGCAACCTGAAAACCTTCGACGCCATGTTGCTGGGTGAATGCGAAATGCGAAGAGGGTTATTGCCCGAAACGAAGATGCCTTTCCGTATCGATGATCTTTCGTATCTAATGTAAAGCTTTCCAGCATAGAAGAGAATACTCATGATGTCCCAAACTGACATCTTTAGTATCATTACAGCTTGAACATATCAGAGAAAAACAATTCACAAAGTTTGTTTATTCAGCAAATGTAACATTCAAAACATGAGTGCATGTATTTATGTGTAGCCTTTTACTAGTCTTAGTGACCTGTAAACTACATGTCTTCAGCTTCCCATTGGACGGACATCTTGTGTCTTCATCCTCGCCTTATCTTTTGAAGTGATCATAAGTTCCTAAAGTGAAATAATCGTACAAGGAACATCGAAAACAATGACAATCTATTACTGTTATACATGTATATGAAAAAGTCGAGTATCAGCAATGTGTCTTCGCTGTTGACTATAATCCAAACTGTTAACCTTTTATATGGAGTTGGGAGAGCATAATAGTTAAAATGTAACTTTCTCGCCGGTTCGGAATCCACATGATGTCCAGCGATGTATAGCGAGAATATTGAAAAAAAGAGGACAAAATAAAAGAACATGTTAGCCTGCATTATTGTTTTTGCACTTGGTTGCTTTCAGAGCTTATTGCACGTTATAAAGTGAGTGAGTATTGTTTTACGCCGCTTTAGCAATATTCCAACCACTAGGCTTCCCCACCGCCCCTGTGACCACAAAGAACAACGCCTATAAATGATTTGTGTGACTGCTCATAATACCTAGTTTCCTTTCACTAGACAGTTTCAGTCTGTGTGTCTTAGTGTGTCTCGTTGTGTAATTGTTTGTTTTTCATCTACTTGTGCGTGGATAAAATGGGTTCAAACTATACATTTCCTTACATCGTCGCAAGCCTCTGATACATACTTTGTAATAACACGCACTTCGGTCTCTCCCGTGACTTTTCAATAAGTGGTATATGTAATTACCCTCGTTCGCTTAGTTTCATTGATTTCTGTACATAGTGAATGGATACTTCTGAATTACACGTTTGATGAACTCCACTGCATCTATTGATCAAATATGACGCTAATACGGGCAATCTGTTACCGCCCGAACTGTTGGCAATAGACCACTCTTACTTACACCGGCAACAAGGTAAGATGGCCGCTATGTCTAGTTTGGTAAATACCAGTACTACACCCTGGTCACGTGAAATCACACATGAACTTCTTATATGAAGTACATCAGATGTGTGACGTAGTTATACTGTGACATATTAACGTACGTTTATATGCGGTGTTAACCAGCGTCTGTTCATATGTCAATGTGGGATTTTGTTTTGAATTGTGAGATGTCGTACTAGGTTTTTAAACCAAAGAGCGATGTAGTTTCATATTTCACGTTTGTCATATTATTTGTCAACCGTATAGTGATGTCCGATTGTGACATTGTAAATATGTAGTTTTACAATATAACATGGTTAATGAGTTTTGAAATTTTATATTTATTGCTTAAAAGGGGCCAACAAGGCAAACAATTCCTTTCAGTTCTGATTTGCAAATATAAAGTAATATGTGACTATTTTGACAGTGTGGCCATTTTTTCGTGTGGCCATTTTGACCTGTTCCAATCAGAAGACAAACTCTCACGTTCATGGACCAGGGCCCCGTTTCACAAAGCTGTCGTAGCGCTACGACTGTCGCAAATTTATGCTACAGTGGGGTAGCCTAGTGGTTTTAAACGTTCGCTCGTCACGCGGAAGGCCCTGGTTCGATTCTCCACGTGGGTACAATGTGTGAAGCCCAATTCTGGTGTCCCCCGTCGTGATATTGCTGGAACATTGATAAAAGCGGCGTAAAACTAAACTCACTCAGTCAGTAGTAAAGGATACAGGTATCTCGTCTCAGGTGGAGCTTAATTTAGCGCATGTGTAGGTGGTGGTGGTGTGTGTGTGGGGGGGGGGGGGAGTGGACGACAATGTGTTTAGTTTACACTACAGCGTTTATGACGCTAAAAACAACTCTTATGTAACACTACAGCCTTGGTCTTGGGAAGTGAACATAAGCTATGCAATCAGCCTTACAATGTACGTATACATAACAGTATTCAGCAACTTTCCTTCTATAATAACGCCATAACTGTACAGTGTTATCATTATATCTATGACATAAAACGTAGTCTGCCATTAACGAGGGGTATATTTAGATCTGTCACAAGTTCAACTATTAGACTTAATCAGCGCAAGGGTTAAGTGAGTCCAAAGATATAAATGACGTCGGTCGCAAGGCGGCCATATTGTGACAACATCGTTGATTATATTTTCAACATCCGGCGATATTACACCCGCGAAAACATTTGTGTTAGATTTGGTATTCGGGAACCAGTGATTGTTCGTTGGTGACTCGATTATCTGATTATAGTTTTAATGGGTGAGAATAGATCAGTGATTCCCAGAGTCAGCAGGTGATCAGGTCTGTTAGTTAAGAAAACAATTTAGAATTACACTGGGGGAACACCAACAGTATGAAACATTAATCGGGATAGTGTATAGATTAATCCTAATCAGCCATTATCCGACTGGTCATTGTTTACTAAATGTGCTAATCCCATCAAAAACACTTGAATGTTTATTGGAAGTGTTTCTTGTGTACGCGGGGTGGATTTGCTCATTGGACCACAGAATTCCATTTCATGGACAAATGTGGGATTACACAGAGTTTTGTTTATGATGATATATGGGGTTGTGACAGGACAAAATCAATTGTTGGACTTACACAACGTTTCCTGTATGTACTTCGTCGTCAGCAATATTGTAAGATCGCCATATATATCTCTATTTGTCAACAATATAATTGAAAATATATGCATGTAGTGGTTTCAACGACATTTGGGCGTCTGTCGTAGCTCATGTATGAGAGTGTAACCACACCTGCAACAGTTCAATATATTTAGTTCCGTATGCATATGTGAATATTGTGAAACCTGTCAATAATATATTTTATTATAATAACCTTTTATTAACGTAAACATCTGTCTATCTGAGACAATGGTGAACCTCCGACAAACCGAAACGCAGTTGTGGAGATTTCTCGATTGTCATCGTCAGCCGGTGCGTTGAGATTGCACAACCACTCGTGACACTGAACACGTGAAACACGCCAATTAAATTGGCCAGAATATCATATGCATGACTCTTGTATGTACGATGGTAATATCATGCATGTTTTGGGATTTTTTTGGTATATATATTTAGTTAACTTCTTGTTCAACATGAGGTTATATCGACAGAAAGTCCCTCTTAAGGTTTATGTTGTGAAAAAAATAACCATAAATTGACAAGTGCTTCTAAATATTTGAGCATTTCTAGATTTCCGCGAAAAAATAACCATAAATTGACAAGTGGTTCCAAATATTTGAGCATTTCTAGCTTTACATGGCACTTATATGTGATCTCTTTGAGTCATTAACGCTTGTGTGGATATATATGTAGTATGTGTAACAGACGTTGGTCTGCAGCATGCACGGGTGTGAGCCAAACAATGTGTGTACTTGCGCGCAAGTAATTTGAACTATAAATTAAAAACATATATACATACATACGTATACACTACCTTCTCAGATGAATATGTGATATATATCTACACAAGTAGGCAAACGCACACATACGCACGCACAGTACTCGTTGGCTGCATGATAGTTACACGCTGGCTCTCATCATAAACATGTCTTATATGCGAACAGATCTGTTAATGCAGATGGTGCTATTCATAGTCTGGGCATGTCTGCGCATTATAAAACCAATTTGCACACTCTCTCATTACAAAATCAATACGTATTTAGTCTTTAGTTTCAGTCCTAATTCGGATTTACACAACATACTCATTTTGCATAACCCGTTGATGTATAAGTATGCATGAGCATAAAGGAATCCTGATGGATTTCTTTCTGCATTCATCTCACAAGAACGTCACATGACTAAACTTACTTAAATAATATATCTAATATACACAGGCCTCCCTGTCACAATTTCAAGAAATTGAACTTTTGCTTTTTCATATGCTTGATAATTAAAACATTCCTATTCCTGTTTTTGTTGCGTAGGGCCGTAACTGAATTTTCCCAGAAGACATTTCGGCGATAAATATGGCTGCCTGCACCATTTTCGAGGAAGATGAGGTCTGCTTGGTTACCCCAGAGAAAGGTTACATCTATGGGTTAGTGCTAGAAAACTCCGAATTCCTGAGCAGCGATGAAGAAAGTGATGATCTACCTGGTCAGATCAAGAATGGGACAGTTCGCGTGGCATGGCACCCAGACGGGAAGGAGACAGTTGTACAGGAAGACAAGGTGCCCGCTGTTTAAGACGTTTGAGATGGACAGACAAGTCTGTTGACAGTCCTGCTGTTATTAGTATAAGAATTCCAGGATACAAACCTTCCATAGCAATTAAAATGGTCACGCAGTTGTTTTGAAATATCATCTACATTAGTGTTCCATGAATCAATTAGACTTTTAATTGAACTTGGAAGCGATCCAAATTATTCATTCATTCGACACATAGTGGATATAACCCTCACACGTTAAGATATTGATTAACAATTTGCAGCTTTCACATATGGTACATGGAGAAACGTATGGCTGAAGTGTGTTTAGAAGAGTGCAGTTTGCTGTTCGCAACAAGCTGTCATCCCTTTTTGAATAAGTTAATTGACTCAGACTTCACTAATCTTGGTGGCTAATGGTATCATAACATACCCTATCTTCAAACAGTTTGGAAGACATTGCTGACTGTTGAGCATGTCAACAGTTCGCAACATAATTCTTGCAGGTTGGCATTAAAACTCCAAAACTGTTTTAAAATTAGATAAAGTTCACAGCATATATATTCTGTCTCAAATTGTAAGACATTTAAGAGTGTCTTACTGAAATAGTGACACTAATTGACTTACATTTTTTGTCATGGCACATGGCACCAGAATTCTGAATAAGGGACTGTTCCGATAGGCATAGAGTACATGAACTTGATCTAAGATCAGATGGATGTTCAGTCTATTCAGCTGCTTTAATGACATCATACCTCTTGGTACAGCATGACAAATCATAAGGTTTAGCTTTTTTAAACCAGAGAAATCACTAATAAAAGCCTTTGATCCTCAGTGTCTGTGGAAGATTTATGTTAATTTCAATACTGAAATTGCAACAGCGTCCCATGATCTCCATATTGTCTGCAGACAAAGTTTCAGTACTAATTGGCATCGCAGTTAGTGTAAAGAAATAATGATGGAATGCTCAAGGGCTATGCATTAAATGAATTAGTTCAGGGGATATCAATTGGTGACACATCGATGCAATTAGTAAACTATGTGTGTCAAAGTGGGATGATTTTCTGGATCATCTGATCAGCTTCAATTGTTTTTGATAATGCTAACTGTGAACCTCACGAAACATGTTTTTGATCACATAATCCAAGAAATATCTTCCATTTCTTATGTTTAATTGTTGCAAGATGTACATACACTTGAAGTAGAGTTCACCTGAAAGCAAGCTTACTGTTTAAAAGATGGTGATAGCAAAAATATCCAAAAGAAATTGATTTCAATCAGCATATATAGAATTTGTGTTTATTACCTATATTCATGATTTGTAAGAACACCATTTATGTTTTGTGTTGAAGCTGATTTCTTGATGGCATGATTCAGTTCAGCCGATCAGCTGTTTTTGCTATGACCTAATTGTCAGTCTTATTAAACGTAGTAAATATGACCATTCATTCATGCCAATTATTAGTGTAATTTGTAAATATAAACGGAAGTGATTTTAAAACCTTATTTGTTACTCTGTGACCCTAGGTAGGACATCTCACATACATATATTGTAATCAGAATGCATAGATTGATGCTCATGATATCAATCACTGGATTGTCTGGTCCAGACTCAATTATTTACGACAAGGGTCATATAGTAAGAAAGATGCTGCAGTGTTAAATAATAGAAACAAGCTCATGTACTGATGCTCACGTTTTATATGTAATAGTTGCTAATAGCATGTCATGGATGTTGTTTGTCAGGTAATCCTGGTTGATCGATCACTGATGCCAGGAGATGTTGTGCGGCGTCTCATCCTCAATGAGGACAGTCAGAGGGGCTACGTGAAGGACATGAATGTCACGTGTCATCTGCATATACTGGGCACGGATAAATATATCTACAACATTGACAGCAAGAGTCTGGATCCAATCACAGTAAGCATGTGATTCTTGATAGAGATTTTAGAGGGGAAAGTTTTGTTGTGAAGAAATAATATTATGATTCTTCCAGACGTGCAGGTATGATTTAGGAAATACATGTAACCATACATGTATAGATGTATGGAAAAGAGTATTGCTGAGGGATGGAAAAAATGAGATGCACCACAGTAAAAAAATGTTAGGATTTAATATGATACATGATCTAATGATATGCTTCATTGTGTATCAATGCATGTAATTATGGTAATTTCATAGTCTGGTCTTGTCACCTGAATATCAGATACATTTGAAATCGATACTGATCTACATTACCATATAAAGTCATGTTTTTCTGATGATCATGATTATGCAGTGGTGTTGATTTAAGAATAGGAGCCACAGATGAGCATATTGCATTAGAAATGATGTGAGAATAATTCTGCTTTTGGTCCTCATGACGTTTACTCAGAAAATAGTGAATTGTATGGTATACATCCTATGGGATTCAGTGGTCAGAAGTTTTGCCACTATTTGATCTGGCCTGTGTCATCTTGTGTAATGAGCATCCACTTTACTGAATAAAGATTTCAAAGGTAAAATGTTTTTGGGTGGGCTATTATCCCCAAGTGAACCATCTCTGGTGGCATTATACCCATTATGTTGTCTCTCTACAGGACATGCTGGGTTTGAACGTGTTTGTGAAGATTTATGTTGTTTTTAAGGAATTTGACACAGACCCTGGAGAAGTAACCCTTGACTCCTGGGTTGGTAGAATCGAGACTGTGAATGAAGATGTAACTCTGTTGTTTCCTGATGGAGCAAGGTTTGTGACTCCTGCTGTATTGTGTGATCAACCAAGTACACATGCAAAACATTGTATTTATTACAGGTTCCACATAGCAGTACTCCAAATTAACTGAGTCTATATTTAGCAACAGTGTTTTAATGAAAGGATATATTTCAACATTAACATGTTTACTGAAATATGTCACCTTTTATTATAAACATGACATAAATATGCTATTCAAGTTAATACAAGGATAACCATGAGATTTTGTCAAAATAATATCTTGACATGTTTTGAGAGTAATTGTTTGTATCATAAGATAATAATATCCCTTTCACACGTTGAGTGGTATGTGTTTAAGTTTCACTTGGTACCTAAGGGCAGTGGGGTAGCCTAGTGGTTAAAGCATTCGCTCGTCATGCCAAAGACCGAGGTTCGATTCTGGTGCCCCCCCGTCATAATATTGCTAAAAGCGGCGCAAAACTAAACTCACTCACTCACTCATACTTGCTCACACCATTCTTCATGTTAGACCGTGATGGATCAATGTTTTAAGCCCATTGTGTTTGTTTCTACAAGGCCCCCACACTTCCTCTTTTGTTCAACCTGTGAAGGTCCGGGCTAGAATATTGATCTTCAGTAACCAATGCTTGTCGTAAGAGGCGACTAACGGTATCGGGTGGTCAGACTCGCTGACTTGGTTGACACATGTCATCGGTTCCCAATTGTGCAGATCGATGCTCATGCTGTTGATCACTGGATTGTCTGGTCCAGACTCGATTATTTACACACCGCATCCATATAGATGGAATATTGCTGAGTGCGGTGTAAAACTAGACTCACTCACTCACTCCTCTTTTGTTCCAGATGTGTTATCAGTGACAGTGATATTTGTGTCTTTGAGGATGCTTTGGAAAAACGAGGACGGGTATGTCTTTGTCTTTAAAGGACAGTGATTTGATGTGTATTTCACACTGTTTTATAAGAATCTACTCCATTATCTATACTCTTTTGAAAAACATATAAAATAAATGTTTATTTTTCTTGAGCAATGTTAACTGAATATGATACAGTTACAGCTAAAGTTTTGTTCTACTTTTATAATATTTGTATATATTCTTCAAAGTGTATCGTAAGGATAATTAAATGCACTTTCTCATGTCTTTTCTGTTAACATTTCCTTAAATGTTTCGTGATATTCACTTTCCAGCACACAGAGTTTTGTAATTGTAACACATATCCTGGGCGAGAACTGCGTGCAACAATGCATGACCTGTGTGATGTCAAGTGGTTGAACGAAACACCCATGTACAATGACGCCATGATCGACAGCAAGCCCAGGATGACTATAAATGTTGTGGTGGAATCGGTACGGAAAGCTTACATTGTGTTATTCTGGTATTACAATAACTACTCTGTATGCATGCACCTTCCTGAGTGGGATTCCATTGTAACTGTACATAGTACGTCAATTATATTTCAGCTCTTCCAGTTATCTATGGTTTCACAATTTGCTGTGCAGAGTCGCATCCCTTGATTTTGAGGGTGGTGGGGTAGCCTAGTGGTTAAAGCGTTTGCTTGTCACACTGAAGACCCGGGTCCGATAATCCACATGGGTACAATTTCTGGTGTCCCTGCCGTGAAATTTGTTGGAATATTGCTATAAGCGGCGTAAAACTAAATTCACTCACTCCCTTGATGTTAACAGATACCTGTGACCATGGGTTCTAATCCAGGTTTGCCCTGATTAGTTGTCTAGGCTTGTCAGCACCATACCTGTGCGCATGGGTTTATCCAAAGTTGTATACATCCAAGACCTGCATCACTGAGGGATTTCACCAAAAATTTGCAAAAATTATAGAGAGGTAAACCCAACCCCTCACTCACTCCAGCTATCTCTCAGGGTGCTTACTCTTCCAGGAATATCGGGAACTTTGGTTCTGAATGAGAAGAACAAGGGAAGAATTTCAAACTGAAATCTGTCTATGAAAATGATTGACTTTGTATATAATGGCTCTTGCGTTTGATTTAAAAATAATAAACAGTTGCACATTTTGACATTCATTGATCCTTATTTGTCCCAGGTTGTGACTAAAAGTGTAGAAGTACACTGGTTGTGTCGAGGGTTCTCCAAGGTTGCCAACCCTCTTGCTAAGATGTCACCACCAGAGCGAATTGTCCAAGGAGACGCCTTGAAACGGTTAGTGTTAACCAAGAATTATATTGCTTTTATATTGATCTGAGTTACCCTTTGTTTTTCATTGGGGCCAAGATCTTCAACGAATGGAGCTGAAATATTGCTGACTTATATAACCTCATTCACTTTCCACAGAGGTTACTTGTCATATCTTCCTATGAATCTGACCCATGAAGATCCGGGGGTAGAATAGGTCTTCAGCAACCCATGCTTGCCACAATAGGCTTACATGCTTGTCCTAAGAGGCTTACTAATGGGATGGCCTGATGTCATCGGGTTCCCAATGTTGCATATCGATGCATTGCTGTTGATCACTGGATTGTATCCAGATATCCATTTACAGACCGCGCCATATAGCCTGGAATATTGCTGAGTCGCGGCGTACACATATCCACAGACCACGGCCATTGCCTGGATATCCACAGACCACGGCCATTGCCTGGATATCCACAGACCACGGCCATTGCCTGGATATCCACAGACCACGGCCATTGCCTGGATATCCACAGACCACGGCCATGGCCTGGATACCACAGACCACGGCCATGGCCTAGATATCCACAGACCACGGCCATGGCCTGGATACCCACAGACCACACCATGGCCTACATATCCACAGGCCATGGCCTGGATATCCACAGACCACGCCATGGCCTGGATACCCACAGACCACGGCCATGGTCTGGATACCCACAGACCACGGCCATGGTCTAGATACCCACAGACCGTGGCCATGGTCTAGATACCCACAGACCGCGGCCATGGCCTGGATACCCACAGACCGCGGCCATGGTCTAGATATCCACAGACCACGGCCATGGTCTAGATACCCACAGACCGCGGCCATGGCCTGGATATCCACAGACCACGGCCACGGCCTGGATATTCACAGACCGCGGCCACGGCCTGGATACCCACAGACCGCGGCCACGGCCTGGATACCCACAAAATGAGTACTTACAGTATGGTAATAGGATATGACCAGCAAATTTAATTCATGACCGGTAAAATGTTAGGTTGCCAGACATAGTGTCCAATAAATAATTTAGTCAGCGGAAACACTGGTTTCATGCATAAAATCATTTCTGTAATCATTAAACCTGATGTCACCTCACCTCACAGTATCTCCACAGGTACTTCGTACTACCCTCTTGAGGATGTTGAGGTACTGGGATAGGCTTATGGTTTAAGTGTTTGCTTGTCACACCAAAGGTTCAGGTTCAATTCCCCCCATGGGTAGAATGTGTGCAGATCATTTCTGTTGTCCCCAGCTGTGATGATATTGTTAGAATCGGCGTAAAATCATACTCACTCACGCCCATAAGGATGTTCATGGTGCCACCATTTAGGTCTTCTGCTGACTGCTGCATAACACAACATTCTGTCACTCTAACAATGTTTTACTGTTTTTGACTGCTTTGCAGGCTCCGCCCTCTGGACTGGTTTGCTCACTGTAGTGTTCAGATTGGTGACAAGGCATACTACACCATTAAAGACACTGACACTCTGGAAACAACTCCTCCAAAACGGATGTTCGTGCCGCCTGTAATTTCCAAGATGTCTGCCGAGGAGGTGGAGGAGTGTTGCACAGAGAAAGTGTTCAAGGCCAAGTCTGGTGAGGCTGAGAAGACCGAGGACAGCGAGGACAAGGAAGAAGCTGCTGACCCCGCAACGGAACAGGCAGCGGAACAGCCAATTACCAACGGTGATGTTGAAGAGAAAGATGAAGATTATGAAGATGTAGATGAAGATGGCTCTGATGCTGAATCCCAAGCATCAGGACACTCAAACTCAGCTCCAGGAGCTAAGAAGAAGAAAACTTCCAGAAAAGGACCTCATCTTGCTACAAAGTCACTGAAGAAAGTCAGAGGACGCCGTGCCAAGCAGAAACTGTTGTTACCACAGAGGGTTGTCAACATTGGGGATAAAGTTGCTGTGGAGATCTGCTATACATACACCTCGGCCAGTGTTGTGTGGCAGGTGCGTTGTCAGTTCGAACATACTCAGCGTCTTTATTTATATTTTACCTGTTTCATGAAAGCATCTCACTTAGTGTGTCATTGGCTTAAACAACATGTTCTTCAACTATTAATCACTTTGTCAGTATACTCTGACCTCATAACACTCTTTGCCATAAGTTTCACACCTACATACTCAATAATGATGCTGAGAGTACATATTGTGCTGGCTTTAATTGGCCTGGTTTGAAACAGTGAACCAGAGTCATTGTTAATGGTGTAACTATATCTCAATACAGTATCAAAATGGGTATCGTTTCACAGCCTCACTGTATCGTGACACCTCTGTTACAGTACATTCATTATATGTATCGATAGAAAATGTAGTGATCAAGTGTTACTCAACTGATGTCAGTTTTTGATAGGTCTTTGATGTTTGGTTTGAAGTTACACACACACATTACACCAATGAATCATAAGACAGTAATCTGTACTTCAAATTGGGAAAACCCATGAAGATGCGGGTCAGAATTGATATTTTGTAACCCATGCTTGTCGTAAGAGGCGACTAACGGGATCGGGTGGTCAGGCTCACTGACTGGGTTGACACTTGTCATCATATCCCAATTCTGGAGAGCGGAAGGTCGCGGGTTCGATCCCCGACCGCGTCATACCAAAAGACGTTAAAATATGGTACTTGTTGGTCCCTGCCTGGCGCCCGGCATAAATGGGTACATCAAGGACTGGTCGGCTCGGAGTCAGTATAATGTGTCTGAGTGGGGTATTCATGCTTCACTGCGGCATGGTATCTCAGTGGGCTAGCACTATAAAACCAGCTTAAGTCTGGGCTAGTACAAGCAGCAGCACATACACACGCATGCACGTCGTCATATGAGCGAAATATTCTCAAGCACGACGTTAAACCAAATTTCACCTCACCTCATATCCCAATTGCGTAGATCGATGTTCATGCTGTTGATCCTTGGATTGTCTGGTCCCGACTCGATTATTTACTGACAGAAGCCATATAGCTGGAATATTGCTGAGTGCGGCGTAAAACTATACTCACTCGCTCACTCACTCACTCACTCACTCACTCACTCACTCACTCACTCACTCACTCACTCACTCACTCACTCACTCACTCACTCACTCACTCACTCACTCACTCACTCAAATTAGACAAACGTATAGTATTGAATGCAAGGAGTATTTGCTAGTATTTGGTTTTTAATATTAGAGAAATGTTTTTCTTTGAACCAGGAATCATTATACAGATTGGTATGTCTGAGGGACTGGGAATTTGTTCATGTAAACAACACATTTGTATTTGACCTATTTTTGAGCTAGGGAGACAGTGTTGTGGTATTGTGTGATGTGTCTGTGTTATATCTGTGTGTCCGTCTTGTAGGATGGTTCAGAAGAGGAGGACATCCCTTCCCCAGAACTGTACCCCATCCACCATCTGGACGAACTCGAGTACTTTCCTGGGGACTATGTCATGGATGCTAAAGGTAAACATCCCTGACTGAACTAGTGTCCCTGCTAAGATTAAAGAGATTGAAATCAGATGGGCAAAATTGATGGTGACAGAGCAAATGCTGACTGTGTCACTTGACTGACCTGATGTGAAGAAGTGTCTGCTCTTTTCTGTTCATATACTATTTGGCTTACCTGTGAAGATTGGGATAGAATTGGTCTTCAGTAACCCATGCTTGTTGTAAAAGACAACTAATGGGATCGGGTGGTCAGGCTCGCTGACTTTGTTGACACGTGTCATCATATCCCAATTGCGTAGATCAATGCTCATGCTGTTGATCACTGGATTATCTGGTCCAGACTCGATTACTTACAGACCACCGCCGTATAGCTGGAATAACCAATTATTTGGGCTTACAACTACACCGTTTGAGCCCTTATTCTCCTCCGTGGTGTAGTAGTTAGAGCGTCTGCCTGGTTAGCAGAAGGCCGCGGGTTCGATCCCCGGCCGCGTCATACCAAAAGACTTTAAAATATGGTACTTGGTACTTTTTAGTGCCTGGCTCTCATCATTAATGGGTACAACAATGACTGGTCAGCTCGGAAGCAGTATAATGTGTCTGAGTGGGATATTCATGCTTAACTGCTGCATGGTACCTCAGTGAGCTAGCACTATAAAACCAGTTTAAGTCTGGGCTAGTACAAGCATCCACACACATGCACGTCATCATATGAGCGAAATATTTCTAAGTATGACATTAAACCCAATTCACCTCACCTGTTTGCAGCCTTGACTAAGATGAGATATTTTCTTCTGTGGCACATAACTGTTCTATCACACCTCTCAAATGTTCTTTTAGTCAAATTGGGTGTCTCATTCGTCTGTTGCCACAGCTTTGCAGAGATATGTCCCTTATACATGTATTAAGGATGCCAGGAGCCTCTGATCGTGGTTTGAATTCTTAGTGCTTTGTCAGCAACACGCCCAAGCATATGGGTTTCACCAAAAGTTGTAAATGTCTAAGATCTGATCATCATAAAGGGATGTTGTTTTCATTATCCCCCGCTGCGCGTGAAGTGGGGGATATAGTATTAGGCTCTGTCCGTCCGTCCGTCCGTCCATCCATCGTCCATCCGTACGTCTGTACGTGCATGCAAATTGGAATATATAACGAACTGTTGACTAGATTCTTTTCATACATGGTACCTAGGTTCATCGCAGTATGTGAAAGGTACCAGTCAAGGTCATAAGGGGACTTTAACGTTTTACCCATGTCAGGGAGATATCTCAAGAACTGTTCACTGGATTTTCTTCATATTTGACACCAAGCTTCATTTAGGGAATGCACAGGGCTGAGTCGATTTGGGTGACCTTCACATAAGTTTCAAGGTCACACTGACACTTTGAAGATTTCAGTATGTTAAGATTGTTAGCAAGATATCTCAAGAACGGTTCACTGGATTTTCTTCATAGACTTTCAAGACTTCTCTTGAATGTTTTTTGATAAGCAATTTCTTTATTACTATTTTTTGCATATTTCATACACCATGACATTCATGTCAAGGTCAAAGTGAGTCTTCAAAATGTTTGTGTATTTGAACAGCTGCAGAACAAAATATCGAGAGAGGTTGACTGGTCATGTTTTTGTTCACATTGAACTTCATCTTAAACTACGATCTTCACTTTCATTACTTTTTAAGTCTGATTTGATAATTTGTGGCGGGGGATTATGTCACCTTGGTGACAACTGCTTGTTTTCATTATTGTCCTGCTCATTGCAGATGCAAGTGCCGGAAACCAGTATGGTTTGGTGGTGTCATGTGACCACCGTGAACGGACCTGTCTCACCCAGTGGATGAAGCCATATGAAGTGGGCAAATCAAACAGGTAGACACTAACAGTGAATGTGTTTCATCCGTTTTCAACAATTTTACCCTGTTACTGTTACATATGTGTGAATGTGTATCAATAGCTGTATCTATTCGAGTGATCTCTTGCTACAGTACTTGAGTAGGGCAAGGAGGTCTTTCTATGAATGTATGTAAATTGTCTCCTAAATCTGTTCAATTCCATCTGAAGATACCAACTGAGACAATGTAATTATATGAAAATTAGAAGCTATTCCGAGTGCAGCCATGACACTTTGTAGTGATGTCACATGTTTTCGTTCCCCTCAAGGCTTTGCTGTTTACATCCACTGAACCTCACACAAGTCATGTGATTATCTTATGACAGACAAGTTGCCTTTGAAGTCACATCTCATAAATTTTTAAAACTCACAATTGAAAATGACGGAGCGGAAATATATCTCAAGCAAAAACATGTGATAGTACAATAAGTTTAAAACAAACATTCCATGGCTGTCAATGTCTAGAAGTTTTTTCAACTTGATACTTGTTTCCTTTTTGCTAGATTTACTCACAGGTAAGGAACGTTAATCAAATACATTTTTAAGCTATGGCGGTGAAGGTGGAATGATGATACGAGGTGAAATGGATTTGTCATCTTAAGTGCTTTGGATATGAGTTGAGGAAGTTGATATCTCTTTAAGAAGGTGTAGTAATTCTGGCACTCCACAATGGGCTGTCTTGTTCTTGTCACCTTTCTCAATACATTGGTGGTAGTGCTCTACTGGGCCTCTGCTGCTTAAACTGGTGATGGATTGGTTCTGTTTTATAAAGCTTTGATTTATGTTCTCCAAACAGATTTTAGAGCTCATATGATCATTGCTCTCATAGTTTAATCTAGACTTTTGGCTGTTGTAGTGCTAAGATTGTTTTGTGTAATGGGGCTTTATTTAATTCCTATCTTGAATATGTGGGAAGACATCTCTTGATGTATCTGACAGCGTAGCAGGTTTATGCACAATGTCCAAACTGGGATTTGAAACTCCATCTTGAAATCAGTTCTTATTAATACATTTGTCAACAGTAAAAACATTAATGGCATTAACGCAAACAGAATGTCACAGAATCACTCACTATGTATTTCTTCCTTGATAGATCATAACCGCCTCCGTGGTGTAGTGGTTAGAGCGTCCGCCCGGAGAGCGGAAGGTCGCGGGTTCGATCCCCGACCGCGTCATACCAAAAGACGTTAAAATATGGTACTTGTTGGTCCCTGCCTGGCTCTTGGCATTAATGGGTACAACAAGGACTGGTCGGCTCGGAGTCAGTATACTGTGTCTGAGTGGGGTATTCATGCTTCACTGTGGCATGGTATCTCAGTGGGCAAGCACTATAAAACCAGCTTCAGTCTGGGCTAGTACAAGCAGCCGCACATACACATACACATGCATGCACGTCGTCATATGAGCGAAATATTCTCAAGCACGACGTAAAACCCAATTTCACCTCACCTCACCTCCTTGATAGATCTGTGATAATGCTTAAGGTATTGAGCCTAACTTGACAGTTATTTACTGATTATGAGATGGTTGGGTAGCCTCATGGTATAAAGCATTGACTTCTGCCCATTTCTGTTTTTATAAAAGATGTATTAAGACCATGCTGGTGTCTCTAAAATATTGCCCCAAACATCTAAACCCTTCTCAGCTTACTCCAGTGCAAGCAAAGTATTTTCCGTTCTTTCAGACCAGTGGAGTATGGCGAACAGAAAGAGGTCAGTGTGTATGACATTAAGGATCACCCTGACTACAAGTTTCGACCTGGACACAGTGTCATCAGAGTTGGAGGATTTGAGGTAGGAAGAGTTAAATGAGACTTTGTAAGTAAATTGTTGGAAAATGTGTCCAGGAATGTTGCTCTGATTCAGAGCTAGTTGTGAGTTAAAGTGGCTCCAAGTTATATAGCCATTATTATTATCACCCAGGTGGTACAACGTGAACAGGTATAACGACACATTTACCTTCACTCTGAATGTACCTGGTTAGCAACAGTTCATTGGGGCTATTTTTTAAAGGTATTTTACAAATATATGAGTGTAGGGCACCATAGCATATCCCAGCAATCATTACCTTTATGTAGGGAACATGGGTGGGTCTTTGTGAGGTCTCAAGTGACACAAGGCGATAAGTAGAGTTACCTCCCCTGGCAAGAATGTGCTGGCTTGTTTCACTGAAATGATAATTGCCTATGCATCATTATAGACTTTCTAGTATTTTTGTTGGCATGTTGTGTATTGTAACTGAAATACTGTATGAAGTGAAGAGTCACTTAGAATTCCCTCACTCATGATTGTCTAACAACACCATGTGTTGTCCAGGACCGGGAACAGGAGCTCCATGCTGTGGGACAGGTGTACCGACTGGACCCTGGAAATGGCATCTCTGTCAAGTGGCCAGATGGATCTGTGTCATCATGCTTCCCACAGGAACTCTATATAGTCAATGATGATGTAAGTAGACTAATGGAACAGTTGTAGATCAACCAGTTAGCAAGGACATTACGGTGGTGATGTAAAGAGTTACCTACCTTGGACATGCTTGTTTACTTGTTTACTTTGTCAAGCTGGCTGTAATCCTAAACTGCTTGTTGTCCCCCTTTGCAACGCGGAACTGGGGACTATTCAGCAGCGTCCGTACGTCCCGATTCTTGTTAACGCGATATCTCATGAACCGTTGTACCCAATGTCTTCAAATTTGGTTACCACCTACATTGGGGGATTACACAGACACCAGTCGATTTTGGTGACCTTAACCATATTTTCAAGGTCACCAGGACTGTGACCACTTTTCAAATTCTTGTTAACGTGATATCTCATGCACTTTTGTACCCAATATCTTCAAATTTGGTGACCGCCTACATTGGGGGATCACGCAGACACCAGTTGATTTTGCTGACCTTGATCTTATTTTCAAGGTCACCACGACACTGTGACCTCTTTTCAAACACTTGTTAACGTGATATATCATGAACTGTTGTACCCAATGTCTTCAAATTTGGTGACAGCCTACATTGGGGGATTACGCAGAGACCAGTTGATTTGGGTGACCTTGACCTTATCTTCAAAGTCACCATGAAACTTTGACCACTTTTCAAACTTATGTAAACGAGATATCTCATAAATCATTTGTCTTCAATGATGTCGACAGCCTACATTGAGTGATTATGCAGACACCAGTCATTTCAGGCATCTTGTATGTGACCTAAATATATAAAGCGGTAAATATGTTATAAATATTTCATTCTTCTTTAGTGTGTGTGTGTGTTACATTGCCATATTAGTGGCAAACACTTGTTGTTGAATTATTTTTTGTCTGATTGTATGGATGCCATGTTTCTGAAGGAATTCAGCCGGCTAGGTTGTTATGGACTCAGTGACTTGGTTTATAGAGTGTCATTGAACGCTGACTCCATCATATAGCTGGAATATCACTGAGAGCAGTAAACAATAAATGCACTCTCCATCTGGTTTGAGGTGCCTCAATTTACTTTTCAGAGTCTCTTGAGTGTGCCAGAAACTTATGATCATGAGATTCATTCATTGCTGGAGCATATCATGTTTCTAGGGTTTGTCAGCTTCTGTGTTTCACCAAAGTGGCAGACGTTCATGACTTGCATCACTTTGGGCGTTCCTCGCAAACTGACTCGCTGAACTTTCTAAAATGATGTTTAAAACAGTGTTGATCCCAACTCACTCATAGTCAGACTGATAAAATGTGATAGACAACTACACAGTTACTGTGAGTGATGGAGCAGGTTTCTGTAACTGAAATACAGGTCCAAGCAGAATACACCCAACTCACAGACTACTGTACGCATGACCTAAGGTGGACTAGCCTTTCCTGAACTGCCCCATTGCTAGCCATCCTGAATGACTGTATGTTACTCTTTGTCCCCAGCCAAGTGACTATGGAAGCTCAGAGTGGGAGACATCAAGTTCATCAGGGTCAGAATCTGGCACCGACACATCATGGGAGACAGAGAATGAAGAGGAATTGATGGATGCAGATGATACAATGTACAGGTCAGTGACATATATAGGCACCTTGGTATAAAAGTTAATCCAGGTATGAAGCATGTTCTATCAGCACCATACAAATTCTTGTCACATTAGAGTGAGTGAGTGAGTTTAGTTTTACGCCGCACTCAGCAATATTCCAGTTACATGGCGGCGGTGTGTAAATAATCGAGTCTGGACCAGACAATCCAGTGATCAACAGCATGAGCATCAATCTGCGCAATTGGGAACCGATGACATGTGTCAACCAAGCCAGCGAGCCTGACCACCCGATCCCGTTAGTCGCCTCTTACGACTAGCATGGGTTACTGAAGGCTCATTCTAACCGGCATTAATGGGTACAACAAGGACTGGTCGGCTCAGAGTCTGTATCATGTGTCTGAGTGGGGTATTCATGCTTCACTGCGGCATGGTATCTCAGTGGGCTAGCACTATAAAACCAGCTTCACTCTGGGCTAGTACAAGCAGCCTCACACACGCATGCACATCGTCATATGAGCGCAATATTCCCAGTACGACGTAAAACCCAATTTCACCTCACCTCACCTCATCTCATTCTAACCTGGACCTTCACGGGTATGTCACATTAGAGTGTGTCCCAAGCAAGCTTTTAAAAGGCTTCTAAATCATTCAGATATTCAGGATCATTGATTTTGTAAATAGTGTGCTGACATACCAAGGGTGTGATTATTATGCAGAAGATCAAGCTGTGGATTATCTGTTTTGGACAGCAGGGATTTTATATTTCCAACACTGATGTCAACCGCCATGACATTGCTGAGACTGTCAGCTACGTAATAAAACTACTCGCTGACTTATATTGTGGAAATAACATATGAGAGACTTATTTAAAATGTTTTTCTCGTTTCAGTGATGGTGCAAACAAGTCATTCTTCATGCTGTGTACCCACAAGAAGTCAGAGTTGGACACGCTTCTGGTGCGTGCACAGACGGCACTGTCCAAACTCGAGTCTCTCTTCCAAGGGCTGGACCAGAATCTTCCCAATGTCAGCACCTGCTACCATGACATTCTTCGCATTTACAAAATCTGCAAAGATCTGGACAAAATACTCAAATCCAATTTCTTTGAGGAGGAAGAGATCACTGATCTCATTTCAGCAGTGAGACAGGAAATAAAGTGTGAGAAGTCCCGGGAAACTGGCCAAGCACTTGGAGCAGATGTTTCAGTCCTGGCACCATGGTCTGTCTGACCACAGCAAGGATGAAGGACAAGGTGACGATGAGGATCTTGACAACTCGACTGACTCACGGAGTCTGCCAGGGGAGATAGAGAGGAATATATGTGTCAGTGAGGAAGAACTTGTGAAAAATTTACAAAATAAAGAATGCTCAAAGAAAGGTGATGAGGACTCAAATACTTCTAATGATTCAGGGACTGAAGTTTCAGCATCATTGAACTCTGAGCCTATTTGTGATAGGGCGTCTGCTCAAAAAGATGATGCTGCGAGGTCTGGTTCTGATGCTGCAGCGAGTGGTGCATCAGTAAGTGCATCTGGGGACAATGATGCACAAAAGGACAGCAATCCAGACCCTGTTTCAACACAAAACGCCAAAGAGTTGTGCTTAAAGATTTGTCGTAGACTCCATGTCTTGATGGCTAAGATACAAGAGGAGGTGAACTTGAGATGGAAGAAATGTGAATCCACACAGACTGACCCAATCGGCAACACAGACAGATCCAGCAGCTATTCAGACTGCCTCTCAGCTGTCACAAGGAGACCTCAATGATCCAGATGTTGATGGAAAAATTATCACAATATCAAGCCATCAAGTGGCTGCAAGTGCAGGTGAAGGTGATTCTAAGGAGGCGAACGTTGGGGAGGCTGAACCATGTTGTGATAAAGTGAGGGACAGTGACTCACAGACTGACGTGACGGAGGAGCCGAACTGTAAGGCGCCATCTAGTGTGCAGCTAAAGGAGACTGGGTTTACCCTGGCGGAAGAGGTGGAGAAGTCAGAACAGGCCAACTCATCAGCTCCGACTAAAGGTAGCAAATTCTTCACCCCCATATCTCAGGCGATCTTAGTGCTAAGACTATTGAAAGCCAATGTTGAATTATAGCAGTTACGATCACCTTAGCTCTGTAGAATGAGGCCCTAAATGTGGTAAATAAATGGAGGGAGGGGGGGTTGTACGATGCCTATGTTGACTCAAACTATAGTCCTTTTGGCTCAAAAGCGGACCGATGAATTGCAATCTAACTCGAAAACTAATAAATATAACATACTCAATGAAACGCTGATCATAATCAAAACATCATACCCACTCTGTGAGGTTTTTGCAGAATTTTTGTCCTAAAAATTAAAAAGTTTTTTAACAAACTATCATTAAAATATTGACACAGTTCACTGTTTGTTACGAGGGAGGAGTACAGAGAAAGGGACAGAGTGGGTATGATGTTTTGATCATGATCAGTGTTTCATTGAGTATTTTATGTTTATTAGGTTTCGAGTTAGATTGCAATTCATCGGTCCGCTTTTGAGCCAAACGGACTATAAAGGCAGGAAAGGTACCACAGAGCTACAGATAACTTTTTGGGTCATCGAGTTATGTACTCGCTTGTGTTCATCTCAAATGAGTATCCTAATTTTCCGTTGAGTAACCCTATAAATTGTACTCACCTCACTCAAATTCAATAGGGTATTTTGCAATTTTTCATTAATTGTAAAAATATATGAAAGTTTAAGTGTTAGTGTTTGTTATTTATATTTGATCTGTAATATGAGAAACGATAAGAAAGACTGCAAGTTGCTGAAATAGATCCTCTCAGTATATCTCAGTTATTTTATCTATCCACCTGTACGCAAGTTAAGATTTGACATTTTTGTGTGTACGCATATAAGATCACATTTATTGAGTATTTAAAAACATTCAAGCATACTTGTACACGATATACTTAATAGGAATTGAGTTTTCACATAAATATTTGCGTAATTTACGCAGATACGCAGCTTATCTGTACCTCTGGTACCAGATAATTTAAGTGAACACATTTTGAGTATGCACCTTTTCTTTTTTGAGTAGGGTAGACACCTTGAGTATTTTCATCAAGTCCACAGTTCAATTGAGACTTGTTGTATATGTAATTAGATATATGGAGAATCCATGTAGTCAGTCCAGGTTTTCCCTGCTCTGAGGAATAGTGGCTACGTCAACCCTTTGAATTCTGGAAGAGATTGTGCCAACAATGCAGATGTTGCAGTTTGGTTGTAATGGGGTACAGGGTAGAATAGTTTTGTTTCCCCTACTGCTGTGCATTTTCAATCAATCAATCAATCTTTATTCAGAACTGAAGGCCACAGGCCCATAGTACAAGTATATACAAAGTTCAACAGCAGAGTGAATTTCTCTTCAAAATAGCATGATAGATAAACCTGTGTTTGAAATATTGCGTTATTAACCAAGTATTTCATGTCGCGTTGTCGCATTCACGTAATTTTCAATGATTTGTACGTGTATATTTATGCTGTTGGGTTACACCAATAGCTACATGCTTGCGTGTTTGCTTTCAGGCGTTTACGGGATGTGCTGCCTGCGGGCAAAATATTCCCCTTTCAGATAAGCATGACAAATGCTTTTGCTGCCTGGAGAAGGCAGGTCATAACCCTGACATCTGTGAGTTGTGCATGGGCTTCTCCCCCCAGGAAGATATGGACGGCTGACTTCCTTTTTACAAGGAATTGCATGAGGCGGGAGGGGAAGGCCAAGGCCAAAATGGCTAAGCAAACTAAATCTAAGTCTTCACATAGGTCACTCTCTCTGTCTCCGTCCAGTGGTTTTGATATGTCACTTATCACTCAGTTGTTTCAGCAGCATATGGACTCAGTGAAGTCCCTCGTTCACGAGTCTGTTGGAGGTCTCCGGCAGGAGTTCCTCGCCCACTCTGATCGGGGGACCGAGAGTCCGGGGATGGAATCACCCAGCTCGGCTCGATCCCTTGGCCTGGAGGTGTCTGTCGATCCTTTGGCTTCGGGTCCGAAGGGGGAGGGTTCGCTCCCAGTCCCTCTCTCGGTGTTGGCGCAGGGTCCATTGAGGATTCCTGGGGTTCCGGTCCCTGCACCACCCCGCCCCATGAGAGCGGAGGAGCCGAGAGCGGAGGAGCTGAGGCCGGAGCCGAGGCCCGCCTACACATCAATGTCTTAAAACTGAGAGCTGTGCGGTTGGTTTTCGAACGCCCCCGGGAGGATGTTCAGGGCCAGGTGGACAACCGTATGGCCATGATGTCGAGGCGGCATGGTGTCCCTAGCGCTCCTCTGGTGCGACCAGTGCGACTGTCACGTGATTCCTGTTTATCTCCCGGGGTTTGAGAACGTGCGAGCAGACGCTCTCTCTCGCCGGATCCTGGCCCCGCAAGAGTAGATGCTCGACCGGCAGATATTCAGAGTTATCTCCCAGTTGTACGGATCGTTCCAGGTGGATCTGTTTGCGTCCGGCGGGACGAATCAGATACCCGTGTTCTGCTCTCGAATACCGGACCAGAGGGCGTTGGCTTCCGACGCCTTCCTGCTGGATTGGATGGGCAAGGTGCTGAGGGCGTTTCCGCCTCTACCACTCATTCCCTGGGTCCTCTCTCAGCTGTCCACCCAGCCAGCTCGGCTACTTGTGCTACTGGCACCGCTATGACCGTCACAGAGCTGGTTTCCGGTAATTCTCAGGTTTCTGGCTCAGCCTCTTGTTCTTTTACATTTGCGACCAGACATTCTCACTCAGAACGGCGCGCCATACCGCAAACCAAGGATTCAGTGGGTGGCTTGGCCTCTGTCATGTCTAGCCTCGAGTCACGCGGAATTCCTGCAGCAGTTGCAGACACAATTCTGGCTTTGAGGCGGGATTCGACAAACGTTCAATATGAGGATAGGTGGTCCCGCTATGCGCGCTGGTGATCAGATAGGGGGATTGCAGATCCCTTTTCTGCGGATTTAGTCCGAGTATTGGAGTTTCTGCAAGCTCGTTTGGAAGAAGGCTTGGTGGCCTCGACCATTCGTGGCTACTCCCGCTCTTTCCACTTTCCACACCCCTGCCGATGGTGCTCTTCTGGGGCAGCACCCTCTTATGCAGCGCTTTTTAGCTGGCGTGGATTGGATTCGACCTGCTGTCAGGCGAAGCAGCCCACCTTGGGATTTGTCAATCGTGCTAGATTGGCTGTCCGGTCCTACGTTCTCACGTCTATCGGCTATTTCCATTCAGCTGTTAACATGGAAGGCCGTATTTCTGGTGGCGGTAACATCTGGGCGAAGGGTTGGCGACTTACATGCTATGACGGCAGACCTGACGCTGACTGTGTTCCATCCAGATCGTGTCAGTATTCGCCTCCCGGATACTTACCGTCCGAAGATCAATCACGCTTTCCATGTCACAGCTCTTATCAAACTTCTTACTCTTACCCAGCCTTCCACATCGGGGACCTCTGCAACGAGCACACACCCGTTGGATGTCCTGCCACCCTGACCAAGTGAGTCTTGGTTATCTTGACAGATGACGCTGCTTTCAATTGTGTATAATTGATATATCCACTGTTATCATATCTAACTACTTTCGATTTCTCTCATGAGATTATAGTCGGTTGTGAGATGATTTTCCCCCTTATGGTACGATTCACGATGTGGGCAGGGTTTTTTACTTTCGCACTGTGTGCGACTTGCTTTGCTTAACCTGAGATCGGGTCTCAGTACTTTCCTCCCTGTCGTTTACCCTCCCATCATGCCTCTCACGGAAGCTTCGGGACACGTGACAGGTGAGTGTTGTGGCGTCTGTTACATTCTTCCTAACGATCGCTATTTATGTGTACTTTGACAGAATTCCCTCCTTCCTAGCCTCCGGTCTTTGGGAGTCTGCGTTAATACATATATGTACCCCAAGGACGATCTCTATGAAAAAGAATTAGCTAAACCTGTAGAGGTTTCCAATTCTTTGAAGAGAATCGTCCTTGGGGTAGGGCCACCCATCTCCCCGCAATTTTGTTCACTGATTTATTCAGCAGAAGGAATGATGATATGGGCCTAGGTGCTTACCTGGTTGGCTGCGCATGCGTAGATAAAATAGATATAATAGATAAAAAAGATTTTTATTTATTGTACAATATTTTATTAACACATTGATACAACTGTCACATGACATTTTCAGCCGCAGAGAATGCATATATGTACCCCAAGGACGATTCTCTTCTAATAATTGGAAACCTCTACAGGTTTAGCTAAATTTGTTATGCCCCGCAACAACGAAGTTGCGGGGGATATAGAAACGAGTTCCGTCCGTCCGTCCATGTGCGTCCGTCACACTTAATCCGAAGCATATCTCCTAAACTATTGGTGATAGCTTAACCAAATTTGGTACACATGTCAACCATAATCCCTAGATGTGCCTTTTGGGGGGTTAGACCCAGATGCGAACTTTATTTTTGGCGGTTTCCATGGAAACGTGACTTAGTCTGTGACTATGAGGATGTCATTTTGTTGCATTTCCATGGCAACAAGTTAGGCTTCAACTGAATTTGAGGGTAGTGCTCCTCTCCGGAGCAGATCTTAAAAACCTTTCAATACTCTCCTTCCACTCTGCTGTATACACTCCAAAACATTTGACATAATCATAACTAGTAGACATATTCATAAAGAGTATTTTGCTGTTGCGGGATATTGATGACATTGTCTTCTTGTTTTGTCTGTTTTAGAATGTCACTCTGTTGAAAGTGTTTTTTTATCAACATGATTAAACATATTCGTTTCAGTTAGACAACATGGTGTAGTGTTGTTTCAACGATTGTTTCATAATTCAGTGTTTTTTATTTTAGGATTTCAAATGGAAAGTGAAGTAACAGCGTCTCAAAAATTTCGATCTCAAGAACATGTTGCTACTGACCAGAGGGGCTTCATGACAGCAGTTAGGAAAGAGGTAAGCATAGCATATCCTCCGGATGGTGCACATGCACACAGCCTCACTGTACATGTTGTGAAGGCTGGTTATAGAATCATTATTTTTCCTTATCCCTACTAATGCTTCTCTCTTCTTTGACCTGAAATATGGTGGTAATGCTCTGTGTTATGATCCCCAAGAACATTAAAAACATCTCACCCAAACGCACACATTCATCATTATTAAATGATGCTTGTGCTGTTGATCACTGGATTGTCTGGCCCAGACTTGACAATTTACAGACCGCCACCATATAGCTGGAATATTGCTGAGTGAAGCGTAAGACTAAACTCACTCACTCACTCTATGAAGATGTAGTTAGTGTGTGACCTTGTGTTACTCTGTGTCTATGTTAATCCAACGAGGACTCATTTTCCTTTGGAAAACATTGATATTTGTTTGATTTCCAGTTAAAACTGTTGAGGACTAGTCTTCCAGATGGCATTGTAGTCAAGGGTTTTGAAGATAGATTGGTAAGTGTTGTTTGAAGATTACTACACAGGGGTGGAAATAACCCATTGCCCGACGTCCGAGTCCAGTGTTTTTTTCTGTCGGGCAAGCAAATTTGTATATCATCCTGTACCGGTGTCCAGTTGACTTTCCAATGTTAATTATGCTGTTTATTTAAGAAATCAACAAGAAAATCGACCGGTATAGTGGAAAAATTATCAGGGCAAGTGATTTTACATGTGCCACTGTACCGGAGTACACTAGCAATTTTAAAGTTATTTCCACCCCTGACTACAGGAACAGTGACTATGTACGTGATTCAGTGGTCAATAGCCAGTATTCCAAGAGCCGTCCAAAGTGAGGTTATGGTGTCACCGTGTATTCTAGCTGTCATAAAACCCACAGAGTGTGGATCATTGCTGGGAATCACAACCCCAAGTACTGGGAATCACACCCCCAAGTATTGGGCATCACAACCCCAAGTATTGGACATCACAACCCCAAGTACTGGGCATCACATCCCCAAGTACTGGGCACCACAACCCAAAGTACTGGGCACCTCAACCCCAAGTACTGGGCACCTCAACCCCAAGTACTGGGCACCTCAACCCCAAGTACTGGGCACCACAACCCCAAGTATTGGGCATCACAACCCCAAGTACTGGGCACCTCAACCCCAAGTACTGGGCATCTCAACCCCAAGTACTGGGAATCACAACCCCAAGTACTGGGCATCTCAAACCCAAGTACTGGGCATCACAACCCCAAGTACTGGGCATCACAACCCCAAGTACTGGGCATCACAACCCCCGTCCCCGGCCATGATATTGCAGAATACCCTCATCTGTGTTTTAAAACATTATTAAGTAAGCTTTCTTTACAGGATTTATACTCTGTGATGATAGTTGGGCCAGCTCAAACACCGTACGAAGATGGACTCTTTTTCTTTGATGTCCAGTTGCCAAATGACTACCCCAACTCTCCACCAATCTTCCACTACCACTCATACTGCTCAGACAGACTCAACCCAAACCTTTACGAGGATGGCAAAGTCTGCGTCAGCCTCCTGGGCACCTGGTCTGGCAAGGTTGGTCACGTGATAAAACAATAGTAACCATGATAACAGGAACAACAACAAAGGCCTGTCTATATCATACCATATCCATAGCATGAGGAATTATTATGATGCTCTATTGTTACCCTATTCCTGGAACACAGGATACAGGCTGTACATTTATTCTACCTTCATTTACAATTAACATTAACAGATTCAGCAATATTCGAACTGTATGACTGCGGTCTGTAAATAATCAAGTCTGGACCAGGCAGTCATGGGATTGACATGAGCATCAGTCTATGCCATTGGGATACGGCATATATCAACCAAGTCAGCAAGCATGACTGCTCTCCAGTTAAATCACCCCTCATCATTTGATTCTTATCATGCTTATGACAACCTTGTTACCACAAATGTCGTAATTATGACTGTGAATGCCAGCATTTTTAATCTTCAAAGGTTAATGACCAACCTGCTATTTCTCAGATCTGATGTGAAAGCAGACTAGCAGAAAAGCACACAAATTATAGTTTGCATTCTTGTCATGCCAGTTGCATGATAGTTCAAGTAGAATAGTAATTCAGAAAATAATTCAGCTTGTGGAAGAGTATTTTTCATCATGACAGTCATCACTTGCCTAAATATAACAGGTCAGTGCAGTTGTGACCACTGTGACTGGTGGCAGCTATCGTAGGAACTCCCAACAGGGTTGTTGCTGTGAGGAGTTTGTCATGTGGATGCAAAGGGAGATAATTATGTAGTTGTGTGACATGAAGACCACTAAATAAGGCCGGAAATATACCTTTGCCCTGATCAGGGGATTAATGTACATTCCAATCACCCTTCCATTTCCTTGGGATGTGTATACAATAATATCTACTTGTTTAACACCTGAGGCATATATCCAACTAGATGTTCGCTGCTTGGTGAACATATAAACACGTTTCACACATCTGTTTTATGTCAGGTCATAGCATTAATGTATGGTATGCTGCAACCTAGAAACATTTGTCAGAGTGTTTGTTTCCTGCAGGGTAATGAGGTGTGGACAAGCAGCTCGAACCTCCTCCAGGTCCTCGTCTCAATACAAGGTGAGTTGCACATCCAGGCATGTTCTTTTAGGTGTAAATTTATAGACAGGTACCTTTTTTTAAGTTGTAAATATATAGCCAGATGTAGCTCTTTTTTGAGATGCAATTATATTTCTTTCTTCAGGTGTTAATATTTAGCATGTATATGCATGTATATTACATGTATCGGGCAGTGGGGTAGCCTAGTGGCTAAAGCATTCGATCGTCATGCCAAAGACCTGGGTTTGATTCTTCATATGGGGACAATGTGTGAAGCCCATTCCTGGTATCCCCTGCTGTTATATTGCTGAAATATTGATAAAAGCAGCTTAAACTAAAACTCACTCACTCACTATTACATGTATCAGGTGTTTAGGTATCTTGAAAGGGGAGTATTCTGGTGTCTGTAAATATCAAATGTGTTATTTGTGATGAAAAATGCCACTAAAAAGCCTAAACCTTTTATCAACCGGTGGCCTATTATGGTATAAGTGATCACATCTTTAGTTTTAATTGAAATTCAAAACAGTGTTTACGTTAAATTGAGAATGCGTTACATGTTGTTATGTACAGAAGTATTTGCCCTATGCAGTGATGAAAGCCACCAACTCACTGTGTTACAGGTTTGATTCTGGTGGGTGAGCCATACTACAATGAAGCTGGCTATGAGAGACAGCTCGGCACGCAGCAGGGTCTGGAGAACAGCCGCATGTACAATGAGATGGCCATCCTCAAACTGATACAGGTCTGTGTCAGGCTCAGCTTTGTCACCAAGACAATCATTCTATCCATACTTTCAAGACGTTTTACCTGTATTAGAACTTTCATTGATATATCTTTCATATTTCAAATTTCAAATTTGTTCACATTCCAAGTACACAGATATCCATGAAAGACGGCTTGTCAAAGCTCTCAAGAAAGCATCAGTTAGTCTTTACCTTCTGGAATGGCTTTGTAACTATCCTGTAACAAATGAGCAGCAAATGCGAGGTGTTGATCTGACAGGGATCAGTGCTTGATGATGATACAGTTTTCTCTTGTTTTTCACAGTCTCTTACAAGCATGGTGAGATACCCTCCGGAGTTGTTCCGCGCAGAATGCCACAACCATCTGCGAACACAAGGACTCAAGTAAGTAACATGGAGTGCATGCTGACAAACTACATCCTGAAAATGTCTTTAGTGTGTATGCTTGTAAACTTTCAACTTAAATCTACTCAACACGTTCAGTTCCATTACAACTCCTGTTTGACAGAATGATCCGGAGGTTAGAAACATGGCTGCATCACGGACCAGCACCAGGGAACCCCACTCCAACAAACCAAACCAACGGTAGAGAACACTCAGCTCAGAAATGTGAAGGCGCAGACAACTCCATGCCTCAAGCAAATGCTAGTGCAGAACCTAACACAAACGACAAAACCAGTGTTCATGACCAAGGGGAGATAACTCAGCCATCTGCAGCCACTAGTGATGGTACAACCAATGATTCCTCAAAACCAGACTTCCCCCTTCTTCCAGCTTCCAAAGGGTTTCGTCTGTCCTTGCAATCTTATCTGGATCAGTACAGGAAATCTCTGGAAGTCCTGCAGACTGACAAGGTGTGACCTTGATGTTGAACATATTGACTGTTGAAGTGTGCTGCTGCCCTGTGATATGCTAGACTGTATGTAGTGAAGGGATCATGTCGACCTGACAATAACGATTAGCTGTACAAAATCACAATCACTGCAATTAATCTAGTCAAATATTGTTTTGATGTGATACAATCGTGAAATGTGTAATGCCATGTGGTATGGTATTATTGTGAAGTGTAAAGTATCCAAAGTACCAGGGCCCCCTTTCACAATGTGAACTTAGTGCTGAGGTGAAGTAAACTCCCATACTTTAACATAGGCTTGTGATCACTGTAGTGCTGTGATGGCTTCGTGGAATGTGGGCCAGAGTAGTGCTGTATTTACAATTAGTACTTAAAGTTTCCATACCAGTGTCTCAGATTGGTTCATTTTCTAGGACATTGACTTCTTGTCATCCAGAAGGTCTTGAAGATAGTTTCCAATTCATTATATAGGAAAATGTTCCTTTCAAAAGTTATTGAAAATGTCCTATTGACATATGTCCATTTCTTCGCAAAATCACTGATCATACAATAACATATAATTGTGTAATGTGGAAGGTGTTACTTCAATAGAAAGTTCAAAGGCCCTTGATGTAAACATAAAAAAAAAATTGAGTTTTTATGTCAATGAAGTCCTGTTGCAAAACTTTGGCATGGTCCCTTTAGGGTAGAAGTCATCCTGCCCCGCCCCTCCCTCAGGTCCCAGGTGGTTTCCACCCTCCCCTTCGTCTTACAACTGTATATTTCTGTTATACTGTGTGATGTCGTAGCTGTAACCATGGTAACAAGTTTCATTTGTCACAACAGTACCTTCCATGAAGTGTTCCTGTGTAGTCAGACTGAGAATCTAGTGTCGAGTACATCCCTGTTTCCATGTCAACTACGTAATTGATGACTAATTGATGGCTGAAATGAACTGAAGTTACTGTCTATCTGTGATGATGTCTCCTCCTGTTATTTTTGTCGGGGGAACAGTGTTTTAATATTCGTCTTGAATTTCTGCTCATTGTCAATTTCCATAGACCATTTTTCAGGTTGAGGTACTTTTTTTTTTTAGTTAAAAATTCACATTGCACCATGATCATGATTAGGGACCGTCTATAATTTATGGTTAGGGAGGTGATGATGATTTTAAGGGGTTCACCCATTTTGTTTTGGGAGGTAGGGGAGGGTCATCAGTTTTGTACAAATGTACTGGTGGGGGGTCCAGCAGTACATAATTATATAAAAAAAAATATGCTTTAAAATTATGAGAAAGGGGTGGGGTGGAGGATTGATTTTGTACATGACATTGGAGGTGGGTGGGGGGTTTGGTGGTACGCTTACTTTCTACATAACCTTTAGTTTGGGTCATTCACATTGTACATGTTTCTCCTTAAAAATCATCACCCCATTAGCCATAAATTATGTACGATCCCTTATAATGTAAAATAATTAAAAGCAGGGTAAGTGCTGACTAACCACGTTATTGTCACCTTGACCATATGAAAACATGAATAGGTTTTGAAAAACACATCCTATGTGTTTGTGTTTGTGTTTGTGCAAGTATGGATATATTACATGTACACCTAGATATGTTTTGATCAATATATGACTGTGTTAAGATTAACCCAAGAACTGTTTGGGCCAATATTTCACATTCGCAGTTTAATTGTACTTTTTCAGGCCATCTTTGTTGAACGTGTTCCAGAACCTGCTACTGAGCTTGCTAAGTTACACAACTTATGTATGGCAAGCCCCATTGTTAACAATAAAAACAGGAAAAGATAACTCTGTATGTTATGTCATTTGTTTATGTGCAGGGAAGTCTTTTCTCTGTTTGTGGGAGTTCCTGGATGCAATTACTAACAGATATAACGAACAGACAAGTATAACAAGCCATTTTGTTTCTTTTGGCATGACCAGTTTATGTATATTGTAGTCAAAATGCATATAACTGACTATGGATTTAACAAACTAAACTTAGTGTTCCCTTTGAGTTTGTTATAACCATAGTTTACTGTTTTTAACTGTGTTTTCAAAAATATATATAAAACCTGAACCAGAGGTTTGTTAGACCAAACAAACAATACTTGGTAAAATGAAAGCTATTAGAGTTCTTTCTCCTCAAGTGCTGTCATGGCTGATTGGAATGAACAGATTCTTGTGATTTCTGTGACTTAAATCCTGTTACTATTGATAAATATTCTTTCTGTGATTTTGCATTCTGACATATTTTGTAGTCTTAACTTGTGAAAATGATGTTCACTTTGGCTTGTGATTTCTTCGCTCAGAAGCATAATGTGACTTGACTGGAATGGTCTCAGATATTTTGCAGGAATCTGAGAGAGATTCTTTTTCAAATTTTTGCCTGTAAGACTGTTTCTGTTCTGTGGAAAAATTTAGTTGAGCTAATCAATCCATAGTTCATGGCAAACAGGAATTGTGACAGGTGAAGGGGAGACTACTCTTTCTGACCGCTGGTTTGTCATGATGTCAAAGAGTGTAATATACAAATGTCTTTTGAGCATTTCAGATTTAAGTTAATTTATTTTTCAAATTTTGATTAAACAGGGATTGAAAATGAAATTAGCTCCTTGGCTATACTTTCCTGACAACAGATGATTCATCAAGCAAGTTTCCCCTTCATCACTTCACTAAGTGATCGACAGTTTATGTTGCATAATGTGTTCCCAGTTAAGGCCAATAGTTTATATTTGTTGGATGATGAATGTATTTTCTTAAAAAATGGAAGATGTTTTCAATCATATTTACTTTTTTAAATTATTTATTTTTCCTTCTTCAATACTTCATGCACACAAAGTTAATTTTGGATCACTCAAACATTTCCTATAAACTTTACGATGTTCATATTGACGTCAGTATTTCACCAAAGCCTTCAGTTGACATGTAATGAAATTCTTTCCATGTTAGAGGTGGTGGGGTAGCCAAGCAGTTAAAGTGTTCACTCGTAATGCCGAAGAGCAGTGTTCAATTCACCACGTTTTCAATGTGTGAAGCCCATTTCTGGTGTCCCCCCTGCCGTGATATTGCTGGAATATTACTAAGAAAGCGGTTTAAAATCAAACTTACTCACTCCTTCCATGATAAATCTAGAGTTATGTCCCTTGTCCTTGATACAAAGCCATCCACCAAGATGGCTCTTTTTGTCTCCTGAGAGACACAGACTGAGCTACCTTCGAGGAATGATTCAATCTTTTATTTCCTGTTACTTTTTTCTTCTTACAGGTAATATTGCTTAAAACATTCTGTGATCCTGTGAAAATCCTCCACCTCCAGCTTTGTACTTTCACAAGAAATGACTAATGGCTGTGATCCAACAAATAGAAAAAATATTTGCCTTACAACAGCATGGAATCAGTCTTGTTTTCCCTTCAGTGACTGCTTATGAATTTTGAACATACTCCAGAAAGTATATGTTTCCTTCTACAGCATAAAGGAAAGTGTTGCAGGGGCGGATCCAGGATTTGGGAGAAGGTGGGGGTGCACATAATCAGGAAGTCCAAGGGTTAGGGGAAATGCTCCTCAGGTAAATTGTTTGGGATCCACCCCTGGTGTTGTGGTAGATTATGTATTCTTATACAGGTCAGCATCTTCTATGTCTCCAGGGATCCTACACTAGCCTTGATTTACATGACCAGTTTACTGACCAGGAAATAGGGTAAGAGGTGGATATGAAGACATTCCTTGCATCATAATATTTCACGGCTTTCTTTTGCATGTCAGAAATTTTTCAAGGTTTAATTTCTTGCAAACTCTTTTGTAGTCAGTGGCACTGGTGTCCATGTTGTGATTGCCAACCCAGTGTTGAGGCTGATTTGTAACCTGCATTCTGATTGGTCCATCAGACTGAGTAAAATAGCAAATCAAATTGACTATGAAAGTTAGGTGCAGTTATTTTAAAATCATTCGAACCATTGGAATGAATCTAGGGTTCAGTGTAGGTCTACTTAAATGCAAGCCTTAGAGATACAGAATATTAGAAGACAATGGCTTTGACATTCCTAATGGCATCATCATTACCAAAGAAAGGCATTTCATTTGAAAAAGCTTCAGCAAAGCTTGTCATGATGTATGGCAGTATGAATATAGCCTGGTTGTGCTGTTTTTGTGATATGTATTTGGTATTAAAGCATGAAGCCTTGTTACCTCAGATGTATTATCATCATAATGTTCTTTGTGACGAAGTAACCTATTGGTTCTGGCAGATTCCTTCCAGCTTTTGTCTAACATGTATTTGATGGTGTCCGCACTGAATAGCTGAATATCTCTGATGCAGCATAAAGCAATATACACTCAACCCCTTGATGGTCAAGGTTTAATATCATAAAACCTTTAATAAGAGTTTGTTTTTTTATATTTAATTAAGCATATCCTCTTCACCCCTGTGCTGTGTTCGTTTTGAAATAAGATATATGCTGAACTCTTCATTTTGATTTGATTTCAAGGGAGACAACTATACTTAGTTGATGCATGAGGTGATCTCCATTTAAAACTATAGTGGTGAATTGGTAGAGGTATTTGTCATAGAAAAAAAGGAATTACTTGAATATTAGTGTGCAATAATATTGTAGAACTATTGATGGAAATATTCCAGGTAACACATGAGTATTGATGACACAAGCCACAATAATGGAGTCGTTCCTGTTATAGGATGTACAAAATCATGTCCAATATTTGAGCTTAACATCAGTGTGCCGTTGTACAAAAATTGTCTTAGCTCTAAGACTGACGTAAACCTTTGTTAAGGAATGGGAGTTGTGGTGACCTTAGCGGTAAGACTGACGTAAACCTTTGTTAAGGTATTGGAGTTGTGGTGACCTTAGCGGTAAGACTGACGTAAACCTTTGTTAAGGTATGGGAGTTGTGGTGACCTTAAGCGGTAAGACTGACGTAAACCTTTGTTAAGGTATGGGAGTTGTTGTAACCTTAGCGGTAAGACTGACGTAAACCTTTGTTAAGGTATGGGAGATGTGGTGACCTTAGCGGTAAGATCGCTTTGTACAGCGGCACCCAGGACACTAACATAAGTTGTTCATCTGTCTCAAGGGGTTCATATTTCAGACATGGATTCATTCTCATACAGTATATTAACCACAGTACATCTCTTTATTAAGCTGTGAGTTACATCTAAACATGCAGGGAGAAACAAAGGCCTACTTTTGAGCAACCAAGTGTGGTGTACACAGTGTAAGCCTGTTAAAGGGTTGCTGGGGCGGTGGGGTAGCCTAGTGGTTAAAGCGTTGGCTCGTCACGCCGAAGACCCGGGTTCGAATCCCCACATGGGTACAATGTGTGAAGCCCATTTCTGGTGTCCCCCGCCGTGATGTTGCTGGAATATTGCTAAAAGCGGCGTCAAACCAAACTCAGTCCGTCAGTTAAAGGGTTGCTTGTATGTAATGGAGAAAGCATGAAAATCAACACATCAAGCGATGGCCCGGTTTAATATTTTCTACAATTTTGCATAATGACCTGTAGTTGCATCAGTTTTGAATGTTTAATGCATGTTCAGACTGGCCAGTGAATTCCTGCTCTGAATCAACTGTATGAACAGTAGAGAGATGTAATGGTTTCAGTGCATGTTATCAAACTCATCTCTATGAATGTGTAAGAAGTATGTAATGCTATGTAATGTTATCCCATTGTTGGATCTGATCATGTGGTTTAAGTTAAATACATTGATAGGACATCCTGAAAAAAAAATTAGGCAATGAATGTTCGGTGTTCCAGTATATGGGGCAGTTGCTGAGGCAGTGTTATTGATATCACCTGTACCTGGTCTGATGTTAGGCTTGGTGATAGACTGGTTGTGAAGTATAATCCATGTGAGGCGCTGTTGTATTTAGTAGGTCATGAAACTATGGGTATTTGATGGATGGGGGGGTAGTGTGTTCTTTTCTCCTCTCTATAGCGCTTAGTGACATAGTTTTTCAAAGTAATCTTTAAAGTAATCCAAGTTACAGGCTGAGTATGGAGTCATGACTCACTGTAATTACTCATGACTCCCTTTAATTATCATACATACTCATTCAGTAGCATTCAATCTTATCATAGATTTTTTGAAGAATTTCTCAATTGTTTCAGGGGTAAATACTGTGTTAAACAGTGACCCACCCTCCGAATACCTTGACTCCCCATGAGGTTAAATGATGGATGTTGACTTCAGTTTTGTTTCTCAGTTTGTCCGCACCATACACAAGCCCTTGTGTGGGGGGTTCACCAGAGTAGTAGATGTCTTACAAATGCATTGCTTCTGGCTTTCTTCCAACATTAAGCTGACATGAGGTAAATTAAAATGGAATTCAATAAAAAAGATGTATTTTCATGCAACTTGCAATGCAAACATTGCCATTTGTGTTGATCTGATTTCTTGAATCTCATGCTTTGAACTGTACATTTCAATGCAAGAAAAGAATCCTCAACTTCTATTTAATGAATTCATATATATATTTGTGTACAGTTTGTACCACAAATAGTGAATATATTTGTCGTACTCCATCTCCAGACAGTATCAGTGATTTAAACCATGCATAAGATGGGTGATATTGTTATTATACCATGACTTTATATTGTCTTGTTATTACTGAAATGTCTCTGTCTATATGATGTTATATTGACAGATGTAGATACTTGTGTAATGTAATATATATTTTCACTTCCTATATTTCAGTTTAAGGTTTACAATTCCATTTAAAAACTTTCATGACTGTGATTGTTCAGTGTAGTTGTAACATGTTACTTTTATGCCACAAAGAATACAAAGTCATGCATGTATGTATAATTTGGCATAAGAAAATGAACTGACAGTACGAATGAGGTTTTCCTCAAGTTTACAACAAAGGTCAATGTTTCATTGAATGTCCTAAAGTATTTATCTGGGATAATAATGTGCTGTGCTATTCATTAGTTAGCACTATGAGCATACCTGGTGAGGAGTTCGGCGCTATATATTATTATTATTATCATTTAGTCCTTCAGTTGTGACCCAACAGTCCAGAAAAGTGATCTTCAGTAACTCATACTTGTAAGAGGTAACAAACAGGATCGGGTGGTCATGCTTGCAGGATTGGTTGACACATCTCATCGTATCCCAATTGTGTATATCAATGCTTATGCAGTTGATCACTGGATTGTCTGGTGCAGACTCGATTATTTACTCACCGCCTGAGAGCCATGTAAAACTAAATTCACTCACTCACTCATATTGAGGTCAAAATATTAGATTCTTGGGTTTGAATCTCAGATTATCCTTGTTTATGATTGTTGGTTTGTCAGCACTGTCAGTACTCACTGGTGTCACCTAGCAACCTTGAGCCAGTTGAGGTAGTCAGTGGTTTGTGGAGTGGACCACAGGTTAAGGTGCTGGCTCATCACATTGAGTCTGATTCCTCCTCTTGTTGCAAAGTTTGTGGAGGCTGATCCATCCTATGCCACCTTCCGTGGAGGTAGTCTTCATGATGGGAAAATCTGTTCCACAAAATGTTCTGGTACTTAAATATAGGCTCATTACAGTGGTAGGCAGGTAGCCTTGCGATCACCTTGTGGAACACAGTCCATCATTGACAGAACACAGGGATTTACCTGGAGTCCTGTTTTTGAGGGTCCCTGGGACTCGCACTCTTTAATTTCAGGGGTCCTGGACAACCAATGGGGGTCCAGACTCTTAAATATTATTATTAATAGTGTTATTGTGTTGTGTATCATGATCATCACATTATTTGTTACACTAATTGAATTGCAAATGATACTATAACCCAGCATGTAGCAAACTCTTTGATAACTTATCGTTACTTGATTGGAATTTTTACAAAAAAGTATTTGGATCTTTTCTGCATCCATGTGGAAGTGCTAATAAATTTTGTTGCGTCCATTGTCAGTTTTTATGCGTATAGGACGCAGGAATTTGCGTCCTGTAAATCCCTGAGAACACGAGAGGGACTTACCTCTGTCACTATGTCATTGACAGAAACTAAAAGTTCTCTTTCATTGTGTCTTCATACAACTGAATTTAAATTAGTGAAATGTTATTTATCAGAATTATTTTCATCCACAATGTTGGTGATAATTGTGATCGCCCTGTCCAGTCCTCAATTCTCTGTGTAAACTCTGTGTAGATATTTCATGGACACCAGTAGGGAGGTGCTTGTTTTACCAGCATTGTATATATTCATTAATCCCTGAAGCTAGAAGCAACTGTACTGTGTGCAGCCCCTTCAACAGAACATCATTGTTGAGTGACAGCATTAAACAATATCACTTCTATATCTGTTTCAGTCTTCATTTGTGTGCCACTGCTAATATAGTGTCGATGCATGGATATATTTCTTATATATACTGCTTGATAAGTGAATATTACATAACCCTGCAATAAGCAACATGCTTCCTGTTAACACTGATACATGTGCTCATAGTTCAGAACCACAGGGGCGGTGGGGTAACCTAGTAGCTTAAGCATTTGCTGGTTGCGCCCAAGACCTGGGCTGATTCCCCACATGGGTACAATGTGTGAAGCCCATTTCTGGTGTCCCCTGCTGTGATGCTGCTGGAATATTGCTAAAGTGGCGTAAAACCATACTCGCTCACTCAGAACCACAGCCATGCCTGTGCAATTTTCACCAAAGACCAGCATAATTTCCAGCTTCCACCTCAAGCTGACATAAAATACTGTTGCATGCTATGTGTAACTTGCCATTTCACTCATCTCCGTGAGGTCAAAGTATTGAATTAAAAATAGGATCGCTAGTTGGAATCACAGTGTGCTCAAGTTATGTTGTTTTGGCTTTCTAAGATGTGCATCACTTCAGCCTTTCCCCCCACATCAAACTGACACAACACGATATTACTGGAATGCTGTTTAAAGCAGTTAAACCAGACTCCGTTGTCCTACATCAATGGGGGCATGGAGGTAACTAGTCTGGACCACACAAACCAGTGACTCTAAACATGCGCAGTGATACATACTATCAGGACACAGTGACACACAGGCTGTTTCAAAGAGGAACACCATCCATTGTAGTGTACTCTTCCTACAATAAGCCGCCAAGCCAAACAACTTACAAGTCCAAAAGCTTTTCTCTAGTGGTGCTTTGGAAGTCATATATAATTTTATACAGACACATTACAGAACACCTAATTGTTTTCACATGACTATAGTTCATTTGTCTGGCAGGTAATTCAACACAGTGCTGAAACTGATGGTATTTATTCCACATCTGGATGAAAGATGATCTCATGCCAAGGAAGCCTAGTAAATCTTTCACAAGGTTCCACTAACCAGTGGGCTGCCTTAAGGTACTCGGAGAGCGGAGGGTCGCGGGTTCGAACCCGACCGCGTCATACCAAAAGACGTTAAAATATGGTACTTGTTGGTCCCTGCCTGGCGCTCGGTATTAATGGGTACAACAAGGACTGGTCGGAGTCAGTATAATGTGTCTGAGTGGGGTATTCATGCTTCACTGCGGCATGGTATCTCAGTGGGCTAGCACTATAAAACCAGCTTAAGTCTGGGCTAGTACAAGCAGCCGCACATACACATACACATGCATGCACGTCGTCATATGAGCGAAATATTCTCAAGTACGACGTTCAACCCAATTTCACCTCACCTCACCTCTTAAGGTACTTGCTAACTTCAATAATTTGTACTGGCCTCTCTTTATTAGCGGTGTACGGGCGTTATGGAACTTGTCACTGTCTCTTAACAAGCAACAAGGTAAAGCTGTGAAATCCTGGTTGAGGATGGACTGGGTCTTGGACAACGGTAGATAAGGTCAAATATTTTCCGGATTTGCATCAGTTAACTGCGTGCGGTTGCACCACAATCTATATCACACGGAGAATAGAAGTACTAAAGAGCGGTTATGTTTGAAGGGGTAACTTTGTCAGACATTACACCGTGGTGTAACACAAATCTGAGACCACATACCGACATATGGTCTCTGCACAAATACAGATATGATAACCAACTCACGATTCCTTTTACATCGTTTCGAAATAATTCATTCTGTGATTTCTGTCGATCTTAAAGAACGTACTGGGAATAAGTGGTACCTTCCTTGTGTGATGGAATATTCTAGAAATGACAATGTTCAATGCTGACTGGTCAAACCGATGACATTCGCCGAAGAAGTGGCGATAGTAACTACAAAACCAGTTGATCTTTGACCCCTGCGGAGCAATACATTCCAGGGACAGTGTGCACTCAACCCATGGTCGAATGATGCTTAACTGCAGAAGTCTGCTTTGTCTCAACAACAAAAAGCCAGCTTGTTTCTCTGGTATATTTTCAAAGTAACAAGGTTTTTCGCCAAGGAAGGCAAATGTTCTTGGATCAGTGTGTTCTACCATCTTGAAGGATTCGTGTTCAGTGTCACTGACGAGGATCCCACGTTTCCAGGCAACGTCAAAGAGTTCCTGGAGATCCGAAGTCAGGATGCGGATGGAGGCGTCCATGTACATGATGAAGTTCCACTGTTTCAGAGCCAGCTGCAAAATGTCTGATGATTTATGATATATAATCAACACATCTTCATTCAACATTCACTTTGCTGCTATTCATTCACTTAAACAATCTTACAGAAACGTGAACAGACATGCTCTGAGAATAATTTCTAAACAAACACATGTTAAACCAGTCTTTAACAAGGGTCAGGGCGAAAAGCGCTAATTTTAGTGGATCTTATTCACTTTTGCAAAATTTAAGGAGACCTGTCTGTAAAACTAAAAGATGAGCTTGGGCTTATTTCCACCTTCCAATAATTTGGCTGAACAAGGAGCATTTTACTAATCTACATCTCAGGAAGTGACAGTCATTTCTGAAATAAAGGATTCTACTGACGAGAGTAATATATAACATTCTGATCTGTAATGGATACGACCACAGCGAAAAACAAATAACCAGTAGTGTTCACTGATATCTCGTCTTCATTTTGGGATTACAACGCCGAAGACTGAGGTATTTCATTATCATTCTCTTACATGAAAGGGGAAGCAGATACAAATCAATAAAGCCTACATGTTGAGAGGTGATGAGCACGTCCTCCAGGTATTGAGACACTTTATGAGGATTACCTGTACAAGGATTGGTTTCCAGGAATAAACGGCCAAATCCCGGACGTGAGTCGGGAATTCGTGAAACGGGAATGGATGCACTTCACACTTGCAATGGCGATGCACCTGTAATATGACCGTCAACCCCGTAAACTAACTTCCGTGAAAATGTTAATACTTCTGTAAGCAGTAGGTCTAAGCAGTGTCTCAAGTATTCTGTTCTCTGAACGGTTTAAGGTCAGAGGACCAGGGCTCTGTTCGCCAACAAGAGTACAGTATATGTCAAACACACGTTTGTTGTTCCCCGATTGAACTGGTCTTTAGCAACACTTGCTTGTCTTGGCACATGTCATCGTATCCCAATTGCGCAGAGCGATGCTCATGATGTTGACCACTGGATTGTCTGGTCTTGACTCGATTATTTACAAACCGACGCCCTATAGCTGGAGTATTGCTGAGTGCGATGTTAAACAACAAACCAACCAACCTTGCTTTTCGCAAGAGGCAACTAATGGGATTGGTGCAATGGTCAGACTCGCATCACAGTTGCAGACATAGATTCTCATGATTGACTGCATTATGTACAGACTGGAGATTTATATTCATACAGACTGACTGACTGACTGAGTTTGGTTTTATGCCGCTTTTAGCAATATTCCAGCAACATCACGGCGGGGGACACCAGAAATGGGCTTCACACATTGTGCCCATGTGGGGATTCGAACTCGGGTCTTCAGCGTGACGAGCGAACGCTTTAACCACTAGGCTACCCCACCGCCCTATATTCATACAGATGGAATCTATAGCGTTAAACAACAAACAAAGAAACCAGACATGTTTGTTAAAGATTATCCGCTGACATATTGCTGAAATACTGCCGAAAGTGGCGTAGAACTATACTCACTCGTTCACTCCAAGACTATGAAGTCGAATACAACCTTCCATTACCTACCTGATTAAGTTGAAAGGGACCTAGTCCAAGGTCATACAGTACAACTTTCAACCTGCCATCTCGGTTGACGACGTTGTGGATATTGTGCAGTAAAGCCTGAAGCTCCTGATAGTGGTTGGCTGACGCCGCCAGCACCACAGTGGGTTGGATACCTGTTGGCCTTGAACTCCCCACGTCAAATGTCGACCCAGCTGTTGTGGACAAATTGACAAACGCTCCTCCCTGCCAAGGTAACCCAAGATGGCGAAGATACACCCGACTTGCCGGCTCGGCGTCTCTCTGATTTCTTAAAATGCGTCTGATGTTGTCGTCAATGTTGGCTCCGTAAGGTGTAGGACATGGTTGGGAATGACCGTCTGATGAAACTGGAAACACCCAGTATGTCAAAGTGCATCAAGAATACACCCGTACTAAGGTTATCTGGACTGGGCAAATTAGTGCTTGACAAGCAGGCGTAATTTATCAATACACTTACTATCCGACCAATCGTTGGAAGAGCTGAAGAGTCCAGAATGACAAAGCAGATTTTCCAGAAGTCCACAACACAGAAATTGCATTTTACTGATTGATTGTTGAAACAACACAAGTTCCACCTTCACCAAACTACACGGAAGTGAGAATGGAGACACGACCTATCTGACCTACTTTCAAACATTCATATCAGCAATTGTAAAATTATTACTCACCACAAGACAATTCCTCTTGCATTGTGTTCTTGAATCTAAATCTGAAGCTTCTTCGACCTTTATAGAAGCTACTGCCTGTAGTTTGCAAGCTACGGAATACGGTTGTAGATGTATATATTACGTTTATTTTAGATCTATATTTACGTTCATAATATTTTTTTTCAATATACAAGCTAAAATCTTTAAATTGTTAATCTGGGATTAATTCATGAGGGAACGTACAGTTACCTGAGACGTTAGCGTGACGTTGTGGGCGTCGCACGTTTGTCTGCAGACAAGGAACAGAGGAGTAGGTGAGATGAGAGATGATAAACGCCACACCAGCTTGATTACAGACATATAGAGACGGTACATAATATTATTAGATTTATTTGGTTAATTGTTTGATCCGTTGAGTGTATTATCCTAATACAGAAGGTACCTGCGTTGCAAAGACGATGATACAGCATAACACTGTCCAGATACCGGCGGCGACTGTGAAGACGATACTGTGTGTGCAATGACGTCGTCGTCCACGTATCCCCATCGTTAATAACCCGAACATACAAGGTCACCTGTGAAGCATGCATCAGAATGTGGTGAGTGTTCGATACTTACAATAGAATATGTATATGTATCTTAATGACAGAGCTGATTAAAATCTAACTGGAATGAGATCCGATTCAACAATCTTTCTTCATCAAGGTATATCGATTCAGAGTTGTGAGTTAGTATCGTTTTAAGCCGGTTTTGCAAATATTCCAACAATATCAAGGCGGGGACTTAAGACATGGGCTTCACTCATTGTACCATTGAGGGATTCAAACCCAGGTCTAAGGCGAACGCTGAAACCACAGGGCTACCAAACCATTAGATGCTAAGGTCACGATTCACTGTCACATGGCGATTTGGTAAGTATTTGTCGCATCCCCTTAATTGTTAGAGAACGTCTTCAATCCACATGTGTGTAGTTCGAGATGGATCCCTTAGTCTAGATAGTATACGTAGATCGTATGTTCGAATCAAAGCTTCACACATTGCACCTATGTGGGGATTCGAACCCTAGTCTTCGGAAACGAACACTTTAACCACTAGGCTACCCAACCGCCCCTTCGGAACTAAAACTTCTGCTTGTTATGATCCTATGTTTATCGTGACCTTGCGTGGGTTTAAACAAAGCAAAGCATGTATGAGCACGAGTTCAATGATTCTGAACTTTAATGGAGGGGTAGCTCTGAGAGTAGCCTACCTGTAAATCCACCAAATATCAAAGGTATTAAGATTTTTTGTTCGTGTCATTTTGAAATCCGATGTCATTTATATACGGAGAGGTTCCAAGTGTAACTCTAGTAAATATATAAATAAACCAATTGACAAATATATTGGACAATCCTTCAAAAATAAGCAAAAGCGACGACGAGACCAAATTCTGAGCACCTTTCCATGCTGTAACGGCGCTATCTGTAATATTCTGACCCATTCGGATTATTACAGCTGGTGCTTCACGTGTATTGACTGTTGACAATCGCTCTTCAACATGAATCCCATGGATCACCGCACCCGCTGAATATCTACCTTATACTTACTCTATTGTCGGCCATTGTACCGCCGACTGTAAGCAAATGGGCACTGCTGTGAATCGCAAACAAGTATTACCTGTGTTCAACGTCCATGGAGGTTTCCCCTCTTGTGTTGTGAGGCATAAGTCCTTCTTATGACAGAGCGGCCAGGTGAATGAACGCCTTTCAAAGAGCATAGCAGGTGGCATAAAGCATGCGCCCCTTGGAAAACCCCAGACCACGTCGAATGTCACATGAAATTCGTGCACTTGTCAAATGCACATTGACATATATTCAGACAAGGGTTCCAACTTTTCACTACGATTTTGTTAGACCCAACAAATCTCTCAATGGCAGTGAAGAAAAGTCTTCGCCATGCGTGTTATTGTATGAAATTCCGAAATTAAAGTTTTGGTGTTCAGTATTCTGTAAAAGAAATGATTATATTTCCTATTAAAGGCTGTGTTGATTGTATGTGTATGTAAAAAGATATATATTATGTTACCAGGAAAGAAGTCGTAAATGTCTGTTGCACTTGTGAAGTGATTCTCCATAAATATGTGATATTGCTTTCCATATGTTATCAAATCGTAAACGGAGCCTTAATATTTATCAAAATGCAAGATTTTACAGAAGAAAATTCATTCGTTCTTTAAAAACTACAACCGAGCATGAAGACACTTTTTGTAACAAAAAGATCTTTCAACAGATCACAAATGAGACACAGACATTAGAGAGATTACAGGGTATTTTCATAATACACGTGTTTAGTTTTTAAGCGGTTTCGTAGCTTACCTATGCGTCGACGGCCTGCAAATAGTCGGGCGTGGGTCAGATGAGCCGGTGATTCATATTATTATTATTATGTGGGTCAGATGAGCCGGTGAATCATATTATTATTATTTTGTGTGAAGCCCATTTCTGGTGTCTCCCGCCGTGATACTGCTGGACTATTGCTAAGAGCGGCGTAAAACCATACTCACTCACTCACTCATATTATGAAGATGAATTAATGTAACGACACACATGTTAGTTATTGAATCTCTCCAAATGTGTAATTTGATTGCATATTACAATACTGTTTTACAAAATAATTTCATATAGTTTCAAACACTGTTACATTTACATGTAATGTGTGTGAATTAAAAAAAAGCCTTTTAAAATTACACGTATAATACTGTATACATGTGTTCTCGATTAAGACGCTTCGATTCACTGGGCTCCGTCTGTAAACCCATCACGCTCGCATTTGATCGCATTGCGATACCGCCTAAGCATAAATCCAGTTTTGCGCGCAGGTGCCCGTAAAATTAACCAATGGAATTGCGCTAAGCGCAGCTATGCGGAACTATTCGGCTATATGGCAACAGCATCAACATGAAAGATATGGACTAGGACAATAAATTAAGCAACGATAACAGAAGAACAATGTCGTTCATTGATGGATTATTTGGGAAAAGTAAAAAGAGCCAGGATTTCGACGCCATAAAGGAGGAATATGGGTAAGTTTAGTTGATATTTTGTGTGATCGTGCATGATTGTTATTCGAGCTGTCAACACGCCAGTCGTCACATCACAACCTACATGTTGAGATGACTGAATGAGGCATTTAGTTTAATCTGTTACCTGTGATGGATGACTGGCTCTTATATAGAGTTCATAATAGATCAGTCGAAGTAAAGTGCAGTTATGTTGTTAATATTCATATCGCCAGAAAATATATTTTCAATGTTTGAAGAATATGTTCGATGCATGTTAAAAAATAAAAATTAGACATGTATATTTATATGTTCTGATTTAAATAATTGCAAATGTATAATGCTGTATGGTGCGATTATAGAAGATATTTATCACTAAAAATTACATATACATATTTACAATCCTTGGGGCTAGTTGTTTTAGGAACCTGGTTGGTTACCCCTTATATGTAGTCATATGATCCTTGACCTTAATGGTGATGACCATAGTCTGTAGCAATTCCTGTTGTATAATTGTGACAGGGAGGAGAAACAAGATCAGAAGAAGGACTCTGGTGATGACGATGACAGCGTGAGGAATGAAGATGTAAATGATGATGATGAAGACTTTGATGACATTCTTGGGTTAGTAGTTACAGAATTTTGCAATTAAAGGGGCATGGGCGCTTTTATTCAAATCACAAAAAAAGAATTTTGTACTTATATAGTGTATCTGTTTGATTTGTATTTGGCAAGGAAGGGGTGTACGTGCATGTTTAAAAACCATCCATTTTTATCCCTGCTACATCCAACATCCAATGTATTTACCAAAAACCATCAAACAAGCTATTTGTTTTCATTATTAACACAAAATGTTGACATTTGCTTATTTGAAAAAAACAATTTATTTTGTACATCATTGCCATAGACACAAATTTGGTCTGTGCCACTGCCAACAAGCTATTCATTTGTGGCATATGGGTGCTCCCTAAGTCATCACTGCCATCACACTTTTGACAACTAGAAATGACAAATAGGTTTTGATGGTATCTGTTAGAGTATGCTGTGACACATACAAGGATAAGCGTTTCTTTATCTGATGTGCATTTATGTATATCAGGAAATAAGATACTGAGATTTTCTATTAAGATGGTCAATGAATTTCCTGTTCATCATCATGTAAATGAACACATCCATGTATTGTGTTTGGGTTAAATGTAACGTTTATGTGCTGTTCAATTATTTTGAAGCTTCAAATTTTGACATCTCAATCCCAGTGTTATACAGCTTTTATCACTGACCTTGAATCATAGACTTTGCAACAAGACTGCATATATATTTCATATGCCTGTATAAAATTAATTTCTCTGCATTTCTTATAAGAAAATTCTAATACGTGCTGTTATTTATAAAATAGGGGAAAAGTTCAACTATCTTATACAACCTGTTTGTTTTATCCACTGACAGAGACTCTGATGAGGAACGAGAACAGGCGTGGCAGCCTGTCCGTATCCGCCGCGCCAGGCCACCTCATCCCCTCACCATCACCCATGTCAACCAGACCAGGGACCTGCTGGTTCGTTCCAAAATATATATACTCGGAAACATTACATCTAAATTCAAGTACTATTATGTGTCCATGGTGGACAAATCTTTAGGCAAGTCCCATTTCATTGTTTTACACAGGACTCTGACCTAAGATTTACAGACCGGCTGACACTGCAAATGTGGTATAAAAACTTTAAATTACTAGCCACACTTTATTTACTGAAGATTTTATGACATTACTTTCAGTACAGCAAACAGTAGCAATGTTGCTGATTCAGCACTTAGCAATTTAGAGCTCATTCATTCACCATAACATAGAGCTCATTAAAATGTACCTGATGAGCAACATTGCATTTGTGTTTTTTAAATTATTTGACAAAGAATATGTCTAAAAAACAAACTTAACAACCAGTTGGCTTGGCATAACTACCATTTAGCGATTACATCTACAGTTACTTGGATGTTTGTTTTGCCTTGATGAACCCAACCTGGAGGTAATGTTGAAGTATTTAGAATATTATGATCACTACTTTGCAGCGTATGGCTGACGTTCAGGCAAGGGTCAACTCTGAGAAGCAGAATTCGCAGGAATGGCTTAAAGTGCATGGCGTGGAATACCTGAAACTTACCCTCAAACAGCTTATTGATAAGGGCAAAGTTGGGAAGTGAGTAACATTGCTAACAATACCTGATGGGATGTTAAGGCAAAATGGAAGGGTGGGTAGCCCAGTGGTTAACAAACTGAATACTGTTTTTCATTTTATATTCCATAACTTTTCAACTGTATTTCAATTAAGTAATTAATCAGTCGTAAGAAATTATCCTAATGTCCCGTGCTTGTCATAAGTGTTGATTTAAATGAGGGTCATGATGTCACAATGTGTGCCATCACTGAACACTCATCCTATCTTAAATTAATTTACCTGGCAGAGATTCAAACTTGTTTAATCTATTGTGATCTGTACTACTAAAGAGCTATTTAGGACCACCTAATTCTTTCACTTGCCGTGACAGATTAACTGTATTAAAAGGAAAGATTCGGGTGGTACTTAATATCTTTTGAGTGCTTGGAATATTGCTTATTCATGAGTATTTAGAATGTGACATTTTGAGGTTGTAAGACTAGCATGTTTATGGCGATCAGATTATCACCAGAGAAGCAGACAGGGAAGGTGAATCACCACATCCAGTTTGATGCCTACGATGTCAATGAGTTCGAGTACAAACTTAACATGTAAGTGATGAATTTTCATTCCTTAAATACTTTTATGGTAATTATTTCACAAAATGTCGGACAAAACATATCCAATCCAGTTACCATTCAAAATATACTTCTTTCTTCAGGGCCATAGAGATTTACACGAAAAGAATCAAATGGTTACTTCAAGGCAGCAAAAGGGTGAGTCTGCCTTTATTAATTGATTTATAATATAAACATTGTTATGTATCTAATGTTGTATATATGAAATATAACATGACTGTGTTGTCTGTAGATGTTTGGCCATATACAGTACAAGGGGAGCGAGTAGCTGTGTGTTTAGATGTATCTAATGTTGTATTATGAAATGTAACATGACTGTGTTGTCTGTAGATGTTTGGCCATATACAAGGGGAGCGGGTAGCTGTGTGTTTGGATGTATCTAACGTTGTATATATGAAATATAACATGACTGTGTTGTCTGTAGATGTTTGGCCATATACAAGGGGAGCGGGTAGCTGTGTGTTTGGATGTATCTAATGTTGTATATATGAAATATAACATGACTGTGTTGTCTGTAGATGTTTGGCCATATACAAGGGGAGCGAGTGGCTGTGTGTTTGGATGTATCTAATGTTGTATATATGAAATATAACATGACTGTATTGTCTATAGATGTTTGGCCATATAGAAGGGGAGCGAGTAGCTGTGTGTTTGGATGTATCTAATGTTGTATATATGAAATATAACATGACTGTGTTGTCTGTAGATGTTTGGCCATATACAAGGGGAGCGAGTAGCTGTGTGTTTGGATGTATCAAATGCCAACATGGGCTTCGGACGTCAAGCAGCATTCCAGGAATCACTTATGGTAAGTGCATTAAGGAAAATGGCCAAGTGTATGAGGTCCCTCTTAGCCAGAAGATCTTTACATATATTGTTCCACAGTATTGGAATTTTAATATCCTCAAATGATATTATCATTTCAAAATACTTTAATTTAACATGCAGTGCTTTTAAGACTTTCTTATGTCTGAACATGTTGAATACAGTGCTTGTGAGAAAGATTTTGAAATCACTGTATACATGTTAAAGTTTCAAGTTTCTTTTAGGTGCTGTGATATATATACTGCTTAAAAGAAGTTAAGGCTCATGTGATTCTTTCATATCAATATAGCTAATCTGTCATGATTGGGGTGCTCCTCAACTTCTGCTGCGTAGTAGCTGGAATGTTGCTGATTGTGCTGTAAAGTAACATGTCTTCTATTGTTCCTTTCAGCATTTCCTGGATGAACAACTGTCACAGAAAGAGAGCCTGTACCTACTGGAGTTCGGAACAGAGATCGAACCCCTGTGGCCGGTCATGAGAGATGTCAATCGGAGAATGTAAGTCTGTCTACAGTCAGTCAGTTCTGACGGTATATAATGTGGAACTGTTTGATTGTGTTATATTGTGTTTTGAAAAGGTATTGTGGGTATAATATGTAGATGTGTGTTAATGCTGTTGATGTTATTTGACTGCAGTATTGAGGAGGGGAAGGAGTGGGTGGAACGGCTGGAGCCAAAGGGAGGAACTAACCTGCTCAAGGCCATGAAGCACGTCATGAAGCTGCAAGATGTTGATGCAGTCGTTCTCATCCTTGGCAGTGTGTGAGTATAGGGTGGTTCAATCATTCTTCATAGCGATTGAAAATACTAGTGATGCTTGATCATTCTGTTCTGAGGAGACAAGTATGCCTCATGAGGATTTTGAAAAAATACTGATAGTCACTTCGGACCAAAGGCTGATTCTATCAAGGCCAAAGACCAAGTCTTCTCTTGACCAAAGACAAAGTGTCTCTCAACCAAAGAGCATGTCTCTCTAAAATGTAGGCCTACTCTTGAACTAGTAAACTGTAGTCCGTAAGAAATGACCTATTCAAAATGATGCCTTGAAGTAAAATTGATGCTCTTGTGTTCAGGCTGCAAATCATGTGTTGGATATTGAACAGAAACACCATGTGCCTCTCTAGACAAAAGACCTACTTTAAAATGTAGCCAATACCTAAACTGTTGTCTGTAAGCTGGGAGAAGACCTATTCAAATAGATGCCTGGAGACAACTTGAAGCTTTTTTTGTTCAGGCTGTAAAGTGGATGTAGGATATAGAATAACTGTTGTAGTAGCCGTTGGTGGAAGCTGTGTGTTCTATATTTGCAGCCCTGACCAGTCGACAGAGATCCTGTGTGACTACATCCAGCAGCTGACTGCTGGCCGCGACATCCCGCTCCATGGAGTGTCCTATGACTGCAGCAATGAACTCACCAGTGTGAGTCTGTACCCATCCTTCTTGAATGAATATCAGAAAGCGTAGCTAGCGTAATATCGTTACAGAATTTTATGAGGGGGGTTCTGTTTCAAATGTGATCCTAAAACTTTCCATGACCTTGTGTGTTTCAGATAACACTACGTAGTATAGCTGCAGCATCTCAGGGCAGTTACCACTGCTACACTTCCAGTTGTGAGGTAGGAGACTTTCTGTATAAGCCATATCATGGCACACAGTAAACATGTAGAGAGCATAGGTAGCATTGACATCAGTTTACTGTACAGAGGTGTGTCCTTTCAGCATCGGCAAACTCTAATCAGGTGTGTGAATCCTGGTAAACCCTGATCATGTTGCTGGGTTTGTCAGCATGATACCCATGCTTTATCAAGTGGTAAATGTTTGAGAAATGCATCAGTTCTGGCTTTCCGCTCACATCTGTCATACACCCAACTACCCCTCCACCCCCTATTGTCATAGGACTTCATACCAGACATTGCCAGGACATCACGATGTACATTCTGCAGTGTATTATAGCTAAAATACATGGAATTATCATGAAACAGCCCTTCCATTATCAGAAATTTGCGGGCCGCTGCATATGATATTGGACCGCTCAACCTTAACGACGAGCCACTATCAATTCTGTTGTCAAGTGACGTCATAGTGGGTGCGTGGGCTTACGGTTCATTCGACAATGGCTTTGGACTGGCAGATATTCTGGGTCAAACAAGTCAAAGCAACCCGAATTCCTACTTAAAATAGCGGTAATATTGGCTTTCTTGCTGGTGCTAACCTTAACAATTGCACTATTAACGTTGTTGTTTGATCAAACCTGAACACTGACATAGTTTGATAAACATTACCCTTATATTATTCTCCAAGGTTTAAGGGGGCGGTGGGTTAGTCTAGTGGTTAAAGCATTCGCTCGTCAAGCCGAAGACCCAAGTTCGATTTCCCACATGGGTATAATGTCTGAAACCCATTTTTGGTGTCCCCGTTAGTGATATTGCTGGAATATTGCTGAAATCGGTGTAAAACCACACTCACTCACTAACTTACTCACCCACTATGACTGTAAAGCGATTCTCTGCATGCATGTACTGTCACTGTTAGTTGATGTTGTTGTAGGAGAAGATCTACACGGGGACGGACATCAGCCTGCTGCTGAAGGAGATACAGAAGGCACAGGATGTCATCAACAAGATCAAGGAGATGAGGCAGGGCATGATGGGAAGTGCTCTCATCAGCATCATGAATGAGGTCAGGCTCTAACTTCCTGTTTGTGACACTGACCGAATATTTTCTTGTCTGCCCTAAATGTAACAAAGATTTAACACTGTAAATTGTCTAGATTTTTAAACTTATCGCGCGAGATAAGATAAGTATATAAATATACAATTTATAGTTAAAATTTCCAATTTCTATACCCAGGCAAGATAATGTTATATGCAACCATATGATTGTTTCCTTCTTCCACAGATCAGCAACGAGGTACAGAAACTGCCTCAGTCCCGCTTCCTGCCACGCCCTCCAGGCCATGAGTTACCACTCAGACTGGACATGCCCAAATTCCAGCCCCGATCATCCGTTGACTGGCTTGCTCAACATGGCCTCAAAGGTAGTTTGGTCAAAATCATCTCTTTTTCTGATGAATCAAGTTGTATTCCTTAGACAGGATCTGCAATTGGAATGTGTGAAACTAGATCCACCCTGTCATGGTTATTGGTTGTAAGCTCTATATATGTTGGTTTCCTTGAGTTTAACCAAATCATGTCATATATTAGTTACTTTAAAATATTCAACATCTGCTTTCATTGATAATCCAGAGTACGTAACATTGTGACAATGATGAGTGGAGACTCGATTTCAAGCCCACTGTTTCAGTGTGTGTATTCTTGTCATGTTCATGAGATGGTGTCATTTGATATTATGGGGCAGTATTATGGCCCAGTGGTTTTATCTTTTGTTCATAATGGCAGAGTTTTGTGGCCAGTTCAGGTTCACTGTGTCAACCCATTTCTAGTATCATGATATTTCAGGATTATTGCTGTCAAAAGGCGAAACCATCCTCAATCACTTGTTGTTTTCAGCGAAACGTCTGGACTTGTACCAGGTGCTGGCTCCCAACGCCTACTCGTACCGGGAGGAGTTCATCCCAATCATAAAGAAGGCTGTGCAATCACAAGTCCATGAGGTCAGTGTCTCCTTGCTGACCTCTCTACACCTCACTGACAGATGACAAGTTTACACTCTTAAAATGAACATTCTGGTGTCCCCCCAGTGATGTTGCTGGAATATTGCTAAAAGCGGTGTAAAACCAAACTCAGTCAGTCAGTCTTAAAATGAACAAATAACATGACCTGATGAAAGTCTAAATGAGACTGACGGACCTGAACTCTATAGCTCCAGGGCTTGTATTTCTGCAACCTACGCAAACCGGTGGCTCTTTTCCTGTGCTACTTGCTTTCACAAATTACCTGCTCTTGATTTTATTAACATTTTACTCACCAATCAAAAGTTGGTATCAGGTAAAAGTAAGGGCCTTACCCTTTTATCTAGAAACCTTTTTCTAGCTACTGACACTCATAATCCTCCCCAGTTAAAACATTTTTATACGTCCTCCTTCTGCTTGTCTGTGAGTTTTTCGGTATTGAATTTATGGAAACTTATGAAGGGATCTGACTGCCATGTTGTTGATATGGCCAACCCAAAATTGGCTGTCAGACCTAGTGGCAAATGGAATCAATTGCAGGTAATTTTTGACAGTGAGAATCAAGGGGTTAGTGCAGGCGTAGTGAAATGCCTGGAGATACAGAGGATGACATATACATGAAGCACATCATGTGTGTGTATCTGTCATAAGCTCATATAGTTTTACTAAACTGGTGAATAACTCCATTTAACTTTCTAAGAACTTCTGTACAAAGTGCTGACATTAACACAACTGAATTACAACTGAAAGCAGCTTTAAACCTGCCTCCTTCACTGTTTCTACTGCAGAAAGCAATGGTTCAGTTCACATGGCATGATGGCTCTGTGAAGAACATCCGACTGAACATTTATTAAAGACTTCTGTTGACATGACGCAACTGTTTGAGTACCAGAAGCAGCTGAAGGACAGTGAACTGTCATACTTAATTGCATATGATGGACCTATTCCGACCTCCATGAGCTTAATACTCAGCGCTATCTGGCGTACTAATGATTATTACCGCATCGACTGGCTGGCGCACAGTCCGGGGAGCAGGAGACTGCTGGGTTGAAACAATTAGCACTGTGGTGGAAAGATTTGGTTAAGTGAGTACAGCACAGTATTATCTATAAAGGTTGAATGATCTAGGGAGATAGTCTTTACACGTTTATTGCTGCTCCTGAATCTCATCTCTCATATTGCTTTGTTGTTGAAAACTTAGGGACAAAGATTTGTATGGAGGAGTGTGTACAATGTGAATGAACACACCCCATGTCATGTACAAAATCAGTGACCCCCTCGCATAATTTCTAAAGCATAATTTTAAACATATTATTGTCTACAAAATTGCTGACCCCTAGTACGTGTGTACACACTTGCTGAACCCTGCTAGCTCCCCAGAACAAAATGGGTGACCCCCTTAAAGTCATCATCAAACCCAAACCCCCCACTCCCAACCCCCCCAGCCATATTTCATGAACGGTCCCTTAGTGTTCAGTCTACTGCTTGTTTTGGGAATGTTATTCATATTATCAATGACTGGTTGGTCGACTGCTACTTATAGGAATGTTTCATGTACTATCAGCCAATGTTTGGTACACTGTTTATAAGAGGGTTGCCACTCATACTGTCAACAGACGGTTGGTCTACAGCCTATACAGCTTATACCAGATGTGTTTGTCTATAGGTCTTAGATTAAGTATTGATGACTGCGGCATACAACGACAACAACTCATGGCAGTGTCTCGGCTGCTAGCTGCTCCATCACTTCTACTGCTGTGTACCCAGATCTAACATTATGTGTTTGTTGTTCCAAGTGTGGTGTACCTGATCGACACGTCCGTCTCCAACGTCAACTACCTGATTCACATCCAGCATACACTGCGTCTTGTCATGGAGCAGCAGATGGCCAACAAGGACTACTTCAACATTATCGCGTACGGCATGTTGCATTATGTGTATTGGATGGAGGTGGACTACCTTTGTGTTATGCATATAGCTAGAGGCTTCAGCTGATACATGCTTTTCATTATGTCATGAACATACATCGTTGAGATTGACTTAAAATTGAGATATTTTGATATTGCCAAGGAAATATATGGATGGTTTGATTATTGTACCTTTAAAATACTCTTATACTCTTGTTCATATATGAGATTATGATCAAACTGATAACTGTAGAACTAAGGATTTATCTGAATCTCACATCCTGTGGTTTTCCGGACAGATTTGGGAGTGATGCTCGTCGCTGGAAGCCCACCATGGTGAAACCCACTGCCCTCAACCTTCAGGATGCATGGAAGTATGTCCACACAGTGCTGTTGTTATAACTTAATTAGATTTCATCCTTCTCTGAATCTCTTCACTTGCTGGGGTATATCAGACTCCATTCATTACCACATATCCCTTTCTTCTAACCTCTTTCCATAACCTAGAAGATAGTTAAAGAATGTTCCAGGTCTTACAGTGCATAAAGAGTGGAACACAAGTAAATAACTGTGCACATTTAGTCTTTCATGATCAAATGCATTAACAACATTGTATGGTCAATAATTACAATAGTTCTAGAATCTATTTCAGATTATTTAAGAAGCCCGTATGGTAAATGGCAGAATTTCTGCAAGTAAAATGACGAAATTTTTCTTTATCCTGACTCATGCTATATGCTTATCTCCCTTTTCCTTCAAACGGTACGTGAAAACTTGAATCCCTTTGCTCCCTGAAGCAAACGTAAAATCACTCACCCATTTGGGTTGCCTCCCTTTCCCTTTCCCTTTAAAAACTTGTACATGTCTTCATGACCTCTATGACGGTGTGTATTGCTGTTGTCAGTTGGGTGTTGGAACTGCAGTGTGGTGGCAGTCGGAACTTCATGTCCGCTTTCCGGATGGCGGTAGAGAATGAGGAGGAAGACAAGCATGGCGTCCGTGAGTCGGTTTATCTGCACTTGCTTGGTGATAAATGTATACATAGCTTTCAAAATGGTGCTGTTTCATCTTCATGTTTCATGTCAGTTGAAATATAGGAAAGTAATAATTTACCTGTATTTCACCTAAAACTTTGCATAGCGCAAATTAAGTGTGTTTTGATGTTTTTACAGGTGTGCAGGGCATGTATTTATTTACTAGTGGTGTGCCAGACCAGCAGGGAGCAGTTGTCTCCTCTTTCATAGAGGAATCTACCATTGGACGGGACTTCAGATTACACAGCATCCTGTTCAATGTTGATGATTATGATGTGAATGGGGCCATCCCAGGTCGCTATGCCAACATCACTCGCACTGCGGAATGTCTACGGACAATGGCACATTGCAGCAGAGGTCGCTTCCACTGGTTCAGGGAAACAGGTAGGATGCTGACCATTTAGCTACTACCTTCTGAATATGTGCAACATTAGCTCCTGCTGAGACCCTTTTGAAATCTTTTCCCTTTGGGGATTCTCTGAGTATTCATTTGCTCACTGTTACTACAGTCAATACTAGGTGGCTTTCTGTAGATGAATCTGTCCCTAGTATCCTGTGCTTGTTACCTGAACTGACTAAAGTAGGGGATGTTTTTTACCTGGCTGAACGTGTGGCATGATACCTCCACTTTGAGTATCGTTGTTCATGCTATCAACCACTGGTTTGCCTTTCCCGGACTTTTTGGAATTCATGATGTAGCTGTGACTTTAGGGATGCATCATTCATTTAGTGCTTTAAACAGTATTCACTCTTGGACAATTGACTTGGAAGCTGCAAAAACAGTAAGGATCTGAGTAAGACTCCGACTCCTTGTTTGTCAATGTATAATGAGATTATTGTGACACATGACATACTGGTTCCTCTGTGTACAGGCATCATAGAGAGTGATGATATTCAGCTTGTCAACTCCGAGGTGGACAAAGCACTCAACTTCTCCCGTAAATGTGCCATGCTGGTGGACAATGTCAAGAAGAAGTACAGAAACAGATTTGTAAGTTGTCGAACAATTTAAGTCAGAATGTGAGGACGATTAGTTTATCTGTCTGCTTCATTGCTTTCTGTGGATGGTATCCCTAGTGATTCCGGGGCAGGTCCGCAATAAGAGCTTATGAGTGAGTGAGTGAGTGAGTCAGTTGGGTTTTTCGCTTCCTTAAACAGTATTTCAGAAACAGTATTGCATAATGACATGTCGACTGGATGCAAGATGAAAGCTCAGTGATGTGTGTCTAATCGGTTAAAATTTCTGTAACACACAAGCAAACCAAGAAACATTCTACAAGGACACAACACTGCACACTTGATGAATAGTTTCTGAATTTGTGGCATTTGGAATATTGCTACCAACAACATGCTAGCTAGTCTTTTCATTTGATTTTGTAAACTTGCAGCAACATCCATACATGGAGCAGATCAAGGCTTTGGCCCCACCAGACTCGGACTACTATACTGGAGAGTACAGCATCAAGGCTCTCCCTCCTCCTCCACCCAGACCCTCCTCCTCCCGGCCCAGGACTAGACAGGTTGGTAGGCTATAACACTATATAGTTCTCCCCTGCCTACCACACCAAGACTAGTCAGGTTGGTAGGCTATAACACTGTATAGTTCTCGTCTGCCTACCACACTAAGACTAGTCAAGTTGGTAGGCTATAACACTGTATAGTTCTCCCCTGCCTACCACACCAAGACTAGTCAGGTTGGTAGGCTATAACACTGTATAGTTCTCCCCTGCCTACCACACCAAGACTAGACAGGTTGGTAGGCTATAACACTGTATAGTTCTCCCCTGCCTACCACACTAAGACAAGACAGGTTGGTAGGCTATAACACTATATAGTTCTCCCCTGCCCACCACACCAAGACAAGACAGGTTGGTAGGCTATAACACTGTATAGTTCTCCCCTGCCTACCACACCAAGACTAGACAGGTTGGTAGGCTATAACACTATATAGTTCTCCCCTGCCTACCACACCAAGACAAGACAGGTTGGTAGGCTATAACACTGTATAGTTGTCCCCTGCCCACCACACCAAGACTAGACAGGTTGGTAGGCTATAACACTATATAGTTCTCCCCTGCCTACCACACTAAGACTAGACAGGTTGGTAGGCTATAACACTATATAGTTCTCCCCTGCCCATCACACCAAGACTAGACAGGTTGGTAGGCTATAACACTGTATAGTTCTCCCCTGCCTACCACACCAAGACTAGACAGGTTGGTAGGCTATAACACTATATAGTTCTCCCCTGCCTACCACACCAAGACTAGTCAGGTTGGTAGACTATAACACTGTATAGTTCTTCTATTCCTACCACACCAAGACTAGACAGGTATATCAGCAATAACACTGTATAGTTCTTCTATTCCTACCACACCAAGACTAGACAGGTATATCAGCAATAACACTGTATAGTTCTTCTATTCCTACATGGCAGAGTAACATGTTGTGCATGGCACCATTACCATGGTTACATGCTGTTTGTGACTGTTGCACAGATTACCGAGGGTCAGAAGGAGAGCTGGGAGGCGTCGCCCAGCACCAGCCAGGCCTCCCCCAGCACCACCAGGGCCATCAAATGGCGCCCCACAAGTGCATCAAGCGCCAGGGAGGTTCGCTCAACACCCAGATGTGAGTACACTGTAACCATGACAACTTGATTGAGGATGACTTTGGTAGAATAGTTGTTTCATGAGTTTTTAGTAAGGATGTTGATATATATAAGTTCCACTGGAGAGTGCAGGTTCATATCAAGCACTGGCAATGATATTACAATAGTTGTACAATAGTTGTACAATACTTCCTCAGTTGTAGAAGTATACTTGGTAGTCGCCTCTTGTCTGTTGCAGTCAAAGTAACCACCATGTAGACAATACTGGTCTCTTTTCCAGAGAATTTAAGATATGCTGTTATCATTATAGATTATTTAATGTCTTGTTACCCTTATTCCACCCCAGTTAATGTTCCTGGTATGAGAGATGTCTTCATATCCAGGGTAACATTCCTGTATGGAGTTCCATTGTGTGAGTTCATGTCCTTCCAGTTAAAGGGGAGTTAGTCAAGCCAATATGTTGACACTGTATCCAGTGCGCGCTATTGAAGAATGTAAGGAGTGAGTGAGTGAGTGGGTGGGTGGACTTCAGTTAGCTCACACTCACTTGAGGATGCTGATACTGTGCGCACTGATCCACTGACCTGGAATAGTAACAGCTTGAGTGACATTAGCATTCATTTTTTGGGATGGAATATGTCACATGATAAATGGGTTTAGGTTATTATTGTTATTATCATTGTCCCCATCCAGCAATGCGAGACCGCCCCATGTCGGCCAAAGATCCCCTGCAGAGAGTGAAGACGGCACCCCGTAAGATACAGACTGCCTCCTTTTTCTTGGACACCAAGCATGACATGGGTGAGTCTCAGTACAAACTGGCTTGTATGTGTCACAGGAATTTGGTTAGATAAAATTCAAATTTTTAAAAAGGATTTTTGCTTGATTACTAGAAATAAATCCCCAAATTTGACATTTATTCAGATGTTGTCAAAACGTTTAGGCACATAAAAAACCAAGCCTAGGGCACATGCTTGTATCATAAAGTGACTTGGATGGTTTTGACCTGGCTTAACATGTAAGGTACCGGTATCTGAAAAAGTGTTGTACACCCTCTGCACACCCATCTGGATCTACCATTACAATTTTGGCTATTTTAATTCCTTTTTCAAATACATCTTGCATTAATCAATTCTTGCATCTGTCAATCAACTTAGCTAAGTCTACAACAAAATTTGTGTGGGTTGTGTTTGGGTTGGGTTGACAAGTGTTAGTACGTAGTATGAATCTGATATTGTGCATCATTGATGGGAAGTTAAATCTGATCGTATGTTGCAGGTACTGTGTACACCAAGTATCAGAACACAAAGATTCAAAGGAAAAACATTGGTCGGACCCAGATTCCTGAAAATGAGGATGCCATCTCATCTAAGGAGGTATGTTGTATGTACAGAAGTATTGCATAGATATACTCCTCAAAGAAAGTTAAGGACCACCCAGTTCTTGACAATCAACCATCATTCTGAAATCCATCTTTTAGATTACTTTGTTCTGTTTAGTGGCTGCGATTATTTGGGCTTGGGAAACTGAAGCTGGACCTTGCCAAGATGGTGTCAGGCCCTGACTGTAAACACAAAGAGAAATCTGTCAAGTCACTTCACAAGAATGTATCAGCAAAGTAAGTACTTTGTGGTAATTTGACTTGAGACATCCATAACAGCCACAGTGAGATGAGGTTCAGTATCTGCTCATACAGAGACCGCCTCCTTGGTCCAGTGAACAGCAGAAGGTTAGGGGGGTTGATCCTCACCTGCAAGTACCGAAAGATGGTTGTTGTTTCCATGCCTGGTGCTATTAAAACAATTACTGCTCAGCATGGTGTCAGTATAGTGTGTCTGAGTGGGGTATCCATTTTATACTCCAGCGTGGCACTGGTATTCATCAGGAAAGGCAGTCAGACATGCTCATATATGCACATACCCACTATATAGGTGTTGTAATCTTGAGTTAAACCCCATTACACCTCACCTTCACAGAAGGAGGATCTGGTATCAACGTCTGCTCATCAGGATCCATTTTTCGGAATTACTAGTAACTTTTTGCAGTCCCGATTTCCATGGCTTGTGTCTACAGTGCTTTCACACCATTATGTTCCTATTTTAAGAAAATAGATAACATGCAGGTGAACCTGGCATCTACTGGAACATGGTTCCACACTATTACACCAGTTGCATCAGTCAAGCTGATAGATTTGCATGATCACATGCTGACAGTGACCTTGTGTACATGCAGATACTGTGACATCTTCCCCTCCATCAACATCAAGGGCACCATCAAGCACCTGCAACTACTGCCACACGAACTGAAGGACTACGAGGAGCAGCTGGAGAAGGTCCTGAGGCGGTACATCAAACGTCTACAGTGGCTTCTCAGTGGTATGTATCATAGTCACACACTGACATACTATTTTTCCTTATCCTGACTCATGCTTATTGCTTGTCTTCTTCTTCTTGCGAACCTAGTGGAACACGTGTATCTCCCAATTGAAGTTCCCTTCAATAAAAAATCACTCATTAGTACTCACCACGAGTAACCTCCCTTCCGCAAGCGCGGGAACGAGGGCGCCACCTGCCCCCATGTGCCTCACTCTCTCCTTCTTCGCCCAGTGAGCTGGACGTGAGAGCGCCTGTGTCTCCCAACACACTATATCCTTTATTTATATTTAGTTTAGTACCTCTTATACTTAGTATAGAGGTGTTACTAGTATCCTTGTCGTGTTTCTGCTGTTTATTCACGGTTTGCCGTGTTTGTTCAGCAGTTTACGTTAATGAGAATCTGCACAGATTGTAAACTACGTTACTCTGCGACAGACCCACATTTAAAACGGTTCGCCGTGTTTGTTCAGCAGTTTACGTTAATGAGAATCTGCACAGATTGTAAACTACGTTACTCTGCGACAGACCCACGTTTAAAATGCCCTAGTTGCATTACTCCATGTTCATTTGTTTCTCATTGTAAATTTTGTATTAATTTACCAACTTCTGCCTTTGATAAATATTTATGTTCCGTTTTTAGACGGAAGGCAGATAAATCTCGTAAACAAATCTCAGTCATGGCTAATAGATCACATATTAATGTTCCCTGTCAACTGTTGACTGCCGACCCGCCACCGGCTGGTGGCATGCCTGAGTTTCCCTCGGGGGATAAGCGTGGGACGCAGTCCGCTATGTCCAAGAAGCGACCTGTGTCTCAAGATCTGTCGTCTTCTCAGTCTAAGACTAGCAAAGCGTCCATATCATCTCGTACGCTTCGTACACCCAGGTCTACAACTTCGTCAAAAGGGAAGTCTACAAAATCTAATAATTTTGCCTCTGATATTTTACCAGTCACAGAATTAGCCTTATATGATGATGACATTCCGATTATCATTCCAGAGGTTCGTCACAAGAAACGTCCGGTATCCGCGCAGATTAACACACAACCAGAGATGCCTACGCTGTCACCAGAAATTTTGACTGAGGGTCCCGTCACCGTCGCAGAGAGACAACCCTCATCATCAGCGCAGACCGCCTCAGACGACCTGGTCAACCAAATCATGAGGCTGATGGAAGACCGTTACGGTTTACAGAGGCCCCAGAGCCACGGGCCCCAGAGCCCAACCCATTTTAAGTCATACAGGGCCCCAGAGCCCGCCTTGGCTTCGCGTAGGGCCCCAGAGCCCACAGACGCGCCTCCGCGAAGGGCATCCCAGCCCGGAGCGAGCTCTTTGCGTAGGAAGTCCCAGGCCACCTCCGCGAAGGAGCTAGAGCCTCAACTATTGCGAGAGGCTTCGCGGAGAAGGAGCGCTTCGCCGAGCACGCACCTTGTAATTCACAGAGGTCGTTCGCGAAGCAAACGCTCACATGTCGATTCGGACACTGACTCGAGACATTCGCTGAAGGGCCTTGAAGGCTAAGTGGTTCCATTTCTACCTCGCCTAGAAGAGCTTTGCGAAGCCCCCAGCGTTCGCGAAGCCCCCAGCGTTCACGTAACACCCAGCGTTCGAGAAGCCCCCAGTGTTCGAGAAGCCCACAGCGTTTGCGAAGCCCTCACCGTTCGCGAAGCTGCCAGCCTTCGCGAAGGATGTCTTCTCCAAGGTCTCCGTACAGTACTAGCCACTCGTCAGTCCGTTCTCCACAGTCCTCACATAGATCTTCCCATAGATCTAGGACTCCGACATATGACCATAAGTCAGAAGAGGAGGATGGTATCATTTTCTCAGATGCTGAGATAAGATATTGGATGGTGGATGAATTACAACTTGCCTCCCCATCAAAGAACGAGGATGCAACTCAGACTTACTTGATGAAAGATGATGATGTAGATTATATCACCTTACCTCCTATTGACCCAATCGCAGCCGTACCAGCTAAACTAGATACAGCCTGCTCCAAATCCACTAAAGCCCAATCTACTCATTTACCGGTCTTCAATGCCAAGAAATTTGCTGGACATAATATGGAACCCTTTTTCAAGGCCCAGGATATTGATGACAACTTTCAACTTATCTCGGATACCAAGTCTAGAGGTTACAGAGTAGACGATCGCAAACTGGCCCAATTAGATACCATTTCCAGGAGGATGTTCTTCGGATTAAATAGGTCTAGAACTATTAATGAGACTCTCATCACCAAGTTCAAGAATTCTACAGATGAGGAAGACAGAATGATCTATTCAGCTCCAATTCCTTTACACCAATTCCTTACAGAACACCTTTCAGCGCTTACTGAAACTACTACCATGACGCGTAGGCAAGGTCTACTAGCCTCCTGCTCTTGGAATAAGCAATTCACAGAGCCTCTTTACACAGCTCCATGGTCATCGCCCTTTCTGTTTGGTGGCAACATAAACAAGGTCTCCAAAGAAGTATCTAAAGATTCCAGAGAGGTACTTATGATTAGATCCATGGATACCTTAGCGAACGCCTTTAAACAGTCAGCACAGAGATACTCGGGCAAGTCTAAGTTCTCAGGGCTACAGAGAGCACGGGACAAGAAACTAGCTGCTGCTAATAATCCCAAGGATTCTTTTAGGTAAGCCCATACAGCAAATTTAGAGGAGGATCAGCGAGAGGCAGATCATCCAGAGGTGGCCGTGGATTTAAGCGATGAAAGGCAGGTTCGGAACGACTGGAGTCTTCCACCCCCAGTCGTTCCAGTACAACCTTCTCAAGTGGGTGGACGTCTTCAACTACACTGGGAAAACTGGGGAATACTACAAGATCCTTATGTATCCAACATCCTACAGCACGGATATCTCATACAACTCAAGACCAAGCCGCCGTTAACAGTCACCCCACCAAGGTTCAACGTTCAACCGGCTCAACTACCTATGTTAAGAGAAACAGTACAGTCTCTGCTAAACAAACAGGCCTTAGAAGTTCTGGATCAACGAAACATCGTACCAGGTTTCTACTCCCCAGTTTTCCTAGTGCCGAAAAAGAATTCCAAGGAGAAGTATCGTCTCATTTACAACATGAGCACCTTCAACAGAGAATATCTATGCAAACCACCAACGTTTCGCATGATACATTTACCACAACTTCGGCAATTAATTCGTCCACTAGATTACATGGCCAGCATAGATTTGCAAGACGCATATCTACACATTCCGATTCATCCCATCTCAAGGAAATATCTAAGATTTATCCTAGACGGCATACATTACCAATGGAAGGTACTTCCCTTCGGAATCACTTCAGCCCCTTAGGTGTTCACAAGAGTAACCAAGCCTGTTGTCTCATACCTACATCGTCAAGGTCTGCAGAGCGCGCATTTTACCTAGACGGCGGTATACAAGTGGATCCAGATCCACAGCGTCTCAGACTACAGCTGAACTTTATAATCAAGTTACTAACTCAATTAGGTTGGTTAGTAAATCTACTCAAGTCGGACCTAGAACCAACGCAGGATCTGCATTTTCTAGGTATACGATTCCTTACAGCTCAGAATCGTGTAGTAGTCCCGGAGGACAGATGGATCAAGATCCAACAACTGATTCCCCAAGCCCTACTCTCTCCGTTACCACTACGACAGTGGCAGAGCCTATTGGGACTACTCACATCAGCTCAAGACTTGACACTCAGAGGCAGGCTTCAATTGCATCCATTACAAGTCCTCATCAATGCTCATCTCGAGGACCCTCTACCGTTCAGTCTACCAGATTACGTCAAACCACATCTACTCTGGTGGACCAAGAGATTGAATGTTTGCGCAGGCGTCTCCTTAGTAGAGCCGGAATCGAAAACACATCTCTACGCAGACGCGTCACTAAAAGGTTGGGGGAGCCCACCTTGCCGGCAGGACAGCGTCAGGCCTATGGAACAAGCAAGAGAGCAAATGTCACATAAATCTGGTAGAGATGCAAGCAGTCATAAATGCCATAAGTCACTGGAGCAACCTACTACAGAACGCTCAGTTGATGATTCACACAGACAATTCAACAGTGGCGTTTTATGTGAACAAACAAGGTTCAACAAGATCATTGAATCTACTCAATCGTTGTTTCAGACTGTTGGATTTAATCGACAATCTAAACATACATGTCAGAGCTTGCCACATTCCAGGAGCAAAGAATGTTTTAGCAGACGCTCTCTCTCGGCCACACCAGCCGTCGCCGACAGAATGGATGCTCCACACAGAGATATTCAATCAAATAATCATGGAAATAGGATCTCCACTGATAGACCTATTTGCCACTCGATTCAACAAACAACTGACAACCTTCGTATCGCCAGTGCCAGACCCACTAGCATGGGCAACGGACGCACTAAGTATATCGTGGGAGGGACTCAACGCGTACACTTTCCCGCCTCCTGCGTTAATCCCACAAGTCTTACAGAAAATCAGTCAAACGAAGCGCCTCGATCTCATTTTGGTCGCGCGCCATACTGGCTCTTGAACGTGGTTTCCAAATCTCATGCTAGGAATCGGAAAACCAGTACTTCAGCTACCACTGTGCACCAATCTATTTATACATCCGCACACCAAACAAGTGCACAAGACACCAGAAGCATACCAACTTCACGTGTGGATTGTATCAAGGCATGTTTGAATAAGAGAGGTTATTCTGCCAGAGCGGCTAAAGCGGTCACGCTTTGCACTCGTAACTCAACTCGTAACTTGTATGCGATGACAAATGGCACAGCTTTGTCAATTACGCTGCTAAGAAAGGATTTACAGCCAGATATGCTACACATCCTCAAGTGGCAGATTTCTTATGTTACCTACGACAAACTAAGAATCTAAAAGGCTCAACCTTGTCCACTTATCTTGCAGCCTTAAGTTCTGTCATAACTATGAGAACGGGCGTCAAGTTGACCAAAACACCGGAGTTACTCGCTTTGTTACGAGCGTTCCGATTGGAAGATCAGAAACGGAAGTTTCACGCTCCAGCCTGGGATCTAAATATAGTACTCCAACACCTCACGAGTGAGGCTTATGAGCCATTGTTATCTGCTTCGTTTGAATCACTGACCCACAAGACCTTATTCCTGTTAGCATTAGCTACTGCCGCCAGGATGTCTGAGATTCACGCTTTGGATTACGAGAGAACACGCTTTGATGATACTCATAACATCGCTCATCTGGGACTCCGCTGGGATTTTATAGTAAAAAATCAACAACCAGACAGGTTGTTCAATGTCCCAGCTCTCTCATCCATACTTGGACCGCATGATACGATGGACCTATCACTTTGCCCTGTACGTGCACTGAAATTATATCTCCAACGATCCAAGAATAGTAGAGGGAAATTCAAAAGATTGTTTATCCCTATATCCACCGCTTCGCAGACAGAAGTGTCGCGTACTACGATTTCTATTTGGATCAGAACTGTCATACTACGAGCCTACAAGGCTGCAGGACTCGACCCTCCAAGAGCTTCTAATCCTCACGAAATTAGAGCGCTAGCATCAACTCTCGCTCTACATGGAAATTGCTCGTTGAATACCATTATGGAGGGATGTTTTTTGAGATCCGATATGGTGTTTGCCAACCACTATCTGAGAGATATCACCACCAAGGATGTCTCAGGTATCCACCATTTCGGTCCCATGGTCCTCGCTCAACAGTTGACAGTTCAACGGAGAAGATAAGTTTATCTTACAGATTTATACTTATCTGATAACAGTATTAATAGCTACATGCTATCTATATATTGTTGCTAAAGTTAATTTATTATCTTAAGCGCAGTACTATGATTCTATATCATACTATATATATGCTTTCAACTCCTAGGAGTTCTGCTATTATATATATGTTCAGCTTAAGTTATCAATCCTTAAGCTCAGTCATATGTTCAATTCATAACATGTATTAGTTAACAAACTCTAAGTAGTTGGTTACTATTATACAGCTTAAGTTATATTATTTCTTAAGCACAGTACTATTATAGCTTATATATATGCATATTGTAAGCTTAATACTTTGGTTCATTATAAAAGTATTCACTATAAACTCTCAGAAGTTTATACTATCACATTAATGGCTTCAGTTTACCTTAATGTTGTATATACTTTTATTATCTTCACTAAAATTGTAATATCCTTTATATGGCAGCTGATAAGTTAACAGCAGGAATTCTTCAGTTCAGTGCCTTTATGAAGTTCCCATAGGGTTATTACAATTATCTCAGTTCAAAATCACTAATTATTAAAATCCAAAGTATATATAATCCCACCTCCTGTTCCGTCGGATTCTACAAGCAATAAGCATGAGTCAGGATAAGGAAAAATATGAAATTTTTAGAGTAAAATTAATATTTTATACTTATCCTGACTCATGAAGTAAGCCCTCCCGTCCTCCCCACTAAACACTTTGGATTTCTTCGGAAAAAATAAAGTGTCGGGCTCAAAACAAATAAGGAGAGAGTGAGGCACATGGGGGCAGGTGGCGCCCTCGTTCCCGCGCTTGCGGAAGGGAGGTTACTCGTGGTGAGTACTAATGAGTAATTTTTTATTGAAGGGAACTTCAATTGGGAGATACACGTGTTCCACTAGGTTCGCCAGAAGAAGAAAACAAGCAATAAGCATGAGTCAGGATAAGTATAAAATATTAATTTTACTCTAAAAATTTCATTTTGTCACATGTCATGTTCTTGTCCTTCACTGTCATGCTCTTGTCCTACACTCTCATGTTCTTTTCATGCACAGTCATGTTCTTGTCCTACACTGTCATGTTCTTGTCCTACACTGTCATATTCTTGTCATGCACAGTCATGTTCTTGTCCTACACTGTCATGTTCTTGTCCTACACTGTCATATTCTTGTCCTACACTGTCATGCTCTTGTCCTACACTGTCATGTTCTTGTCCTACACTGTCATATTCTTGTCCTACACTGTCATGCTCTTGTCCTACACTGTCATGCTCTTGTCTTACACTGTTATGTTCTTGTCCTACAGTCATGTTCTTGTCCTACACTGTCATGTTCTTTTCATCCACTGTCATGTTCTTGTCCTACACTGTCATGTTCTTGTCCTACACTGTCATGTTCTTGTCCTACACTGTCATGTTCTTGTCCTACACTGTCATATTTTTGCTGACGTTGTCATGTTCTGCTCCTTAACTATGATGTTCTTGTCCTACACTGTCATGTTCTTGTCCTACACTGTCATGTTCTTGTCCTACACTGTCATGTTCTTGTCCTACACTGTCATGTTCTTGTCTTACACTGTCACGTTCTTGTCCTACACTGTCATGTTCTTGTCATGCACTGCCATGTACTTGTTCTTAACTGTCATGTTCTTGTCCTACACTGTTATAATCTGGTCCTACAGTCATGCTCTTGTCCTACACTGTCATGTTCTTGTCCTACACTGTCATGTTTTTGCTGACGTTGTCATGTTCTGCTCCATAACTATGATGCTCTTGTCCTATGCTGTCATGTTCTTGTCCTACACTGTCATGTTCTTGTCCTACACTGTCATGTTTTTGCTGACGTCATGTTCTGCCCCTTAACTATGATGCTCTTGTCATACACTGTCATGTTCTTGTCCTACACTGTCATGTTTTTGCTGACGTTGTCATGTTCTGCCCCTTAACTATGATGCTCTTGTCATACACTGTCATGATCTTGTCCTACACTGTCATGTTCTTGTCCTACACTGTCATGTTCTTGTCCTACACTGTCATGTTCTTGTCCTACACTGTCATGTTTTTGCTGACGTTGTCATGTTCTGCCCCTTAACTATGATGTTGTTGTCCTACACTGTCATGTTCTTGTCCTACACTGTCATGTTCTTGTCCTACACTGTCATGTTTTTACTGACGTCATGTTCTGCCCCTTAACTATGATGCTCTTGTCCTACACTGTTATGTTCTTGTCCTACACTGTCATGTTTTTGCTGACACTGTCATGTCATGTTTTTGCCTGACGTTGTCATGTTCTTGTCCTACACTGTCATGTTCTTGTCCTACAGTGTCATGTTCTTGTCCTACACTGTCATGTTCTTGTCCTACACTGTCATGTTGCTTTTGTCCTACACTGTCATGTTCTTGTCCTACACTGTCATGTCTTGTCCTTGTCATGTTCTTGTCCTACACTGTCATGTTTTTGCTGACGTCATGTTCTGCCCCTTAACTATGATGCTCTTGTCATACACTGTCATGTTCTTGTCCTACACTGTCATGTTTTTGCTGACGTTGTCATGTTCTGCCCCTTAACTATGATGCTCTTGTCATACACTGTCTTGATCTTGTCCTACACTGTCATGTTCTTGTCCTACACTGTCATGTTCTTGTCCTACACTGTCATGTTCTTGTCCTACACTGTCATGTTTTTGCTGACGTTGTCATGTTCTGCCCCTTAACTATGATGTTCTTGTCCTACACTGTCATGTTCTTGTCCTACACTGTCATGTTCTTGTCCTACACTGTCATGTTCTTGTCATGTTCTTGTCCTACACTGTTATGTTCTTGTCCTACACTGTCATGTTTTTGCTGACGTTGTCATGTTCTGCCCCTTAACTATGATGCTCTTGTCATACACTGTCATGCTCTTGTCCTACACTGTCATGTTCTTGTCCTACACTGTCATGTTATTGCTGACGTCATGTTCTGCCCCTTAACTATGATGCTCTTGTCATACACTGTCATGCTCTTGTCCTACACTGTCATGTTCTTGTCCTACACTGTTATGTTCTTGTACTACACTGTCATGTTCTTGTCCTACACTGTCATGTTCATGTCCTACACTGTCATGTTCTTGTCCTACACTGTCTTGTTTTTGCTGACGTTGTCATGTTCTGCCCCTTAACTATGATGTTCTTGTCCTACACTGTCATGTTCTTGTCCTACACTGCCATGCTCTTGTCCTACACTGTCATGTTCTTGATCTACACTGCCATGTTTTTGCTGACGTTGTCATGTTCTGCCCCTTAACTATGATGTTTTTGTCCTACACTGTCATGTTCTTGTCCTACACTGCCATGTTCTTGTCCTACACTGTCATGTTTTTGCTGACGTCATGTTCTGCCCCTTAACTATGATGTTCTTGTCCTTCACTGTCATGTTCTTGTCCTACACTGTCATGTTCTTGTCCTACACTGTCATGTTTTTGCTGACGTTGTCATGTTCTGCCCCTTAACTATGATGCTCTTGTCATAGACTGTCATGTTCTTGTCCTACACTGTCATTCTGTTCTATCGATGTTAAAATATGTCTGCCAAATGAAACAATATCATGAGTGAATTATCTCAATAACTGAACCCAATTTCATTGCTGTCAGTCTAGTCCACTTGACACTGATGAGATACTGTATGTGTTGTAGGTAGCCGGCGTGTGTTTGGGTCGGTCATCGAGAAGCGTTGTGTGGTGCTGATCGACACCTCGGGCTCCATGAATCCCTTCATGGATGAACTGAAGAAGGAGATGGCCGCTCTCATCTGGGAACAGCTGCATCGGCTCAGGATCAAGTAAGTCGGTCTTGACAATCACTCATTATGTGTTATAATGTACTGACTGTGATGCATAGATATTATTACAAATGTGTAGTGTATTTAACAAGTGCGACAATAGGACCAAGTGAAATGTGGAGTTATTTTTATAGAATAAAATTATGATACACACACAAATGTAATAATTTCTTCGACTCATTCATTGAGAGATGACTTAATGAATTGGTATAATTGTTGGTTGTAAACCATAAAGAGCCTAGTTTGATCATATGCTCTCATGTGTTGTGATATAACATGGTGTTAGGTTCTTTGCTATTTTCACCTTATGTTGTCAGTGCACAGGCATTTTTATTTTCTTTGTTTTAATCCTGAATACTTTGTCTAGATTCAACCTGATCAGTTTTTCTGGGACGTGTTCCAAGTGGAAGAGCTGCATCCAGGAACCTACAGAAGAGAACTGCCATGATGCAGTCAAGTGGACATCCAAACTGGTTGCCGAGGGCAACACATGTACCCTGGAAGCCCTCCAGGTACGGCTTAGATGCAACTGTTGTTTCATGTTCTCTTCCTCTTCTTTATGAAACAACTCATCCCATGTGCAGAGTTGGTGCCTTTATGAAAAATCCATTACTGAAATTAAGAGGGGTGGTGGTACCCTTGAGGTTTGCGACAACAGAGTTTGAATCTTGGGAACATCTGAATCTTTACCTAACTACATGTTTTAGTGCTGTATACCTGATCATGAAGGAAGTGTCTGTAGCAGGAAGCAATTTGAGTTTTCTGAAGATTGGAATGGGTTCAGTTGTTATTAGTCAAATGACCTGTTGACCCCTGCTTCCAGCTGGCGTTCTGTGACCCTGACATTGACTCTGTGTACCTGTTGACTGATGGGAAACCTGACACCAGTACAGCTCTGGTGCTGAAGGAGGTCGGACGAATGAACTCAGATCGGCAAATCACAGTCAACACCATCTCCTTCAAGTGCTCAGACAGGTGAGTGAGCCACACAGGGACTCAAGGTTAGGTCCCCAGCCTCCTATACTGGTTACAAGTGGTGACTTACTGGCTTGGTTGGCCAGGCTCAGACAGGTGAGTGAGCCACACAGGGAGTCTGGGTTAGGTCCCCAGCATCCTACACTAGTTACAAGTGGTGACTTACTGGCTTGATTAGCCAGGCTCAGACAGGTGAGTGAGCCACACAGGGACTCCAGGTTAGGTCCCCAGCATCCTACACTGGTTATAAGTGGTGACTTACTGGCTTGATTGGCCAGGCTCAGACAGGTGAGTGAGCCACACAGTGAGTCTGGGGTAGGTCCCCAGCATCCTACACTGGTTATAAGTGGTGACTTACTGGCTTGATTGGCCAGGCTCAGACAGGTGAGTGAGCCACACAGGGACTCCAGGTTAGGTCCCAAGCACCCTACACTGGTTATAAGTGGTGACTTACTGGCTTGATTGGCCAGGCTCAGACAGGTGAGTGAGCCACACAGGGACTCCAGGTTAGGTCCCCAGCATCCTACACTGGTTATAAGTGGTGACTTACTGGCTTGATTGGCCAGGCTCAGACAGGTGAGTGAGCCACACAGGGACTCCAGGTTAGGTCCCCAGCATCCTATACTGGTTACAAGTGGTGACTTACTGGCTTGATTGGCCAGGCTCAGACAGGTGAGTGAGCCACACAGGGACTCCAGGTTAGGTCCCCAGCATCCTACACTGGTTATAAGTGGTGACTTACTGGCTTGATTGGCCAGGCTCAGACAGGTGAGTGAGCCACACAGGGACTCCAGGTTAGGTCCCCAGCATCCTACACTGGTCATAAGTGGTGACTTACTGGCTTGATTGGCCAGGCTCAGACAGGTGAGTGAGCCACACAGGGACTCCAGGTTAGGTCCCCAGCATCCTACACTGGTTATAAGTGGTGACTTACTGGCTTGATTGGCCAGGCTCAGACAGGTGAGTGAGCCACACAGGGACTCCAGGTTAGGTCCCCAGCATCCTACACTGGTTATAAGTGGTGACTTACTGGCTTGATTGGCCAGGCTCAGACAGGTGAGTGAGCCACACAGGGACTCCAGGTTAGGTCCCCAGCATCCTACACTTGTTATAAGTGGTGACTTACTAGCTTGATTGGCCAGGCTCAGACAGGTGAGTGAGCCACACAGGGACTCCAGGTTAGGTCCCCAGCATCCTACACTGGTTATAAGTGGTGACTTACTGGCTTGATTGGCCAGGCTCAGACAGGTGAGTGAGCCACACAGGGACTCCAGGTTAGGTCCCCAGCATCCTACACTTGTTATAAGTGGTGACTTACTGGCTTGATTAGCCAGGCTCAGACAGGTGAGTGAGCCACACAGGGACTCCAGGTTAGGTCCCCAGCATCCTATACTGGTTACAAGTGGTGACTTACTGGCTTGATTGGCCAGGCTCAAACAGGTGAGTGAGCCACACAGGGACTCCAGGTTAGGTCCCCAGCATCCTACACTGGTCATAAGTGGTGACTTACTGGCTTGATTGGCCAGGCTCAGACAGGTGAGTGAGCCACACAGGGACTCCAGGTTAGGTCCCCAGCATCCTACACTGGTCATAAGTGGTGACTTACTGGCTTGATTGGCCAGGCTCAGACAGGTGAGTGAGCCACACAGGGACTCCAGGTTAGGTCCCCAGCATCCTACACTGGTTATAAGTGGTGACTTACTGGCTTGATTGGCCAGGCTCAGACAGGTGAGTGAGCCACACAGGGACTCCAGGTTAGGTCCCCAGCATCCTATACTGGTTACAAGTGGTGACTTACTGGCTTGATTGGCCAGGCTCAGACAGGTGAGTGAGCCACACAGGGACTCCAGGTTAGGTCCCCAGCATCCTATACTGGTTACAAGTGGTGACTTACTGGCTTGATTGGCCAGGCTCAGACAGGTGAGTGAGCCACACAGGGACTCCAGGTTAGGTCCCCAGCATCCTACACTGGTCATAAGTGGTGACTTACTGGCTTGATTGGCCAGGCTCAGACAGGTGGTCGAGCCACACAGGGACTCCAGGTTAGGTCCCCAGCATCCTACACTGGTTATAAGTGGTGACTTACTGGCTTGATTGGCCAGGCTCAGACAGGTGAGTGAGCCACACAGGGACTCCAGGTTAGGTCCCCAGCATCCTATACTGGTTACAAGTGGTGACTTACTGGCTTGATTGGCCAGGCTCAGACAGGTGAGTGAGCCACACAGGGACTCCAGGTTAGGTCCCCAGCATCCTACACTGGTCATAAGTGGTGACTTACTGGCTTGATTGGCCAGGCTCAGACAGGTGAGTGAGCCACACAGGGACTCCAGGTTAGGTCCCCAGCATCCTACACTGGTTATAAGTGGTGACTTACTAGCTTGATTGGCCAGGCTCAGACAGGTGAGTGAGCCACACAGGGACTCCAGGTTAGGGTCCCCAGCATCCTACACTGGTTATAAGTGGTGACTTACTGGCTTGATTGGCCAGGCTCAGACAGGTGAGTGAGCCACACAGGGACTCCAGGTTAGGTCCCCAGCATCCTACACTGGTTATAAGTGGTGACTTACTGGCTTGATTGGCCAGGCTCAGACAGGTGAGTGAGCCACACAGGGACTCCAGGTTAGGTCCCCAGCATCCTACACTGGTTATAAGTGGTGACTTACTGGCTTGATTGGCCAGGCTCAGACAGGTGAGTGAGCCACACAGGGACTCCAGGTTAGGTCCCCTGCATCCCACACTTGTTATAAGTGGTGACTTACTGGCTTGATTGGCCAGGCTCAGACAGGTGAGTGAGCCACACAGGGACTCCAGGTTAGGGTCCCCAGCATCCTACACAGGTTATAAGTGGTGACTTACTGGCTTGATTGGCCAGGCTCAGACAGGTGAGTGAGCCACACAGGGACTCCAGGTTAGGTCCCCAGCATCCTACACTGGTTATAAGTGGTGACTTACTGGCTTGATTGGCCAGGCTCAGACAGGTGAGTGAGCCACACAGGGACTCCAGGTTAGGTCCCCAGCATCCTACACCTGTTATAAGTGGTGACTTACTGGCTTGATTGGCCAGGCTCAGACAGGTGAGTGAGCCACACAGGGACTCCAGGTTAGGTCCCCAGCATCCTACACTGGTTATAAGTGGTGACTTACTGGCTTGATTGGTCAGACTCAGACAGGTGAGTGAGCCACACAGGGACTCCAGGTTAGGTCCCCAGCATCCTACACTTGTTATAAGTGGTGACTTACTGGCTTGATTGGCCAGGCTCAGACAGGTGAGTGAGCCACACAGGGACTCCAGGTTAGGTCCCCAGCATCCTACACTGGTTATAAGTGGTGACTTACTGGCTTGATTGGCCAGGCTCAGACAGGTGAGTGAGCCACACAGGGACTCCAGGTTAGGTCCCCAGCATCCTACACTGGTTATAAGTGGTGACTTACTGGCTTGATTGGCCAGGCTCAGACAGGTGAGTGAGCCACACAGGGACTCCAGGTTAGGTCCCCAGCATCCTACACCTGTTATAAGTGGTGACTTACTGGCTTGATTGGCCAGGCTCAGACAGGTGAGTGAGCCACACAGGGACTCCAGGTTAGGTCCCCAGCATCCTACACTGGTTATAAGTGGTGACTTACTGGCTTGATTGGCCAGACTCAGACAGGTGAGTGAGCCACACAGGGACTCCAGGTTAGGTTCCCAGCATCCTACACTGGTTATAAGTGGTGACTTACTGGCTTGATTGGTCAGACTCAGACAGGTGAGTGAGCCACACAGGGACTCCAGGTTAGGTCCCCAGCATCTTACACTGGCTATAAGTGGTGACTTACTGGCTTGATTGGCCAGGCTCAGACAGGTGAGTGAGCCACACAGGGACTCCAGGTTAGGTCCCCAGCATCCTACACCTGTTATAAGTGGTGACTTACTGGCTTGATTGGCCAGGCTTGCAGACTTGGTTCAATGCATGTCACTTAACTGTTACTTTGTAGGACCTGTGAAGATCCAGGTTAGCATTGGTCTTCAGGAACCCATGCTTGTCATAAGAGGCGACTAACGGGATCGGGTGTTTGGCTCGCTGACTTGATTGACACATTGATACTCATGATGCTGATCACTGGATTGTCTGGTCCAGACTCGATTATTTACAGATTGCCGCCATGCAGCTGGAATATTGCTGAGTGCGGCGTTAAGCAACCAACTAACCAACCATCTTTGTGGATCATTGCTTGTGATATCAGTCACTGGCAGGCCATCATATAGCTGGGGTATTACTGGGTGAGGCATTAAACAGCTACAAAAACTAAAAACTAAAATGAAGTATATAATCACAGAATCCTAAAACCTACATGTATGATAGCTGTATCTGTGTCCTCCTCCCCAGCACAGCCAACAGCTTCCTTCACCTCCTGGCCACAGAGACTAGCGGCCGGTACCACAGATGTCACGAAGACTTCGATGCACATTTATTTGCTCACAAACTTCTGTCCGAGGGTTTTCAAGATGCAGAGGTAAGTCCCAACTCCATTCCACTGGTATTTCTTCAATTAACAGATTCCTACTGTTTAATTATTTGGATGTTTGGATGTAAGAGATTGGTATTGCATTATATGGGTGGGTGGGATTTGTCCTGGGGCATTGTGTTGTACAGAGATACACAGTCACAGACCCATGCAATCTGAGGTCAGCAAAAAGAATTTGAAACATTTGTTAGAGACTGCCTGTTAGCTCCAGACTAGTACTAGCTTGTGTTACATTTAATACTGGAGAGAATTAGAGTTTGTGCATTATGTTCTAGGCACTGTTGCATAACAGTGAATTCACACTAACACAGTCAGAATCAGTGTGAAGTTAATATGATACTGCTGATGTACTTAGTGTACGTCACTTCTTCATCCATGATGTCTATTCCAGTACCCCCACCTCCCAAAGTTTGAGGGAGATGACTTGCGACGGCTCGCTAACGAGATCGCCACGGCCAGGAAATACCTAGCACAGGGCAAAACATTCAGGTATGTCCACGCACAACTGTTAACTCCAGCATGTTTTGAAATCTATCCTCGAAACCCTATTCAACCAGTAATAAACTTGACTTGTTTCAATATGAAACTGACATTTGGATAGAGTAATTTCATTGTGATTAATGAAATGGGGATTTTGTAATCCTGACATGTGTTCTGTTTTTCTTTTCAGAGCTTTGTACAGTGCCAAGGCAGCAGGTTCAGAGAAATCCAGTGAAAAAAGTAAGATAAACACTGGAGTGTAATTTATAAATTACTTTATCATGGCCTGTTTGCCTCATGTCAGGCGTCAATCTCTTCTGCTGTGAACACCTTTATGATGACTGACTGACTGAGTTTGGTTTTACGCCGCTTTTAGCAATATTCCAGCAACATCACGGTGGGGGACGCCAGAAATGGGGTTCACACATTGTACCCATGTGGGGATTCAAACCCCACCTTTATGATGAACAGACAAATGTATGACACACATTATATGATGAACAAAACATGTTTGACACATTAAATGATGGACAGACACATGTACAACACATTATTTGACGAACAGACACATGTATGACACATATAATATGATGAACAGACACATGTATTACATGCATTAGATGATGAACCGACATGTATGACATGTATTATATGATGAACAGACACATGTATGACACTAATTATATGATGAACAGACCTATGTATGACACTCATTATATGATGAACAGACACATGTATGACACTAATTATATGATGAACAGACCTATGTATGACACATATAATATGAACAGACACATGTATTACATGCATTAGATGATGAACAGACACATGTATATGAAAAGACACATGTATGGCACTCATTATATGATGAACAGACACATGTATGACACTCATTATATGATGAACAGACACATGTATGACACTCATATGATGAACAGACAAATCTATGACTCTCATCTCATGAACAGACACATGTATGACACATATGATGAACAGACTCATGTATGACACTCATTATATGATGAACAGACACATGTATGACATGCATTATATGATGAACAGACACATGTATGACATTCATTATATGATGAACATACAAATGTATGACACTCGTATCATGAACAGACACATGTATGACACTCACTATATGATGAACAGACACATGTATGACACATTATGTGATGAACAGACACATGTATGACGTGCATTATGTGATGAACAGACACATGTATGACACTCATATGAACAGACACATGTATGACCCTCATATGATGAACAGACACATGTATGACACTCATTTATATGATGAACAGACACATGTATGACATACATTATATGATGATCAGACACATGTATGACACTCCATATGATAAACAGACACATGCATGACACTTATATGATGAACAGACAAATGTATGACACTCATATCATGAACAGACACATGTATGACATGCATTATATTATGAACAGACACGTATGACACTCATATCATGAGCAGACACATGTATGACATGCATTATATGATGAACTGACACATGTATGACATGCATTAAATGATGAACAGACACATGTATGACACATACGATGAACAGACACATGTATGACACATTAAATGATATACAGACACATGTAGGACACTTTAAATGATGAACAGACACATGTACGACACACATATGATGAACAGACACATATTACACACATGATTTATGATGGATGTCTCTTTCAGTCACGGCCTCCACTCCCTTCCTGGCGGGCCGCCCTCGAAGTGCTGCCAGATAGGACACGCCACACTAACAACGTCAATGGTGCATCAGCATTTTACACGGATCACTCACCAGTCAGTTACCTAGTTACACTCTTGTTGCTATGGAAGTCATTTCCATTGACATAACCTGGTTGCTATAGTAATCCTGTTTGCAAAGGCCCAGTGATATAAAGAGCCATTGTGACGTCACCAGGATGAAACTTTGGTGAAAGATCCTTACAGAGCAATGGTGACAACAGGAACAGTTTTGTAGTTACATTTCAGGAACATTTTAAGTTATGCTTTTATATCCGTTTATTTTGATTTGAAGGCTCTCATGGCTGTGAATTTGTATATAATTCATGTACAACATTTGAATTTAGGAACATTTGTTTGATGGCGAATACAGATACTGCAATTAATATTTGTATAGAATAACTAAATACTATACTCCATATTATGTACAGATGAAAATGATATTTTTGACATTTTAGTGTAAATCTTACCATTTATTGTACATAGAGTGTATATTATATTGGTGTTTGAGGGGCAGGTAACTCCCGATGACCTCAGATGAACAGATTTTTTTAAGGTCCTGTTACTTGCAGAGTCTAAGATTATACTAGTGAGCATATATATAAACATGCAACTTTGTGGGTAAGAACTTCTGGTGTATTGTATGTAGTTTTGTTTTGATGTAGATTCTCACATTATCAAGCTGAAGGGACCGAGTGATGTGATCTACAAAAACGTGACATGTTGAGATAAACAGCAGTAAATAAAGAGTCGTTTTCATCTTCGTCCAGCCAAGCAAACAACCCCCTGTCCATTTCATCAATTCACTTAGGGAAACATTTTTATTTCATTATGAAATGCATTGTGCCGGAATGACAACACAATTGTAATTTAACTCTCTATTTATTATACCATATACAGAAATACAATACTTTTGGGGATAACAACATACTCATCATTTTGTGAACGGAATATTTTTGTGTTATTTGACCCCATATTGACACACAATGGAAACAAAATACATGTATTAACTTAACATGAAAGAGCTTCTTGTGACTCTGACCCGATTGCCTGCCTTCTGTTACTGCCTTGACTCAAGTGCACTTCTAGTTGCTGTCTATAATCAAGTCATTATTTGCAGACTGTCAGCAGAGTAGACAGTAGACATTTTGATACTGTCAGGTAAGGTGATACTGCAATGCAAACCCTCCGCAATGAGGGAATACTTGTTAAACTGTTAGTTGTTGATGTCTATCTATATAGATGAGAGCTAATAAAAGCTTGAAACTTGCACCATGTGTTCTTATCTGATCCGGGTAGCTCTATGGTTAAAGAGCACTATAAAACCAGCTTCAGTCTGGGCTAGTACAAGCAGCCGCACATACACATACACATGCATGCACGTCATCATATGAGCGAAATATTCTCAAGCACGACGTTAAACCCAATTTCACCTCACCTCACCTCTATGGTTAAAGTGTTTGCTTGTCACACTAAATACCTTGGTTCAGTTTTCCACAAGGGTGTAATGTGTGAAGCTTATTGTTTTATTAAAGGTCACATGCAACGTAAAACACAACTTTGCAGATTCTGATACCTTTCGGTATGGACTTACAGATACAAATCATCAAAAATGCAAATTGAACTTATAAAGTTGAAAAAAAAACGAGATGAAAAACCCCATGAAATCGGAGTTCAAACGAATCACTAAATTCATCCCAGCTCTTGGGATGAAAAGTGGTTTCAACAGCTCTGCTGTAGCTTGGCTGCTGCATAGCATATGCGCAGTGAAATAGGTTCGCACAGCTTGGAAGCGGGATGTCCGGATTATAAGGTTGTGAGCAGGAGTAGTCTAATCAAAACAAATAGTAAATAATCTACTCATTACATAAAAGAACCTTGTTAGGATCTAGATCTACTCAGCTATGTGTCAACCAGTGAGGCGTTCGACATTTCAAGACGGAAAACCTACACTGGCGGTGAATACTCGGTGAAGGCTTTGATGTGAGCTATTTTTCTAATGTTTTGTTGATATTTCACAGGCGCGAGCTTTTTATGTTATGACAGTAGATTACCGATTTAACTGTTTTAATAATTTTCATTTGTCTATTTCACCACACGTTCTTCTTACCTAGTCACTTTCTCAGTTCGATACTTAAAAGCAATGTCATTATTTAGCGTTGACAGAATTTCTAACTGTGATATAGATATGTCGTTGTCACAGACAAAACTCAATGTCTGTTTTAGTGACACCTATGTGTCTGCCTGCCTGTCTGCTAATGACAATATTCAATACACAACTTCGATCACTGATGCAATTTGAACTTAACACCTATCAGGCTATACACCATAAACAAAACGCATTGATTTATGGCCCGAGTTTGGTCTCTGTCACATTATGTAATTACACAGACAGGCAGGTGTGATACTTGTACACATGACATGTTATGTCTGTTGATTGCAAAATGTTATACACAAAAAATGAGCATGTATTTACAAAACCCAACATCTCTATATACACACACACAATGAGCTGTGAGGGCATCGGCAAATGAACCAGCCGTTACACTTGAGTGCACATCCACTTGCTCTGACTGGGTTCGGTATCCCGGGAGCTTCGCAATTCGTTTCGAGGGAAGTAAACCCAAGTACAAAATATTGCACTTTTGATTTGCGATTATACACTTATAATTTTGTTTATATGTTTTTTCATGATCAGCAATGTATATTATATGTCATGAATAAGTGATAATTGTGTTTTAATTATGTTTAATTTTTTGGTTGCATGTGACCTTTAAGAATAAGTCGCTGGTAACTGGACAATCATCACAATGTACAAGTCAGGAATCTGTCAAATCTACCTGCTTGTAAAGAATGTTCAGTTATGCATGCATTATGGAATTAATATACAGCATCAAAGTGACAAAGTATTGTACAAGTAATATTAAAAATTAAAATTGGTGAATATATGTACATTTTCTGAACAAATGCATATCATGTTGTATATGTGTAATTTACATGAGCATGCATTGAATGAACTTTGCATGCATTGAATGAACTTGTCTATTTTAACTGCACATGCATTTTGTCTGAATTGATTCATGTAGCCAGTACATTCATAATGCAGAATTAATGCATGAGCGTACAATTTGTGTAGCAAAGTGTAGGTTAAAGTTGATAAACCACTGAAACAAAAGTTACATCAAAACTATCCAAGAAGTTCGTAGACCTTATGTATTTGCTCCCCTCTTCTATTGAAGACTAGCTTAATCAAGATAGCATGTGACAGTGAGTGAATATATTGGCTTTTAGTTTCTTGGGACAGTATTTCAGTTAATTTACCATCAGGTAATGTGGTCTTAACCTCATTTGTGAAACCCATGAACAGTGATGACACAACGGACCAAGAATATAATCACGGTGGATCTGCGATTCCAGCAGATAAGAGACCTTTGATCTTTGGGCTATAGGTAAGTCAGTTCATGTGAAGAATGTCATAGAACTTGCCACTTGAAACAGATTCAAGAAAATGGTGATAAATAATTAAGGAAGATAGCTATATGTCTTCAAAAACTTATAAAGTGAAAACAAACCATTCCTGTAATGCTAAATATTGTTTACAGTTCCTTAATAATTTCAGTACTTTGTGTGTTTATTTTAAGTCACGAGGACTATGGGACACAGTCACATCATAAGCAAGGCCTGTTAAACTCAACCTGTTTGTCATAACTTGTGATAGATATATATATTCAGTTTAAAGCACAAGTAATAACTTTACATCAGACACTGACATATTGTAAATCATATTTATAGTGTCAGATTCTCCATAACCTTGGGGCTCATCTTATCCTTATTTGAGCTATGGTCAAAAAGCCCATATGGTTCTCTCGATTAGTATCCTCCAAGAAACATGAATATGTGTCAAATTTAAGTACACATTATTTGTTGAATTGGTCCAAAGCAACAATAAATACACTAAAAAACAATGGCTTTTGTGACACACACCAAACGAAATTATTCTTGTGAAAGAAATGTTATTTACATTTCTGTTGTTTCTGAGGAAGTACATGGTATTTTAAGCTGCTTCAACAATATTCCATCCATATCACAATAGTTTTAAGAAATTCCCTGTTGTGCTGATGGTTTCAGTAGTCACACACACCACCAGTTTGCAACGCCAGGGTTCAGGACGAGTGTAAGGACTGGAGTCACAAACGCTGTCCTGGATGCATGGTTCGATCTCCGGGTAGAAAACAGATGGTACTTATTGTTACCCGCTCTGGTCCTCAGCATGAAGGTGAATAAAGTATACCATGAGTAGGATATCCATGTTAATATGCAACATAATATCTCAGTGGGCTAAAAGTTACCAGCATTAGTCTCAACGTGGATGTATGTAGATATACATGTGCAATAGTCTATAAAGAGAAATTGAACCCCATTTCACCTCACCTAACAGCTCTCATACTGAAGCACTGACCACTAACTCAGATTGATTGAGGTGACACCAGCGAAAGATTATTATTATTATTATTATTACATGATATTTATATAGCGCACATATTCACGTGACTAGTTCATGCTCAAGGTGCTGGTATTTCCCTCGATCACTGGATGTCAATCTCAACGGCACATCGTATTATCAATCTCAACTCCCCAGGGAGCATACAACGAAACGAATTATCTGTGATTCTGTTAAGTCTTTCGTTTGGAATATAGCTTTCCACTGGTGGATCTGGAGGGTGTGCAAACCATTTCATCTGGCATCTTATATTCGACCTTTGTCCCTCTACTGTCTATATTTGTATACAGACACCTAGTGCCTGTGGATTCACTGTGATGAAGTGTCTAGGTTTATCAGCCCCATACATACTTCACTGACTGTCGGCTTGAGGTGAGAGGAAAACCTGAAGCTATGTTTTTGATATAAGTCTGAACTTTAGGTGAAACCCTACAGTATGTGTACGATGCTGACTAACTTAGAAACACAATCAGGGCAAATCCAGATTCGAACCCACAATCATAGGTTTCGTGTGTGTCCCAGTGACAGAAGTCTGCAGAGCAAACTGCAGTGCCATAGAAGATGCCTTGCCTTCAAACACCAACCAGAAATAATCTGAAGGGACATGATTTACTTTCAGCCTGTATCAACAAAGGATGCGGAATGGCAACATGATAAAAGTACAAGAAAGAGCAAATGTGTTTGTTTTGATATTTATTCTTTCTTTCATTCAATGTTGGCAGTATAAATATGAATTAATGTCATGCTGTTAATTGCAACAATAGCAGTGACACTTGTTGATGATGAGACGATCTTCACACACAATGGTGTCATTGGTCCAGGCTGTTGGTATATTTGATAAGTTCATCACAATATTTCCCTGTACGATGTTTATGTTTCACACTGTCAACTTCTGTGACCAACATAGAAGGGCTGATCTTTGCTGAATGCTTTAGTACATCTGAAACATTAATAAAATACTGAAGTAATCAACGTAATATATAGAAAGAGGTGTTTTTACCAATTGGAAGGGCTGAAAGAGCCCAGAAAGATGAATCCCATGCTATCCAAACCCCATGCTCAGGGGCCAGTGATCCAAACTACCTGCTGAATCAGTGATTTGAACCCATTGCTGTTGTACTGCTAGTGTGATCCAAACCCCATCCTAGTACATCCTAGCACAGCAAAAGGTCTGAATTGCAAATTACCACAACACATTTTGACAAAAAAAGGCCACCATTCATAATATCAATATGGAAGTAAAAATACCTGAAGTCCCACTAAATTGCATTGATTGACATTAGTTATACTACATCCTGATAAATCGACAATACTGAATGCAAAATGATGGAAAGAGATTTATAATGGCAGTACAATTCACTTAAGAGGAGCAGAGTGCAACTAACCTAAGATGGCCCCTTGTATGGACGTCTCTGGGTCATCGAGGTGAACCAAAAGGCCTCTGTAAATAGCTTCCAGGTGTGCACGATACAGGCCAACATCATAACCACTCTCAAAGCAGTCAAAATAGGCCAGAAAGGTTTTAGCCACGATGAGTCGAACCTCGTCGCTGCTGTCGTCCAGTCGTTTAAGCAGTTCTGGGTACATGTTGTGAAGCCTGTCCTGTGACAGGGATGTACCCATCAGGTCCAGGAGGCGGGTCAGGACTCGGCAGCTGATGAGGCGCGTACTCTTGTTGCCATCATTGATGGTGCTGATGAGCTGAGTCAAGAAGTCCTCCACCACAGGCAACATCTGCAGAGGACACAACATGTTACATATGACACACTCATGTGGCATATTCCTATTGGAATACGAAGAATACCACTCCCTTGTAAAAACCACAAAGTGATCCCTATAAACCTGAGAACAATAATAGCATGTGCAAAGGCTTTGGGCATTGCTTGGGTTTTGTCAAATGTTCAGTGAACTTACATCCCATGACATTGGGGTATAATGACAACTGAAGGAATCACTGAGTCTGATCACCTGAACCATGCAGCCTCTTCTCACTACAAACATGTTGCTGGCGGCCTATTCAAACCCCCCTGCCCGAGTCCCCACTGGATGCTTGACTGAGTGACTTGGGTGTGATGCTGCTTTGAACAGAATTCCATTTACGTATACTAGTATCACAATGTGTCACCTTAATTCAAGAAGTAAGCTCAAAGTGATGCAGGTTTAACCTACAAGCACGGGTAATGGTGAAGACAAACCTACACTAAAATGATCAGGTAAATCAGATTTGAACCAATTATCATAGGCTTCTGGATTGTCAAAGGAACACAAACCTGGCCAAGCTTGATGCACGAGATGTATCTGAATCACTTACTATGATGAATATGCAAATTTAATTTGGCAAAAACAAACAGAATTGATTATTGTTGATCCAGTACTTTACCTTTTCCTTTGTGAGCACCCCACTTTGCAGCAGTGCCCAGGCACAGGAGACAGCTGTTGTCCTGATGGCCCCTGATGTCCGACCCGCTCGCCACACACAGTTGGGTATGACCATGTCTTTCAACACAATCACAGCAAAGTCACCAAATTGTTGTCTGGAGTCCACAGTGCCTGCCGCATTCACCATGAGTCGAGAGAGGAGAGAGAAGAACTTGAGTCTCATCTCTGGATCCTTGTCTGGGTTGAGGTTGGCTACCAACATAGGCATGATGGTGTCCAGGTGCTCCCCAACCACTGGGCCTGCAGGGACAAGCATGTAAGGCATGAACATGCAGTCGGTGATTTATCCTGCTAGTCTAAAGCCAGAGTCTACAATTCTGTTTCAGAAGCAGAGAGATTATTGATATGGTTTGATTCTGACATCATGGTAACCAATTAGAAATGGAAGCCAGTTTTGGATGATGAATGATAAAGTCCTTAATTCACACAAAAACATATTCCTTTCATAGTGAAATCTGGACTAAGAGACAATGTAGGGTACTGACCTGCCTCCACAAGGAGTGCATCAAACACTTGTCTCTCCACACTATGCAGAGTCCAGTGGGGGTAGTCATCCTGGTAGGAGGCGAGGAGGGTCTTGGTGTGGGCTCTGTATACCTCCTCCCTCTCACCCAGGCCCTCCAACATGCCCACCTTGCTCAACACCTCATTCACCTGACAAGTAACAATATCATGAATACGATATTCCAAAGGATGGTAGTACCAATAATGATTTCAATCTAAGTTTAATTGATGATTCAGATAGTGTTAACCTTCCCATTAATATAGTGAAAAGAGCTATGAAAATACAAACACTTGTTAATTATCCCCCTTGTTATCTTATCACTTTAGTTGTGTTCACATGTACATATATGGCGGTCCGCTTTCTAGCTTAAAATCACCTGGTGAAGACGTAAGAATATACTCTAAAACATTGTGTTCCTCATGTTACAGAAGCTGACATTCACCAAGCTCATCTTTTATGTGTATCACTTCTAAATCCCAGTCAAAGTTAATAAACTGTGTAAGTTTAATTTCAGGCCTGACTTCAACTGACTACAGGGCATATCTATTATCAGTGGAAGGTGAATTTGATGATGCAATGCTGAATGGGAGTGCTCTTTGTTGTGGCATACATTCAGGAATAATTCAAAGCAAACCCTCAAATTTTATAATCTATGTAGTCATCATCACCTGTTCCTTGATGTGGTCATGTTGAGTCAAGGCTAGTACAGTGATGAGGATGGTGAAGAGTTGATCTGACACAGCTGAACAGGAGTCCTGCATCACACTCAACAATGCATCCACACAGGCCAGCAGCTGCAGCTGAACCTCTATCTGGAAGGACACACAAGAGATGTAACACTCAAGAAACATGTAGTCTGATATTCACTAAGTAAACTCTACTATAAAACATACCAGGGTGTCATTGCACAAAGAGATCTTAGAACTAAGCTTGTAACTTAAATCTTAACATATCACAGACTAACGAAAGTTGTAGCACTAAGGTTATTCTGCGCAACAACATTGTGCCAGAGAACTACTAGATTTACATGTGTCCATTCAGCTATATTACATACGCAATTTCATTGCTTACCTAGACAATCCACTCACAATTACATGCAACTGGTTGCAAGTCATCAGATTATCAAAACTGATTCCCAATTGTGTAGGTTGATGCTCATGATGTTGATCACTGCATTGTCTGGTTCAGACTATTATTTACAGACCGCTGCCATATAGCTGGAATATTGCTGGGTGTGGCGTTAATCAACAAACCAATCAGATTATCAAAACATGACAATCAGCTGCCAATCCTTTTAATTTAGCCCAAACTGCCTCTTCAACAAGTACCACACCAGAATTCACAACTAAAATATATAATGTATACAATAACTTTGAATGATGACACAGAATCATTTTCCTACCTGCACAGACTGACACATGTCTGGTGATGCTAGTGTGTCTGCCACTGGTTTCATGTATGCATCAAGATCAGACCTCAAGGTACCCCAAGTGACGGATGCAAGCACCATGAGGGAACCAGAACACTGTGTGGCCTTCACATTGGCTAGCACCAACTTGGTCCATATCTCTGGCTTCACAAAGTAACCAATCAGTTTGGCTGATCTCTGAATCTGAAACCACATCGATGAAACATAAACATCTGAGGAGATACAGTCATTAGCACTGTCTCCTGTAGAGATATTAGAATCTCTCTTCTTCGTATTATGTCCATTTGTAACAGTTTTTAAATTGACATCAGGTGAGGTAAAGTTTTTAATGTCACATTCAAGATTATTGCACTTATATAACAACATGCATGTGTGGCTGATTTTGCTGATCCAGACCTATGCAATTTTAATAGTACTTGCCTATTGAGATACAATTTTGTGTTTAACATGGACTCAGTATACTGACTTCAGGCTGACCAGTATTTGTTTTAACATATAAAATGCCGAGTGTTAGGCAGGGTATAAACAAGTATCATCTTTTAATGATTTTGGTATGATGCATCTTGGGGTTTCCACTCTCCGGGCAGATGTCCACTAGAAAAATGAGGATTTCCTAGATATGACAGTAATGATCATGTTATGGAAGACAGCACTTGGTATCATTTCCAGGTATATTCTGCTTTGGCAGAGAATGATTATCTTTTGAATCCTTGATTGTGATGATCAGTGGCTACTCACATCGGTGACCACTCTCTGATCCTCATCCATGCAGGCCTTGTACAAACTCGACACTAGCCTCTCCATGTGCTGTGTCACGTAATCCTCAGCGTTCAACAACAGAACATACAGCAGAGCTGCCGACTTGGCACGAGTCTCCACTACCCAGTCTCCGACATCCCGCAGCAGACCTACCAGGAAACACATAATTACAGGTTTAAATTCATACCCAGCATACTGTTATTATGTTTAGTTTAAATATATTTTATTCACAATGTGAAATGGATCGGGGAAAGTTCTTTCAACTTATAAAACACCTGTTATTATGTTAGCTTAATCTTGGTGTGCATGTAATCAAGGCTTAAATATATTAAGACAGCACTGACCATATGAAGAAAGTTTACTGTCATTATATTCCTGCATATATAAAGGAAGTATGGGTAAAGACAGTACATGTTTATTCATAGAAACTAAACCTACCTGGTAATATCTTTGACAAATGCCTCATGACTAAAGTCCGACATCCAAGATTTGGTCTTTCAACTAAAAGGGTAATAGCATAATCAGGACTACACTTCGACATGTTAGAACATTGTTTTACCTTTACCATCACAAAATGCATAAAACTGATAGAGTATTTTTATGTTTACATGTAATCCAACAACTCTGGTTTGTTCATTGATAAAGTTGTCACCAATTGTTAATTCAAACAGTTATAAATATGATAGATAAATGTGATAAAGTTTTCTTATTCTCTGATGAAGATGCCATATATAGAGGATATTATACGAGTGCCCATGTCATACTATGTTTACGACACAAGTGCCTAAATGTTGGTAATTCCCGAGCGAGAGAAAGGGATGTACCGATATTTAGACATGAGTGTTGTAAACATAGTATGATACGGGCACGAATATCATATTCTGTTTATTACCGAAGTCGTCAAATTGAGAAAAATACACCTAAATCTACTTTCAAACATAGGCTAGCTACCTGCCATCGCCAATGTAGAACGCAATGTTATAGAAGAAACGTGATGTCATAGCACTGTTCAAGACGTCACGTCACCATGACAAAGTGATATTTTGCCCTAGGGCATCATATGAAAAATATTAACCCCAATATTTTCGCCCTCATAGGTAATAAAGCAACATCATGAACCATAATTAGTATTATCACAGTAAAACAGATGAAGTAAATAACTGACCATCTGGAGGATAGTGTGATGGATTGGGAGCTGCAAAATCTATCTTGTCTTTCATCTCTTCTTCATTTTCTCTCTCATACTTCATTCCTGGAACAAATACAATGATCAACCATAATCAGTGTTATGTCAAAGACCCCTGAGTTTAATTTTTAAATTTGGAACACAGTCATGAATTTGTCAAGGTGAAGTTTACTTACCTATGTCATACCACAGTGTATCTGCTAGATCCCTGATTTCAGTTTGTTCATCTGTGATGCTGGTGAGGATGAGAGGTATCAGTTTGTGGTGGAATGAATAACGATCAGGAAGGTCAAGTAGCCAACCACCCACTACCCTTGTCACTTCTTTCCTCACAACTGGGGAATGGTCGAAAAGGCGTTGTGCTAGGTGGGATGTCACTGTTTCCACGGCTTTCCCATTTCCATATTGAATGACAGTTCCTAGTTAACATATAACGTTAAGTCAAATGCAGGTTTGACAGCAATAAATACTGTGCATGCTTCTGAAGTACTATGCTAATAACAGTGTTCAGCATTGTTGAACAAGCACATGTTGACTTAACAACAAAAACATAATTTTGACAGAAATTGAACTCAACATTTACATAAACTGACCTTTTCCCAATAAATTGCATCAGCATCTTGAACATACATACTCTGTGTTGTCAATGACATGTAACCATGGCAACAATCAAACGCAAGTATGAATTCAGCACTGAGCAGTATTTTAAAACAATCACAATAAACATGATAAATAATCTTGCTGATTGCTAACATGGCAAATATACACACATGATTAAACTTTTCTCACCTATTGTTTCAACCACAACTGTCCTGACTTTTGAATGTTGGTGCGAGATGGTCAACATCAGTGGTTTGATAAGTGATTCCGACTGCATATGAAAATATTCAGGGATACTTTTGGCTAGTTTTGATGAACATCGACAGCTTTCTTTCTTCACTTCGGGATATGGGTCGACAATTGTTCTTTGAAGAATTCGGATCGCATCGTCCAGGTATATAGCCATCTTTTTTCCAGAACATTCTACGATTTGAGCAAGTAGTTCCACTAAAGACAACCGCAACTCTTCCGATGTTTCAATAATTTCTTGCTGACCTAATCGTGCTGAAAGAACTGGGACTATGTAAGACAAGTGTTCGTCTGGCTTGTCTAATACGTTTAGATAATCAGAAATTAAGCTTATCGCCAATTCTCTGCATTTTTCCACAGGATCCGATAGAATTTTCAAAACAGGTTTCAACACCTCACTAAATATAAGTGCGTGTTCATTGGAATCAAGTGGCGGTTTTCGTCCAAGCGTGTCACTTCTGATACTTTCAATAGCTTTCTTCCGTGTATTTCGGTTTTCCTCAGATAAACAGTTGATGTGTCTTGCGATTCCTTGAAGCACAGCATTGGAATTTTCGTCTAACGACGCCATCTTGTTGATCGCAACGCCTCGTTCTGACTGAAGCGTGGAATACCTCTTCCGCTATAAATGCGTTCCTCGCATCGATAGTAGAACTCGCACACATCGACTAATATTAACTAAGTCATGTTAGGAGTTTACAATGTTCAAGAGTTAATTCCCTTCGTAAATTTGGAGGGCACCTGTCAGAAAGTTGAACTGTTGCACGTGTTGACTTAACTGATGTATGTTTCATTTTGGTCAGTGGGCGTTTTTAACGAAAGAAAGAGAAAGCTATTTAGTTAAATCCTCACGAATCGTCACGTTTCAAGTACTCTTGGATGGATAGATATTGCCATCATATATGTGTACTGGACCATATCTATTATCTAGCTGTTGAAAGAGTCGTCGGTACAGGTACGACAGCTGTATGCCTCCCAGGTACGTTTCTGCATGCAAAAATGTAACCAAGCTCAAATCAACATACAGGTCCGGAGCGCATTCCTGCTTACTGCTCTGTAGGGTTAGTCAGTTCTTTGATTCTGACAATAAAATATTCCAAAGTTAATATTGTTTTCAAAGACATAAGATTATCAGCTACTCTACACTCATATTTTTATATTATAGTAAAATTAAGTATGAAGATTTAGTGCCACTTTTGCCATGTAAAACTATTTCACTGATCCAGAAACTTTTGACAATCATTTTGTGCCTTTTCATCATGATCCATTTCAGCTATAACCCATTTGTAAAATGTTGTAACATGTGGATTATTAAAAAGAATTCTAAATAGGTGAAGCTGCTGCTTTTTTGGTATAGTCCAGAGTCTTGAATTCAGGACACTTACGATGGTGATTGCGATTCACACATGACATGGTGGGCTTCAACCCAGACCAGACAACTCCATTGTCTTCAACACAGTATGCCATTGCTGGAGCTGTCAGTGGAGCCGTCACTAGAGCAGTGTGTCAGCCATTTGACGTGTTGAAGATAAGGTTCCAGGTAACAAAAGTGATCATTAATATCAGTGGTGTGGGTGGCCCAGTCATCATAAGTCACCATGATTCCTCAGACATGCGAGACACCTGTTATTGTGTAACAAATGACGTATTTGGGATTACATGTTCTCTGTAAAGTACCTATTCTGGTACTTTGGGGGACTGAGTCCAATTCCTCATTGGAACCCACACACAGTGTGTTTTCAGCATCCCTGTGATAAACGTTTAAGACCTGGATGACTTTGACTTTCCTTCCACATCAAGCTGACATGTGATAGAACCCAAATACTGCTCATAGTACTGTTTAACCAAACTCAGTCCCTAACTCATGAAAACCCGTAGAATTGACATATGGTTGTAAAGTGCATTGATGTCTTAATTTGACAGAAATTCACAAGGAAAGCTCAAAACATAATACACATGAAGCTCTGTTCAGAATAAGTTGTATTTGATTTGTTGCAGCAGTCTTCCATCAGTTCATCAATGTCTGCTTATCATGGGTGGATAGCTCAAAGCATCTGTCATCAATACTTTCATTCATTGTGAGTGAATTTTGGCTATTGTGTGATATCATTAATGTTTAACTTGATAGTTATACTGATAAATATTAGGAAATGCAAGAGTTTTCGATCAAAGAAAAGAATGATATAACAATCAGGTTCATGAAAATTAATACATGTCACGTTTAAACGTCCAAAATTCATTATCTTAAGTATGATATGTTTCATCATCAATTTTGTTTTCAGTTACAAGTTGACCCCATTGTGAAGAGTGATGTTTCTAAATACTGGGGTATCCGTCATGCAGTCAAAAGTATATTGCAAGAAGAAGGTTGGAGAGCATTCTGGAAGGGACATGTTCCTGCCCAGGGCCTATCTGTTGTCTATGGCATTGCACAGGTATTTCAGATAGCAGTTGCTAGAGTGATAAAAGAAACTATGACCTGTTAACTTCAGTAACATCATGTATCACATACATTGAGTGTGATGTATAACACAGCTTATACATTAGGGTTTTCCATGGACCCCAAGACAACTGTTATGGTGAGGGATGACTGTACTAAGCCATCATGGGGCAAGTACATCCTAGTTATCATAATTTTGCCCTACAAAATTGTTTTAGGTTGTAAATACATTTGCTATGTCAATACATTTGCTAGCATACTTATTTGGGTCTTAACATTTGGACAAGGCTTTCAATACTGAATTTAGTATTGCTGGACATTTATCAGAGAGAGAGAGAGAGAGAGAGTATTATTTAAAGTTGCAGATTTGTATTGGAAAGACTTGCTGTTTATCATCCACACTTAGCTTTTGTTTGATTTTAGAAAGCACTGGACCAATGTAACGGAACGTGCTTTTTCTCATCACTGGTGAAACATGAATTAGTTCAATAAGGCGATTTCAACTGCGAAAACTTCTTGATGAACAATCATTTGGCTGAAAATGTTAAATATTTGGAACATGTATACCAGTAGCGCAAACTCAACACATGTTGCATTTTTTTCAGTATTTTACTTTTCCATCCTTAAATTGGCCATGGCTCTCTAAACATCTTGACTTAGAAAGCACTTGACTATTGAAACTAATACATTAAATGCTTGTTCCCATCAATGATGACACCTCAATTCCAATTTGGCTTCTATCTAATCTAACCAAGACCTGTCAAGTGTGCAATGATATTTCAGTATACATCCTTTGAGGTGTTCACAAGGCTCGTGTGGGAGCACCTGCCAGAGCACATGACCCGGGAGTACCGACCTTTGACCCACTTGTTTTGCGGGAGCTTGGCAGGATGTGTGGCAGCTCTCACTGTGCAGCCGCTGGATGTCATGCGGACGAGATTTGTAGCTCAGGGGGAACCCAAGGTAACTTTTGTTTAGCTACTTTACCATTAATCAGAGTGTTTTCACTTATTGTAGTGTTGTACTTTTGACTTATTGTATTATTGAAGATGATTGAAACAGAGAGAGAGAGTGGGTTGGCTTGATATTTAAACATAAAATAGCATGCTTTTAGCTGTGCAGTCAAACTGTCCAACTTTGCCTTTGAGTATATGATGATCAATATATGGGAGGTGCGCTACAGAAATACTAATGTTCATGTTAATGTGTCATTATGTATATAGGGCGGTGGGGTAGCCTAGTGGTTAAAGCCATTTCTGGTGTCCCCAACTGTGATATTGCTGGAATATTGCTAAAAGCGGCGAAAACTAAACTCAGTCAGTCAGTCAGTGGCTAAAGCGTTGGCTCGTCATGCCGAAGACCCGGGTTCGAATCCCCACATGGGTACAATGTGTGAAGCCCATTTCTGGTGTCCCCCGCCGTGATGTTGCTGGAATATTGCTAAAAGCGGCGTAAAACCAAACTCAGTCAGTCAGTCATTATGTATAATAATTCCAAAGGTTCTGAAATTAACTTGTGTTCTTCTTGCAGATGTACAGGAGTCTGGGTGATGCTGTTATATCAATATGGCGGCAGGATGGTGTTGTAGGCTTTTACCGTGGTTTGGTACCAGCAGTTACTCAGGTTGCTCCACAGATGGGGCTACAGTTTGGCCTATATTCTCTTTGTAACTCAATTTGGGATGTCACCAAGTCTAATGACAGTGTTCTCCCAGGTGTGTATGCTGGTCTGAGAGACAACCCCAGAGTCATATGCTTGTCTGTACTACCCTATACATGAAGGAAAACCAAGTTCTATGGATAGACAACTTCTTTATTGCAATGGGTGCGACATTTTGGTGTAGGTACTGACACCGTTATGAAGCACCACTTGCTTGATAACAGTGTTAGTACCTACACCGAAACGTCTCACCCATTGCAATAAAGAAGTTGTCTATCCGTAGAACTTGGTTTTCCTTCATCTATCCAACTTGCCTCTCAAAGGTGCCTGTAGTACCCTATACATGTCAGAAGTACCCTATACATGTCTGCAGTACCCTATACATGTCTGAAGTACCCTATACATGTCTGCAGTACCCTATACATGTCTGAAGTACCCTATACATGTCTGTAGTACCCTATACATGTCTGAAGTACCCTATACATGTCTGAAGTACCCTATACATGTCTGTAGTACCCTATACATGTCTGTAGTACCCTATACATGTCTGCAGTACCCTATACATGTCTGAAGTACCCTATACATGTCTGTAGTACCCTATACATGTCTGAAGTACCCTATACATGTCTGAAGTACCCTATACATGTCTGTAGTACCCTATACATGTCTGAAGTACCCTATACATGTCTGAAGTACCCTATACATGTCTGAAGTACCCTATACATGTCTGAAGTACCCTATACATGTCTACCCTATACGACCACCTCCGTGGTGCAGTGGTTAGAGCGTCCGCCCGGAGAGTGGAAGGTCGCGGGTTCGATCCCCGACTGCGTCATACCAAAAGACATTAAAATATGGTACTTGTTGGTCCCTGCCTGGCGCTCGGCATTAATGCGTACAACAAGGAGTGGTCGGCTCGGAGTCAGTATAATGTGTCTGAGTGGGATATTCATGCTTCACTGCGGCATGGTATCTCGGTGGGCTAGCACTATAAAACCAGCTTAAGTCTGGGCTAGTGCAAGCAGCAGCACATACACATACACACATATGCACGTTGTCATATGAGCGAAATATTCTCAAGCACGACGTTAAACCCAATTTCACCTTACCTCACCTGTACCCTATACATGTCTGAAGTACCCTATACATGTCTGTAGTACCCTATACATGTCTGAAGTACCCTATACATGTCTGTAGTACCCTATACATGTCTGTAGTACCCTATACATGTCTGAAGTACCCTATACATGTCTGTAGTACCCTATACATGTCTGAAGTACCCTATACATGTCTGTAGTACCCTATACATGTCTGAAGTACCCTATACATGTCTGAAGTACCCTATACATGTCTGTAGTACCCTATACATGTAGTACCCTATACATGTCTGAAGTACCCTATACATGTCTGTAGTACCCTATACATGTCTGAAGTACCCTATACATGTCTGTAGTACCCTAAACATGTCTGTAGTACCCTATACATGTAGTACCCTATACAAATAGTACTCTATACATGTAGTACCCTGTGCATGTCTGTAGTACCCTATACATGTCTGTAGTACCCTATACATGTCTGTAGTACCATGTCTGTAGTACCCTATACATGTCTGAAGTACCCTGTACATGTCTGTAGTACCCTATACATGTCTGTAGTACCCTATACATGTCTGAGTACCCTATACATGTCTGTAGTACCCTATACATGTCTGTAGTACCCTATACATGTCTGAAGTACCCTATACATGTCTGAAGTACCCTAAGTACCTATACATGTCTGAAGTACCCTATACATGTCTGCAGTACCCTATACATGTAGTACATTCTGTGCATGTCTGTAGTACCCTGTGCATGTCTGTAGTACCCTATACATGTCTGAAGTACCCTGTGCATGTCTGTAGTACCATATACATGTCTGTAGTACCCTATACATGTCTGAAGTACCCTATACATGTAGTACCCTATACATGTAGTACCCTATACATGTCTGTAGTAATCCTATACATGTCTGAAGTACCTGTAGTACCTATACATGTCTGAAGTACCCTATATACATGTCTGAAGTACCCTATACATGTCTGTATACATGTAGTATCCTATACATGTCTGTAGTAGTGCTATACATGTCTGTAGTACCCTATACATGTCTGAAGTAGTAGTACCCTATACATGTCTGTAGTACCCTATACATGTCTGTAGTACCCTATACATGTAGTACCTATACATGTCTGTATACATGTCTGTAGTACCCTATACATGTCTGTAGTACCCTATACATGTCTGTAGTACCCTATACATGTAGTACCCTATACATGTCTGAAGTACCCTATACATGTCTGTAGTACCCTATACATTTCTGCAGTACCCTATACATGTCTGCAGTACCCTATACATGTCTCTAGGACCCTATACAGTAATACATGTCAGTACCCTATACATGTCTGTAGTACCCTATACATGCCTGTAGTACCCTATACATGTCCCTGTAGTACCCTATACATGTCTGCAGTACCCTATACATGTCTGTAGTACCCTATACATGTACCCTATACATCTGCAGTACCCTATACATCTGTAGTACCCTATACATGTCTGTAGTACCCTTTACATCTGTAGTACCCTATACATGTCTGTAGTAATACATCTATACTTGTCTGTAGTAATGCCCTATCTGCATATACATGTCTGCAGTACCCTATACATGTCTGTAGGTGTACCCTAGTACTATACATGTCTGCATACCCTATACATGTCTGTAGTACCCTATACATGTCTGCAGTACCCTATACATGTCTGTAGTACCCTATACATGTCTGCAGTACCCTATACATCTGCAGTACCCTATACATGTCTGCAATACCTTTTCCTTGTCTGCAGTACCCTATGCGTGTGTTCACTATTTTCATGGTCTATGGCAGCATGTGCTTGACTGCATATCTCATGCTTGTCTGAAGTACCCTCAATTGCCTGAAGTACCCAATGCTTGTGTTCTGTACCTTATGCTTGTCTTCAGTACCCCATACAGGTCTGATGTATCCCGTACATGTCTGACATACCAAATGCTTGTCTGCAGTAGCCCATGTTTGTCTCCAGTACCACATATTTTGTCATGATCTCTCATTTTTAAGAAAAATCTATCTTATAAAAGAATGACCAACATATATTTTTACTTTTGAATGTCAAACTGATATTGTGTCTGATGAAATTCCCATCCTGATGTCTGAAATAAGATACCGTATATTACCGTCTATAAGCCGAATTTTGAGGACAAAAAAAGCAGTCTGTAGAAGGGGGTCGTCTTATCCATGGGTTACGCTTTCGTCAAACTTTTTTCCAGGGGTAAGAAAACAACATAGTATCACTTCGCGTGAACAAACAACAGAAGACGACTTTGTCAGTAGTCACTTTTCAGGGGTAAATGATATGCCTCAATTTGACCATGACCTTGACCTTGTTGTTGCAGCTGTTTTACCCAGCCTTGTGTGTGGATCAGCGTCAGGTCTGCTAGCCAAGCTGATTATCTATCCTCTAGATGTTGTCAAGAAACGCCTTCAGGTGCAAGGATTTGAGAAGGCCAGAGAATCCTTTGGCACTTTCCACCAATACAAAGGTTTTGTTGACTGTATTGTGAAGGTTTTAGCAGCTGAGGGAGCCCTTGGACTGTACAAGGGATTGGCTCCCAGTCTGATCAAGGCAGCAGTGGTAGCTGGTTGTAACTTCTGTGTTTATGATCAAGTAGTGTACATCATGTCCAGATGATGTAGGGTTTAACGTATAGTACAACTCCCTTTTCCTGGACCCTGGTAGTTTGGCAGTGCTGTGAGCTGAACAACCATTGTTATGAACATAAGTAATAAAGTACAGAAATAATATCTTAGAGCTGCATCAATTGTAAGTCAGTGTTAAAGTATAGGATTACAAGCGGCCTTATGTATTTATGGGTGGTGTGGAAGTAATTGACTACAAACCTGTGAAGTATTGGGAGCATCTGGTGTATGAGGATGTAAGGATTTACCAACATATCAAAACATTGCTATACTTTCATCCTCATTAATCTCCAGGGTATATGTTCTGATAAATCTCCACAAGTACCCTGGATGCATCTACAGCTCGGCCCGATAATTTTATTACCTCCCTTTGCTGCCTCCGCCTTCTCACAGTAGCCAGTCAGATAAGCCATTACAACCAGCTTGCCAGTGTCAACAAAGATGACGGCCGCAGTCATGAAGATTTGATTGCTGTGTGACTCAGAATTAGGGAAAAAATCATACAGACAAATTGACAGGTCTGAAACCTTCAAAAAATATATTTAAGAACTCCTTCTTCTACCTCTTATAATTACTGTTTGTCAAAGAAGCGGAAGTGAGTTATGTCAGAAGCCTTCTCTCGCTCAACATCCTAGTGTAGACCCCTGATTGGATAAAAAGCCAACGAAGGGAGGTAATAACATTATGGGACTGAACCATAGATGCATCCAGGGTACTAGTGGAGATTCATCAGAACGTATACCCAGGAGGTTATTGAGGATGCTATGCTTTGTGCTGTGTATCATTTGGACTTCTTGTACTGATACAAGTTGATACATATGAATAATTTGTTAAACAACTTTTTCCAGTCAATATTTGATTTCATAAATTATGTCAAAATTAATTAGTCCCGACAGAAAACAACTATTATGGATTTTAAATATTTATAAATCTCTGTTGAGTTTTCATAATGTGATTTTGTTGCACTATTAGGGTGTTTTTGCTTATGGACCCTTGTAACGGCTTTTACATGACAAATTTCTATGGATGAATTGCATTCTGTATTGTGTAAACAATGAAACAATCTTGCTCAGGGCCCTGTTGTTTTTAAACACTGCTGCCAACTGTAGGTAATTTCTATGTATGTACAAAGGACACTACTCTAGCAGTTATTCAGTCCTTTGTTTATGGATAACATGGTAAGTGCCTACTGATATATTCCATATTGTGTATACTGCATACAATGAAAACCTTGCAATTAGCATCCTGTTGTTTTTAAACACTGCTGCTGGCTGTTAACTATAAAGTACATTGACCTGTATACAAAGGACATTACTCTGACAATCATTATCTGGAGATTTAATAGTTGGGATGATTCTTATTTTTAAGGGGCTGTGGGGTAGCCTAGTGGTTAAAGCGTTGGCTCGTCACGCCGCGAAGACCCGGGTTCGATTCCCCACATGGGCACAATGTGTTAAGCCCATTTCTGGTGTCCCCCGCCGTGATATTGCTGGAATATTGCTAAAAGCGGTGAAAAACTAAACTCAGTCAGTCTTATTTTTAACTTTTGCAAAGTATATACCTTATATGTGGTATAATAACCTCAATACAGATGTATAAATTGTATCAGCATTGTTACAGCCCTAATGTTTCTTTGTAGCCACTTATATATAATGGTTATAGAGTAGAAGTTGGCTGTCGATATAGCTCTTAGAAATTGGTCATCGTTAGTTCAATATCGATTTATTATCAGATAATATCAGTTAATGTCGGGAAAGTAACTTGAGCAATACTGGGGAAAATTAGTCGGGAAAGACATTTATATAATTTATCTCACTGGTGAGTGGTGACACCTTTGTGCATGGATTGTGAACAAAAATCGTGTTCTGAACATAATTTGGAAGTGAACCATGAATAAAGACATGACTTAGTGTATTGTGTGTGTGAATTGAAACTGTATTTCATCACAATAGTTTGTGTAAGTCATTATCAATGACAATTTCCATATCATTAATAATAATAAATTCTTCCCATCGACAATGTTACCAGTTCTGGATCTTTTTAGCCAGCCCTGCTATAGAGATATGTATTGACTCAGGATTGTAACTATGGTTACAAGCCCAGTGAGAAGGCTCCTGTTACTTGGATCATCTCATACAGTACAGCAGATTGTGGGAATACAGCATCACAACTGATTGTACATTTTAAGTGAGCTTCCATTTCTTATGTGCCATACTTGTCAATCATTTTCCTGTGCTCTCTGGAGGAATGATATCCTTGATAATACTCCGGTGATATCTATACAGATTCTTGTTATGTTATTACTGACACCAGATGTTATAATACTCACTGCATTTAGTATGGGTGTACATGTCAGTGGGTGCATGAGTACTTGGTTGCGTGCATGCGTGTGTAAGCAATTTAAGGTTTGCCCATGTGACATATAATGATATACAAACAAATAAGTCTTGTTGTTTTTATGAGATTGTTCATAGTTTAGGAAGAATGAGGTCTTAAGTAAAAATTGGAGAGGTGTTGACTTTTTCCCGTTTTATTGTACATCAATGTTCTATTTATTTTATTTATTAAATCTTTATTGCAAATGTGCATGGAAATAACAACTGTGAATTGTTAACATAATTCATTTTTAGCTATATTAATAATAAGGCCTTATTTTGTTATTGTTTGGATCACAGATTTGTTTTGTTAAATTAAATAGTTGATGAGAGAAGAAATTGTTTTCATCAGTTAACATTAGCTTCTTCTTTTTCAATATTGTATCATAGAAGGTTTTGACAAATCAGCAGCTCAGTGATCCAAGAAATAAAACTTATGATGGCTTATTATAGTTTATGTTGAATTCAGTCCTCCTTAGAGTCTGCCATTCAGACTTGAGAATTGAAATTTTGAAAGTAGATAAGCACACTCCCTGAGACTAGTATTGTTATGAGTATTGTTAAGTGTTTTGGAGTTTTTCATGCATTTTAAGAGCTGTTATGTGTTTAAATTATTTAGTTTGAATTTTATTTTATTTTGTTGTGAAATGTTAATTACTGCCATGATATGTATAAGACTGTTCTAAAGATTGTTTATTTCTAAAATATATTGTTGCAGTTACTTTTGTACACCTCTTTTTTGAAATGTGTTTTTAAGATTAATGTTGGATACTGGGATACCTAAGGGAAGCAAATCTCCCTAGTGAGTGACATGACTTAGCCACTCTTGCTCATTTCAAAGACAGCTGAATATATTATCTTTATTTACAGAAATTTACAGAATATCCAATGTACTATGCCTTCATTCATTGTTGATTATTACAATGGACCCATTTATGGCCATAGCTCATGTTGACTCTTGATTTGAAAAACAAAGTACTGATACTAAAGACAGCTGTCCTGATGAATCAGGTCATTTAGCGCAGACTGAGATGGTGAGAAACTAATAATTCCAACAATAATTCCAACCACAGACTTCCTGATCCCAGGGCCTACTTGCACAAAACGATCTTAGCACTAAGACTGTCTTAAGTCTATGTTAGAATATGGGAGTTACGATCATCGTGGCACTAACACTGTCTTACGTCTATGTTAGAATATGGGAGTTACGATCATCATAGCACTAAGACTGTCGTAAGTCTATGTTAGAATATGGGAGTTACGATCATCGTAGCAGCTAAGACTGTCTTAAGTCTATGTTAGAATATGGGAGTTACGATCATCTTAGCACTAAGACTGTCTTAAGTCTATGTTAGAATATGGGAGTTACGATCATCGTAGCACTAAGACTGTCTTACGTCTATGTTAGAATATGGGAGTTACGATCATCGTAGCACTAAGATCACTTTGTGCAAGTGGGCCCAGGTTTGTGACCCTGTCAGAATCACCAAATAGGTTAACTCCATCATCAAGCTGACCAGATAAGGATGTCCTTATGGAAATAAGTCATGAGACTATTAACCTTCTAGTGCCTAACAGGCAGCTTGGGTTATCCGGGGTAATAATGATCAGATTGTGAGCTTTGAGCAGGATATCTAGCCTGGAAAAAGGCGCGTTATAAATAGTCTCATTATTATTATTATTATTTTTTATACCATTTAGAGCTTTTCATAACACCAAAGAAAGATGGTTTCAATATCGTATTGTCCACAGAATTCTCACAACCAATAAAGACCTATACAATTATAATATAATAGAATCACCACTATGTACTTTTTGCAAGGCTGAAAATGAAACCATTGTTCATTTGATGTTTGAATGCAGATAGGCTGTGGCAAAACCTTTTAAATTGGATTGAAGATAAAACAGACACTCGTTAACAGGGATGGCAATTTTCTGCTGATCCGCGGATTTTATTTCAAATTGTTCAATTGTGAATCGTCTAAATCCATTGAGAAACCCTCAACTCGATGACACAATATTAAGTTTTCAGCTGAAAATAGATTTTTCTGTTGCCTTCCCTGCTATAAACCTGGATCTGAAACCAGTCCATTTGGGCTTTCATGAAAAAATAACGATGTTCTGAACTTGATATTTATCATAACAAAGGAATATGTATATTCCAGAAAACTAGCAAATATACGTCCAACCCTTGAAAGTCTCAAAGCCAAATTAAACCACAGTTACAATCTCCAGAAATACAATGCATACTCTGTATGCAAATATAGCAAGTTCACGACTTTCTGGTCATCATGCCACTACATGTATTTACATAATCTATTCAATCTCACTTATCATGCTTGTTGTCATTGTGCTATGTATTTGAATAGTGTTGTGTATGAAGGATATAACTGTACCAATGCGAAAAAAGAAATAAAGTGAAAAATAAAAAATAATGATGTCAACTGTGGGACTCGTGTCCCCACTACATATGTTGATAATCTGACCCATCAACATCTGGATTGGAATTGGTCTTCAGCAGCCCATGGTTGTTGTAAGAGGCAACTAATGGAATCAGGTGGTCAGGCTGGCAAACTTGGTTGATGCATCCCATTGATTGTATCCCATTTGCATAGATCGATGAATATGATGTCAATCACTGGATTGACTGGTCCAAACTGAATATTTACAGATGGACGTCATATGGCTCAAAAACCGCCGAGTTAAACAAACAAAAACACAGTAAGTAGATGTCTATTGTTTTTACTACAGATCCATGTACTTTTTACCACTTCAAGTTCCGAAAGAACAATAGTTTGTCTCCATCCAGCAAGAGAATAGTAACAAGAGATATGAGATGCTGATATCACTTCTGTAATGAAGCTTTGGAGGCAAATGGTTTTTGGGTTATTTTTAAAGTAGAATGGCAATAAACTCCTTGGATGCCATTAACCAAATGTGCAATTACTCAACAAGTATTTGATTTTCTATAATTTATTGTTTTAGTTTGTTTCAGAAATCTGATTGTTTACTTGATTGTCTGTTAATGAAAAAGGTGTTACTGTAATTTTCATTGTATTTTGTTTATGATACATTTTACCATTGAGGAAACAACAAACATCTGTAATATATCCTATGAGAATTATGAGGAAACAATATTGCCCGTGAGTGGTGTGAATTAAAAAAACAACCCCTTCTGTGTTTGTGAGATGAATGGTTATATTTTAAATGACGTATTAAAATAACTAACATTTAGTATGTTGTTTGTCTTTTGTTTAGTCGTTGAATGTTATTCAGAATATGTTCGAATATATGATCTAGATATATCCATGCGTATAGAATAATTTTTTATCTGGACCAAAACTTATGATCAGTTTTCAGTGGAGCGAATACCATTGTGGGCGCTGAGAATATCCTTTCTAACAATATATAAAAGAAGCATCTTATCTGACTAAAATAGATTTTTGTCATGATTAATCACAGTGTTTAAAAAAACAAATATGTGGATTTGTTGGTGAAAAGAACGTTTTACAAGTAACGTACAAACAACTTTGCAACCTTCTGTAAATTGATCCGCGTATACAGTTACCTCCCCTACCGGATATTAGATTATGGAATACAATGGCTGCCAAAACAAACCTTTCATAGAGTGAAAACAGACTCTATGATTTATGTTGGTTACTCTCACATCATATAATACAGTTGTATTACCAAGTTGGTAGCGAACACAACCGGACAAATGCCTTCTAAAATGAGCGCTGTGGATTTGAAGAATCAAGGCAACAAATTGTTTTCTGCACGGAAATACGACGATGCGATCTCCTGTTACACGAAAGCAATAGTACGTTCTAGATAAGTTCGTAATGAAACGCTGTCGTCATGTGGAAATAACATGAGAGTAGAGGTCTCTATCTGGCACACATTTTCAGTTTTCTATTAGCCGGGCACAGAGGATCAAGCTCACATTGCCAGACTTGCTAAGACTAAGTCAGTTAAATGAGTTTGTAAACGTGTAAAGGGTTAATCAAATAAACCAACACCATGTTTGTTTACTTCGTAATCAGCACAAATTGTTTTCCTTATTTCTTTTAAGTATCAAGATCAAACCGAGATTGTAATCTGTGTAATTGGAAAGGGGAGGCTTCTTCTAATATGATAATATCAGGCAGTGCCAGAAATGTTCGAGCCTGCTTGACCAAATATGTATTTTGACATTATTTTCTGTAGATTGTTGTTATTATTGTGAACAAGTACAAGCTACAAGAAGAAATGTTACCAGCTAGCTCTTTTGTGTAGTGGATGAAGCCACAGACTGCTATACACAAAACTAAGCATTCCTCCTTTTTCATGAAGACACGAAACTTGTGACAATTGATTCTTTTCTTTTTGACAGAATAAAAACCCAGGCACTGCAACATTCTTCACCAACCGTGCTTTGTGCTACCTAAAATTGAGACAATGGGAGTTTGCGGTGCAGGATTGCCAGCGTGCACTTGACCTTGATCGGTCTTTAGTTAAGGGCCATTTTTTCATGGGTCAAGCATATGTTGAACTTGGGCAATACGATGAAGCTATTGCAAGTTTGAAGAGAGGTAATGATATTGATATACATGATGTTATGTACATAAAACGTCTTAGAAGAATCTTGATACAGCTTAATCAACCCAAATGATCCTAGTTATTACCCATTTGATTGTACAAGAAGCTCAATGCATTCAAAAGCATCTATGATGTGTATGGAGCGACATTAATATAAGCTTGTTTTATGCATGTTTGCAAATCCCGTCATGATCACATGTATAAAATGTTTAAACCAAACAGTGTATGGAGCAAATATGTTCACTATTTTGTGTCAAATTTGTCTCATGATTATATCACTGTTTGAAATTGCCTGTAAGCATCATAGTCCAGGGGTAATTGTCATAAGCCTTATGTTAAAAGTTTAACATTTAGTATTTACTTAGTATATTTCATTTACTAAGCAAACCTCAACTACGTTTATTTCAAACAGTTTTCCTCAGTGTACAGCATACACGTATCCATGGTAATGCATACTAATATATCAAAACTTATTTCATAGATGCCAATGATTGCAAAAAATTCTGATCATACCTGCTACTCCTTGCATGACACTAATCCTGATTCACTTTCATACTGCCTTTAGATATGATATATTTCTTTGTATGATAAAAATAATGTGTGATTTTATTAATTTAAGTGCCTTGAATGATTACCCTATGATCATAACTCATTTACAGTAAAATGAAGATAGGTCCTTGAGAAGTTTTGCTGGATTGTTTGAATGGTTTTATAAACAACCACTAATATTACATCTTAAACCTTTGATGTAAGGTTTTTGGCAGTGACAGTTGGACTTTTATTCTTAATTCAAACACTGATATATAGATTCAGTGAAATTGGTAGTGAAAAATCTGTTCTGTACCTGAAGATAAGTAAATCTTCTAGAACACTTCTCAATGTCTTTGACACAATGCAATATTTCTGTTGAGTGTTAGCTTGTGTTTTCAGCCTATGATTTAGCCAAGGAGCAAAAGTTGAACTTCGGAGATGACATCACAGGTGCTCTGCGTCATGCTAAGAAGAGACGCTGGAATATGATAGAGGAACGGCGCATACAGCAGGAGATCGAGCTGCAGACTTATGTGAATAAACTTATCATTGAGGACAGAGACAGGTAAGACATGGAGATGTATAGTTATGTGAATAAACTGATCCTGGGGTTGTACTTCAGTAAGTTGATGTCCATTACTGTATTCTGTTGGTGGAAGACAGAGGCAGGTAAATGCTGAGCTATACTTAAAGAGCATATCCAGCTGTTGATGGTTGTAATATGGAGTTTTGATGTTCATGGCAGTGTTGTGTGTCCCTGCAGGAAGAAGTCTGTGCTGAAAGAGATGTCTGAGCACCAGGACTGTAACGAAGAGTTGGACAGCATTGATGAGTTTCATGTAAGTTGCTTGCACAGTGTGCCATCCACTGCGGCATGGTATCTCAGTGAGCTAGCACTATAAAACCAGCTTAGGTCTGGGCTAGTACAAGCAGTGGCACATACACATACACACGCATCGTCATATGAGCGAAATATTCTCAAGTACAACGTTAAACCCAATTTCACCTCATCTCCACACTGATTGGCACATTTTTATATGACATTGTTATTCCATATAATGTGGACAGGCACTGTGAATAGCTCATTATACCTCTCAGGTAGTCACTTGTATGTGTAAAAGTGATTGCATACATGTTACGTAATCTACTGTTCAGAAACAAGTTTATTTGCACAATAGCTCCATCTTTGGTCTTGCTGATGAGTTGTTAACATGGTATATACACATCTTGCTGATGAGTTTTTAACATGGTATATACACATCTTGCTGATGAGTTGTTAACATTTTATATACACATCTTGCTGATGAGTTGTTAACATGGTATATACACATCTTGCTGATGAGTTGTTAACATGGTATATAAAGTATTACACCTCTTGCTGATGTAATATCTGCAACTTTAACCTTCCATTGAAAAGCGAATATGTTTATATGTCTGCAAGCTATTAACATCCTGTAAATTACACCAGATAAACATCTTGAAAAAACCCAATAGTAGTGCAGGTATAGTGCAACCAGATGTCACAATCACTCTCTTCCCTCTTTCCAGTGTTTGACAGTGTTGCTATGACTTCCATTTACAGGATTTGTATGTCATGTGGTGATCAAGAAATGATGCATGGTTTTCTGTATGTTGAGAGCAAAATGTTGAGAGCAAGGGGTGTGGCAATGAGTGTGACACCAGGAGTGTGCCAAAAGGGGTGTGGAGAAAGGGATGTGATGACTGGGTGTGATAACATGGGCAGGATGACAGGTGTGATGACAGGCATTTATAGATGAATATGGCAACAGGGGTGTGACAACAGGACTGTTGAAACATTGATGTTTGACAACAGGGATGTGGCAACAGGTGTGTGACAGACAACACAGCTGCTAAGCACCAGCACAGCATCTGCAGTGATAATGACTCTGAACTTACCAGCTGTTTCACACAGTGTTTGTACCTTCAGTTAGAAAACTTAGATAGCCAGAAACATTTAGTGAAAGATACATTTATTAAGTGAATGTTTTTACGTATACTTTTCATATATATTAAAGTGAACCCAATGTCATGGTCCATGTATGTTTTCTCTTTCAGGAAAACAAACTGACATCTGTGAATAACTTGTTTAGTCTGTTGGATGACAAGAGGAAGGTAAGAACCAGGCAGGTGATCTGTCATTCATTGCATCTTAACTGAGATGAACAGTATTGTTTAATGTGACTGTACTATTTGTTAGAGCTTACAGAAAAGTGTAGTAAGGGAGGCTACTGCATAGTGATCAAAGGGAGGTTACTCTGTGGTGTCAAGGTACATAGATTTATCATAATCTGGTTTACAAGAGGATTGAGGAGTACAAGTGCCTTAGCTGGCTGACAGTCTCACCCTGGTGGTGTGTATCTAAGCACATACAGTAAACCAGTGCTTTTCTCATCCCAGATTATTTACTGACCTCTATGAACACTGCCAACTATGGCTGCAGTAAAACCTCTATGAGTGAGTGAGTGAGTATCACAGCTGGGGACATGAGAATCCACTATGAAGCATACGTCATACATATCACACATATTGGGAAACAAATATGAATATTTATCACAAATACCATAACACGTCACTAGTTGGTGTATTGTTCAGTTGCATAATAACAAAACCAAATATCTTACACGTTTTGACCATCTTCATTTTTTGCGACAAAGATTAGTGACCACATTACTATCACATGAAATATACAAGAGAGTTGACTATTTTACTGCCTCCCTTTGATGTATTATGTGAAGATCCGAGTTAGAATTGGTCTTCAGTAAGAGGTGACTAACGGGATCTGGTGGTCAGGGTCGCTGACTTGGTTGACACATGCCAACATATCCCAATTGCAATAGTAGATTGATGTTCATGCTGTTAATCACTGGATTGTCTGGTCCAGAATCGATTATTTACAGACCACCACCGTACAGCTGGAATATTGCTGAGTGCGTTGTTAAACAACAAACCAACCAACAACCCTTTGATATATTTAATTTTGTATGTCACGGTTTGATAAATAACAGACAAATTCAAATGAAAAACACTCATGAAACAAATTCATGAATATTCACTTCTGGTGATCTCGAATGAGCGTTGGGGTAGCCTAATGGTTAAGCGTAGAAGACCCAATTCAATCCCACATGGGTAAATTGTGTGAAGCCCATTTCTGGTGTCCCCACTGCACCATTATACCTCTGATGTTGCTGGAATATTGCTAAAAGCGGCGTAAAAAAAACCAAAAATCACTCATGAAACAAATTCATGAATATTCATCTCTGGTGATCTCGAATGATGAATTAAATTTATACAGGACTACGATTCAATTCAAAGAATTCACAAATAAATTGCAACAGAAAACTGTGATGTCAAGGATCATCCAATAACTGCCATCAAGGTTTGTGTATTCGATGGTCATAATTATGGAAAAGAATTTTCAGAAGTCTGTAGGAGGTTGCGTTTAGGAAATCTGTTTTCAGAGGTTATCATGAGTAATTAATGTTGGTTATATCTGAATCTGAAGTTGTAAATTTGTAGGCATAGGATTGTTACTTATTGCTATTCACACAAAGTCTTATGTCTGTCTTGCAGAAGCGGGATGTGCCAGACTTTCTGTGTGGGAAGATCAGCTTTGAGATTATGCGGGAACCTGTCACTACCCCTAGTGGCATCACCTATGACAAGAAGGACATCATCGAACACTTGCAGGTAACTACATAAAAGTGGGAGTGAAGTTCAGAGCAGGATCTATAGAGTGTTCAAAAACCTGCATCAAAGTCAAAGGGGCCTACCAATAACTCAAATGTTGGAGTTTACAGATTGAAGGGGTCCCCAAATTTGGATACCATATGTACAATGTCACAATCCATAGACCCTGTTAATTTTGAACACTGCCTCCTCCACATTAGCAGGGAGGGCAGTGAGGAATCCTGAAATCCTGTCATAAGCCCCCTGGTTGTATTCTGTCCATGAATAATACTTAGACCTGTCATGATAAAATTATAAACATATTTGTGTTAAACATATTTTATTCATTCAAGAAAAGGATTGGGCACAAGTTATCCAACTTAGAAAAGCCCTCTCAGATAATTACACAATTCATCTTACAACAAATTACACAAGTGACAGACATAGGCTAGGATATGTACAACAGATGTTAACTGAGAAAGCATTTTGTTTGAGAGATATAGATATGTACATATTTGAAAATAATCTGGTTGTCAGTGATTGAGAGACCTGCATTGCCATGTAAGATAAGATTAATATCAATCAGTGTTCTATTTTTGAAAATATGTTCTAAAGATTTTAACAGTTTATGTCTTTGAATAGTATACAATGAACATTCAAGGAAGTAATGAAAAACATTCTCACATCTATGGCCACATTGACATGATGCGTCATTTTTTACATTTATTCTATCTAAATCATAATTAAGTGTACTCGTCATATATCTTAATCTAGTGTGCATAACATTGGACTTCCTTATTCCATATGAATAATATATAGGTGCGCATTTTTCCTTCACGTAGATATAAGATTAAAACGATGCAACAGAGTCGCAATTTCTAATAGCTAAGGGAATATTATTCCACACTTTAACTGTTGATGGAATAAATGATGAAGTTTAGTACCTCAGTCTTGTATATGGTTGACTAAAGTTATTGGAGTTTCTTAACTCATAACTTGTCTGGTTGCCTACTACAGGTAGGAGTAAATCCTGAAGAAAAAATGGTGTCAGACCTTTTTGAATGTTATAAAATAATGTTAATTTGCGTCTTCTCCTTCTCTCAGAAAGTAGATCCCATCCTGTTTCATAATACATTGAACTGGAAGACCAGTAACTATGCGAGCTGCATAGTTGCAATTGAAGTTTTTCTAATCTATTAGCTTGTTCAATCAAACATCCATCCCATACCTCGCATGCGTACTCAAAGTGTGGCCTTATAAATACAGTATATAGTTTCAGCTAGTGTTGTTCTATTTAGTAGGAACTTTAATTTCCGAAATGCTCCAATCATTTTAGATGTCTTTTTGATAATATTTTCAATATGATGATGCCAACTCCCGTTAGACGTGAAGATTAAACCCAGATGTTTATGAAAATCGACTGTTTTTATATTGCAGTTATCAAACTTCAATTTAAAGTCTTTTCGGCCATCTTTCAAAGTAAATAATATAGCTTCAGTTTTTTCCGGATTGTAAGGAATTAACCAGACCTTATAATATAAACATATTCAGGCATGGGTTCCTTTCACTCCACATATATTTCCAAGCACCTGCTCATGTAGAAGAGAGCATGTGAAATATTTCAATTGCATTCTGATGCCTTCAGGATTTGACTGGGTCAGTTTTTTTCAGGCGATAATTTGGAAATATTTCTGACTATACATCAATGTTATTTATGTGCTCTCTCATTTAAACCAAGCTATTTTCCCATTGTGTAAGTCTTGAAGTCTTCTACTCTGATGCTGTACATCAGTAGGTCTGACAACTGTGGTATAGAGTATTAAAATGTGGCTTGTGATTTTTTTCAGAGGGTGGGTCACTTTGACCCAGTAACACGTACAGACTTGACCCAAGATCAGCTGATTCCAAACTTGGCCATGAAGGAAGTTATTGACACATTCTTGGAGGAGAATCCTTGGGCAGAGGAATACTAGCCTTTGTGCATGTGTGTGTGATATGTACGTGAGCACATGCACAAGTGTGCACAAGTATGTGTGCATGTGTGTATATTTAGTGCAGACAGCTGTGATATCAGGATATGTGCAGGATTGAGAACAGTTTTTGTTATTGTTACAAACTGTAAACTTTCACTTTGTCTCTTGTCATGCTCAGTAATTAAGGTCACAGTCATTGCTCAAGCCTCATGCTTAAGACTCTTAGAACACCGGCCCAGAAAGAAAAAGTATTAGGTTATGATGTTTGTTGTGGTAAGTAAATCCTAAGACCTTATTCAAAAGTAAAATCTAAAGTTATGATTGCTAGGATAGATACGTCGATTAACCACCCTTCTACTGAAAGAGGTGATCTAAAGCTGCAGTTACCCTATCCCTGGCGTGCTTCCAATAAACGATTTTCATTTATAGCAACAAGTCTGTCTCAGAACTTCTATGAAGCGGAGATAAGGTTAACGCAGCTGTATCTAAGCTCACATAAAGGAATGATTGTGAATGTTCAGCTATTGGTTATGTCTTAATTAAACATTTCTTTTCTATAGTCAACAAAAGGCGTAAGATTTACAAGTGAATGGATTTGACTGGAATGCATTATGAAGTGTACATATTTTATGTTATAATGTATTCCCGTGAATTCATCAGCACATAGGTTTGGAGTGTTGATATTCTGAGTATTTTTAAATTGTCTTAAACTATCATGATGATTATTGTCTGAACAGTATGTACAATGAGGATTTGTGAAATTTTAATATGATTGTGTCCATGATATACAAGATGTATGTGTGATAGATTACAGCTTAACTTCACATCAATATTCTACACGCTTTGTTCAGTGACCTTGTTCCATGTATACTACTGAAAAGAAGTTAAGCACACCCCATTCTGTCAAATCACTATAGCTATTGTCATTTCCTGATAGTTCACTATCATCATCAGAACAAAACTGGTGTTCCTTAACTTCTTTGAGTAGTATATAATATGTATAATCATGGCGATGTTATCAAGGAACAGGGATGTGTTAATACACCTGTGAATTGCTACAGCCCTTTCCATCTAATACTACTATGTTAATAACAGTTTAGTTATACTACTCAACAAAAGTTAGGGACTACCGGGTTCTTTCATATAGCTATATTATGCTGTAATGCTGCAACAGATTAGCTATAGTTAAATGGAAGATTGGGCGGTCCTTAACGTTTTGAGTAGAGTAGTATCATGATGATTCTGACAGTAGCCAGGTGAAACAATGAGACCATTTGGTGGCAATGTGTGATTACGCTGTATATCAGCCACTCTAGAACCAACGGTCTACAAGAGCACATCCATGATTAGACTGTCTCACTTCAGTAATGGCTTTGTAGTATCTTTGCATGACAGCACATACAGCACATTGCAGAGTGAGTGAGTGAGTGAGAGGATATTTGAAGTGTTAGGTAGCAGTGTACAAATGTGGAACATTACAACTGTTGTATAAAACTGGTGACAGTTTGGAAGGTTCCTGGAGAATATTATTTCTTGGTTGATATGGTTTTGAGAAATATGTGTGATTCTTGCCCTGATCATGTCAGTGTAAATACCGTGAGGTAACATGTAATAATGCAACAGTTTCTGGTCTCAGTTTGTGTGATGAAAATGCCACTGTTTTTGCAGTCTCATCAAAATCAGATCGTGGTGTTTGTGGTCTGGCACTAAGATCTTCTTGAAATGAGTTTGCTCTCTATATGAAGAGCTATATTTGTATAGTTTCAGCATATATTGTACATGGACTGATATATCTGTAGAGTATGTGTCATATAAATGAATGAGAAAATGTGAGAAATTTAAAAAGATATAAGATGCTCAAGAACTACCATTGTGTAAACATTCAGATTGTATTTCAATGCATCATTATACATAGTTATCGTGCCACGTTCTTGCGTGTATCATCCCTACAGATATAATGGGAGTTTGGTTGAGGGAATCTTGGACAGAATAGGTCACTTGTACTCTATATTTGGTGTCAGTGAGCACATGATGATTCAGGGGCGGATCCAGGATCCTGGAGAAGGATGATGCACATAAATCATGAAGTCCAAAGGTTATGGGGAAATGCTGCCTTGGGAATATATTTTCGGGGTAGAAGGGAGGGTGCCCCTGCCCCCCCTCTGGATCTGCCCCTGCGATTGGGTGATTGTGTTGCTGTGGACTGTTGCTAATGTTATCAACCTGTGGTAAACTGGGCTTAGGAACAATTTATTAGTTAGCTGTGCAGTTGCTGACTTTGGTGTACGGTAATGGTAATGGTATGGAAGTGATGTACAGGTGGGTGGAACTGGTGTAGGTATAGTGACATTTTAGGGCTATTATTCTGAAACAGTTCACATAGCTACAGTTTTGCTATGAATTACAACTGAGTAAACGGTCTCATTCAAGCACTAGCTACAAATTATTCCGATCAGTGATAAAAAGTTTACACTGATCCTCTGAATTAGACTATAAAAGTCAAACATCTAAGGCTGGCGGTACTGCAAACTTTTCACCTGGTCCAGTATCCTGTGTATGCGTCCTACAATATATTGTAGGCATGAATAAATCTGAGCCAGATGATATGTAGTTTAGGGCTAATTGGGTGCATAGTTCCTGATTTCAGTTAACCTGACTTGCTGACTGAGTTGTCCCCTCTCCTTGGCTCCATGGCTGTCAAGTCGTCCCATCTGCCATGGTGCACTGTGTTATGGATATAGTATGTTCCACACGACCCCTAATTGTTATTGTAAACATGCTACTATAATCTGTGTGAACCTCCACTATCTGACACAATGTAGAATGCATACTAATTATATTTCTATAGTTAATCTGTTAATAATTCATCATCGTCTCTGGAATAGATGCACTAGTTTTCTTCAGCTTGCAATTTTAATATTTTAAGTAAAATGAATAATTTAACCAAGAACAATGTAACAATGTCTTTATACCAAAAGAGTGCTACCAAAGGTCAGATGTTAAAGTTTTGTTTGATAGAATAGAAATTACTCTTTCATATGGACGTGTACTAATGTTATTTTATCCTTGCGTTTATTCTCTGATCTGAAGAAAAGGGTACTTAAGGAAGTGTTAGAAGTTGATGAACACCTAATTGTTTAAATGATTATAGTTAATTTGTCCAGTCGGAACAGATCAACAATAGTCATCAGAAACAAATCATATGTCCATTGAGTTCTTTTGAGTGGTCTACTTCCTTTATATAGCCAAACTTCCATGTTGTTGAGGACTCATATGGTGTGATAGCATTCAGAGGCAGGTATGGTTCCTTACAGATATATTTATTACAGTTGTATTTATCTAAGAGTATTTGCGTCTACATATTGTCTGTTAATTATTGACATTTGCGACTTATTTCTTCTCTTACTGACATTGTCAATCTTTGTTTTAAGGAAGTAAAAGGTGTGAGTGATTTGACTATCATTTTGTGTTTCATTTGTGTGGAGGTATGGCCTCCAATGAGTGGGTAAGTGAGTTTAGTTTTACGCCGCACTCAGCAATTTTCGAGCTATATGGCGGCGGTCTGTAAATAATCGAGTCTGGACCAGACAATCCAGTGATCAACAGCATGAGGATACGATGACCTGTGTCAACCCAGTCAGCGAGCCTGACCACCCGATCCCGTTAGTCACCTCTTACACAAGCATGCGTTACTGAAGTTCACTCCAATGGAAAGAGCATAATGCCTGTGGAAGGAGGGCTGGTGGTTCGATTAGGTCATTCTAAAAGAGTTGAGAGTTTGGTACTTGTCAGCACGCATTGTGCTGTGCTTGAGGGGAATAGAATCAAGACTGGTTTGCTGACTGGGCAGCGTGGTAGCTTGTCAAATTCTGGGGCGTATGCACTCTTTATATATAAAAGCTATATAAAAGGCCCATTTGAAGGTACTAAGTACTTTCTCTGTCACGGTAACCACAAAAGGGCATTGATTACTATCACTTTGCACTACAAGAAGATATATATGGGTACTTGGTTTATCAGCGTGGAGATTTTTATGATCTTGTTAACAAGTGTTAGCGATCCTCATTCTACTCAAGTTGTCCTTAACAATAGGAGTCACATTTTGAATTAGGAATGTCCTTGTGTGGAGTGCTGTTTGATATATTATAGATGAGTAGATGTTCTCGTGTTGTTACCTCACCTTGACAGCCACATTGCTAATACAATAACTAAACTAGAGCTCTTTTTAAGCCAGGGCCACATTAACTTTTCCAGAAAACGAGCTTGGTCCAAACTCCCATACTTATACCATAGATCGTTAAGAAATAGTCCGTGAATCATTGATGCTGTTAGCAGGGCAGTCAAGGCAAAGTTTTACTCCGAGCCGATCACCTCTTGTTCTATTCCCATCACGATGAATTCCAGGCTGGGTAACAAGGAGTAGCATATTTTATTTCCTTTAATACATGATGATTCAGGGGATGGAACCACCCACATTTCCCACATTCCGATGCCTTGGCACTTTATCATGCTCTTCACCATCTTCTCAAATCAGGTACAGGGCTCCGTGGAACAAATCCGACGGTAAATTATGAAAATAAGGGTTTCTGGTTTTGTCGGGAACTAAATATTTCAATAGGCCCCACATATCGTCCGAGCTGATATACCAGATCATTATCCCCGGGCTATGCTGGGAACATCACATGATAATACGGGAAGTGGCTTCATCGTGAGCAAAGGATGAAGCTGCTGACAAAGAGTATCATACACTGGCGTCCTAACGTTACACGTCCAACTTTTTCCAACTGAACAAAGTGAATATAATAATAAAATAGTGATGACATAAATATGTAGCATAATGAGATGTAGGGCCCTGTTTTACAAAGCTATCGTAACGCTTCGACTGCCATACCTCCTATACTAAACTAAGGGTTAGTATCTGAATATATATAATTTTGACAGTAACAAACAAGACCATTTAAATTGAGAAGGAGCCCCAGGGAGACCAGAGAACCCGAGGAAATCTAGACTTGCTTTATTTAGGGCTTTAGCACTGCAGGTATGGCTTGGCAGTAGGGAAAATATTGTGGTTCAGGGACTGTGAGACAGGCTACTCCTATACTGTAACATAGACTTGGGACAGACGTAGCGCTAACATAGCTTGGAGAAAAGGGGTCCAGATATATTCGTTGAAACAGTGATATCCAACTGGGCGTATAAATCCCCACCTGCTATATAAACATGTTCAGTGATAGGTTTGAACTCACCATGCCTTTCATACATTAAACACTGGGCAAATGGAGCTGGCGTTGGAATTTGCTCGATATAGGAACGTTTGTGACTTTAAACTTAGTAGGCGGTTTTGAGGGTTAACTAAAAGAATAAGCTGAACGAGTGCCGAACAGCCAATAGATCAGTCCGACGCTGTATCTCGCGCAGACAACTGCCATTACTGA